AAAAAATCTATTATATGATATTTAATTTAAAGATTTTAAAGATTATTAAATGTATTTTAATAAATTTTTAAATTTTTAAATTTTTATATAAATTTTATATAAATTAAATTCTAAAATTTATAAATGTTTTAAAATTTATAAAATCTATTTAAATATATATATATAAATAATTTATTAAAAATTAAAAATGATTTAAAAATAAAATATTGAATTTATAAATTAAGATTGAAAATTTTAATTATTAAGATCTCATTAAAAAAAATCATAAAATGTTTGAAAATTTATAAATCTATTTTGAATTATTGTCGGCTTGCCGATATTATAACTGTAATTTAAAAAGTAAAATACAACAACTATATCTATAGTATTACAAGCATTGTATATATCTGTCGTCGTTGCCAGTAGTGATTATTACTACAGTTATTAAATAAATCATCAGTTTACACGAATTGATATTTGAAGCTGTAGAATTCTCTTTCAGATTATATTGAATGTAATGAAGACAATGCGAAGAGGAGGAAAGAGAACAAGAACTATTTACCACGGGAATATTTAGATATTCAATGGACGCTGAGTAAGAAGTTGAGAGTTATTTCAGAACAAATCATGTCAGTGTAGAGTCGTTTTTTATATATTTTGTATAAACGCAACTTTGAAGACGTGAACTGTCGTATATTTTATATTATATACTGGATGATAAAATATATACACGATCTACCTACCTCGAATTATTTGTACACTTCACTGATCATACAGCCGTGAAGTTCTTCACAAGGGTAACTTGATCATTTTCTTCTGCGATACAGCTAATGTAACAAAAAGAACTCAAGTCCTTGTCATCAGAATGGTAGATAGTAGTTAGAAACCTCCACGAATGTTTAGATGGAACTCAAATGTAGAAATAGATGCCTGTCCAAAGTTAAAAGTACTTACCGGATCGCCATCGCGGGATGCAATGCTTGAGAGAATGACGACCAAAAAGAAACAGACTAATCAAGAAACGTCAATAGCAATTGGATCATCTAGACACATCAAAATATGTTTGAAATATGTAACTTGGTATCATCAGTTGCTGGAACGATAGGGAGTGTAATGAGCTAGCTCGACAAGTATTCTGCCAGAGAACTCACCGCCCGGAAGCATTGAAGTGCTTCCTGGCGGTAGGAAAGATAGTGGAGGCTTGGGTGATGGCAGTGACACAGGATGACATGATGATAGCCTGTTTCTCACGACGATGGGGTCCTTTAGATCAAAGCATGAATTGACAACCCACGCGTCTATTGGTACACAGACGCGAACTTAGATTTCCAAGTTGGAATTCACGACATCATCATCGACCGCACAGATCACTACTATCTCAAAGCTGTTGCTGATCACAGCTCGCGGCTTCTTCTTCCTGTATGAGATAAAGGATTGGCAACGGGATCGACAGCTTAATATGATGATCTCTCCTCGAGAATAGATCCACACTAATGATTATATGTGATGAATTTTGACCCACTCCACCATCTTCATGATCAAAGGAAAACTTGCCATCGATCTTGAATTAACTAAGTCGAACTTTTCAAAATTACGACTACGCAATATGACAGACAAAATGTGCGACCCAACAGTTGTTAAATTATTTTGACGTACATCAATCGACCTGAAGTAGAACTTCCAGGCTCGTAATCCTCGTAACTTAATTCTGAGTTACCAACCAACGGTCGGACTGACTGACTGACTTGAAGATATTCTTCAACACATCACATGACCAAAATGGTCCCAACGAGCCAAACCGGATAATGTAAGAAAACAAGGTACATCTGCAAGTTGAAAACATTGCGATGATTGCTTACCTATCGGATAATTTCACATCTTTTGATATTGATAGTGGTTTCTTATCATTTCAGCCTTTTAGACGGGGTATTGACATTTTGATTCCGATTGGGGGGAGGAGGATGACAACCAACTGTTGAACCTGTTGGTCGATGAAAGAATACCATGACCTGGTTCTATCTGCCGTCCTTGGATGATTTGGTCGACTCAATGCCGATATCAGACTTCTCTCATAGGATGATTGGCAGAAGCAAACAATTCAGCAGATTTTCGCTTTTCCTTTTGATGTGCATGGCTTTGCGTCCGTTTTGATTCCCTTTTGAAGAACGCCTCCAAATGATAAAATGATGATACCATATTTCGGTCCCGATTTAATGTCTTGAAATATGGCAAGTTTTGATTATCCAGGGATCAATATAGAACGATAATGGAAATGAACTTCTCCTTCGAGAATTGGAAGTCCAATAGACCAAAAGCATTGAACCACTCTACCTGCTCCTTAGCCCTTGGCCCTTGGTATACCTAGGGTAGAGGAGAGATTCATATCATAGTAAAGAAAGAGAAGTTGGTAACGAAAATAGGGGACCGAAAGGAAATCGTTGCGAACAGACCACATCATGTCCCTTTAGTTAGACTTTAACCTTAGCATATAAATGTTTGATCATCGGTATATCGGTTCGCCCCGCAGTCGATATTAACTTGATTGAGCATGATGGATCCTTGAGGAAAAGGGGTTCGAGATCCAGGATTCTTCCAATCGAATGAAATCTTTGCGGTGAGCAGTGGTATTTCCTTCTTGTGATTTGATTGGCCGTGTGTTAGAAACAATGTAAATATATGCGCGGGCCTCGACCATTTTCGCATTGGGGAGTTGCCGATTTATTTGGTACTGGAATTCGAATATATTTATTCCGAAATGAGAATCTCGGTTCTTCGTATTCTAGAAGGTAAAGAAAACCGGCAGAGTGGATTGTGTAAGAGTGTCATTTCGATGGGAGGAATGAGTTTGTAATTGTGAGATGTAGGACGGTGAGATAGGGAGGACGGAGAGAGCGAGTTGGAGGTGGGTTGATTGTGATAGGATAGTGTGTATACATTCTAGTTGACTGTGAAGATGATCAAAAAGGAATCATTGTTTGAAGGTTTCATATTGTACGAATTTTATAGGATTATTTTCTTTTTCCCTCTTCCTTTCCTTTTGCTTTATTTTGTTTTGTTCTGTTGTGTTTCTAATAGATATAAGGTCTTAGATATACTCAGAACGATTTCCAAACACTCCTTCATCCTCATCCGATCGATCCAAGGCTTTGTACCTTCTTCCCTATTCGAATAGATTGTAATTTAATTGCCCTACAGGGCATGCATCACTTATGGGTATACGAGTATTTCTGGAGAATCAGAAAAGAGAAGTCTATCAGAAGCTTCTCCTAAAAGATCTATGGAGACCTTTTAATCTATCAAAATTGAATAGTTTGGTACGGAACAGATGGAACATCTGTTTGTGGATTGATTGTGATCCACTTCCCGGTAATTATCTCCCATCCATGACTTGCATCTAAAAGCATCTCGAATACTACTAGGTCTTTGTACCGTTCGAAGGGCTAATCGCTAATCTCTGACCCTTTTAGCTAGGTAGATGGGTAGTTGTTTTCGGAGGAGGATGGTTGTCTGGTTGTGTGAAAGTATGGAATGCCCGATGGATCGAGGAGTTCGTACTCGATTACATTTTATGGTTTGGATTATATTTGACATAAATCTGCAGAGATCAAGTGAACCAGCTCACCACTGCAAGAGACTGTGCAAATCGTCCCACATAAACCAACGAAAAGTCGACGATGCATGAATATAATTCTGATCATATTTTGATGGTGATCAAGTCCAATCTGATATTGAGAAATGCACCGAGTTCTACCACCGAACTTCCGACGGACGGAATACTATCATCATGAAAGCGGTTGTAAATTAGTTGAGCACGGAGTAGTTGGATGAAGTAGCTCACCAGTCGAATGAATATGTTCAGGCCTTCATTTGACATTTCTATACTTAGTAAACTTCCAATAGCTTCTAGCTAGCCAATAATAAACGCCGACTTCCATCCCGGGGCCAATAAAGGGAGGATATCCAGTAGTTTGGGTGTTTAAGTTATCGCTGTACGTGAAAATTATACTCTGTAACATACTGTCACTCCTGTGATGTGATACCCTCTGAACCGCCCCATTTGCATCCCATCCCAATGGCTCCGAGCATGAATAGAAATCATTTCGTGACATCCTTCAAGGGTTATTCAAGGTTCGGATGATATACAGCGTAGAACCACTGGTGAGCCAACTCCTTCAAGATATCATGCTTCACAACATTTGAACTCAACATAATCGATAATCGGGGCCACCAATTTTGGTGTCACTACCAATCCCAAGCAAACAGGTTCTTTCGGATCCTTACCTTTGGCTTTGCTAGAGTACAGACCCGACAAATACCCTAAACTTTCTCTCTTGTCCTCTAGATCTTGTTCTGTATATCTTATCTATATCGGGGACTTGACATATATCCAGTATTGATCCAAATGAGGGGATGGATGAAATAGTATAAGGACGAAAGTATAAAATCAAGAAGGAAAAGGCAAAAGGCAAATCTAAAATATTTCGGATAGTTTATATTCTCCCAGTAGATATTTGAGCGTAAATCTCGTAGCATCCGTCGATCCAAGGAGATGGAATCGAAGACAAATGGAAAAACCTGTTTGGATGTGTTGATATCAACCCAGTCAGGACTGTATTCATCATTTTCACACACCAGTTATCGACTTGGATCCTTTTACCTCCTGGGTACGTGCGACCAGGATACTTCAATGATAGAGAAATCAAACTCCTTTATTTATATTGTACTATATTGTTGAAACTTGAATCCCAGAGAGGAAATCCAGCAAAACCATTCCATTCGTCTCATTGATTAATTGCCATTTACTTTCATCCCCATTCGCAGAGTCGAACCTTTTTCTTCCCCTTCCCCTTCATTTTATGATCATTTGAACCGATGGGTGGATGATGAATGGGAATGGTGATGGTTTTTAGTGCCTAGCAGAGCAGCTAATCCAATTAAAGTTTAGCTTACGAAGCAGTTGCTTTCTGCCTCTCCCAAGTTAATAAATCATTAAAGCAGATTTCTCCCCCTTCCATTCGACTCCCAATCATTCCCAAGAAAGTCTTTCCCCTTCCTTCATTCCTCTACTCATCTCACAACCCATAACCTCGCCCACGTCAAGCACAAACCCCCAAAAATAAAAATAACCTCAAGTACCTGCCTCTTCTTGACACTTTCGAAGCTTTCATTCTTTTTTCCTTCAACATAATGTCCAAGGCAGAACTATAAAATATTCTTCCACCTTACAATACCTCCAAATACAATAGCACCCAATCAAGTTCTTGTCGCAATCTCCCCACAGTAAGGAGAAACCTCCCACGTTACGAAATATACCTACGGGACCATCAGAATTATCATTCAACCACCTCCCGCAACGCAAATAATCTTGACAAACCACAACATATCTTTAAATTTTGATACAACCCTCGATCTACTCATACACATATCCCGCGAACAAATATTCCCCCTTGGTTTGGTGCTAGCTATCACCCACCACCCAGACCTCTCTGTTTTAACAAAAAACTTTGGTTATTGTGCGGACATTGGAGATTAAAGCTTTGACAAGCGTGCCACCGGCTCCTTGCATCACAACAACAAACTTTTCATTTCTGTTTCTTCTCAAACTCAAAACTCTCTGCCGCTCATGATGAGTCAACAGTATTCCGAGATGTTCCAGGACTACCCGCCGAATCGATCACCAGCGTCGAGTCGAGCTTATGGCAATATGACGCTTAATCGCCAAACGTCGCGACAATTTATGGATAATTATCAGGCACCTCTTCAAAATGGGGGAGGCCTTTACACGTCTGATGAAGCTTCGCAATATAACGGAAATCAACCTGGCTACAGAGGTCCTACTAGCAACGTTAACTATGCCTACGAGAGTCAGACATGGAACTATGGAGGTGCAAATGGAGCTAGCACAATGGGAGCAGCCGGTCGGATGAGACCTCAACAACAAGCTCGCAGAGCTGAAATCCCATCTGTATGTTACCCCTTTTTTTTTTTTACCTTTTCTTGTTCAACACTTTTTGCGCGCTCCTGAATTGAACTGACATTTTATAGACCTGGATGAATTCAGGCAACCCTTCCCTCGGTGGTCCTATTACCCAAACAAGCTTGCAGCAACATAATAGTTTGCCTGGCATGTTTGACCAACCTCAACATTCCCATCGTTCACCACCACCTCCAAATCAGCAGAGCGATCACGAAGAGCTTATTCCAACCGCCATCGTTATCAAGAACATCCCTTTCGCTGTTAAGAAAGAACAATTGACAGAAATGATGTCTAACATGGGATTACCATTGCCATATGCCTTTAATTACCACTTTGATAATGGCGTTTTCAGGGGGTTGGCATTCGCTAACTTCACCGATGCTCGCGAAACGCAACAAGTCATCGATGCATTAAACCATATGGACTTGCAAGGGCGAAAGCTCAGAGTTGAGTATAAAAAGATGCTTCCAGCAGCGGAGCGCGATCGAATTGAACGCGATAAGAGAGAAAGACGAGGTCAACTAGAGGAGCAACATCGTGCACCAAACATGATTTCCACAGGCTCCCTTCATACTGCGGGATCTATGACTTCGATGAATTCTGGCTTAAGAACAACATCCCCTTCGCCAGTAAACATGCGTCAAAATGTTGTCACACCTAACAGTAACACCGCAGGTAAGTACCAATTTTGCTCTCGCGCAAATCACTGAACTAACATTCTTGTTGCAGAATATGATCTGAATGATCCCACGACATTAGGCTATTACACTGAGCTTCTTCTCTTCAAGAATGATCCTGAGAGGGAAGCTTATACGTTCGCACCCACGGTTTCTCCCGCGGATCGTAGAATTATTCACACTTTGGCACATAACATGGGACTAGACCACCATTCGCAAGGACACGGAGAGCTGCGTCAAGTGCAAATAATCAAGACCAAGCATGCCAGCCCACCTTTGAATCAAATCCAAGCTGGATATTATAATGAATCCCAACGCCGTGGACTTAACCGAGCTGCAACAATCGACTTCAGCGAACAACGAGCCAATGATGCTGCTTACCAAATGCACACACTCGGCCGACAAGGTTCCGGCCTTCTGGATATTCCAGGTTCCCCAGGGGTACGTGACCTAATTAATGGTGGTCAAAGTCTACGAGCCGCGAAATCCTTCGCCGACCTGCGCTCTTATTCGCCGTCACCTGTGCCATCGTCAGCGAGCTTCCCAGCTAATTTGAGCCAGAACATCGCCAGATTCCAAGGCAATGATTACGGTCTCGGATCGGTTACAGGCGGAACTCCCAACTTGACACCTACATCAGCAGGTCCATTAGGTCTTAGGGAGGACGCATTCCTTGCCAACGGCATAAGTAACATGTCACTTGGATATGATCGTCAACCCCGTTCAACCGTACCTGGTCGTATTGGCCAGGAGAGAGATAGTTACACATCAAATGCTGGTCCTATTGGAAGCCAGCGTCCAGTCAATGGAAACCTCGAAGACAGCTCGAGAAGCACTTCCGCTGCAGTTCCGGAGAGACAACCAAGAGGTCCTACCAGTGACCAATGGAGTTCTGGATTTTCCCGCAATAGACAGAGCGGCCATGCGAGCAAAGGCAGTGATGGTAAGTTGTGGAAACCAGCATTGAAGTATTTCAAGCTAACTAAATGGCAGATTCATCCGAGCGAAACGGCTTCACCTCCGCTTCTCGATTTATGTAATACTCTTGAAGAGATTTACGACGTTATGAACATTAGAGCTACTGACGCGTTCTACGTATTAAAACGTCACATTACTGGCAGCGATATTTAGTTTGTCGTGCCCGCGGAGCTCATTCTCTTTCATGCAATCTTTTTCAGAGCCTTCGATTGCCTTCAATAGGCTTGTCAACTCGGCTCTTGTTACTGTAATTACATTTGTGACCTCGATTTCTCATCTGAGAGCACCTGCGCTCTAGACTCGTTTTGTATCGCGGTATATACACGTTTTGCTTAATATTATCACCGATTGGCTTCTGCGAACGACGACATAACGAATCAACCAGGATACCATTAAATCGACAGGGCAACCTTGACGATAACGCTACTATGACTTCCTTCCGGTATCCATCAAAAACAAGGATTCGGATTATTTTAACGTCTTTGGACATCAAATAATAATAAGGGTCTGCCACACCCCCATTTCTACACACGATTGACGATTGTAACGTCCCGTCACGCTATAAAATTATAAAAAAGTACCTTGGTCTAAAGTTCCAGATATCGACTAAACCAACACCAACACCAACATCTACTCGCTGGATCTCGAGTTAAATTGTAGGGCTGACTGAGGGATATGGAATCATTGTACTTTAATTGTTTGCTACTCATGTTGGTCATCAAAGTTTGAAAATTCTTGTACTGTTGTTGCTGGGGCTATTAGTTTGGGAGGGGGATGGGGGATGGGGGAGGTTGGGGTTGAATGCCATGGGTGCATGTCTGATTTCAAGGTGCATTGGATCCAGGTTCTGATTGGATGAAAGAAAGAGTAGGAATCCGATGCACTTTTCGCGCTTATTTGTGCTGCAACTGATATTATCATGTTAACATGGCGTCTGGTGGTGGGGGATAATAGGATATAGGGAAAACAATCACTCATCATCTACTGTTTGAGTTATCATTATGCCATTTGTGACTTTTTCCATTCCCTCATCAAGTGAACTATAGATTCCCCCTTCACCAAAACATTCACTCGGGTTGTGGCTTCTGTTCGCTGCTCGCAGATGTTTGAACGGGAAGTTGAAACATTCCCATGTGATTTGGGATAGACAGGTGGATGAATATTATTGTAGATGTCAAACATTTGAGGTTTGATTTGAGTGGGAATGAAAGTACAGAGTAGTGGTATATGATGTATGATGTTGGAATTGGTGGGATAGAGTAAGGGTAGATTATAAATTTGAGATCGCTTTTTAATTGGCCGTTCGACTCTCATTCAGCTGAACGCTAGATTGTCTGCCTCATATATTAGGTATGTAGACCAAGCTCCAAGCTCAAGCTCCATAGAAATTTACCTTAGACGAAGTCAAATAATTTATCAACATCTTTCCATCTCACTTATCAAGGCCTCATTAATTTGCTGGTCTTGCCATTTCCTTTCAATATCCAAACATGTCATCACTTTATAATCTCGAGCCTCAACCTACCGCTTCATGTATTCTCCATACCACCTCCGGCGATATCTCTCTCGAGCTTTGGGCGCAACAAGTCCCCTTAGCATGTCGTAATTTTCTGCAACATTGTCTTGATGGTTACTATGACAATACTATCTTTCATCGATTGGTACCGGGCTTCATTCTACAAGGTGGTGATCCTACTGGTACTGGATCCGGTGGAGAATCTATCTATGATGGCGGCGAATTTTCAGAAGAAAATGGTATATGGCCTATGGAAGAGCGAAAAGGCCAAAATGCGGGACCGAGAGGAGTGGGATTTAAGGATGAATTTCATAGTAGGATAAAGTACAATAGGAGAGGATTGTTGGGTATGGCAAATGAAGGGAGGGATACGAATGGGAGTCAGTTTTTTCTGACTTTGGGTGACACTCCGGAGTTGACGGGGAAGAATACTCTGTTTGGTCGTGTGGAGGGAGAAACGATTTACAACTTGGCGAGGATGGGAGAGGCGGAGTGTGGTGATGGGGAGAGACCGTTGTATCCTACGAAAATTACAGGGGTGGAAATTTTGGTTAATCCGTTTAAGGATATGGTTAGGAGGGAGAGGGTCGCAAAAATTGCGATGCCTGAGAAGAAGGCTCCGGAGAAAAAAAAGAAGCGGAAGGCTGGAAAACAATTGTTGAGTTTCGGGGACGATGGGGAGGAGGGTGTGGAGGAACCGGTGGTTAAGAAAAAGGCGAAGTTTGATACGAGGATTGTAATGGATGATGAAAATCTAGATATTGAACCCGAACCAGAACTCAAGGCCAAACCCGCGTCGAAAAAGAAAGCACCAAAATCACGATCATCAGAATCTCCTAAATCATCGCCAGAACCAGAAGAGAGAGCAGCTCCTAAATCTCTGCCTAATAGAGCCGCAAAATTTGATCGAGATATTTCCTCCTCTCCAGAACCTCAAGTCCAAAAGGTAACGTCTTTGCTAGATCGAACAAATGCACAAATTGCAGAACTCAAAGCATCCATGAAACGAAACGTTCAAACAGCCTCTGAGCCTGAAAAGAAGAAATCTGCGTTGGAAGCAATGATACCAGCAACATCTGTCCGCGGACGAAAACGTAATGCGAATGGAAAGTCAAATACAAGTAACGATCAAGCATCCCTAGATATCCTACGAGCATTTCGAGAAAAGTTAGAAGCTGCCCCGCCTGAAAAAGAAGTGGCTAAACCTGCATCACACGAAGATGCTGAAGCCAAGCCCGGTGAAAATGGAACAGCCGATGACGAAGAAGCTGCATTATGTGATTTACACTTCATCGCGAATTGTCAGTCTTGTCAATCATGGGAAGTGCAAGGGGAAGAAGAAGAGGACGACGATTTTAATGATAAGGGATGGATGTCACATGCGTTAAGTTTCAAGGAAGATAAATTAGGCAAGGATCTTAGTTATAGGAAGAAAGCCGAGGAGGAGTTAGTGGTTATTGATCCTAGAGAGAAAGCTAAAACGCTGAAGGAGGAAATGAAGGCGAAGAGGGAAGCGAAGGCTGGAGGTTCAACGGGGAGGGAATGGGATATTAAGAGGAATGAGAAATTGGCGAGGGGATCGGCGTTGGCGGGGAGAGGAGCTAAATAGTTGATTGGGATTGGGAGTTGTTTGGTGGGCGTTGCTTTGATACCCGGAGTAGTAAGTGAGAGGTTTAATGGCGATGATGATGAGAGATGTGATCCATGGGTATATGATCCATACCTTAGCCTCCGGAGTAGTAGAGCGGGAAAATGCTGTCGGTTATGATAGGAGAGTTGGAATTAATTATAGTATATCCTCCTTTCCATGCGCCACCCAGTGTGTTTGGCGGATTTGCAATTGGGTGTGTGGATTTTGAGGTTGAGGCTGAGATTAATCGCAGGGTGTTGATTGTTATCTACTTGGTTAATCGGTGATGGGTGTTGGGTTGTTACGTTGTTAGGGGAGTTGTGGGTTGTGGGTTGTGAATAGTAGATAGTAGATAGTTGTCAATATCTAGATATCAGAGAGATAGATTATGAGATGAAATTTAAAGTCTCGCTCGGGTGTTCAACGGCAACTCCCGTAAACTGTCAGCCTTGCATTTATTAGTCATCATTATCATCATCAGATTTTATCGACGAATGCAACTGGTGGTCGACCTTTCCTTGCCTACTCAGTTTTTGAAACCGGACATATTTCCGGAGGTGTACCAATATTTTCATAAATAATAACAAATATTTCATAAAATTTTCATACCTACAAAACATTTGATGATGAACAAAAATCTCAAATTACCAATTACCAATTATCATAATTCTCAAATTCCCATTCAATGGATTTCTGACGTTCAAATATCCAGACATAGCAGTAAAAGTCTCAATTTCAATCGCCCACAATCAAAAGAGAAGGAAGAATATAAAAGAACAATAAACATTTCAAAAACTTTCCCAAACACACAACGAAGAAGATTATCAACCTTTTGCATCATACATAACCCCACTCCACCCACTACTTTCCATCATCGACCCCCTTCAACCTTTGTTAGGAACAAGAAGTTATTCTAAAGAATCATCTCAACACATCCACCATTGATTGACTCATATCTTCCGACCAGACCTTTGATCCCCGCGTTCCAGCATTTATAGATATCTTCTTTCCATCCTGCACATTTCCATCCATCTACTCATCGCCGAGCCACTACCAGAATCTCCCGCGACAATCGCAAGAGGGCAAACATTTTCCACCATAGACTTGTCATTTGATCTTCGAGTTTGGCGTCGCATTTTTAATTTGATTGCAGAGGCTAGGGAGGCTGCAGGTAGCCTCGACTTTGGACCCGTGTTATCGTTTTTCTACGGTAGTAAGATACGGCTGGACGATTTCCTTCCCTACATACCCAAACGACCTCTTCTTCTACTCTCGCATACACATACACCATCTGTAAAGATCAGTTCCACGCCAGATCGCGCAGAAGTTCATCGAATGTATTCTCACATGCCTTCAACAAATCCGAGAAAAAGAGCTGCACCGGGAGCCTCGTCGACTGTTCAGACGCCGCAAATGCCACAGACGTACAATGCAGGTAGCCAGCTACCTAATGCAGACTTCCTGCGCTGGAATCAAAACCCCGATACTCAAAATTTTGCGGATCCAACATCAAACAATTATCTGAATATTTTCGGAGCAAATGGTCTGCCGCAGACGACCACTGGTTTTGACCATCCCATTAACACGCAACCTCATTCTACACAATTGGCTCGCAGACCAAATATCAATAATAATCGCCAACTTGTCGCGCAACGGACGTACGATAATACGGGTGATCCTTGGCCGTACGGAGATGATACCATAATGGATTCACAGAATGGACATGGGCCGAATGGAGAAAATGATGATATTGAGGCTTTGGAGGAAAAGGCCGCGGTTGCGAAGAGAGATGCTCAGTCAAAGCGAAAGCAAATTCCTCCATTTGTACAGAAGCTAAGCAGGTAAATCCCCCTCCTTTCAATCTCATATCAGGATTGTTTGCTAACCTTCTTTAATAGTTTTCTTGATGAATCGAAGAATACCGAACTCATACGATGGTCCGATCGAGGCGATTCATTTGTGGTGTTGGATGAAGATGAGTTTGCGAAAACTTTGATACCGGAACTATTCAAGCATAACAATTATGCCTCATTCGTTCGACAACTTAACATGTATGGCTTCCATAAGAGAGTGGGACTTTCCGACAATTCCATGAAGGCGAGCGAAAGAAAGAACAAGAGCCCTAGTGAATATTACAACCCTTACTTCAAGCGTGGACATCCAAATCTTTTGTGGCTCATTAATAAACCAAAGGGTGGGACAAACAAGATTAGGAAGGGACAGCCTGGAAGAGGAAAACCCGAGGAGATGGTAGATGGAGAAAGTGATGATGATGCAAGAGAGATTGAGGATTTTGGACCGAATAATTATCCCCACAATGCAACCACAAGTCGAGCGATATCAGTTGCGCCAGAATCTGGTCCATTACAACGACGAGAGATAGCTTTGGTACTCTCCGATATTCAAAAGCAACAAGGTGCCATTTCACAGGCCATCACACGTCTGAGAAAAGATCATAATCAAGTCTATCAGCAAGCTATCGCTTTTCAAAGTCTTCATGAACGTCATGAAAGTTCGATCAATGCTATTCTTACATTTCTCGCTACTGTTTATAACAGGAGTTTGGATGGACAAGGAGCTGAAAATATTACTCGAATGTTTCAGGCTGGTTTGAATCAACAAGGTCAACATCAGCAACAAGGCAATGTTGTGGATATTGGTGATTTAGGGACTTCTCAGCAACAGCAACCTCCTGGGAGTGGTAGTCCGGCTCTACGAAAAGCACAAAAATTATTGACAGCAGGACCGACGGATCTAGAAAATAGTCACGTTTCCGAACCCTCACCGGCCGCTTCCAGTCCAAGAAACCAATACTCCACACCACGTTCTGGAACCGTTGAAGAACTTTTCGAATCTCCTAGTGATACCACGACAACGAAAACCGAACCACAGAGGGATATGTTAAATCTGATCAATAGCGCCAATGCACAAACTCGATCTGATAATAATGCCATGGAATTCCCGGATATGCTGACTCATTATGAAAATGCAAACGGCAATTCCCCGCTTACTTCGGAACAACGGAGCAACATGCTCAATATTATCGCTAGCACTTCTTCCGCCCCAGGTTCCAATAATGCACTGGTTAGCCCGGCACCTCAAGCTCCTCATTTAGCACAAATGGCCTATACGCAGAGTGAAATCGATGACTTGATGAGGTTACAACATCAACAAAGTGATCGCATCGCGAATCTCTCTACAGTCCTTCAACCTCTCAGTCCATCTGGTTCAATTCCTGGTGTTCAAGGTGATTCATATTTTAACGGTACTGATTCTATTGATCCTCATAATTCAAATCTAGACTTGGATCAATTTTTGGATTCGGGTGCATTTTATGGTGCGAGTAGTCCAGTGAATCCGAATTTTAATTTTGATGATTTTGGGAATGGTGTGGATGGAAATGGATTTGGTGGTGGAGAAAGTCAATTTGATGCGAGTCTGGATGGTGTAACTGATGGTAATGGAAGTGGGAGTGGAAGTGGAATGGGTAGGGTTTTGGAGACTGTGGCTAGTAGTGAGACGGCGAGTCCAGCGGATGAAGGTCATGGGATAGTTGATGGGAAGGGAAATGGAATAAGTAGTGGGAATAGTACTGGGAATGTGAATGATGATCTTACGAGTAATAAGCGGAGGCGGAAAGCTTGAGGCATAAGAGCAGAGAATAGTAGCGAAAATTATGGGATGGGGTGGTATGTTGAGATTGGGTGTCAAGGGCGTTTTTTCTCTAGGAAATGGGAGGGATGGATGCATGGACGCATGGGTGGTGGGTTGATCAATTGATCAAGATCAAGAGTGATTGATAGTTGTGAATATTTACTAGGAATTTTAGCTGGCTATACTATACATATGTTATTGTTTTGTTGGCCCGTGGAGTTTGTGCTTATCTGTTCGTTCTATCTATCTATCTATCAGTCTGTCAATGAGTTAGTCAGTCAGTTAGTTAGTCAGTCAGTCAATCAGCCTGTCAGTTTAACTTATTTGAATGTAAATGAAATGCTAGGGTTTATATTGAAGGGTTGAAGGGTTGAAGGGTTGGACAGTTGGAGTGATGTGAGATGGATGAGATGGATGTAAATTGAGAAAGTATGAAAACAAGTAAATCAAATAAAGGATTGAGGAAGGAAATGTAACGATCTGGTTGAGGCAGCGGCTGCCTTAGGTTTCGTATGGTTGGTAGTTGTAGGTTAAGGCTAATAATCACTGGTTATCCACTCGAAGGTGAATACGTTACTAGATCCATCGGAATGTAGGTAAACTAATTGATAACTAAGTTGAGCACGAAGCTCCTAAACTATGAAACTATTCTGACTATATACTAATCTCTTCCTTGCATGCTAGCTTTGCTAGCTAGCTAGCAGAGCTAGCACATCACGTGATTGATCCTGAGGCCTCTCATATCCTAAGGCCTTTCCTTTCCTGGAACACTTGTCCCAGGAGCTTTCCCTCCAGGAACTATAGCCCTAGGATACGATATCCTCTAGAATGATAGTCCCATTACAACCAATTAGATAGGACACTTGTCTTATTCTACTATGGTTGCCTAGGATACTTATCCTAGGAATCCTGGGGTCCTAGGCTTAGGTAATCAGGACCCCCGAAAGCAACGGTTAAATCACACCCCCCTGTAGTCGGCATATAAATCACCGACATCAATAATACTACTATAATCAAAACCGTGAATTGTGACAGGAAAGAAGGAAAGAAGAAAAGAGAAGAAAATGAAAAAGTTTTTTATATTTATATTATATTTGTTATTATTATTATTATTTTTATTTTTGGTTTTTAAACAAAGAGGGTTTTGAAGAGGGAAAGAATTGAGAATGAGAGTTATTTGATAATATATATAGTATATATAATTATAAAGATGAGAATGAAGATAAAAAAATTTAAAAAAAAAAAAAAAATAAATTTTTTTTTTTTGAATAGATTATTAATAAGTGTATAGATTTATAATTCAATGTGTAAAAAAATTATAAAATCATATCAAAAATTAGTTATTTTAAAATTAAATTAAAATTAAAATTTAAAAATAACAATAATTAAATATCAAAATATATTATATTTAAAAATTATTCAAGAAATAAAAATTTTGAAAATAAAAAATAAAATCTTATTTTTCTTTATTAAAATTTTTAATAAGAGAAAAAAATAAATTAATTTATATTTATTATTTTAAATTTCATATTTTATATATTCTTTTTGAATATTTGAGTTTTAATTGAATTCTAAAAATGTTGATTTTTGATGTGATTTTGTAGTTTATTTATAGATTGGATTATAAGTTTGTATATCTATTAATAAATAAATAAAATAAATTAATTGAGATTAATAAAGGATTAATAAAGGATTATATTATATTATTTGTTTTGCTTTGGCTTTTGATAAGGGGAGGAGGAAGGGGTTGTAAAGAGGGAAGAGGGATTTGTTACGACCACGGATCTTATACTAACCGATCGTGTGCTTACGAGATACGAATTGATCGATTTAGTGTGGGATTAAGGTGGTGTGAGGAACAAATATGCATAGGCCCTGTTAACCTTAGATCCAGTTCGATAACAATTGCAGAATTATATGATTAGAGGATCATATGATGGAGCATTGGAGATTCGAAGGCTCCTACGGCTCCTAGGTACGAGATCCATATAGCCAGGAAGGATTCCTTATTGTAGAGCTTTGTGCTCAAGATCAATCATTTAGTATCCTCTACTATTAGTTACGAATTGCAACCATTGATATTACCTTAAAGCCCCTGCTTGACGCCTAGTTATAAACCCTTCGAGGATCCAGGCCACTTCCACGTGATCTAGATCGCAACCCTCGTAACAGGATTGTGAATATTTATATCTAGATATTAAGTAAGTCTAGTACTTTACTTTTGAATTATTTTCTCTTTTAAATTATTCTTTTATATCAAAAACTATGATTTTTATTTATTGATAATTTTATAATAAATTAATATACTTAAATAATATTTGAATTATATATTCTTTATATAAAGATTAATAAAATTATTATTTTTGATATTGAAAAAATAGTTCAAAAGAGAGATGATTTAAAAATAAAATATTAATTTATATGTAAATAATTCTTTGAATATCTAATATAAAGAAGCAGAAACAATTATAGATGTTGATTTATATTGATGTTTATATGAATATTTATATAATTATTATAAGTGTTAATGAAAATGAGATTGTTATTCCTAAGAAACGACGGGTGTATGAATGAGTATCTTTATACCGGTAATCCGCTTCAATCTGACCTTTCATACACGTTTCAATACGGGTGATTAGATAGTCTGAATGATGTATTGAAAACCTCAAAGGAAGCTCTTATATGTTTGACTGACTTATAGCATCCTGGATGGTGGTTCTTGAGGTTATTAATATGCTTCCAGGACTTAGACTTGAGCCAGAAAAATTTGAGACATGGCCAGAGAACAGCGTGATAATGAGAAATCAATACCGCTGCTACTCCAAGTCATGGTACTTCCCTTCACCTGCAAAAGGAATAGATTTGCACATTAAAAATCATTGAAATTCGGCACTGACTCATACAAGTTTTTAGATTCAATGCACTCCTCATTGCAAAACCAAGAAATTTAAACAAATAATAAGAATTAAAAATAAAAGATTATACACATCTTCTATAGACCAACAACTCATACTGTTCTTGGGAGTCCCGAACTGTAGATTGATGCTTATACGTTATCAACCATAACAGGAAGGATAAATGATACTCATTCTGAGCAAGACCCAAAGAATCCGAATCAAGATCTCGTCCTTTCTCAATTTAGACATTATATTCTTGCAAGTATTTGCGACGACCTGATGAGCTTGCCAAGTATCATGCAGCATGCGATTATTCCCTCCGTAAGCCCGTAGATTCATAGCCTTGTAAGATACTACTAATGACTTAATCTGACATGCCAAGTTCCGCTTGGAATATTACTTTCCGTGAAGTGGCTACCGCCTGCCTAATGGGAATGCGGTCAATTCTTTTAAATCCGAATGATATAACTTCAATTCCTGCAGGCCAGATAATCAAGAGTGTCCTCGAGTAGCTAATAATTTATGCCTGACAATTGCTCCTTTCAAGCTCCAAAGTTGGCAGAGCACCAACGACGTACAATCCTGTATTGTTGTAAGAGAATCCCCCGCATGCAATCGTGTAACGTGGGGTGTAAGAAAGTAGGCATATGAATTTCTAATTTCTCGTGATTCCTGCCTATAATCTGAACTATGAACCGCTGCTCGAGTATTTGCAGCAGAATCACGAAGGACCGTACAGGAATGACCAGTGGATTTATCTTGTATTTCAATGTTAATAATTGTAATGGATGATTTAATGCGCAAAATCATTTGGTGACACTTACAAGCCCTCGAATATTGTTAACCACGATAGAAGATTGACAGCGGGACATATCTCTTGTGGGAACTCGGCGATTGTCAGTGTACGTCCATTATAGGAATCGCCCCGGTGAATAAGGTGCTTATTCCTTCACCAAATGTTCTGCGCTGTACTACCATAACAATGAGAAGTTTGGACATACAAATTAGTACTTTCGTGATTCGTCATTAGATGTTCGGGAATGAATGAGAGGTATGTTTCGTAATGTAAGTCTTACCAAGGAATTTCCCCATTTTTCATAGTACAGAAAATGACATCAGATTTGAACCTCGGTCACTCGTGCAACGTTGAATGGTCTATTTGATCTGGAACATGAGCGAGAAAAAGTATATCGGACGATATATAAGAAAGTATCGTGACCGGGTGGTTTCACCAATCTTTTTTGTACCACTCCGGCCAGTTATAAATAGATCTTACTGTATTATCAGTCGTCTCAATTAGCCTATTACTATCAGTAACAACTCGAAGAAGTCATTTTCATTCATGCCAATATCAATTTGACCTAGTGTAAGATATTGATGAGGGCGCCGATCTTTGGTGGAAAAGGGGTTTGAGCTCAATGTACGCGAGATTTGCAGTTTTGACTATATATATATATATATACCTGATGCTTGACCATAAAACAGATGATTGCAGGATCAAGCTCGAAACTTATCAATATGAAAATGCTTTTGTGATATCGTCCTTTTGAGAGGATTTTAGGAAAGGCGACTCAAAGAACTCAAAGAACTCAAAGTTCGCAATATGGTCCGAGCCGTTAAGCTTCTGGCGGATGAAACCGACGAGTTGCGGGGATGATGGTAATTTAGATAAAGGAAAGTGATCATCTCAATAATGCAAATGTCCATTCTTAGGACAACCAAAAATGGTCTGTAATACGGCATAACATAGCTCCATGTATATGGCTCATCTCACCGGTTACTGAAATAGCATGGCGAGTTGATGGGCAGGGTTCAAGGTTTTAGGAGTAAAACGTGATAGTACAGCCCGGAAAAATGGGGAAATGGAGAAATGGATTAAACTCCGAATATTGCATGCATATTGCCTTGCATATCGAATTGGTTGTCTACTATAAAGCATAATCATGGCGTGGCAGATTTATAGCCGTTATATTTGTTAAGATTAGAAGAGTCTCGCTAGATATATTAGTCGGGAATTAAGAGGGAGAGAGGTATGTTTCACTCAAAGACCTTTGCTGCTTTCTCCAACTTTGTGTCAGTCATAACCTTAAATCACAAGTCTGGATAACTCACTGCAAGCTTGATTAGACTGTTCTTTCATCTTTCACTAAGACCTATGATCATTATTTCAACGTCAGGAAATGCTGGACCCCTGCCTATCAAGCATGGTTCTGCATGCGCCCGCACAGTACCCGTTTTTGGAACAGTAATCCCGGCTTGTTCAAGACGAACGCAGTATGAAGCCCGATATATATACCATAATGATGAGTCCCAAAATCTGACTTGCGGATGCCCAGCCTTCCGGCCATGCAACGCATCTGGTCAGTAAATTAGTGATTAATCATTTATTTCTTGCCGTGACCCGACTTGATTGTAAGACAGGAAGTATATGAGCTGTCAAAGGAACAATATGCGGAAAACCCAACTCTCATTTGAACATGCTCGTAAGTTTAGCCAGCCTGCACTCTCAACGACGCCTCTATATGACGCCATCCCCGGAACTAGTTAATTGTATGCCCTTCAAAAAACAACACGAATATATGGGAATTTTCGAAGTATATCCAGTACTTATATATTTAATTGGCTGGTCCTCAACACTCGCTCATCCCCTCGCAAAAATGGTTGGAACTTCAAAAAAGCCGTTCATAAACAAAGAGGTCCCTAAACGTTCACGAGCATTCAGTACAAGAGCTAAGACAGGTTGCAAAACTTGCAAGTGAGTCAATAACCATATGTTCTTTTTTTGCCTCGAACATTTTCCGATAAGTCATGTTATGCTTCTGATAGATGGATCTTGCATAATCCTCAATAACAATCATGTTTATGGCTCGCAATCTTCCGGGAGAAACTATGGTTGACTTGGCTGTTTTCATTTCTTCAAGGACAATTATCGTACCTGAACCGGCCAACTGACGTCTCTTTTATAGAGTTCGGCATGTGAAATGCGACGAAGGAAGACCTGGATGTAGGAAATGTTTTCAGACGGGTAGAAAATGTGACGGCTATGCCCACTGTGCTCCTGCTCCGAATCCTAAATCAAGTACAATTTCATCTGCTATGGTCTCGAATTCTTTCAACGGTATCACATATCAAACAGCTCCGACAATTCCTGACTTCCTATCCCCATCGCTATCTGTTAGTGACCGGGAGCAGCACTCTTTCAACTTTTTCCACACACGAAGTGCACCTCAACTAGGCAGTTGTTTCGGCTCGAAATTTTGGAACCATTTTGTTCTACAGGCCTCTCACCATGAGCCGGCAGTTCGACATGCCGCTATTGCCCTAGGGTCTTTGCATGAGAGGTTCGAGTTGGAGGACAAATTCCTCTCCAAGGTGACCGGTGATACTGAAGAGAATTCCTTTGCTTTAAAACAGTATGTAAGAGCCATAAGTTGCCTGGTGCAGCCGAATATGTCTGTAAACACCAAGCATACATGTAAATCGGCGAATGTGGCGTTAACGGCTTGCATTTTATTCATATGCTTCGAGGTAAGTGTCATCGGGATAATCAATAATATGTTTCAGTCGTTGGATACTAACTAATGGTGAATCTGAAGACTTTACGAGGGCACCACGACTCTGCTCTCGCACACATTGATGGTGGAGTAAAGATTTTCTCAGAACTACAAGTATCAGGAGAACCAAAAGCTATCCCAATAGAAGACCCTCCTGAAGATCACATTCCCGTCTCGATTTTTCGTGTGCTATTCAGCCGGCTTGATACGCAAGCCTCGGTTTTGAACTCAAGGGCACGCATAATTGATGGCGGATCTGACTCGTTACCGAACTCTATTCCTGACAAATTTCTGAACGTTGAGCAAGCGCGTGAGGCGTTGGAATCGATTTGGACATTCGGCGGAAGAAACCTCCTATCCTGTTCCATGTACAATGGTGTCCCCCTTCCACTACCTACTAGCAAGGAAGCTAAAATTCTGCTGTTATCTCGCCTCGAAAGCTGGAACCGAATATTTGAGTTATATTCATGCACCACAAACAAAACTAATTGTATCAGATCAGCCAATCCAATGGAGAAGAGAGCGAGGAGCCTGCTCCGCATGCACAAAACGATGACACAAATATTGGTCACAACTTCCACAACTTATCCTATAGCATCCAAAGAACCAAATGAGCTATTGTGGGATAAATTCCAGTTAGAATTCGAAGCGATGGTGAGATGGGCCTCCGAATTTATCTACATGCCACCCAATCTCCGAAGGGAAGGTCGCAAAGCAGCAAGTTTTACACTGGACAATGAAATACTCCAGCCATTGTTCCTGGTAGCCACAAAATGCCGACATAGGAGCATAAGAAACAAAGCCATCCTATTATTGAAACAAGCTGATAGACAAGAAGGTCTGTGGAATAGTCTTTTGAGTGCAAAAGTAGCCGAGAGAATTCGAGATATTGAAGAAGCTGGTCTGAGTGAAGGAATGGAGATAATTCCAGAATCCAACCGCCTAAGGATTATTACTATGAAGTTTGAATTTGACGGCTGTCATGGCAGAAGAGCATGGCTTGCATATCTGTCTCCCTCCATGTATGAGAGCGGAGAATGGGTTCAACTTTACGAAGGTGATACGCCATCTGAGACTGTCTAAACAATGAGTGGTTGGACATGTTCATTTTTTCAGAGATGATATTCCTGACCTTGGAATGATCAGTAGGAGCATCCCTTGGAAATTCCATGAATATGTAGTATCAAATAAGAATCGCCCTATTTTGCCCTGACTGGAAGTGGAAAGATCCCGACATCGGTGTTCTTCCTAGACTAAAAATCTATGTTAGAGTAGCATGATATAGTAAAGAGAGCATTAAAGAAATGCCTTCAAACTGTCACGTTTATCCACGCAATGCTATTTGACCCAAAAGGCATAACTTTCGTGGAATAGGTCCACATCCACCCAAGATAGCTTGAAGTAAGCTCTGGACGAAACTCGTTATGATCGGAACTTAATTCAGGACAATTCAACCCTGTTGACACCAGCGGCATACTTGGTGTATTCGAGTCGCGGTATGACTCGGATGCAGTGCCGCACTAGAGTGTCAGGGAACTGCAAGCATGTCGATCGATTGATGCCTATTGACAATATCTGATCAAACACTAGGGTGTGTCCTGTGTCCTGCTATAATATTAGTTTCGCAGGACACGGTCGGAGATCACACTTTTTAACTTCCGACATTCTGAGAATTTGATGGACGTGATCGAGGTTACTTGTAAATGTGACCAATCAGCAAATGATAGAGTTATTGACGCCTCCGATTACTGCTACTCTGACAAGTAAGGAATCATGTATGTACATGCACAAGGATAACTAGTAATCTAGCATACAAGCTGCAACAACAGAGATTAATATCCAGTCGTTTAAATGGCATGCTTCAAGATATCGATATGTGCTTCAAGAACATCCAGGTCCCATTGAATTTGCCCAGGATGTGAGGTTAGGGTTTCCGAATCTATAGGGATATAGATATTGAAAGATATAATTTTTTCGACCTGCTCATGATCATACCACCAAATCTAAAATAAAGTTGAAGATTGAAATGTTCATTGAATGTCGACGCTGATAATGATAAAGATAATATACCTTTCGATGTGATAGTCACGTTGTGATGTGATTATATAATAATTGTTTATGTAATCAGTAATTTGGTACGTGAATCCCTCTTCACATAAGTATAGAATATTGTTTCTTGATAATATCTAGGGATTCCAATCCAATGCTTCACATTTTTTGGCCAGTTGGAAATTCGATTCCTAAAAAACCATTTATGTTGAATCATTTTGAAAGCCTCTCGAATCAACAACAGCTAACAGCTTCAGAACTCCTCGCGTCAAGCTCAAATTTCACTCCAGCTTATTTGCAACCTAGGCTCTCTAATTTGATGACTTCGAAACCTTTCTGGAGTCTCGCATTGATCCTAGCAGGAGTCAAGCCCAAATACTCCCACCACACGATTCCTATTATGTCCCGGCCGTTATGCCGGCCCAGGATTCACCTGAGGATCCTTAAACCTGAAGGGCCATACAGCCGGTACTCCATACGATCCACAATCCATAGCCCGCTGTTATCGCTGGTGGAATTCATAGTCGAGATATTTTGTCGCATGGCAATGCAAGATATGGAAGTTTCCTCTTCTCCCTAGTTCTTAGGTTTTTATATCCGCAACAATACTTAACCATCCCGGACCTGGACTATTCCATGACGTGGTATTGCCTTTCCGGGGAAAGATGGAACATAATTTGCGTACATCAGATCACTTCAACCAGTCATTACCACATATACATTAGCCATTGACACTGTACGACTCTCTTCACTATGTGTCATGCATACTGTGCTCTTTGTCATCGCCGACCACTTTTAAGGATGGGGGTATAACAAGGAAAGTTTAAAACCTCCAAACCAAAGATTTTGGCAGCCACACTATGGAGAAGCTGGTAGCAACGTATTGGGACGCGATTGTTCATACTGGAGCAAGGCAGCTGACCACCAACAACCAGGCCCTGGAAACGCATGCTCCTCATTCTCATTTGGTTTAATTTGTTCTTTTTGTTTTTCCCCGAAGCATGTTATTTCCTGGATAAATACCGAGACCAATGAAAACCATGGCATTGAAAAAGATTCTTGTTTGAGAATTTCATCCTTTCATTGGGTAGATTTTTCGTCAGATTAACCAGTAGGGGTCTATCATTCTGGACATCAAATTCAAGAACCATCATTGGAAAACAAGTATCGCAGTGAAAGTTTGGAGAATTAATTGAATCAATCTAAGTTCCCATCCAGGTCCAAACAGTCAAGTCTATTTCAGCCCAAGGTATTTTTTGATATCTACAACTGATAGCTTACATGTTGATCTAGAAGGTCAGCATATGAAATCTAGTGGTCAACTACCCTGAAGCCTGGCCATTCTATACCTTATCCGTCCCATCATCAGATAAAAAATCATAAGACTCTTCAAAATATCATGAACGGCCAACTAGTTGAAGTGAATCTTCAAATGGACAAGGTCTTGATAGGCGTGGGCAAAACAGTATAGCAAAAGAACTCACATCATGCTGACCTGGCGCCATAAGTATGCCAGCAAGCCCTCAAGCCCTTAAGCCCTTGTGTTTTTTCAAAACGTCATCTTCAATTTTCCTTAGTCTCAAGAAAAATTTCTTTGTTCTATCAATGATGTATCACCCGCATTTCCTATACACTTAGTGGGTACAAATTCATGAAAGGAAGGTCACGCCTGATGAACAAAGACTTATCAGCAACAAATGAGAGGGCCTTGATGAATGATTGTGAATGAAACAATTGCACGAAGTACACCTTAAACCTCATCCGTAGAGACAATTGTATCCTATGCAATTGCTCGTTGGCGCAAGATCCATTTTTTTTCTTCTCATTTTCCAATGCAATTTCACCTCAACTCTTGATATGCGAAGTAGGATTACCATCTGAATTGATTGACCTTTTTGAACCTCGCTATTGACGTTTTCGTCCATACCTCGGTCTATTCTATCTCACCAGTACCACGGGAATCTTTTCAAAGAACGAACGCCACATCGACGGAATGTTTGACTGAGGATCTCAATTCTTTTCTGAGGAGAATTGCCAAGATTATACCTGGAATCTATCTCTATAGCTTCGTTATTCTTTCTTGCTGGCAACGGCGCCGCACTGGTGTTGATCGGATCCCTCCGACTCACATGAACAACTGACTAGATTGTTGAAATTGCTTCCTAATATCAAACAAAGAAACTCAACGTAGATTTCAACACCCAGCCTATCCCATTCCTCAAGAAATTCACACAGTATCGAATCATTGACCGGCAAGCACAACGAAAATATCACGAGGTATGATGGATCGTCGACCACAATGCATAACGGTACCTAGCTATTCCTCTCTCCTAAAAAATGGAACATCTCATCCCTCACCTCTCTCCCCCCTAACCCCACCTCGACGTCTCTACCAACGCAGCCTACTACCCAGCCCACCCATCTCACCACATCTCCTCAGGCCCCTCCCCAATCCCTACCCCTGGATCTGGCGCTGTCACATATGCCACTCAGTCTACCGTCTCGGCGTAACCCGTCGCTGTCGTAAGAATTCCCCACTACTCCCATCATCAAGCCCCAACTAACACCAACCCCCTTAGTCGAAGACGGACATTACTTCTGTTCCCTTCCCACACCACCGCCATCCCCACAAACCCCCTCCCCCATGTCCCCATCCCCATCCCCATCCACCAACTCCCTCACCTCGCTAAACCCTACCCCCAAAAAGAGAAAGAAACGGCGTCGCCAACCCCGCGGCTGCCGCGCGGAATTCGACTACACAGGCTGGGAACACTACAACCAATGGCGACGGGAAACCTCACTCCTAAAATCCGAATCCCGTGCCCAGCACAACCCACACTACATGCCGCCCTTAAAAGTCGGCAAAGACTGCTACCGCGACTGCGATTTTCCCTCGGAATGTCAAACGCTGCACTTACGATCTGCCGCCACATCCAGCACGCGGAAGAAAAGCGAACCGGAATTGATCTACCCCATTTCTCCTATCAGTCCCGAGGAACGTCAACGCATAGATGATGCACGCGAGGATCAACAGTTGATTTTCGATATAGCGGCTACCACACCCCCAGCTACTCGCGCATCTAAAGAAACACACAGCTCTTCTAACCTCATCCCGGTAATTTCCTCCCCGGATCTCAGTATCCTAGTCGAGCGTGAACGACGCAAGAGTCTTGAAGCCGAAAAACGCGGATTAGAACACGAGGCGCAATTTATCGTTAGTCCTTTAACGAGTCATACCGCTTTCGCGGATATGGTCTACGGAAGCAACGGATCTTCAAGTCCGAAGGGGAAAGAACGGGAAGATGAAGGACGAGAAGATTGGGATGAAACAAACACGGATTCATCAGACGAATTTGATCCTTCCGAAATGGATGACTTGGGAAAAGAAGAAACGGAAGAAGATGAGAAGGGATATGTGCGAGAATTTATACGGGTGAAGAAACGGAAGAGTATAGCGAAGATTGAGCAGCTCACGGGATTAAGATTATCCGAGGTGCAGTATGGAAAGATGGTGGGGGAGGTAGTGGATGGAGATTTGGAGGGATCGGGAATAGGAGAGCGAGAGGGAAGTATTAGCCGGAGGCCAAGTGTGGAGATCGAGAGTCCGCCTAGTAGTCCGTTGAAGATGTTTTATACTGTCGAGGATAGTGATGATGAGGATGAAGTAAATGAAGTTACCCCGTGGGATGAACAGAGGAGATTCTACTCTTGATTGCCCTTGTATATCGTTCAAAGGGTCTAGACGGATCTGGAGTCGGGTGTTTTCTCGATAGAGTGTATTTTGCGAGTTTGCTGGAATGTACAACATCAAGCATTTAGGTCGGCATCCATCTTCATCAGATTATCGCATAATCATAACTTTGCACATCACCATTCAAACTGTAAACTTGAAGCAATATCTGATCTGATTCAAAATCGATAGTGGTACATTGGCCTGAAGTGATTCCACAACAACCCACAGAAAAACTCGCACCTAAATTGTGCTTCAATCATGGAACAACACATATAACCCGTTATAATCCTATCTCGTAGTGCGAACCATGATAAGCAATCAATTCCATTATGAAACCAAGTAAAAAGTAGATATCCCCAAGACACCATCAAAGTCTGAACCCTTAGAAAGAGAAGGAAAAAGCACAAAAAACATTGAAATGCGTAAATGAATCGTGAACTTGTCCGTTTGGGAGAATCATGCGGACTCGGCTGTCTTCTTCTTCTTCTGCTCTACCTTCAAAAGTAACGCGCGGTTAATGTGTGGTAGCACCCCTCCGAAGGCGATGGTTGCGCGAATGAGGGTATCGAGTTCTTCGTCGCCACGAATGGCAAGTTGTAGATGGCGGGGTGTGATACGCTTTACTTTGAGATCCTTGGCAGCATTCTACAATTGTCAGTGAATGTTCTCGTAGGCAATCGTCAGGTAATAATAAGACTTACTCCTGCGAGCTCAAGAACTTCAGCGGTAAGGTATTCCAGCACAGCCGTGACGTAGACTGCGGCCTTTGCTCCCACGCGCATCTTATTCTGGGTATTGTTCTTCAAAAAACGCTTGACACGACCGCAAGGAAACTGGATTTGGCATTTGTCAGTATGTTGTGATTCTAACAGTTGATGCGCAACTCAAAACACAGATGAAGTAACCTGAAATCGAAGTTTTCCAAGGATGAGAAAATTTATCTCGCGTATGCATGGCTTGTTGATAATCATGGCGCGTCGGAAATGCCTCTCCAACGAGCTTTTGGCATAGGACGAAGTTATAGAAAGGAAGCTATGTTCGACAAAATCGATGTATATATCGCGATAGTTCGTAATCGTTCCAAGGGATGATTCGTAGATCGATTATTGACGCGATCTAGTGGGGTGTAGATACTGAAAAAAAATTGAATGGTTTCCGTCTCTCCGCGGGGCCGGACCACCAAGTTTGATGGCGAAAAGAAAAGAATAAAATGCAAAGTTTCGCAATACTAACCTGAAGACCAGCTTTGCTTGAATGACTTTGTTGCTTCTTGTTTCCATCTGCGCCGACCTTGCCTCCAGATGACTTTCCACCACCAGATTTTCCTTTTCCGCCGGCCATTGTAAAATATTGAGAATGAAGCTAAATATGAAGGTAAAAGTTGATGTTTAAGTTGTAAATTTTGATGTTTTTATGAATTGCGAATTCGTATGTTGATGTTTGGCAGAAAGAAGGCGCGTTAAGTTGAGAAGTGACAGTAGGCAATAATAAGGTAGAAGGTATGTAGCCGTTCTTTGCTTGCTGTAAAATCCTTGATGATGACTGGTAGCCGAAGCGAGCCTTGTGTGAATCTGGAAGATGGAAAGTTGAAGGAGGAGAGAAGAAGTAGAAAAGCACCACCGATACTTTACTGGGTAACTTTTAAACTTACTAGAATGATAGGGAATGTGACAGTCATCATATATACATGTATAAATGATATGTGAAGGGGCTGTTGAAAGAGATATACGGAAATCAAGTAGGAACTCTCACTACCACAAGGAAGCATGATTTCCCCATATGATGGTTACTTTCATACCAGCCCCACGCTGATAACGAGAGACTTACCTGTGAAGCCATTGGATGGAGATGCAATAGAAGAAGAGTTTAGAGAGAGTTGTTAAGTATTCATGATGGTGTGATGGATTGATGTTTGTCGTTGTTATGGTCAACTTGGGGCAATCAAATGAATTGGAACCTGAGGTGTTTGATCACGTGAAGGAACGTCTATGACGCACGGATCATTTTTTAACTTGGAGGATTTTCCGACCTCAACACTTTACTGTACATTCTTGAGCCTTATCCAAGGAAGTGAAGAAATTTGTATTGGACGATCTGGAATGGCCTCTTCTAATACTACACGAACACTCATATGATCAGCATGAGGTGCGGGCTTTTGATCGATCTGGGCTACTCGCTTCCTGGGAGAGGATATTGTCCCAGGGCTATTTCCTGCAAACTTTCTGGTATGGAAACATCAACTCCATCCATTGTTGAAAAGCATAACATTGCTCGTCCGTAAGTGGACAATCATTAGAAAGTTCTAATTGATGACTATGCTGGATGCCGCACATTCCTGTCCCCTAAAAGCTTAACACGGTGGTTCAGGCTATCTTGCGGCTCACACCACTAAGATTCAATGGAAGATTTTAAATCCCGTCCAATCTGTGAATTAGTTGAGTGCATCAAGTTCCCACTCCAAATTCAATGTCGGCATCGCAGCATATGTCGAATCCAATACAAGACAAATATATTAGTCATTCATGCAAACACGCCCTACACAAGCCAATGTCTCACCCATTTCTCAACCTGCTATTTAGCACCCAACCTCGAGGGAGATCCGTAAAGTCCCTATAAATTCATTACTATTAGTAACACTTGCATACCAACAATAACTATCACATAAATGTGTGGGTAATGTCTAACAGCCGGTTGTATAACTTCCGGTTTCCGTCCGCCTCCTTCTCCCTCTCCCTCTTCTCCCTCTCCTTCTTCTCCCTCTCCTTCTTCTCTTCCTCCTTCGCTATTCCCCTCTTGCGACGGCTGGGCGGAGCTATTCTCTGTACACAGCGATGCCATTTCGGCATGTGCCGGCTCATTATTAAGGTCTAGCATCTGAGGGTGGCCACCTGGATCACTTTGTGGCATACCTTCGACCGGTCGTGCCAGTAGTGCGATATATATATAGATAGACCGTTGTATATGTGGCCCTGGAGTCATGGATTCCTCATTGTAATGTTTGAAGTTGCTGGGTAAGTTTTCAGTTGACAAGGGGTTGTAGATATACTGGTCTTGAAGCTAAACATAATTTAATTTTGTTTGGTTAAGAGTGAACAAGTCTTGGGAGAGAAAAATAGGAAACGTTTTTATATGTGGTCGATAAAACATGAAGGAAGGAACGATGTTGATAGTTCCGTTCATAAATAAGAAGTCCTCATCTTTTCTGTCTGGCTCATTTTTCTTTCATTCCGTCTCTTTCAGATTCCTCTATCTTTGGACAAGATCATACAACAAGACAGTCTCCACAAATTACTTCCCAAGCAATGTAAAAATACACAAATCAAATTACCGAGTTGTTATTATGGCTGCTCTTGGGATTCCAAATTTCATATGCATTTAAATTCCTACCTCGCATCTTCAGCAACAGGAGTTTCTTAGGAAATCCCGGGGCGAGCAAAAAGGTGGAACAGCTTCAAAGAGTCGATACACGGGGCCGATAATTAATAGAAAGATCGTAGTGCATGGACGAAAGGAGATGTAAGCCTAGAACTCCGGCGGCATGCTAGATGTATGCTATTCAAGTCACTCATTCCATTTTCTTGAAATGGATGCCGCCATAGAAGTTTTTACTGGTACAAGATTATGCATTCTCTATTAGTTCGCTGAACCCCTTCCGATGACATTCATTGTCTATCTTAGGTCATTTGAGGGAAGTTCGCTTCAGCTTCACTGTCTCTAATCATTATTAATGACATGAACGTTTAGATTATTTCGATTGATATGCTTCATTGGTTGCTTGAAGATGTGGAATGTTCTCATCTTGTAAGGTTTACGTGGTTCTATTTCTGTACTTTCGGGACTTCAAGATAGCTAGTGATATCATCCCGCTGGTTTAGATCCAGTAGTCACTTGTTCACAAAAACGGAGAGCTCAATTGAATATTAGATTTCGCTACGTTTATTGAATACTATCCACTCATCTCAATCATTGCCATCATTGTTACTAATAAGTTCTTCCTACAATTGATAACCAATAAACCGTCCCACCACCTTACCCCTCTTCATCATCCAAATCTTCACACCCCTCACATTCCACCTCCTCACACCTCTTACACTTAATCCTCAACCGCATTTTTGTCCCTGGACAGAACCCATGTTTGCACGGTGTACAGATACTAAAAATACCTTCCTCATCAGTGAGCGTCTCTCCTTCCACAACAATCTGTTCAAACACCTCCCTAGGACATTTTACACATCTTTCTATTCCACATTCTTTACAAGCCCACGTCCATCCAAACGCTCCATCCCATTCATAAGCAATCTCCCTTTCTCCATTATCCACCATTCCTTCCTTTCCATCCATCTCGCAAGACTCAGCATCCTCTGCCGTCCACGAAAATAGCGATAAACCACTTGGTCGATAAGACTGCCTTGCGACTTTATGACGGTCAATGGTCACACTAGGGCCCCAAGTCACACTCTTCGACCTCTCTACCCCTATTCCCACCTCTCTATTCAACCAACTCGAGCTTCTCGGTCCAATAGGCTCAGGATATTCATACAAAGGCGTCAAAGATTTCCCTGGCGGCGGCGGACTTCCCGAAAACAGCGAAGAGGCCCGTCTAGAACTTCCAGTAATAGTAAGCGATCTGCGAAAAGGATGAGTAGATAAAGACGAAGGCGACGGAGCCGGAGATGAATCCTTGCCACCTTTCGGACTCTCCTGTCGTAAATTCGGATTCGAGACGGACCTCGAGCGAGGTTGTCCATCAAGTAGAGTTTTGGATCGCGCATTAGAAGGAGATGGAGTTGAGCGCGTGCGATAAAATGAATAAGGGGATTGAAAACAACAATTTTGATCACCGCAGTGGATACTGCGATATGTATCTTCCTCTTGATGCGGAGGAAGCTCGGCTTTAGCTTTAGCTTCAGCAAGTCGTTTCTGGGCGATGGAGCGCGAGGTGGAGGTTGAGAGGGGTTTATCGACGGATTTGTCGGTGTGGTATTCGCCGGGGTGGATTTGTGGGATGCGGGGAGCGGGGGTCGAATGTGCAGAGGAATTTGTTGAGGAGCCGGAGCCGGGGGCGTGGGCTAGGAAGGTGCGGAAGGGACTTAGTGGGGTGAGGTTGAAGAGAGAGTGGAAGGATGAGGTGCGTTGTTTTTTGTGAAGGGGTGGGTGTGCTGATTGTGAAGGCTGTTGCATGGTGGGATTGTAAAGAACACTGTCAAGGTGGGATGATAGCAAAATGGAATAGGACTTTTAAGAATGCAAATCAGAAAGCGGAACTATCCTCGAAATCGGTGCTGCGCTAGATAATATGGATAAACTCGGTACGATGAAAATGTGTTCGACAACTTTGAAGATTTATTTCCTTTTTGTTGTAGGTATCAAGATATAGTTTTGCTTTGACTTAAGGTGACTAACACTGTACAGTACAGTACCAGATTGACTATTATGAATCACCCTCTTATATTCACGAAATGTGAATCATGGAAGCAGTAGCATGGTAAATAATTCACCAACTTGCTTGGAACTTTTGGATCGCTTAAAGTGCGGTTGCTAGGAGCGTGCGCAATGGAGGTAAAATAGAAGGATAAGGAATGTGATGCTTTAAAAGACTTAGGATTCACATCGGAGCTGGTTGAAGAATAGCACGCCATAGTAGGCGTCTTTGATGTTCTGTAGAAGTGAATAGATGTGGAAAGATTTCTGGCTCGGAACAGAAATGAAACATCATTGATCACTTCAACGAGAAATAACATCTTACATCGAATCTTTGACTACACTTGGCGTATAAATAAATTTTGCACTTGTCGCATGCCAGGTAGCGACATTATCCCAACTCTCTCGACCAAGGGAAATAGAATTGATCTTGGATGTCTCTAGTTTCTTTTCGCGAATCGCACAAAAAAATCAGACTGTATGTATGCTCCTGCACTGAATGATTTCCATAGCTTAGTGGGGTTTACCAAGGAAATATCGAATCTCCTAAACAACTTCCCAATGTTAGTTTTTTATAATATCTACCATCGAAAAAACTCACTTCCACAAGGGCCTTGCTCATTTCCATCATAGCTATTTTCTTTCCCAAACATGACCATTTCCCTGAACCAAAGACTAATTCGGCAGTGATGTTCATTTCTCTCAAATTGCCATCATCATCAACTTCAAGCCACCTTTCCGGTCTGAAAATATCTGCATCCGGTCCAAAAGTAGCTTTTGAATGTGTGATGGCAATTAAACAGAGTGAGATATCTGTTCCACCTGGAACTTCAAAACCATTAATGATATCGCCACCTTCGGGTACGGTTTTCGGGAGGAGACCAGCAATAACAGGAAACTTTCGGAGGCCTTCCTTGATAATTGCTTGTAAGTAGAGAAATGCTTTTGCTTCATTATCAGTTATTGGGGATGATATTTTGCCATTTTTGACACCCTCATCCACAGCATTTTGGAAGGCCGTGTCGCAAGTTGGTGAGGTCGTGATGTAAAGTAGCATAGCCCGGATTGCTGTGGCAGTTGTGTCTGTACCGGCGATCCTGTCTCCTAGTTATTTCCGGTGAGCGGGAAGAAACCAGTGAGGACGAACACTTGAAGTAATGTCCCGAATTAGCTTCTTCTTGCGTGAGGACATGTGTAATAAAAGAACCAAGCATATCATTCCGAATCTTTTTAGACTGTCCAAACCTTTCTGCAACAATATCTCTCGCAACCCTGTTCCTGGTCAGCAGCTACTTCCTTGAAGATAAACTTGTCAGCCTACCCGATCATTTTTCCGAACCCAAGTTTATCTCTCTCTGTTGGTAAAAATGGCCTGACAAGAAAACTTCGTGACAGAGTTAACAACCACGGCGAGACACCTGCTAATACGGCGGAGGGTAGCAACTGATCTACTGTCTTAATGTGGTCATACATATACATCATCTTGACCGATGCATCCGAAGGGCTTCCCAAAAGCTACATCTGTAATCGCATCCAATGTAAAATACCGCACTTTTTGGGCAAAGTCGAAAGGCCGGAAATTGGTTGATGTTGATAGATATTTTCTCTCTAGCAAATCAATGAAAGCATTGAGCTGTCTATCAATAGGTTCCTCTAAGTTATCAAAGTCCTTGCCCGAATACTAATTAGAATAAGTTAATAAAACTGCCCACGATTGGAAGTCGGAATAAAAAAAACTTACACCTGCAGCGGTTTTACTTTTCAAGTGGGCATGAATTTCCTCATCTGTAGTCGATAACAAAGTATCTCGATCGGGATTGAAAGCGAAAGAACTATAAAACTTGGATCTTCGATATCCCAACTTCGCGGTACTCATGCGTCGAATGACATCAGGATCACTACAAAGAAGATCATTTGGCCCTATACGTGCCAATGAACCTTAAAATTTGAGTGAGGATGATAATTTGAGCTCAAAGTCAGGGGCAGCTACCATATGTCTCGCAGACATCATTCAGTACTTTTGGAATTCCTCCAGATAATGACGCCCGTAACATCCATAGTTTCGAAAATGAAGCAAACCGTGGTCCAGGAATATGGCGAAGGCGAGACCATACGATATATCTGTTTATTATGATGCTTGTAGGGGAAGATATGATTATGAACCAGTGTAAGGCTGTTCCGCCCAGTAGAGACCCGAAATCCTGAAGATATGGCATTTTTCTAATAAAAAATCAAGGACTTTCAGGTAATTTAGGATAAGTGTGGACTTGGATAATATATAGCCCCAAAAAAAGGAAAAGGCTACATGATGCATTGCCCTAACCTGTCCCACTCGATATGCATGATGCATGAGGTAGAAGTACGTACGTATGCCTGGCGCAAATCCAAATGTAACGGCGGAGCAAGGTAGTACGTGAAGACGAGAGAATGAATCCCACAGTTGACCAGAGGGAGGTAGTAAATTTTGAAGTTGTCACGTGCAAGACACGGAAAATAATATTTCTTCGTTTGCTTGCACTTACTTCATTCGATCTGCTCCAGTCTCACCATCAACCATATTATGTATAAAGCTGTGGTTTGAGAAATTATTTATATATTAATTAAGGTGTCTAAGTCATACTAAAAATCATACTATTCTATCCAATAAAAGGAAACGCTTCTACCCCGGGGTATTGATAATAACGACGCCAACAAAATCCAACGATGCAAAATAGTCCATGAATAAGAAATCGTAGACAAGTATACCTCATATCAATCATCCTTCAACATATAAGTGTATCATCATCATAACACATTACATTACATTACGCCTCCTGTTTCTCTTCCTCAATTGAAGGTGCTGCAGTTGTAGCTGCGGTACCAGTCTCTTCGTCGTTTGGCTGACTCTTTGGTACACCAAAATCTGTTGGGGCATGGCGGGACATTTTTCTCAATCTCTCTCCATACTTGTAGAACAAGAAAGGAATTGGTAAAAATGCGATGGACAAGAAGCCCAACAAACTACCAGCCCATTGCACGCCAAGATTATGGAACATTGCTGTGGCAAACAGTGGAAATCCGGCACCGAAGAAGGATCTCAAAAAAGTATTGGCTGCGATGGCACTGGCTGCCACGAACAAATATGAATCGACAAGGTAGTTCAAAGCCTGAAGGAAGATGGTCATGATCCCAGCACCAGTTAATATACCACTGACAGTTGGGGCGGCCCAACTGATAGATGGATAGTTTCCTGTCCATGCGAACCAGAACAGACCACAAGGGAAAAGACAAGCACCCACCATCATCGGAACAAGTCTCTCTTCTGGAACTGGTATACCGTTGTTTGCCTTGAGTTTGCGATTATATCTTGGCTCGAAGGCAATGACGATACTACAACCGAGAAGGACACCGACAATCATTCCCAAATATGGAAGTGTTGCAACTGCTGGTTCAATCCCACGGTATTCGGCGAACACGATTGGGTAGGCCTCCAAGAAAAGATACAAGATACCATAGATGAAGGCGGTATAAATAGTGATGAGGAAAACGATTGGTTCTCCAAAAAGAAGCTTGAATGGAAGTAACAAGTGTTTCCTGACTAGATCATCGAAGCTGAGAAGTTCCTCTTCGCTGATATGGTGAATGGCGAAATTACCAGTCTCTTTTCGAATCTTTGCAGCTCGATTTTGAAGAAGTGTCTTGACATATGTTTCCTCCAGGAAAAGGATGTCGAGAATTAAAGCGAAAGCTCCCATGATACCTGTGATATATTCGGTCCATCTCCAACCAAGATGTGACTCTGTGATGAATGCTCCAACAATAGGCGAAATGAAAGGGCCGACGAACACTAAGGCTGAGAAAGCAGCAATGGCAACACCTCGAGTTTCATTTCCAAACATATCGGCGAAGGCACCACCGACGACGGTCAGAGGACAAGAAGCGAAAACACCTGCGAAGAATCGACATAACATCAAGGTTTGGAAATCCTTTGCTGTTGCGGCAGCAAACATGAAACAGGTGAAAACAAAGCATGCTACAGTGATAGGCTTCTTTCTGCCATAAAGTTCGGAGATCGGACCAAAAAACAATGGACCTATAAGGTTTGTTCATTAGCATACTGTCTAATGTAAGATGGAAGGATAGATGTACCGGTTGCAAAACCACAGATATATAACGTTAAACCGAGAATAGCGACTATCCTACTGACACCAAATTCATAGGCAATTGGTTCTACAGCTGCAGAGTAGACAGATGAACCCCATGATGCAATAAGAGTATCGAATCCTAGAACTGCAGCAGTTCTCATCTTCCTTCCGAAAGTCCATGACTTTGCACTGGCGGGATCATTTTCATCTGTTAGTTCGACGAGGTAATTGCTCTGCTCTCCAGCAAGATGGGGTGGTAATCCTCTATCTTTCCCTAATCGATACGATTTATGGGTCGTTGCGATAACGATCGGTTCATCGGGACGGGGTGCTAAGTCGAACATTTTGCACTCAAAAGGTTAAATGTCTTATGGGAAATGATGAACGATCACAATCTTTGAGACGGATGGAAAAGAAAGGGTCCAAGATGGATGCGAGACATCGTCCTTTTTTATGTTATTATTTCTTTCTTCACTACTGAATAATCTCCGGGTAGGATGCAAAATTCCAGTGGCCATTATGATGCAAATCCACACAGGATCCACAAAATTGCCGGTCCACCACGGCGTTATCACCAAAAAAACATGATTGAACCTCGGCAGGCTCAAAAATCTCCTACATCTTGACAGCTTTTACCGCTAGACGGTCAGATAATCAAACAAGCGGGAAGAAAATTTTGTTCTTTAGTGATCCAAAATCCTTCCATTGGCTGTTCTAGCTCTACAACGCTGTGATGCACGGATGGCGGCATTGTTATCAATGTGCATCGAACGTGTTAACCATGACTTTACCATACGATATCTATTGCGCCAAGATCAAAACTTTTGTCGCAATGCTATCTTAGGGGAGTTTTCAAACCAATACGGACTAGGACCGAGCCTTGAACGGGTAGACTCGAGTAGACCGTCAGTCAAAACACACGGAATAGTTAACAAGATGAAAATGGGCCGAGGTACAACTTCTCAAAATATTGCTTTTGGTGGGCAGACTTCTCGGGAAGAAAGGGGAATTTTTCTTTCATATGGACACGTAGTTTTTTTTATGTCAATTCTTAATTCTTATCATTGATCGAGTTGTTTGTATGTTGTTGATTTAAAAGCTTTTTACCTACGAAGCGCCCTAGCCGTTCAACAGCCGATCGTATTACAAACTCCGACCAAAAAAATCCCGGAAAAATCCGAAACTCTAATCGGATAGATGTCAGACCAGCTGCCACTCGACCTGAACCAAAGTTGAAAGCGGATGATGGATGCTCTGTGGAACAAGGTCAATTGACAGATACCCAAGGAAAAAAACTCCGAAATCAGACTAAAAGTAGAAACAGATCCTAAGCATGTCCTCTAGCGAGGCTAATCAGTAGCCTGACGTCTGTCAAAATCACCAAAATTTATCGACAAGATCCAGCTCCCTTTCATTGCTATCCGTGTTGTTGGATCATTCGTGTATTCAGCAAACATCCTCATTCGTTGCATTGGAATTTACAACTGTTGATCCATTTGCCAGGATTAACAAAAGAGCGGCTTCCAGCAATTATTTGCCGAAGACCAGCATCTTAATCCATAGCAAAAACGTGGCATGGATTCAAGAAGTTCTGGGCTGTCGGGGGCGCCGGGTGCAAATGTTCCAATGATCTTAAATCGAATTTGACTTGCCAAATCGATATCGAAATCTTGCCAAGCGCCTCCAATTTCATTACAGGTGCTGTCGAGAACCCTAATGTAATCTTGAAGTCCATCTTTGACTGCTTCGGTTCTGACAGTGACAGCCAAAGTGCACCAGCCTACTCTAGAGGTGCTGCAAATCTCTCCGTCGCGAGCATTGATGGTGAAAACTTCATTGTCGGAGACAGGGCTGGGTTGGCAATGGAGATGGTGAGGAGAGGACGGAGAGAAGTGCAATCATGGTGCGCGCATGATGTTGTTTGGACTGAGGAAGAGCATGTTGAGTTGGTAGAAGGTGTTGGGTTTGATTTGTGCTTTTGTTGAGGTAGGGTTAGTCTTGTTCTTCCCCGAAAAGCGTTTTTTCTATTCACTTTGTCTGTGTGTGTCTATTGAGGTGAAAGAGAATTGTGGAGTGTATGTTGTGGAGGTGGTGTGCGTTTCTTTGGATATTTAAGTGTGCTGCTGTGTTGGTTCTTTGTTGGTGGAAAGTTATATTTATGAGAAAGAGAAGGGCAACCTTGATGGAGGTCGAAGGAGGCTTGGTTCCAAGAACGTAACATAACAGTTGGTATTCACCCAGAACTGCGCCATCAATCTCAAAATGTGGTTGGCTATCGACCAAGCAGCTTCAAGGAAAGAACAGCGCCATCCATTGCGAAATTGTAGTTGTGCATAGAAGCCAACGCCATTTTGGTGAGCCTCTCCCAGCGCGGTATTCAATTTCCTCAAATACTAGGTACGAATAGGTTATTTCAAGTGAATACAATACTTCGCCTCTTTTGCAAATTTGTTTACAGCGGCCCTCAACTTGAGGGCCTCTCAAGTCGAGGTCTGGGAGAGGCCCTTGATAGGCTAGGGAAAAATGGAAGGTGTCGGGCTTGAACCATACTAGTTTTGCGGATGAATTTTTTGCTACTTTGGTACATTGCATGTTAGATCTTCACCTCAGCAATACTACAACTCCATTTACCACGAGTCAAGGATTTGATTTGGAAGGCGGGAATTCTCTCTATTCACTTCTTACATTGTTCATATTGTTTGGCTGCAATGAATGAATTTATAAGATGCCGTCGTGATTGCAGCGAAAGTTTGCACGGTTGCTTCCTTGAGAACGTGCAATCCAATAAACTTTATGGTTTAATCAGTTCCCTTAGTTAGGGTTTGGCTTTTCGAAAAGGAAGGTATGATTATAAACAGTGGGTACGGAATCAAAAGAATATCCGTGGTCATTGCTTCATTTCAGATGGGGATCCTCAACCAATCAATACATACAAAATCTCATAAAGTTGTACAACTATTTCCTTCGACAACGGTAAAACGGAAAGTCTTAGAAGATGTTTGACCAAACCAATCCTCCTCGATTTTAGCCAATCCAATTGAATCGGGTTCGGGGCCGCGAACCTAAAAAAAAAAGCTTAAATAACAAAGAGAGCTAGATCAAAAGCTTATATTGATAATCGGCTCTTACAGAAGGCTAGCTAGGTCTAATCAGGAAAAGTGAACGTCGCCGATAGCCGAATTATCCCCCTACTGATCTTGGCACGAAATATCAAATATATTAAATCCTTAATTGTTATTGGAAAAAATCTTATTTTGAATTCGCAACTGTAAATTTTCAAGTTAATATAATAAGTTTTTCATCATCACATTCGTATTATCAAATTGAAATCAATAATATAAATTCTTTTATATTAATTCGAAAATTGTTCAAACTGTTCATATTTTATAGCTAGCGGGACATTCCCTTTACCCCCAAGTGGGCCGTTTATGAGTGCCGATAATTATGCTTGAACATAATTTCTAGCCAACCCTACCCCTAGATTTCACGTGGAGCTCCCTGCGGGGAGCATGCCACGCATTACTTACAATATTACCCTATTCACCACAGAATTGATCAATGGAATGTAAAGGCAGAGCTTTGATATGTGCAATTTTCACGGACAATGGAGTGAGCTTTAATAAATGCCCCTCTCTACCAGCGAAAGTAAATTTTGTAAAACCATTCAGGCTGTGTTTAATTGCTATGTTTCATTATCTGCTTTCACGAGGTGGAGCGCTCATGGAATCGAAGAGAAATAAATACCCGTTCTCTCCCACCAAGATGAAAAGGATGTTTATTACCCATTTTTTCACGTACAAAAATTTCAAGGCAATCCTGGAGCAAAATCTTTAATCCTTACTCATAACGTCGATCTCGAATAGTATGCATATTTTTCCCCCTCTGTCAAAATATATTTAGCTAATTCGATACTAGACCTATCAAAATCGTTCACCGTAATCGCTCAATTCAAAATGCAATTCCTAAACACTACTTCCTGTTCCCTCCGCGTTATCTTCGCCATGGCTATCTTCACCCTCTCCACATCTGCCGCCGCTCTTTCCCATACCGTCAACTATCCTGTTTCTGGCGGCGCACCCGTTTCGCTCGCTGATGAAATGCCACATACAGAATTACAGTAGAGGGACTTCATAAATCTGGAATCCTCCCTCCGTGTTGGCACAAAGTCTCTGGGAAATTTTTCTGTTTCACATAAAGCACATCCGTGGTTGGAGCATGAATCTTGATGTCCCAGTACCACACTATCTCTCGCCGGGCACTCTATTTTATATTATATATAGTAGTAACACGAACATACAAGAGAGACGGGAATGAGAAAGGCGCGTGCGAGGTTAAAAAGAGATGGATTTTGTGCGGGAATTAAAGTGGTCATTATGATTAATCTACGGCTTCTTGAACCATGTTAGAGTTTTTGATTGGTGTTACGAGCGAGCCGTACTGTTGAAAGGCGCTTGGATTTAGGCCACGTTACTGTACCTGAGATACATTTATTGATTGACCTGGCTGGCGAGTTTGATCGCGGTCTAAATCTTTTCAATACATTGGACTTTTGATGTTTGGGAAAGAGTATTCGTCAGGTGTTGGGACGGGATCTAAATCAGATTTGTTTGAAATTGTAAGATTTATATCAAGCTTTTGGTTAGATTATTTACTAGGGTATTTTAGACCAATCAGATTATCAGGATCGCGATTCACTTAAATGAGTTTCTCATTTTCTATAATCTATATCAAATAAATTGCGATATACTATATATGTACAATAAGATTTTGATATTAACAAATCAATAATAAATAATAAATTCATATTGATTTATTATAAAATTATTCATTAATGAAAATCACAATTTTTGATATAAAAAAATAATCTGAATTGAAATAATTTGGAAATAAAATACTAAACTTATACAATCAATCAAAATACTTTGAAAAATAATTATAAAGTATCAATTATAGAAAGCATTTTTTTAATACTAAAAAACTGGACTTGAAGTTTGTTATGATTAGATTTATTACTCTTGATACTATATTTAACTTTCACACTGTTATACAATCAGATATAGAATTATACTACATCCCGTTATAATCCATCCGCTGAACACTCGCTATAAGCCCAACTTACTTCTTCTCCGCCCTCTTCGGATTTTTCTCCCACTTCTTACACCAAGCATCCCAACTCTTCGCTCCCTTCCCCAAAACCCCCAATAAATCCTCCCTCATCTCCCGTTCCTGCCACCTCTCATCATCCCAATCCCTGACCCCACCCTCCGGCATCCCACCCCTCTCACCACTCTTAACCCGTCCCCTCAAATCCGGTTCCCAACCCATCGCTTTCAAAACCTGCGAATCCGTCGGCGGGACCCCCGCACTCTCGAATCGTGCCGGATTACACTTATGGCATAATTCTTCGACATATCTCTCTAGGATGCTTAGTTGCTCGCTTTTTTGAAACCGGAGGTAGAGTTCTCGATCTTGGGTGCGTGTTTCTAAGGCCTCGTGAAGAGTGTCTTGAGGTTTTAGTCGTTGGATGATGGAGCGCGATACGAGGTAGCCGCGGATAGAGGTGAAGGCCCATATGGCATCTACTTCGAAGAGACCGCCGAAGGGCCAGATGACGGCGGCGAAGGTGTCAATTAGGAGGGTGGGGAGGAGGAGGAGGGTAGATATTGCGGCGTGTCTTTTTGCGCGCGTTTTGGTGCGGGCTAGTTGGGAGAGGAGTTGGCTGCGGAGGTCAACTGGGGAATGGGGGATGCTTAACGGGTAGACGATGTGAAGTTCTTCGATTTCTGAGAGGAAGATTAGTTTAGAATCTAGACGAAGGTGGAATGACTAGGAAGTACCTTTTCGAGGAACTCGATTAAGAAATGTTATGTCTGTATTTTTGATGGAGTTAATTCCCCAAAGCACACCTCGAGTGGTTTTACTATGGAGGCCCTTGAAACTCATGGTTTTACCATCATAAGTTTTGGCTTTTTTGACCTTAAAATTAGAGTATGGTTAGCTATTGTCATGTGGTCACGAATGGTTCCGCGAAGTGAGGTTCACTTACTTCGCGCTGCCAAATCCGTTTTCCCTTATGACGCTTTCCTTCTTTAATTCCTTCAGCTGGCTTGAGAAGATGAGCTGCAGGTGGTGTATACATTAGATATCGCTGGTGATTATTAGTGGAATGCTGATGTGGGATTAAAATAGCGACAAACTTGAGGAAAGTCACCATCCGAAACATTTATGGGTTTAGGAAGTGGTATGAGATATGCGATTACTCGGTGGGAATCTCGAGTAAAGTGTATTTCATCCGGATTGTACTGAGAGATTCTTCGGGGTGGAAGTGATGGGCCGGTATGAATGTTCAGGTTCGGTCTTTTACCTGGAAGGGGTGGCGAGTTATCGGAAGTGTTGGTTTCATAGGATTCTGTTGTGGAAATGTTGGGCCGATCAGGAGGAGTTGTTGACGTGGTATTAGTCGTGGCATTTTCTGAAGATTGACTTAAAAGATTTGATTTAGATCTTCGTACGAATAATGGTAGAGGTGTAGCAGTCAGATTATCCCCAGGAACACCTCGGATTGTGGATTCTTCATCTTCAACTGATGGAGCAGGAGGATTCCTGGGAGGTAACGAAGGAGATTGTTGTTGTTGTTGTTGTGACTGAGTCTGAGGCTTGGCTGAAATTTTTACGGGCTCCGCTGGGAGTTCATAATATACTTGGTTGTCCATCTTTTGAATCTCAATTCACTTGCCAGAGATGAATTATAGAAAGGAAGCAAAATGTTCGGAAAGAAAGAATGAAGCAACTTGGTCTGTATGTTTTTTTTTCTTTCTTTTTTTTGTGATAGAAAAGATGAAATGAAGTTTCATGCTGTTGTACAAGCAACATGATACACGGTGAACATGACGCTCGGCTTTGAAAGGGAAATCCTTGTTTCGGAAGTCAATGCATTGATATTGCCATTTCAAAAGCCATTGTAGCATTATGATTGCAAATGTATTAATCCTCTTCGCCGTTTCCTCATCTCTGATTGTCATCTTCATTGTGTTCTACTGTCGTCATCATAGTAACTTGCCTGATCAGAGCCCTTAGGATCCATGTTATCATGGAGGTGATGATATCATGTGACTAAATGTCACGTGTGATACTCGAATTTCATGTCGGAATTGTTGAGAAAAACGAAAATCAATAGTGATCATCGATAACTCAAGATGTGATATCGCTTACCTCATAAAGGAAATTATTTCAGTCTATCAATATGATGAGTGACTTATCGAGTTCGACTAATTCATGAATGAATGAAAGGTAGCAACAACTGTAACTTTCAACAAATTTTTGTGGATAAACATGAAGGAAGCAAGGGAGTGATAAATAAATTCTCAGCTGTGAATTAAGCCACCTGAGATTGTAGATAACTGATAGCGTCTTGGTTCTCGTTTGTGTTCCGGGTTCCGGACCACCTGGGCAGATATTGGTGGCTGATGGTTGTTCAAAAGGAAGAATCTCGAGACTCGGCGATGGATGCATTCAACGTCACTCGAATTAGCCTTGAAGAACTTGAGAAGGTTCCTTATTTATATATTCGGCGGGTGAATCATCATCCTTAGCTTCATCAAGGTGCCATCTGTGCAGTTGTGTTACCGTTGTGTTACGGTTGTCGGGATTCAGCCCTATCATCCTTCCAATGTTTGTGTTACTCTATTTATGTATGAGTGTTATGCTTTGATGTATGACAGATGGCAAAGAAAGAGAAAAAGAACCCAGGTTTTATGGTTCTGGAAAGGATTAAAGTGGTTCGGATGGAATGAAACACTTGCATCCGAATTATCCTTCAAAGCGGAAAATGGAGAACGGGAAATAAAGGACGGGGATTGGAGGACGAAGACGGAGAATGGACGGGAAATGGAGAATGGAGAATACGGAGAATCCCATAAAGGAGAAGGGGAAAATCTAGTCTTATGAAGATTTATAAATAAAGTTTAAAGATCTCGTCGTCATGCTAAACTACTTACATCTTATCTGATTAACTTGATTCGGCCCAATTGACCAGGCCAAAAAGTGTATTCCATATATAATTGGAAGCATTAACTAAAGTGGATAGTTTTATTATAGGGGAGTGTATTGTTTTGATTGAATCTGAGCAAGCTAGAGCCGAATTCGGTTAATGGGGTAGACGAGTTTATGTGGATTAAAGGGTGTTTTAATAATCTGATCGCTAAGTTCTAACCATTGCGATGAGCCATAATGAGCAATCTGTTGTTGTAGATCCACAGAAGATTGAGGATGCGCAGGGTCGGTTAGGGGTTTGATTCACATCATCCTTTTTCCGATCTCCACTGATATATACACCCATGTGTACATCTTTTAACTCCGCCAACTAGCAATATTCCGTCATCTATTGTTTTTTATCTTGATCATCTTTGTTGCTATTTACACCGAGACGGCGGACCAAGAGTCGGCCTGACTACGGTACCGGGCACTCCTGACTCCTGAGTTCTCTTCCCCTTTACCAGCATGTTCAACACACACCGGATGATGTTGGGTTAGTGTATGAGTACTTCGGCGAGGTAACTTTGGTATGAAAAATAATGAAGCTAGGATTTTGAATATTTTGAAGAGAGGAAAAAGAGAGAGAAAGAGAGAGAGAGAGAGAGTGTGTGTGTGTGTGTGTGTGTGTCTGTTGTGTGTATCGCAGAATTTGTTAGGGGTAGATAGACTTCTTTTCTCGCCTTGCTCATACCTTTAGCGTAAGACAAGTGGTTAGATGATGTTAGATGTGGCGTTTGCATCTAAGCATCTACGCACCTTACACTGAGCGCCCCGAGTTTATTCATCCCCATCAAGTTCTGCAGGGTAGCAGAGAATCCATAGTAGAGATCCACAGCACCTGAACAGGTACCCATCTTCCAGGCTCCCGTTGACCCTTAAACGTAAAGGGTTAAGATCTTATCTTGCTTTCGTATTTCGACCTTGTAGTTTGGTGGGCAAACTTTCAAAAAAACAACCGGACATAGGAAACAATTTTGTCCGGCATCAACATTTTCCGCAACCCGTTTTTATCGGTTTCCGTCATTAGATTTGGAAGCCAATGAGAAGCAAAGCCATTGACTCGGCGGTCGTTCAACCTTGATATCAAGCTGGTGGTGAACAATTGAGGGTTTATATATAAGACTTACAAAAGAAGTAGCTTTCCCAAGATCAAAAAATAGGAAGATAACGAGAAACTTGATCATAACTTAATATTCATAATTTAAAACTAACTTTACTTTTACTTGATCAAGTTTCCTCTTCTTTATACATAATTATTTTGAAGTCGAAACGAAAGGGAATATATAGTTTTCAACTTCTCTTTTCATTCACAAGCTATACTCTCAATATCATATCCGTCTCCCTCCGCTCCCCCCTATCGTCTCTTATCAGTGACGACATTAATATTACCCTCCCCCCACATCGACCCCAACCACCACGGGTGGTCAACATTTGGATATGGCTTCGAATTTGGACTCTGAACAACATGAACTACATAATTATTTCCCTGAACGCTCAGACAATACTTCCAATATCGAATTCACACCACAATTCGAAAATGAGGTTGAACAACCATTACCATCTAGCTCAGATAGCTCTTCAGACTTTAACGAAACATTACGCCCTACGACAACCAACGAAACTGTTAGAGAAAAACAATTCGAATCAATAAGGACAGGTGATCGAGAAGAGTTGGAGAGAATAGCTTCAGGCTTTGGAGGTTCTCAATTAGGACGAACCTTTACCAATGCTACAGCTAAGAATCATGAGTTGGAGAAACAGGATACCTTGGCTGGCCTCAAATTGGGAGAATCAACCTTGGACCCCAGCTCCCTTGATTTTGATGTGTTTAAATGGACCAAAATGTAAGTTTGCTCATGTCACATGAATTGCCGGCCTAAATATTAATGGTTGTATAGGATGATGAGATTGACGGATGAGAATCAAGTTATCCAACGACGTGCCGGAATTGTATTCAAGAACCTCAAAGTATGCGGTTCTGGGTCAGCAATCAATATACAAAAGGATGTTGCTTCAATGTTAATGGCACCTTTCCGATTTAGAGAATTTGCTGGAAAATCTTCCGAGAAGACGATTTTGAACGACTTCAATGGTGTTTTGAAATCAGGAGAGATGGTGCTTGTTCTGGGAAGACCTGGTTCGGGATGTTCAACGTTTCTCAAAACTTTAACGGGAGAACTTTATGGATTGGATATGAAGCCAGGATCAGAGATCAATTATAATGGTTTGTGATATTCACTTACCCGCTGCTTGGGGATGATGCTAATAAATCTAGGTATCACGCAAAAGCAAATGCTCAAACAATTCCGAGGTGAAATAGTCTACAACCAAGAGGTCGACAAGCATTTCCCTCATTTGACCGTTGGAGAAACTTTGGAATTTGCTGCGAGTGTACGTACGCCACAGCAAAGACTTGTTGATGGAATCACTCGTGAAGCTTGGGCAAAGCATATGGCTAAAGTTGTTATGGCTGTTTATGGATTATCCCACACGTACAATACTAAAGTTGGCAATGATTTCGTACGAGGTGTATCTGGAGGTGAGAGAAAACGTGTTAGTATTGCCGAGATGGCTTTGGCTGGTTCACCAATTGCTGCCTGGGATAACGCTACACGTGGTTTAGATGCCGCAACTGCTCTGGAGGTAAGTAAATTTGTGCTGGAATGGATGTTGGTGCATGGCTAATCTAAGAACTAGTTCACCAAATCTTTACGGATGACTGCCGATCTATGTGGTTCAGCTCATTTGGTTGCCATTTATCAAGCTAGTCAACAGATTTTTGATGAATTTGATAAGACTGTCGTACTTTACGAGGGTCGTCAAATTTATTTTGGACCTTGCAACCAAGCAAAACAATACTTTCTGGATATGGGTTGGGAATGTCCTCCGTAAGTGCACAAGATAGCAACGAAAGGTGCCATAAATGGATCTACTTGAATAATGCTGACCCATTTTAGTCGTCAAACCACTGGTGACTTTCTGACTTCAATTACCAATACTTCGGAACGAAAAGCGAGACCAGGCTTTGAGAAGAAGGTTCCCAGGACTCCTGAGGAGTTCGAGAAATACTTCAAAGATTCGAAAATATTCAAGAACATGATGAGAGAAATAAAAGCCCACGAAGAGGAGTTCCCTATGGGAGGCAAAACATTGGAACAATTCAAAGAAAGTCGAAAGGGGATGCAAGCTGATCATCTACGAGCCGAGTCACCATACACGGTCAGCGTTATGATGCAAACAAAGTATTGTGCAAAGCGAGCCGTTCAACGTTTATGGAACGATAAAACCTCTACAGTTACGGTAATCATAGGTCAGATTATCATGGCTTTGATCACCGGATCTATTTACTACAATACCCCGATAACTACAGCAAGTTTCTTTCAAAAAGGAGGTGTTCTTTTCTTTGCCGTTTTGCTCAACGCTCTGATGGCTATATCGGAAATCAATACTCTATACTCCCAAAGACCAATCGTTGAAAAACAAGCATCTTACGCTTTCTATCACCCTTTCACTGAAGCTTTGGCTGGTATCATTGTCGATATACCGGTGAAATTCATGATTTCAATCTGTTTCAACATCATTTTATACTTCCTTGCGGGTCTAAAGAGTGAGGCGGCCGCATTCTTTGTCTTTTTCCTGTTTAACTTTATGGCCACCTTGACTGTAAGTACCCCCTTCCTGTGGTGGATATTTTGAGTATTAACAATCATTTCAGATGAGTCAAATTTATCGTACCATTGCAGCAGCAACAAAAACAATTGCTCAAGCACTGGCTATCGCTGGTGTAGTCACGCTTGTTGTTGTCATTTATACCGGTTTTGTTATCCCTAGACCACTGATGCATCCTTGGTTTAAATGGCTTTCATGGATCAATCCACTTGCATATACATTTGAGGCTTTATTCGTCAATGAGTTACATGGAACCCTATTCGACTGCTCGGCTTTGGTCCCTACAGGTCCTGGGTACGTTCACTCTGCCAATAACTTCGTTTGTGCTGTTGCTGGCGCTGTTGTCGGTTCTACTACTGTCAGTGGTGATGATTATTTGGAAGCGAATTTCAAATACTCTTATTCCCACATATGGCGTAACTTGGGATTCATGTTTGCATTCATGCTCTTCTTCTTAGCTTGCTATCTCTGTGCAACCGAGTTCAACTCCTCTACAGACAGTAAAGCTGAAGTTTTGGTCTTCCGTCGTGGACATGTACCAGAAGAGTTATTGGCCGCCGAGCGAGCTGCAAAGAATGATGAAGAAGCATACGTCGGCGCTGGTGCAGATGCTAAAAAGCCTAACTCAGACAAAGAGGGAGGAGAAGTTCGGGCATTGGCACCCCAAACGGACATGTTTACATGGAGAAATGTGTGTTACGATATAAAGATTAAGAACGAACCTCGCAGACTTCTCGATAATGTATCCGGATGGGTGAAGCCTGGAACGTTAACAGCTTTGATGGGTGTTTCTGGTGCGGGAAAAACAACATTACTCGATGTCCTCGCTCAGAGAGTTTCTATGGGAGTTATTACCGGTGATATGTTGGTTAGCGGAAAACCTCTCGACGAATCATTTCAACGAAAAACTGGATACGTTCAACAACAAGATTTACATCTCGAAACCAGTACTGTTAGGGAAGCTCTTCGATTCTCGGCTATGCTACGTCAACCAAAATCTGTTTCCAAGAAAGAAAAGTTTGATTTCGTGGAAGATGTTATCAAGATGTTGAATATGGAAGACTTCTCAGAAGCAGTCGTTGGTGTCCCAGGAGAAGGATTGAACGTGGAGCAGAGGAAACTCTTGACTATTGGTGTCGAGTTAGCTGCTAAACCTGCACTATTACTCTTCTTAGATGAGCCTACCTCAGGTCTGGATTCGCAATCTTCATGGGCTATCGTTTCTTTCTTGAGAAAGTTGGCCGATAATGGACAGGCCGTCTTGGCTACTATTCATCAACCCAGTGCTATTCTGTTTCAAGAATTCGATCGATTATTATTCTTGGCAAAAGGTGGTAGAACTGTTTACTTTGGAGACATTGGCCCCAATTCCGAGACTTTACTTAACTATTTTGAGTCTCACGGTGCGGATAAATGTGGAGAGGATGAAAATCCTGCAGAGTATATGTTGACAATGGTTGGTGCCGGAGCCCAAGGAAAATCTACTCAAGATTGGTAAGAACGGATTCTGTTTATCGGTGCCACCAAAAGCTAATTTAAATACAGGCATGAAGTATGGAAAGCTAGTGATGAAGCAAAGGCTATTCAAACGGAAATTTCACGCATCGAACAAGACTTGAGTCATGGATCATCTCAAGATGAACCTGGTTCCAAAGACGAATTCGCCATGCCGTTCACCATTCAGCTTTTGGAAGTTACGAAGCGTGTCTTTCAACAATATTGGCGTACCCCTGGATATGTATACTCCAAGCTTGTCCTTGGTGTTGCATCTGCACTCTTTATTGGTTTCTCATTTTTCCACGCCGATGCATCTCAACAAGGTCTTCAAGATGCTATTTTCTCAATCTTCATGATAACAACTATCTTCACGACCCTCGTACAACAAATTATGCCTAGATTTATCCTTCAAAGAGATCTTTACGAGGTTCGCGAGAGACCATCAAAGGCTTATAGCTGGAAAGCTTTTATCATTGCCAATATTGTCGTCGAAATTCCATATCAAATTCTTCTTGGTATCCTGGTATTTGCCTCATACTTCTACCCAATTTACACCAAAAACGGTATCCCACCATCAGGTCGTCAAGGACTCATTCTCCTACTCTTCATTCAATTCTTCGTCTATGCTAGTACATTCGCTCATATGCTTATTGCCGCTCTTCCTGATGCGGAAACCGCCGGTAGCATCGCTACGCTCATGTTCTCACTTACACTTACCTTTAACGGTGTTATGCAACCTCCGAATTCTCTTCCTCGTTTCTGGATTTTCATGTATCGAGTTTCACCTTTGACTTGTAAGTTTATCCTCATTGCTGCTCAAGGTACAAAAACTAACAAATATCTAGATCTCGTCTCGGCTATTGTGTCTACCGGTCTCTCCGGTCGCGAAGTAATATGTGCCGAAAACGAACTTGCAATCATGCAACCACCCGTCAACGAAACCTGCGGAAGTTATCTTCAATCCTATGCTACCGCGCGAGGTGGTTCCATCTATAATCCTGAAGCTACTTCAGATTGTCACTACTGTTCTTCATCAAACGCAGATCAATATCTCGCTTCGGTATCCATTAGCTTCGATACTCGATGGAGAGACTACGGTATCGTGTTTTCATATATCATTTTCAATATCTTCATGGCGGTGTTTTTGTATTATCTCATGAGAGTAAGAAAGAGTAGCGGAAAGACTCTTAAAGAAAAGTTGGGGTTCTTAGGAAAGCTTTTTTAGAGGGTTTCTCAGAGTAATGTTACGAAGATGACGGAGATGAAAGATGAAGATGATGGCTGCTCTGGCTTGGGGGTGTTTTGTAGAAATTCGATTGGCTGGTTAGCTTGTAGATATAGGGGATAGAATTGGTGTTTTCGGAAGAGGTTATTTAGAATTGGGGTTTTGAATTTTTGGGGATGGACATTTTGATTGTTGAGTTGTGGATTCATATTTTAGATTTAATGTATGTGCCTGGTGTACTTTCTACCAGAATCTTTTTGCCAAGTTAAAAATTTACTGTTTCTTGTTATTTTGTGAAATTATCTGTGGATGTTGTGAAGGCGAGAGAGGATGTTATACTGCGCTTCTCTATATGTATTCTTTGATCATACTATATATATTAGTCTAATGTATTTATCATTAGATAAAACTAAATATTTTTGATATCAAAAGATAATCCAAAAGAGGGGTGGCCTGAAACTAAGATACTAGACTTATTCCTTTGATAAAAAGTATCTGCTCCCAATAAATACCAATGAGTGATCCAGTTTATAACTCAAGAATATTACACAAGACCTTGATGCCATTCACTATCCTATTTCCTTTCACTTCACATAATTTATAGTGTTGTACTATTCACCTGAGTTTCTGTCATATCAAAATGTCATCATGTAATTAAAAGGATGCTGTACTCACTTCCTCGTGCTTTGATCAATATCTATATATATGTTGGTGCTCTGGAGTTTAGAATCAATCCAAACCAATACATAAGATCTTACAATAATTAACAGATCTAATTGCTTACACTTCGTTCATACCTGTATAAGGTTATCAACAATTCCTTTCGAAAACACAACTATACAAACTTGAATCTTGATTTCAACAACAAAATATCATCAGATACAAAGTATCCATAAATCTTTAGGAGAGTTTAATCCATTGATTGATTCCGATGGTAGAAGGGGTATCAGTGCCAGGTTACAGAAGTGTGTCATTTCCACTCCAATCATTCTGATCTCCTAATATATGCAATCCTTAGGGCAGTCATGAAGGACACCGATATCATACCATTGTCCCGGGTCTCGCAACAAATCAATTTTTCAAGTGACGCCTACGTGCCGAACCACCTCCATCATTGAATATGATTCCGTTAGAGATTCGATACAAAATATACGGATACCTGCTCAAAACCCTATTCTAGGAACATTGGAATCCATTCTGGGTGAATCTACCTTCTCGAAAACATACACTATAATTGGTAATTATAGCCTTCATCCTTCGATTCTCAAAGTTTGTCAACAGAGCTATGAGGAAGGATGCGAGATATCGTACTCTCAGCCAATTCTCGTGTGTCTCTGTGGACGTTTGTTACATTTAGGAGTTCCTAGCAATAAAAAGCTTGGCCCACTTTCTCCTTTGTCCAGATACACTTTCGAATCTTGCTATCTCAAAAACAATAAATTTGAAGAAATGCCGCCAGCATTAAAAAAAGTTCGGCGGTGGAAAATCATTACCAGCTTCTACCAGGAGGGCGGTGGGGTCTGCATGACATACGAGCCTACTATATTCCATTCTTTCTGTGGACGTTTGTTTGGTGTCCCTGTCAGAGAAATCGAGATCATTCTCTCGGACTTTATATGCAAGGTCCCTTCGCATCACGGGAGACTTATGAAGCCACGGTAGACTTTCCGACCTCTGACAATTCTCCTAAACGTGGGAAGCTTGAGTATCAGAATGATGGAATTGGATGAAGCTACAGATCACATTAAATATGGAAATTTCTATGGTCCTATACGCTCCTCAGTAGACTGTGCAAAAATAACCCGTGGGTTACGGATATACACAAATAATCCGTCTTGCAGGTTACCCAATAAACCTATAATCCGCTCCGCAGGTTATTTATTAGGATTTTAAAATAATCTATATTGTCTAAGTTATTTGTAGATTATTCGTAGATAATTTGTTAATTTATAAAGATTAATATAAAAACTAACATAAAAAATATAAAAATAACTTTAAATTTAAACGAATATCATTTGTGGATAATCTGTAAAGAATCTATAGATAATCCGTAAATTATCCGTAGATAATCTATCTATCTATAGATTGATAAACTATCCACAAATTTATAGATATCCATAAATAATCCGCAAATAATCTACGAATTATCCATTCAGATTCTTCAATTACCCACCCCGCAAATGGATTATTTACGGGTTATCCACTATAAGCAATAATAATCCGCCCTGCGAAGCTCTATTGCGCAGCCTACTCCTCAGGAGATTCTGTCCGTAAATCATGAATGCTGAAACCAAGATTGTATAAGAAGTTGAAGAATTTGGTGGAGGGTAGCAGATCGGTCGAGCAGTAAGTAATGATATTTGACAAGCCATAGCTAAAATAACAAGGACTGACACAGATAGGTTATCTGAGATGCACAACCATTTGCTCAAGCTTGCACGATCACTCGAGAGTTTTGCTCCATGGAAGCGCGCGATGGGCTTCTTGGCAGGAAAACACTCCTGTGCCTGCAGTACCCCAGGGACACGGGGGATCATAGTTGGCCGCATCCATACAGCTTCAACCACTTGAGCTTTCTTGAGAAAACTTTACGTGATGCATACACTGCCTGGCAGCGCTTTGACAGTGTGAAGTTTAAATCACTTGAGCGAAATGCAATTTTCAAGGCGTGTAGTATAAAATTCAAGATGATCCATGCTAAGAAAACCTAGATCAGGAATACAGGCTCTATTTGATATACAGATTGCTGGCATGATACATAAAATAGACAAACAACTAGACTAGATGCAGACACATAGAAGCCAAGATAATGTGTTAAGTACATTGAAGAGCTACAAAAGACTAAAATAAACGAAACCTCGACCTGCGCTGAAGAATATACAGAAATTCCTCGTACTGAGTGGTGATCTTGAAGGTCCACAATATGTCAAGCCCAAGATCGAAGAACAGTTTCAACGAAATCCTCGTGAAATAGCACATCGCATAAGGATTCTCAAATCTCAAGAGCCACGTCTTTCAGTAGTGAAGGGGTTGGTGATATCAATAGACAGAAGGCAGAGAATAAAAGTTGGAGCTGCGACTTTCAAGACTAGAGTTGTATGTTTCTTGAAGATTTCTTAGGTCCGAAAATGGGACACCACAATCCCAGCCCCATACACAAACCACAGCAACCTCCGCACAAGTTCCAGAAAACATAAAAATCCCAACTCACAACTAGGAGCATATGATAGTAACAAACAAACGAACAAACAAACAAACAACAACTAACATATCCAAACCATGCACAGCACAGCACACTCCGATCCGAAAGAGATCGCAGACGAAGAATTCAAGTCTAAGAAACGAAAAAATCCTGGCGACGAAAGAAATAAGATCTTACTCATCTTATCTCGCTACATTTACTTTACAGTATGCGTGATAATCGCACCAGCAGATCTGAGGTTCAAATCGCGGTTTAAAGGTAAGAATAAGATTTTACTGTACTCGATAACCTTATAATAGAAATCATAAAGCGATCGATTTCAGATTAGGATCCTGCTGGAACTTCGTTGTGTCCATAACACCGTCAATCGATGAACCAATCGATTGATGGGTGGAAGAGTCGAGTATAGTTATATTGAAGTTTGGTGTATTTGGATCTATTGCGAGTGTATGTAACCTTATACCAATATATAGAACACTTATATACTATATAACAGTGGTGCGGATCTCGCAAAACCCAGCTAGTTATAGGTTAATCAAGCCGCAACTGTGGCTGGGGCTTCTTAAGAAGACTCTCTACTCGAGTAATTTTGAGGAGATGCGTTGAAGAATCTAATTCAGCGATTGAAGCTATTAGCAGCCGTCTAATTCAAATCATCTAAATATTTAAATAAGTTCAGCTAAACTGGTACATTTGTGAATAATAATGCCAGTGAACTAGAAATGTATAACCGACCACTAACCTTAAAGAAAAGAAAGTCTCAAGGTTGAGTTGATCCAGACATATAACTAATTTAATTTATACTCTTACATGGCTGGGAAATTTCCAAAAGAACAAGAACTCAACAAAACTCCAGAAAGATATCAATGGTATGTAAATATTATAAGATTGCTCCGATATACACACACAAACGGTATGAAAACTATATGTACAAAAAGAATCAAACTTCTACACTGAAATCCCCAGCTAATAATCAACAATCCCCACACTTGACCAAACACTCTAAACATAAGCAACGGTAACCGACTTATCAGTAACAGTAGTCTTGGTCAACTTAGCATTGGAGGTAGTCTCGATATCCATGATGTTCGAACCAGATGGACTGATTTTCTTGGAGGAGGTAGTAGCAATTGCATCGGTGAAGACAACGCTTCCATAGTTTGCGAGACCCTCGGTTTTGGTATCGATGCTTAAATCTTCCATGATCCATTCAGCACTAACACCACAGAGGGTGTCGGTTGAGGAGACGGTTTTGGTGTAGGATTTGCCGGTGGATTTATTTTCCATGACGACGGTTCCCTTGTTGAAGCCGCTGGTGGTGAGGTTTACCGAGATGATCTGTGGTTTGTTAGTTTCAGTCTGGAGTCGAGATTTTGTGATGGAGAAACAACTTACATCTTCAGCTTTGAGAGTTCCTAGGTCAATGACTTGAGTATTGGCAGGATACCATTCATACCAAGCATAGTATGAAATTGCACCGGTAGCTTTCTCAATTGTGGAATCTACACCTGCTTGCCAGAGATTGTCACAATTGTATCCATCGATACCGACCCAGGTAGAAGCGGTGAAATCCGAAGCGGAGGTCTCGCCTGTTGTTCCAACTGCGGGTTTAGGAATGGCGAAAGAAGCGGAAACACCGGTGTATGTAGCACCAGTAAGAACGGCACCAGCCCAGCTGACATTGTAATCGTCTTCTGCGCGAGCAGCATTGCGTCGAGCAAGTCTTTGTTTAGCGTTGAGCTTGGTTGCTGGTGCAGCAATGGCAGAGCCCGCAAGAAGGGTGGCGAAAACGATGGAGTACTTCATATTGATAGTAGGTGATGGATGATATTGTCAAGAGTAAAGACGGTTAAAAAGTGGGAAGTTTGAATTTGCTTGCTTTGAAAACGAACGAAGAATTGAATGAGCGAATGAATGAATGAATGAATGAATGAATGAATGAATGAATGAACTGCAAACCTGTGCGAATGATGATGAACTACAAAAACAACTTGGCTTGGCTGGACCTTTTATAAGGAAAGACTCCCTTTCCTTTTCATCAGCTCTAGAGCCATTTCATCATACTACCCATGTGAATACATCAGCGGTAATTTCGACTCCTCCAAACCTAATGTGGAGTGTAGCATCGCCATATCGCAATATAAGCCATGGAAGATTGCTAGAACATTATAATTTCATATAGATTGATTCCAGGATCTTCCACTGCCGGTGAGTATCTGGACACGCCCTTTCAGTGGAATCAGTGGACCCATCAAAGACATCCCGTCTGGCGGAAATCAAACTTTGCAGAGTAAATTCCGGAGAAATGTTGCTCATCTATATTTAAATTTTAGACAGATTAACGCGGCCATTTAGGAATAATACATACCGGCGGACCCCGTAAAGAAGGGACGATGTTGGAAGTCCGGCTTATTCTTGCGACGGATTGTTTCGTGTAAAAAGCTTAGCAGAGCTTATCTAATACAGGGGAGGTCAGGATTTACGTAAGTATAAAGTAAAATAAAATGACACTTCAGCCTTGCGATAAGGCTGTGAGATCTTACATGCAACTTTATCGACGTGCATATGGTAATTTACAAAGATATACACAGCATATTCAAAAAGAATCAGAGATACTCAATTCTGCGTGTCCAATGTGGTACTGCATAACAATTGCATATCTTTCCAACGACACACGGATTGCCTCATTTGTGTGTCGCTACTTCATTGCCTGAGAGAAGGTTATGAGCTTGCGAACAAGACCGCCGGAAAAAAAACGAGATAACGACGAGATAACGAGGAAGAGCTTAGCATTCAAGCCTTTGGCAGTCAAGGTTCTCAGTCTGGAATCTATCTTCCATCCACTAAATACACCAAACCTCAAACACCATCCTCTTCAACATCCTCCTCACCACCACTCCCGGATGACTACCTCTTCCAATCACACTACCAACCCAATCCCAGCCACGGTAATCCTCCCCAACATCCCACATCTCTCCGCACTCACGGCAATCCTCCTCCTCCTCTTCTTCCCCCACTCCCCTTCCGCCCCCTACAACCGCCCACCTACACCGCCCCATCCCCGTCCCTAACCCCTCCGGCCCTTCGCCCCACAACCCCGACTCCCCGCGTGCCCTCCCCAAAGTCCCCACATACGAATACTACGGCTTCGTACTCTACCTCTTCTCCTCTCTAACCTTCCTCCTCTATCTCCTCTGGTCGTATCTCCCTCCCCTTTCTACGCGCTAGGAATCTACTATTACCCCAATCGATGGTGGTCACTTGCGTTACCCAGCTGGATCGTCATGTTACTCGTGTACATCTATGTTGCGCTCGCGAGTTACAATACGGGATATTTGACTTTGGGAATGAATAGTGTGGAGACGATTATTGATGGGGCGGCTAACGTGTGTTTGGTTGATGGGAGGGGTATGGCGGCCGCGAGTCATGCTAGTCAGGAGGATAATTTGAGGGAGAGGGAAAGGGAACGGAGGAGGGAAGGAGAGGGAGAGGGAAAGAGGGTGGGGTATTGGTGGTGAGAGGAAAAGGGAGTTTATACTGTGGGGGTGAAAGAGGCGGATGTGAGAGCGTGGAAGAAAGTATGGAGTCGAGGGACTGATGCGGTTATGGATGTCCCTTTGGGTGGAGTATGTGAGATTTTATATGGAGATGGGAGGGAAGATCATGAGTTAGATGATGATGATGATGATTATTAAATTAATAAAGAAGACAATGAAAAGAAAAGGAAGAAATATATAATATATACCCTCTCATGTTTACAATCTATATGTAAATAAATAACGAATACCCAAAAAACATAATCCATGAAAATCATAACTTTCTCTCGTGATGTCAAACTCATCTCAATATCCTGATATTCATCACATCAGTTTCATGACAAAGCCGTCACTCATACATACATACATCACACCATCCCCCAATATAATAAATATAATATAATACTCAAAAAAACAGGTATCTCCATTCCAGTGTTTGTATTTGTACAAGATAGATCGACCAATCGACCAATCGCTCTACCCATCTACCTACCCCTACCATATCCCAAAACCCAAACCCTTCCTTAGTTTATTATCCATCCAGCTTTTCAAGCCATCCATTCCATTTTTTCCTTTCCTCTCCTTCTTCCATTCTCCCATTTTCCATTTCCCTATCCATCCCTATCCATCCATCTCCCCATCCATCTCCCATCTCCATCTCCCATCTCCCATCTCATCTCATCTCATCTCGCATCCCTATCCCATCTCAACCCCTATCCCATCTCCAACCCCCTATCTCCACTCTCCACCAACCCCTAAAATCCGCCTCAGAATTCTTTTCAAACCCCCAAATCTCCGCCCTCTTTCCTCCAATCCTGCTTGCTATACGATCCCACCACACTATATATATGTGAAAGGCCGGGAAAAAGCGATGGAATAATAACCTCATACTGTTATTTCCTACTTCCTATACAGGATTTGGAATATACTCCTCCCTCTTTCCCTCCCTCCCTACGTATTCCCCATCTCCTATTTACCCCCTCCCCAAAAATCCACCCATCCACCTATCAATTCATCAACTCATCAACCAAACTACACATCTCACTGTAAACTTCTAGATCTACCAGGTACCTAGTATTCTCTTGATATAGTTTCAGAAATATATATAAGATACCTGGATGTCTAGATACTCAGATACTCAGATGCTACCAAAAAATGACAGGCAAATTAATAAATAAGTAAAAAGACATCCTTCTATAAGTATCTAGGTAAGTAGGTAGGTACCTATTTGAAGTGTAATCCATTCATGGAATCATTCATTCATTTATTCAATACCATCACACTATTCATTCATCCAGCCATCCATCCATTAATCCATTCACCCTACCACATCAAATGCAGAATACGAATATAAGATGCATTTCATCTCAAAAAGTGGAGAAAATCAGAGAAAAATAATTGAATATGGGTATAATCAGACATTTTAGCGTGCAAAGACCTTTACGACACCATCACCTCCACCACTAACGATCCATCTTCCATCTTGACTCCATACGACTGAACATACACCTTCTCCGCGCATTAGTCGATGACTTGTCATTTCTTGTGTACAGCTACGTGTGTCTAAAGACCAAAATCGTAAACTAGCATCATGACCGGCCGAAACGAGTTCATGACCATCAGGGGATAATGAAAGAGCAGAAATAGCTGCTGGGTGAGCAAGCATGTTGTATGTGCATTGACCTAAATTAATTAGTGATTGATTTTCAACAATAATTAATAGCAGCTTACCGCTATTAGCATCATAGAATCTAATAAAGCGATCCTCATGTCCACTGATTATAACACCTTCAACACCACCACTCGTACCTGTGGCTCCACCAACAATATTTTCATCTTCTGACATTCCACGATTAGAATCAGAGCTCAAGGAACTATCAAGGCCAGTAGTAGTTGCAACTATGGCATTAACTCCAGTTGATTGTGTACCATTATATGTCTCCAAACTTGCCATGGAAGCAACCTCTTCACCAGTTCGTGTATCGTATACCAACACAGCTGCATCGGAATAAGATACGACAAACGATTCACCTGAAGTGGCTAAAGGTGTTATGCAAGTAGGGGACGCTGTGCTATTAGGCCTGGTTATCGAATGAATTAATGTATAATGGAAAGGCGAGGTTGAGGCGACGCTTGGTTGAGGAGATGATGGAAATGCTGAACCAGATGACATTGAGTTACCTCGAACTCGGCCACCTCTACGACTGCCGGCACCTGAAGGTGATACAAGCTGTGGAGGTGCGCTAACAGACCATACTTTAACAGTGCCATCTGCAGCACCACTTGCTAAGATAATCCGATCTGGTCCACCAAAAGCATTATTTTGACCAAAGATGGTTCCAGTCGTACCAGGAAGTACACATACTGTCCATACTGCATCTGTATGACCATCAAGAGTTGCCTTGGGATCTACTCGACCTCTCTCCCATACTCTTACAGTAGCGTCTTGGCCACCAGAAAATATCCATCCATCACCTTGGGCACGTCCACCACTAGCAAAGTTCTGCGATGGAGACCAAGCAGTTAAGCACATGACAGCTCCGGCATGACCACGATGAGTAAAATAACTTTGAATATCCAAATCATTGGCGCTGACATGAAATGTACCCTGGTCTTCATAACGAGCGGGTATGATCCATCTTTTGATAGTACCATCGTCGCCCGATGTACATAACTCTGGTTCTCCAGGACTTCCACCTCCAGTAAATATAACCGACCGAACTGCATCTAGATGACCCCTAAGACCGAATCGAACCTTGAAGCTACCACTATCTGGTCTTTGTGTTGGGTTCAATGAAAGTTCATGTTCGCCGCTTTTTCTCCGTGATAAAGATGTTTTCCTCCGATGTGAGCCTAGACCACGAATAGGTGATTTTGGTGGATCTTGCGCTGGTGGGAATACATCGGTGTCCGGTCTCTGGGTCGAAATCTTTTTTTCTTGTTCGGTAGACTGAGCTGGTTCATTAAAGTCCCATGCATCAGAATCCGAAGTTGACTTCTGTACTGTTTCTCCTGTCTCAACGGGTCGTCCATAAGAATCGTAAGAATGGTTAAGTTTTGTCAAGGGTTCTTCCAAAACCTGAGCCTTCTCAGGAGATCTAAATTGCGAAGACCATTCTTGCTGAGTAGGTTGTGGCAAAGGTTGTTGATCTGCTAAGAATCTTGGCGCTGAATTATCAGGGTTTTGAACCGAAAGTTTACTTGGGGTTGGAACTGGTGGTGGATTATGGTTAGGTGTCGGAGAAGGCGCTGGGGGAGGTCGTGATAGTTCTGGTACTCTCATAGGCTTGGATCTAGAGTAAAGCTGCTGCATATCGTCGAGGTTTTGCTGTTGAGCTTGATTGACTCCAAAGGGTAGAATCTCTTCAGGTGGTGGAGGAGCTTCTCGAGGTGGCATAGGATTGGGTGGCGATACCAAAAGGTAAGTGAGTTCTCCTTGAGATTTATCCATAAAATCCTTCATGCCAGATTTTTCGGATTGAATTGCTTTTTTCGCATCATTTTCCCCTTCAACTTCAAGAAATGAGTTATGTGCCTCTCTTCCAGCTGCTAAATCTATTAGTCTCCAATAATTATAAAATTCCAACTGACTTACGACGTGAACCTTTATCCTTATTCTCCTTCTTTCCCGACACTGGAGCCGTACCACCGGATTTGATCGCTTTTAATTGTGCTTCTCGTTCCTTGGCTGCCCTCTCTAACATGGTAAGGAATTTCTTCAAGCTATCATTCGACCCCTCAAGTTTTCTAGTGTGCCCCTCTAACTTCGCTATCCGACTTTTCATTTCCTGTCTCTCGATCTCCCACGCATTTCGATCCCTCTCGTGTCGATGCCATTCAGTTTGTAAGAATCGCATAACACCTAAACACCAGTTAATGGAGTCAAACGAACACAACGACTGAGCGCATACCTTGCAGAGTATATTCAGTGCCTTGCGGCTGATTTGTTTGATTTCCCCCGTCACCAACATTACCACCTCCATTATTTTGACCTCCACCACCACCCCCCAAGCCAGATAGAGACTGCCAGGCCATCTCGTTCCCCAGGCCCAGGCCAGTCCCTCTTTTATAACCTAAAACCCGCCTTGTGCGCTAAAATCGCACCTAAACTCGAGGGCACGATGAGCATTTGTTAATCGTCGCAGGCGCAAGATATGTTGATTGGTCGCCAAAGACAACGAGGCTTTAAATTTTTCCAGCAAACTACCAATGCTCAATTGAACATATTCGCGCAAACAAGATTTGCTTGAGATAAATGAAGTATAACAGAGTCCAGGGGGTAACACAACTAATAAATCTTTAAAAACTCTTTATGATGCTTCTGTACAAGATCGTCGCATGAGTGAAACGTGGGACATTAAAATCATAAGAAGAGGAACTGAAGAAGGGCGTTTCTTACCCAAATAGAGCTTCCAACCAAGCCAACTATTCTAAATCCTGTCGTCAGGCCGCTTTTAAGGCCAAAAATGATTTGCTTGGCTTGGGGTTATTGTTTATTTTAAGGTATGGATGATGCCGGCTTTAACTTGAAATGGTCATAGCTCCCATCTAATCTTTCTTTGGTGATATTTGTACCTGAATGAGTTCTAAGTAGAGTGAATGGTCGAGTGTTCTTTACCCCTTTCTCATAGATGTATGTATATAAGAGAGAAATACGTGGTAGCAAATCCATGGTATAAATATACCGGGGACTAATATATATAGAACTATACATAACCAAGATGTACCTTTCTACTATCAACCATTTTGCTATCTATCTGAGTAACCTAATGAACACCTAGGATCCAAGCAATACTCGTCAAAAGGGGGTCTATGAAGATAAGCTAATGGATTGACGATCTATGTAAGGGTGTTTCTTCAAAGCGCAGCGACCTTGAAAAGTTTGGTACTTGTCCTCATCAAGGGAATCCCAAGAGACAGATGAAGTGTAAATGTGCATCTCTATCATGCAAAGAGGATATGGAACTAGAGTATGATTGAAGTCGAAGATTAGTACGTAGCCTCGAGTACGTATTCTCCGGAAGTCTATCTCCCAATCCTAACCTAATCATGATAATGTCCTTCCAGACTCCGATCCCGTTCATAGGACATAGACCCTCCAAAGCCTTTATCTACACATCCATATCCCCAATCCCCATACCCCATACCCCATAGCGACACCTCCTAGCAACACCTCCCTTAAAATTCCAACTCCTCAACCTCCATCCCACACTCCACACAACTCTTCACACTCATTCCATCCTCATTCTCTACCGTCTGACCCCATTCATGTTCATGTTTCCCATTACTAATCACATCACCAAACTTTCCACCTTTGCCATCACCTGCCAAACCCCTCCTATACGCTTCGGTTCTCGTCTTCTTCTTTAACTCTTTCAATTTATTCTTAAACTTTTCCTCTTTCCTCTTCTTCTTTTCCGTTTCTCTTTTCTCAAACTCTTCGTCTAATGCTTCCGCGCTTCCCCATTTCGTTTTAAATGCATATTCCTCAACTTGGTAGCGTAAGAATAACATCATATCATGCCAGTGCGATTTATGTGGATTGGGCTTATTGAGATGTGGTAAGAGTTCACCATCTTTCAACTCCGCTACAAAGAATATTAGCTCAAGTCTATCATCGTGTATAATCAACAAGACTCACGATCCGTAATAAGATAATCTTCCTTCGCCTCCGTTTTAGTTAATAAACTATATTTCTCCGGAAACTTTTCCTTGCACAGGTTACAAACCATACACTTAAAAACCTCATCCCACACAAAATCAATCTCCAAACTCCCACACTCTCTACACTTTTTATCGCCCTTCCCCAGCACACTCAATCCTGGCTCAAAAGGTCCCTCTTTCCTGTTTCTCAACCCTTTCAACAACTGATGTCTCTCCCATTCCTTCAATGTCATATGTGCTGGTTTCTCCCCCTCTTTCGGTGCATGTAAAGCCTTATTCCACGGATCATCTTCCGCAGCTAAAAATCCACCTTTTGTATCTGTCATCTTACTAAAATCATGATCAACATATTTCCGGAACTTCCGCGCCGCCTGTGGTGCGGTGTCATCGATTCGGGAATCTTTGGTAGATTGTCGCGCATCGCGGGAAGTCGCTGGGATGGACGAAGTTGAGATAGAGGAGTGAGTACGCTTTTGACCTGTGAGGGTTATATCTGGGGTGGCGACGAAGCCCGAGGGAGTGCGATTGGCATTGTTTGAGGAGAGTGCATTTTCACGAGCTATAGATTGTTCGCGAAGGGCTTTAGCCTTAAGTCGATTTTCTTCCTGGTGAAAGAGATTAACAAATGAGGGGTTAGATTGTCTGTATGGGTTGCCTTGAACTAACTATTCTTCTTTTGACTTCTGGTGTTGGTGGTGGTATGACTTGAGATCTAGTTCTTGAAGTCCGCGGTGGAGTATTTGGTCTCTCCATAATGTGAGATTGTGTAGAATATGCTGGCAGTGAAATTGTTGAATTTTTATAAATTTATATAACAAGGCTGAAGGCAGAAAGTGGCAATAAGTTCCAAGAAATTCAGCCTCGGTGATTTTGTCTACGCTAAGGCTGGATTCGTCTATTCATATCTTCAAACGAATGATGTAGAAACTCACTGTGTTGGAAGAACTATAATGGTAGCGTAAACAGTGTATTGATAGAAGGGAATGTAGAAAGTAGTGATGGAATTAAAGGGCCGTCTCCATCTACTCGTCTCTATGATACAAGGGAGACATAAAATCTCTTGCCCCATCCATCCCCCAATTTTACCGCCATATCCCTGGATTTTAAGGTCCAAACCCCAATCCCCTGATTCCCCATTCCTTGAAAACATTATATCGTGTATGTCTGACGCTTGAGCATCTATTCGTCCTTAACACCCCCACGACCTGCCTTCTCAGCTGCCTCAATAGTCTTCTTATCTTGTGTTGGGGAAGCTCCTCCTTGAAGGCTGCTCATCAAACCAGCTGGTGCCTTGAATGGTCTCTTCAAATCTCCAGAAGCTGCTTGTCCGAAAAGATGAATCTTGACCTCATTTCCTTCTAATGCGCCCTTGAGTGGAATGATAGATTGGATCATGAGAGGGTTGGTGTATTTGAAGTACAAGTGCATAACGGCCATCATTCCAACACCCATCAATTGTGCCTTGTATAGTGCTTTCATTTGATCGCTATCGTATTTGTGAACGGTGGTGGTGACGAGCTTTGGCTCTTCGGCGGAACCCATTTGAGGTTGCTCGACGTACTTAAGAGTAGTCATATCTATGCCAACAGTCAGCATCTATGGTAGTATGCATACTAAACTAGGCTACTTACCCTTCTTCTTATTGATCAAGTATTGGGTATACGCGTAAATGCCAGCGATGATGACGTTTGATAGAATATAAATGCCACGAACAATCATCAGAACGTTAGGGTCCTCAAGAGGAACACGCTTGGAGACTTGCATCATCCCGAGGATGATGACCAAGTTGGTTCTATTCGCAATTCGTCAGTAACAAGACCAAAAAGGTGAGGGTAGTTCTAGTAATTTTATCATACACTTGAGGACTGAGAGCCATTTTGTCTGTTTGCAAGTACAAATTTGATGTGAGATAAAATGAAGAAGTGCTTTAGAAGATCGTAATTGAATGCGACCAAATGATACTTCAAAGGGGATATTGGATAAATAGGACTGTTGGACTTTTGGGTGGACTTTATGTTGAAGTCTTTGATTTGAGAAATTGAGAAATTGAGAAATTGACAGATCCCAGGAAATAATTTTGACGAGTTGGAGAGAAGAAAATCGTCACGATTAGAAGCGGCGGCCCTGACAAATACACCGTTCCGCGTCGAAGCTTGCCTAACAAAGTCTAGCTGAGGACAGATTTGATTTTATGTTTCACTATTTTCCCCCGCCATTATCAAATTTTATACTAATTCTGTTCTGATCTTCAAATATTCCAAACTATATCAAGCAATCTATCCATCATCTACTATCATGTTCGGCCACCATCAACTACTAGGGACTTACCAGAGTAAAATTATCTCGGGATTTCGTCACGAGATTGTGAGCGTTAACATATGTAAGGAGTAAGTAAGTCTTACAAAGCCACATTTCCTGAAAGAATACAATGCATTCTTCGTGGGAATGAAACAGCTTTGATATATTCAGCCAACAACTATACAAAAACAATTTACTTTGGGATCCCTCTATAACTCAACTGAGTCCTAGATCTAGAGCGAATCCTTTAGTAACTTCATCGCCCCGAAAGCTGTCCCCCGTCTCTACTCTATCCCAAACCTGCCCACGTCGTCTTAAATGCCTTGGCGTACTAGATTTTTGTGAATATAAACCTGGACGTGTTGTTGCTTCCACCGCCTTCTCCTGCTCTTGCTCCGAAGCTTTTACCTCAAGCATTGGAACCGAATTATGCGTCGAGGCTGAATGTGGCAAAGGGTGATGCTGAATTTCGTGTGTGTTGGTCGCGCGCTTTTGCACGGCGGGCGTCCTTCTCGGGCGGTAAGAATATTCCGGCGCCAATGCAGAGATGTCTACAAGGCCAATCAGATCTGAATCTTTCGGTTTGATACCCGTTGTGCCCTTATCTATCTGCAGTAATCCAAGTGGACGTGCCGTGGGATTTGACACTCTCGTGGCTTTCTTTATCACTTTTTTCTGGACTTTGTCATGGGTATCTCCGTGGCCGTTCGAATAGTTTAGTACTGTTTGTGTTGTGGTTAAAGCCATACCAATCATGTGATTCGGTTGTAATGGCGTATATGATTGACGAGGGTTATAGTTGATATCATATACTCTCGCGCTTTCCGGCTCGCCATATGCCGCATTCAAATTTGACTCTTTGGCAAACGCCCTGGATGGGGCTGGGTCGACGGGTTTCGGGGAGATCGGATGTACACGGGGAACTGAATTTGACGCAAGGGGATTATTTCTAGTGCCCCGTGCCCTTACGGCCTTAATGAATGTAGCGGTTGCTTTGGAAACCTCCCTGCCACTAACGAGAAATGTCAGTGTTTGCTTTCCTGCTCTCAATAATCACCTCCTATTGAAGTGCATCTACAAACGTGTTTGACTTGGTTTCTACATACCTTGATGACACTGCATGTTTGCCACGAGCACCACTAGGACCAGGAGTGCAGATCCTTTGCACACAGCCTGGTATTTGTCGAATTTTATCACGAAGTGGGTTAAAAGCCCTCAAGTCCTTGGAACGAGGACGATATCGTAGGCACCTTCGCCACATTGGTACTGAGTCTACTCTCTCGTAAAGAGCATCGCTGGAACCACGCTTAGGATTGATGATATTGAACTTTTGTGGATTTAACATATTTTCTAAGCTCGTTGTACTCTTGACCTGTTTTAGGAGGAAGTCGAGGGAAATGACCTTTTTAAATGTATTGCTTAATCATGAGTCCATCATTTAGTTGACTCCTGTTAAGTTTATTAACCAGTCATTGGTAGGTAATTTGGGAATTGTTCTTTTATTACTGTGAAGTCACAGTCATCACATTCATTGATGTTGATTTTGAATGAAAATTATTCTCTACATCTGAACTACTTCAGTGAAGACTAGTGTTGAAGAGGATAATTTCGCACGCCTTGAACCCAGGCAGCAGGATGTATATGATATTGTCAAACAAAATTCACTTGTTTCCTCGTGGATACCATTCTCATGAGGATGGTCAGTAGAAAGTCCCCTGGCGCAACAAAGTTAAAGTTATGCTGATGGAGAACGAATGCCATTTATACAAAATCAAATCATTTAAGTAGGACGATTTTGACTCCGATGCTTTGATGGAGGACCGGGTTGAGGGCCTTTCGCCCGCCTTTTTCTGGATGCCGTCGTTTTTTTAGGTGGTCCAGGCAATTTTCGAACAATACCTTTAGGACCGAGGCTACAATTATCAGCAAGCTACGTATAAAAACAGACTATCCAAAACTTACACAAATCGAGGCTGCACCCCGGCTCGTATACATGCTTCGAAAACATCCCTTGAAAGAGGATTACCACGATTATTATCCACCAACCAATTGTTACACAAAGTTCGAAAAATCTCCACATCGGCGTCCCAAAAATCTAGTCTGTACCAAGGTTCTTTTCTATCGGTTAAATAAATCATACTGGCATTGAAGAAAGACTCTGCTTGTTCTCCTGATATATTCACTTGCACCTGGGTATCTGGAGTTGCTAAGTTCGTGGACCATCCGTTACTAAGTATTCGGAGAATCGCATGGTATGGAGTAGGCAATTTTCCGTTCTTCTCACGAATTCTACTTTGTTAGTCATATATGTTATGGCACATAATTGTGGGGATCTTACTGAAATAATTCCATGCGCTCGGTACAGGTTAAGAGAAATTCCCTCCATTCTTCTGCGCTTAAATTTATTCCGCCGTTTCTACGTATGTACTGATGGAGGGTATGTTCTGGCATTCTGAATTTCATCGTATCAATAGCCAATTCTCTCTTTTGATTGATTAAATAGTTTTTGATCTCATCATAGCGTAGGCAAAAAGGTACTTCTTCGTTATCTTCGTCTTCCTCGTCCTCCCCTTCATCGTCGTCATCCTCATAGTCATCAGGTGGCAGTGATGGTGGCCAGTATGCGACTGGAAAACTACTTTCTAGATTTCCATGAGCAATCAGTGCATCTCTGATTTGGTATGCGCGCTGCTTATACGAGTTGCGTAACCATAGTGCGATATTTTGAACTTGATTCATGGGTCCCACTCCTACAATGGGATTTCCATCCATACTTTCGAATCCAACCGAGGGCGGTGCAGGGGGTTGGCCATCTAGTCTACTGATTGTTCTCTTTCCATAAATTTTTGGGATTTGTGTGCTTCTAGCTCCGAATCTATGTTTATAAGTTAATAACCTAAAATTTACGGTCTACAAGCAATTACCCACAACATTTTGTATGTACTCCACCATGATTGGTTTTGGATATCTATAAAATAACTTAAAGTTATTGGCCATACATGCGAGACTAAATAGTCTGGTGGCTTCCGGAAGAGAATCAGCGGATTCGTTGTTAATGATTCTGTATTGGATTTGTCAAATTCGCCGCTATATTAATTAGCCAACGAATCACGGAATCGAAGTGCAGAATTAGTTCCTACAGGTAAAATCCCATCGGCGGAATACCACGACACGGTACACTTTCTTCTCGCAAGAAATCTTGGGCGATTCCGCCAAATACCTGTTAAATATATCAGCTGATTGTGGAACGAAATCGGAGCTTGAGCTGAATGGTCATACAAAACTTTCCATGGAAAAACCCCTATCCCCAATCAGCAAATTGGCAGAACGGGGAATTTAGTTGGAGATAGTACATACAATTCAGAAGTTCTTTGGTGTTCAAACCAAGGTTCCAAATTCAGCCCAACTACATCCGCACCATCAACTCGAACACCCCATTTCCGCAAACAATCCCAAAAAGCATGCTATTCACAATCAGCATATCTTCCGCTCAAAATCTATATATGCATGCATGCAAAATCCAATAAAACTTACACAAAGCTCATGAAGTAAAGTCCCCGCAAATCTATACAAAACAATCAACCTCTCGGCCTCAGTAATCTTCTCATTAAACAACGGTTCCAAAATTTCAAAAGCCATCGAAATCCCAATTCCCTTTCGAGTAACTACATCCAGCGATCCATTCGTATTCGCAAATTCAAACTCATCAGGTAATCCCGATTTAGTATCCGTATGTCCACTACTCAAATCCAACGTCACATCATCCCTAAATCTTTCAAGCATTCCTTGAACACGTCTGCGCTCGGTTTCGTTCGCAGATATGTACGGTGCTCGAAGTTTGAACTTTCGATATCCTTTTTTGCCCCGTAATTCTGCAGGTAAATCAATTCCGTCTATTTCTTCCATTTCTCCAAGGAATAATGCATCGAACCTGCCCGATTAATTAGCTTTTTCTCTCTCTTATCAGTACAACAATAACAGAGATATCTCACCAAGGCCAAGTATACAAATTTGCCAAGAACATCGTCGTTAATTGTAAAGCCGGCACCATCAATTTCCAAACCGTATCATTTTCCCACTATCATCTCAGATTATCAGCATGCATACATATATCTAGCAATCCCCCAAAGAAAAGAACTCCTTCTTACAGCATCCCAATATCCCTCCCGTCCATTCCCAAGCGGATATCGAGCTAATTGCGCAGGTAATTTTCGTCTCCATTTCGTTCTTTGTATAATAGGATGAATAGGACATGTTAATTTTCCCGTAGCTTTAGCTTGGGAATATGGAGCAAATGCATCGTGGAGATGGAGTTCTTGTGTAGTGAAACCTGATTTTATCTCATTAGTTTCTAGTCTGTTGCAGCTTTTTGAATCACGATTGGGATATCGGGGGAAAAGGAAAATATACCCCCGAATCTTTCGGCTTGATACCATTTTAAATCCTGATGAGCTTTATGTTTGTAGTAATTATCGTAGGGTGGTGGTGTAATGGGAGTAATACCACTTTTTAGTAAGCCGGGGAGTCGTTTCAGGGGCTTGTGTTCTTCGCCTGTGGGATGAGTGTGTGATTCTGCGAGGTGGGTATATATTGATGCTTTAGCGGCCATCTTATATCGTGGTTAGTCTTAGGCTCGAAGAATCTGTAAGTAGGTAGGTAGGTAAGATCAAGATATCATAATTTCTCATGTATTTTTTTTCGAGGAAGTCTTGATTGTTTACAGGTAAATTCCATTGTTAGATGGAGTGAGACTCGAATGTGAGGTCCTTCCTTTGTTGTGCATAATTTTATCTAGGAAGATTCTTTACCGGTGGATTTTCTTTGTATATTTTGAAAGCTATCTATTCTTTATACATTGCTTGATCTTACACTTTTAGATTTGTCTTGATGACTACTTTGATCTCTTCTTAGTTATACAAAAAATTGTAATTAAGTCTTACAAATTGAGCCGAACACAAACGCATCTTTTATGTGCCAGATTACGATTACTTCAAGGCCTTTAACTTCAAAATATTCCCTAGCGGGTAGTTTATAAATCACTAGGAAGAAAATAGTAATAAAGATAATAACGAATTATGAAGTAAAATCCAAAGAAAAGTATAGACGTAGACAATTTTACCGCAGAGCAGATAGGAAGGGATCTTGCACCGCAAGAAACCTGAGACATCAATCAAAAACGAGATTCATGGAGAAAAAAAAAAGAGAGACTATGCAACACATGAAGTATAGTTGTTTAAGGTGAAATTCAAAAAGGCAAGAAATAGAATCCTTCCGACATCCTGTTCGAATTTGAATAATGATTCAATAACAGTCCGAGATCCGGCGACCTTACCGGAAAGAATCTCTAGGATACATGGAACATATCTCATCTACTCCGATCGAAAGCAAACCGTAGTAGACTTTAGCTAGCTAGCTGATGGCTAGTTAGTATTTTGGAACGGTGCTTGAACTAATGAAGATAGTAGAGGTCGAGGTGGACTTAGTTTGGAGCTTGTGGGAAAAAAAAAAGGGAAAGAAACTTGGTCTATGATGCCAACACCACAGCTTTTTGGATATTGCAATCATACCAAATGTCATTTATGGGCGCTCTATATATTCACACCAGCACACCCGAGTACCACACCAAGATATGGCTGTTTGGGCGAAGATGCTACTCTTCATTCTGTGCTCGATGAACGATGCCCAAATTAGACTTCGAAGAAGACAATTACAAACAGCTCCAAAAAATTGACATGACCTAACTCAAGCTTAAGGCGAAAGTCAATTATCAGACTAGACCCCAAGAGACCTGCTAATAAGATCACGACATCGTGTCTACATCTAAGTGGAAAAGAAATCGGAATCGAAATCGAAATCGAAGAGAACTAAACCTCAAAACAAGCCAAACGGTAGGCTAAAAATAAACCTACGTAAAGTTAGCTAAACTAAAACATATCAACTAGAACCTCTTCATACTATACATAGTATCTACTTGTCAAGCACTCGCAGCTATACTGAATACATCAAGACTAAGCCATCTTTAGCAACCACTTAGTTGCCCGTGTAATAGTAGGATAGAAAACGTCGAATGCTAATTTACAAGTCTGTGCATGAGTACTCATTCTCAAAGTATATATGTTTTTGAAATTTCCCACCTTGAAATATTTGTTTCGTTCTTTTGTCCATCGTATTTTATTTCTTCCGTACCCAAAATCTTCAATCTTCTTGAATTTACCGGTTTAGTTATATCCGCTATATCTCCATATAGTGTCTCGTTCCTAAACTTCTTACTCATCATACACCCATATTCCTGCTACGTAAATTTAAGCCTTCGATTCCCCCTACTCATCTCCACGCCAGTTCAGGACACTCTCCTGTCCATTATCTTGTCATACACATATCATCCTAATCAGAATTCTGATACATTGATCCGATCCATCAACCTCAAACTTCCACAATACTTCCATATTCAAGTCATTTCCTCACAACATATCAAAATGACATCCTTATCCGAATGCAAACTTCTCGCAAAAATATGGTGCTCACCAACACCAAAAGCACCACTCATCAAAGCACTTCACAGTGCATGTCTAACCTACCTCGAATCAACAAAACTATATCAGGATCCCGAAGCCTGGCCAATACTCCCACCAATCAAAAATATCCAACAACTACCAAGCGAGATACTAAGCCTGATCATGGAAAATCTGACACCAGTGGATAAAGGCAGACTGCGAGTCACAAATCATTTTTACCACGCCACGATCCCACGTCCTACAGTAACTCATGAAGATCTCCTTGCTGCCGAATCGCAAGATTATGAGCAAAAGAATCATTTGTTGGCATGCGGGATATGCTGCCGCCTGCGACATATTTCCAATTTTGGAAATGTGCAGATAACAGGAAGAAGGGCTCGCAGCGGGCCACAGCGCCACAAACGTTTCTGTTTGGATTGTGGAGTTAAAAAGTTGTTTTATAGGCCTGATGGGTATATTTATGTAGGAACAAATGAGATAAGGCTTTGTCCTGAACATAGGAGGTTCGAATGCACAGCCCGCTGTCTGTCACATAAAAATAAGGGTTCTTGGGACCGAGCCAGTTGGCGGGAGCAAATAAACCTATCTTACTCAAAATGCCTCTTACCGAAGGGTGAAAAGCTAAGTAGGGCTCTGAAAGAGGAAGAATTACACGAGAAGTTTAAGGAGATAGTACAACATTCGCACTGATGCCTCGGAAACTTAGGAAGGTCGATAAAATGCTCGTATCAAATTGAGGATCGCTAAAAGAGAGCTAGGAGAGGACGAAACTCAGTTACAAAAGTGTATCGATGAGCTATTGATCAACGACCCCAACGGCCATGTCAGATCACGACTACTTTTCCGGCTACGTACCATGCGAGGAACCTCATACGCGATATCGGAGCTTTGATGAGAAAAGAAGGCGCGAAACAGGATTTGACATAACAACTTCGGATTCACTTTCTTCGAGGAGCCTAGTGAAGAGCAGGGAAAAGTAAAGGCACAAAGAAAGAAAAGAGAGATAGCTCGTGATAGGATTGGTGAAGCACATATCTCGAAGACATTGTGAAAGACTGAAAGTGGAGTCGCGGATTGAGGGTTCTTCCAAACTACCTCTCTCCAGCAAATTTATGGGCGACATAAAACCATAGATCCTAAAGAGATCTTAACTATCATTCACAACAACCAAGGTCCTCTGATACAGAAGTTAGAATATGCATTTTACTCGCAAATCATGCTATTCTCGCACTCTGTCCATCCTCCACTAACAGATCACGGTACATCGAACGACCTATTCATCCCATCCCGCACGTACTAAAATATCAACCATCACCAAGACATCTTAAGCAACCTTCTTAACCTCTTCTCCAAAGACAAGTAAAGGTTGCACCGAGCTAAAATTGGGTACATCACTCATAATAGCTGGTGCCTCCACGGCTCCATTAGCCCATGCTTCCTTACTCTCGAACCAGAGGAGTGCCTGCCTATACTCAATTCATCAGCAACCACGCCAATTCGACTTTGTCCACCCAACGCTTCACGTCTTCTGAAGCACGAATACCCTGGGAAAAATGAAGAAATTTGGGGATAAGAGAAGCACAGCAAACAAGAATTGAGAGAAACATACATAGAATACCCTGTACTCTCATCCAACTTTGTGACGGTCCAATTTTTCAATCCATGGGGACCCCATTTCTCTTGTACGAGTGGTATATGTGTCTTCATGTAATAATCCAAATCGAAAGTTGAGGTTTCGGTTTTGGGGTATATGACGGTGACGATGAAGGACATTTTGAAGGATTTTCTTCTTCTTTGGAACAGGAAGTAGGTGTGTTGGAAATGCGAGTTGAATCTTTTTCGTTGTAGATGATTGACGTTGTTTCTTGAAAGGTTTTGAAGTTGAGAAATAGAAGAAGAGAAAAAGAGGGGTGTGGATGTGGATGTTGACAGCACGCACGGTCAAATAACCCCGCACAGCGGAGTACGATTCTACCGACAACGGACGTTTGATAAATTCCTATCACCGGTTGTCTTACCAAGTGCGATTTAAGAGGGATTGTACGATTGTACTCTGTATAACCCGACGACAATGAAATGTTGTGTGTGGTTGGGACAAGGAATGAGTTCTATGCAGTGTGATGATCTGGGATGTTAGGGTCATATCACGTGCGTAGGAATGGAAGGAGCGATGGGATAGGATGAGATCTAGATGGGATGGTTAAGGATCGCCTAGCTTCCCATTTGAACGGGAGAGGTCTTCTTGATTTGTGTACCTTGGTGATTTTGGCCTTACGTAGAGGTCGATCTTGGGATTTCGACGTTTAAATAGATAATGAAATTCCAATACGAATGCCTAAACCAATAACCTTTCCTCCCTGCGACATGTATAATGCATCTCTCTACCATGTGAAAATATAGTCCCACAAGATATCCAACGCTCAATATCATGCTCTATCTCTCCATCACGTCTGGCTACATACCCACTCTGTAAGTGTATTCCGTCCCAACCCCTCTGGACCATTCTCTGACCAAAAGAATTTCTATCCAACCCCATTCCAAGAGAAGTTAAATTTTCATTATTATTTAGAGCTTGTGGTTCATCTGGTCGTGAATAATCTGATTCGTAACCTGAAAGATGTTGGGGTGCCATATTCCGCGATTGTGTATCTAAATGTTATTAGCTCTCAGAACAAACAAAGCGAAAAATGGTGATTCATATTACCCGTACCATATTTTGCCATATCCATAGTTCTCAAATTCCTATAATTCCTCAAACTCGCAGACCAGGTCTCATTCATGAAGTTTCCACTCTTGTTCGGTGTAGGTTGTGCCATTCCCTTGAAAGGATAGGTAGAGAAAGATGTTCTTGGAATTTCCTTCCTTTTCTGTTTCCATGGTAGCCAGGAAAGTGAGGAGATTGTTGTTGGTTTCTCACTCCTTTTGCTGGCTCTCTTCCGACGACTTCGTAGCCACCATGATATAAATGCGAAAATCAAGATGAAAGCAACTCCACCGCTGGTGCCCCAGGCCACAAGTTTGGTATCCGTAGTTGTGTCGGGAGGAAGAGTGCTGGTGACAGGGGATGGTGATGTGGAACTAGCTGCTCGGTGACTTGAAGATGCGGAATCAAGATAGCTCGAACTGGTAACTGTTCTGGCTGTGGATAAAGACGTGGAATAGTTGGGATAAATAGAATCTGATAAGCTGTAAGGAACTGTATACACCGAGATCCGGACAGCTGTGAATGTCAATACCGATGTTACAGTTACAATATTTGGCTTGGTTGTTATGACAGTGCCGTTTTTGTCAGCATTGCTGACGTGTGTTGATGATAGGTTCAATAGAGTGGCTCCAGTGCGCAGCGCTGTATCGGATGTCGGCAGACAGGAAAGTGATGTCGACACATTTTCATTTCTCGACATTGTATACTGCGAAGATGTTCGCGTTGAGTAGGCGGTATCATTCCAAAGTGTACTCCCTGGTGACCCCTTGTGTGTCGATGATGAAGAATCAATGCTGAAGGCTTCAGGGATATTCGTCATCGAAATCGTAGAGAGCAGAGAAGTAGCTACTGGAAAGGTAGCTGTCGGCAGAGTAGTGTTGAACGAGCCAGTAAAGTTCAAAGCAGTGGTCACAGCTTTGGAAGTCGCAGGATGTAGCTGGGATTGAGGGCAACGCGTAGCATTTGTTGAACATGGATTGATATCACAACAACCTTGAAACGAAGGATTATGACTTGCACATATCCATCAACTTCCAGAAGAACAATATACGTTTGGATAATAAGAGCCAAGACTAAAAGATGCTTCTTGTCCTGCAAGTCCAAGTCCTAGCCCGGCAGCTCGAAGATCTGCTGCCGGGCAGCCTTTATTGTTGCATGGGTTACTTGTGCAGCATCCCAGGAAGGTTGGCGTTTGAGATGTACAGGTATACCTATAGTTCCATGACTTAGTGCTGGTGTAAAAATGATGGGTAAGGGAACTCACCACTAGAAATTTTTGTGGTCAGTACAATCCCTTAAAAAAGGATATGAAGGATGAAGTAGGCCGGAAAATTTCTAGCGGTGGATATAAAATAAAGGATGGGTTGTACTCACGAGACCACCTAAAGGACAAGAGCCCATAGTATTGCTTGCCATAACACCAAGAATATGAGGATGAGCTGGGTAGGGTAAGTTGTTTGGATGAACTTTATTGTATCCGGAGTCGGAAGAAAGATTAAGAAACAGCTGGAAGATATTATTTAACGGGATTTGATTTTCAGTTCGCTTCTCACCAAAGAAATGTTTGAGAAAGATATAGAAGTCGATCGGGCCAAGAAAAGGTTGCTAAATTTGTGAATGGAAAGAAAAGATCACAAGCAGTTTATTCACCCTCCTTTTATATGATGCCATTTAAACATTCGGGATTCTACTTGAAAAAATCGTAATGATTACTGAAATAAATCTTGTGTGAATAATAACGTAGTTGTATGATTTCCTTGAAGCAGATCTGAAACGAATAGACAATGAAATCAAAGAAACTCCATCATTTCTCCGGACACGTCCCAGCGTTTTTTTAATCCATCTCACGCCCTAGCAAGCCCTAACTTCAACAATTAATGCTGCGGCAAATATCTTCCGAAGTATCTGGCATCTCCACTGCCCCTGGTAGAGAAGCAAACTGCCGTTGCTGCAGGGGTGGGGATTCCACTTCATTCAAAATGGTAGAGTCAATCTCATGGTAATTAGAGAGCTCCGGGGAGTGAGGTGCTGATTGGTATGGTGGAGCAGGACTTTGAGGTGGTGAAAATGGTGTATGGGACATCGGACGATAACCTACTGAATAATTAGTATACATGAAATCTTTGCATTTTGAAGGAGTCAAAATAACCTTTTGGGAGAACTTTGCCGTCTGGAGGACTGGATTCATAAACAAAGTATGGCGGAGTTCCTTTAGCCATAGAAATGTCTTGTGAGGCTTGATAATATGGTTCAATTAATCCTGCTGACGGAGCTCTCTTTCTGCGTCGTTGAAAGCAAAAAACACTCAGCAGGACAAGTAGAATAACAACGACTCCACCTAGAGCACTTCCTACAATTGCAGCAAGGGGTAATTTTGGATCTGAATTATGTCCAATCGGATCCACCGTCGCACTCGTTGTGGCTGATGCCCGAGATGATGCACTTTGTGGCGTGGAACTGGTGCCAAAAGTGGGGTTTGTTGTTGAAGATGGTGAAACCGAAGGTGAAGAGATGAATGAAGATAAAGTTGAAGATGATGAGGCTAGGGAAGACGAAATCTTCGAGGAAGTAATAGAGGGAATTGTAGCTGGAACGGTTTTAAATGCCGCAGCATAGAGTCTGTCATTGGGACAACCGTTGTTACGACATGGATCAAAGCCACTGCTATTGGCACAGCAACCTTGGAAAGACGGCGACTGCTTAGAGCAAGTGAACCAAACTCCTCCGTTTGGACAATCGGCATTTGGGTAGTATGATCCATCGTTGCCAGGAGCATCGGGGCCACCTGCCGTTCCCATTCCTGCAGCCGTGAGATCGTTTTCAGGGCAACCAATTCCGTTGCATGGATTGCTTAAGCAACATCCAAAAAATGTTGGTGACTGTACCTCACATATCCACCTGAAAGTATAAATTATTTAGTAGCAACTGGAACTCCTCGAAAAGGATGAAACATACCACTTACCACCCAGGGGACAAGATCCCATAGGGGTACCTGTAGACATTTTGTTTGACTTTGATTGATAAATGATAAATGACGAAGATTTTTCAACGGAGATGTCTTAAATGGATCAATCAGAGCCTGGAGTAGATTCAAATTTCCATATATCGAGCATGGATGTGAAGGAGATGAATATGAATAGTCTGGAGACGAGATATCTGGGAAGTCTTGTCCCGCAAGCCTGTTATAAAGGGCACCAAAGATAATAGCGGCTTGTGAAACTACTAGTAACAGCACCAAGACTTTGGTATTCTACTAATTTATTGGGAAGATGTTCTATCAGTGGTAGTACCAAGAGCTCCAGGTGTAAGCAAGAGTGATGGGTCGTACAACAAACTGCAACTTGCGCTGCCATTACCCGCTACGATGTTTGTGTTTGCATTTGCTGGCAGATGCTACCTCTCCAAGTCCAAAAAAAGAAAGTTGCAGACAATGCAACGAATGATCGTACCCGAAAGAAATAAGTGTTAATTAGTCTTCATTCAATGGTAGACACATTCGAGATAATTTTCATGGTGAATGATTCCAGTGGCCCTACAAACAGGCGGCCGTTTAACAATGAACGTTTCCTTTTGATGTCCTAAATGCTAGGCATGTAGTTTGTAGGAATACTAGAAACCCGGCCCAATCAAGTCAAGAAAAACATGTTGGATGATGACTGTATAAAGCTCGACAATACTACAGGCTGGGTTTATGTGATAAGGCTGTGGATTCGATTCTTGACTGGCTCCTCAAAACATGCTTAACTGATCATATTTAGAGAGCTGCAAGCACATGGCGCAGCTCACAATTTCCGGAAAATCTTTCATACAAGCCCTGCCGATTGACACTTGAATTTCCGGTTGGCTTTCATATTTCCAACAATTTTTCAGATAAAACGATTGAGTATGCCTTGTCCCACAGACTTTGTGGTACCTGGTCCTCATCGAGGTGGTATGATTCTTCCGGTGATACCGATTGACACAACTTGACAGTAATTTGTCTCTCCAGGCCAAATCAACCTAGTAACTGCAGGATACCAGGCTTGTGAGTTATGAACATGCGGGGGACGCTCAAGCTTGACCTAGAGAGTTTAGGATATATAGCAGTCACGGTCGACGTTAATCCAGCTCTTTCCGTTTCGAGTTGCAGGTATACAATAACTACTAGGTAGATTGACGCCATTCATCGAACTACAAGATTAACTCGAGATGAAGTTCAAAATAATAAGAACAATGCATAATCGATGTAGCTAAATGAGTTGCTCGTACGACGTTGTACCTATATAATGGCTTCCATGAGGGTGCCACGTGCTTTGAAGCACACTAGACTGGGTTAGGTCTAGATTAAATTCACGGCATGCGTGACATAACTCACCGGCCTCAGTATATCAAGATCAACCGCAAAAACTTCCGAGAAGAATGATTGGGCTATTTGGGACCTTGGTACAAGCGATATCATGTTTGATATCAAGTGCGAGAGCTTCTGATCTGACATACGTCAAATACTCCCGAAAGAAAATCCCTGGACCCGGTCTTAGTCAGACTCCTTCATGTTGACCCAATTTTTGATGACAGGAAGGTCCAGCGGGTATGGACGCTCCGCGGAGACGGGGATGGTCGCGGACTTGTCACTCACGTGTGCGGATATAACGAGATTATATCTTCCTGTCTGTAGAACTTGGTGTATTCGCGTTTATGTCTTTTTAAAGTCGGAGTGGCTAAAAACGTACCCAATTCCAGTACCACGTGGGGATAATAGCTATCACCACTTCAAGCACCATCTCAAGTGACCAGTCTCCATCATGAGCGTCTCCGAGCTTATAAATTCTATCAATGCCGCTACTGGCAAAGCTAGTGAATTGAATGAAGAAGATAGAGGAAAGCTTCTTCGTGCTTGTGGAAAACTCCAATCAAGCTTGGAGGGTCCTAGAGATAAGTTGATGAGGATAATCTTCTCCGTAAGTGTTATATTTCAATACTCGGATTGCTTCTAACGTATAGCTAGTCACTTGAACCATTGGCACTTAGGCTCGCTGTCGACATGGAAATATTTGATACGGCAGCTACTTTATCCGCGGCAGGCAAAGAAATCCGAGCTGAGGATCTAGTTGTTCCAAAAGATGCTGATACTTTGCTTGTTGGTGAGTTCCATGTTGCTCGTAGTAAAAATTATCAAAAGGCTCACTTCATCGCAGTTCGAGTTATGAGACTTCTTGTTGGAATGGGTTTCTTTGTCGAAACAAACGGGGAAACTTATGTACCAACACCACTAGCAAGCGCTTTCGTCACATCCTCTCCGTACAGCCAGGCAATAATTCATTTGTATATTCCATAATTTCCAAGTATCTTCTTTGAATCTAACACTTGCTTAGCACGACCCAAAACGAAGTAGTAACCTCTCTCCCAACATACTTTGCCAAAACTGGCTACAAGAACCCCAATGATGCATTCAATGGCCCATTCCAGTTTGCTCGACAAACGGAACTCCATTGTTTTGACTGGATAGCTACTCAACCCCGTCTCCAAAATGCTTTCAACACTGTAATGACTATCCCGCGTAATATTGGTCGTACAGCATGGTACAAATACTTCCCCGTTCCAGAAAAACTCGTTGCAGCATCGCCTACCGACCCACTTATTATTGATATTGGAGGAGGTATCGGACATGATTTGATACGTTTCAAGGAAGCAAATCCAGAAATTCAGGGAAGACTCATCGTGCAAGATATACCAGTTGTGATTTCTGGTATAGCACCAGGCTCACTTCCTGAGGGCATTGAAGCTCAACCCCACGATTTTTTTAAACCACAGCCGATTCAAAACGCCAAAGCTTATTTCCTTGCCAATGTCTTGCACGATTGGCCTGATAAACAAGCTTCTATTATCCTTGAACAGATAAGAGACGCGATGGCGGAGGATAGTATGTTATTGATCAATGAGAATTTGATGAAAGAAGAGAATGCTTCATTTGAGAGTGCGTGTACAGATTGGACAATGATGGGTGGATTTTCGGCATTAGAAAGAACGGAGAGACAATTTAAGGAGTTAATTGAGAGTGTGGGGTTGGTATTAGTGAAGGTTTGGGGTGCACGAAATGTGGAGAATGGACCGTGGGAGGGAAGGAGATTGTTGGAAGTCAAAAAAGGATAAATAATTGGTGATTTTTCGCTAGAGTAAATAGCGGATTTCGGTAATGTATTAGTAGATGTAGGATATCTCAACTCAATATGATTTCCCATTCCATTCTATATATATCATTTTGTTCTATTTCATCTTCACAGCCCATCCTGTCTCATTCCATTCAAAAGTACTTACCAAGGAAAGAAGAAGAAAGATTCTTTGTCACTGAATCTAGAGGCACTACGGATGACTACTACCACACATCTCAAAAGCTTTGTTGCACATCCATCTACAAAGCTCATATAGCCGCTAAATAATTTATCCTCCATTCACTAGAACAGTATCTGCATAGGTAACATACGCGTGGCCCGAGATTTTATACCAATGCCATAATCTTCTCCAAGTTGTTGCAGTTTCCAAGGAATATATGGCAACAGTTTGATATTAGCTTAAAAGCTGCTCGGATTCGAGTGACCAGAAATTCGCAAGGCTATTTCGAGGTTTGTTGCATATCTGCAAATTTGTATTACTGCAACAGGGTATACAACTGCGAAAAGGACATATTCCTCGCTAGAGTTGCTTTTGAATAGCTAGCAGATTCTGGATGAGAATCAGGGTTTGGAGAAAGTATAATGCTTAGCAAGAAGTAAGGTTTAGGGAAGTAAAGAAGTGAGCACTAATAATGGGCAGGTGATTTCGAGTGGTCATGGTCCGATACCAAACGAGTGAATCAAAGCATTTTCTTAACCTTGAAATAACCAACATGAATAACTCCAAAATTTCACAGCTGCCAGTTTCTCTTTTCCAATCATTCTTCCAAAGATTAATTTCTATTCCTATCTCTGTTCAACAAAATTCCATGACAAGTAAACCAGAACACTAATTAACTCAAACTCCATAAATCATGTGCGCTGAACATTTACTCATATATTGACTTGTGTAGCCATCAAACAACATTCATGCTTTACTCTACCACTGGAAGATTCATTTTACATCTTACTATGAATTGAAGTAGTCAGATGTCCTGCCTAGCATAACATATTAACATTTTTGAGTCATTGCCTCTCCGAACAGAATGACTGGGCAATACTACAAAAACACTCCTCGGATATTAACATTTAAGGTGTATGAATGTTCATATACCGGAATTCGTCTTATAGGAAGTATAAATCAATCAATCCCTGATTGATATGCAAGTAGGGAGTTAACTGGACGATGATTATTCACATGATGGTAAATGACGAATTAAGGAAGAATATTCATTAGTGAATTTGGTTTGTTAGAAAAATGGTTCATATTAAAATACAGTCACTGGTATCTTAAATCTACATTTACATCTACATTCCCATGACTCCAAGATACTCCATCAATAATAAGTACACAATGCGACTCCAAATAGTAATACACGAAAATATATCCCAACTTTCCCATCTCCTCATAAGTCCCTCCACCTCTACCTCCAACCACCAAAACATTCAACACCCAGCCCAAGAAAACAAAAAAGAACATAAAATAAAACATACCAAACCCTAATCCGAAAAAGTAACCGACACCTTCCCACCATTATTAAACCCCTGACAACCACCCGAAGGTTGGCCATCCGCAAGACCAAAAGTCGCACCCTTCTGACTTCCCGCCGAACAATTGATCAAAGAATACGTCCCCGCATTACCACAGGTATTTCCACTCTTGCAAGTGAAGACACACTTGGACATATTAGAGGTGCAACCACCGATTTCGATGGACATGGAATTTCCACCCATGTGGACTTCGCGAGAAACGTCTACCGTGGCATAGGCACCCGTGGTGAATTCTCCCCATGTATTGAAGATTTGACCATATTGGCTCAAGGTGGTCTTTTGATTGTAGAGACCTGCGAATCCGCCGGATACTCCATTTGCCATGGATATGGTGATGGATTGACCAGCGTTTAATGAATATGAAATTTGAGGCTTTCTAGCGTTCATGAAAGAGCTTTGGTAATCACCAGCAACTTGAGTCCAGACAATTGCAGTGACAGGAGCTTTTGCACTGTTCTTGAAGACGAATGTATTGGGTCCTTGGCTCCCGATCCAGACCCCGCCATTAGCAGCCTTTGCATTTGTTCCCATGCCGGCCATCCCGATAGTCGACATGTGTTTGCAATCCGTGGTGCTAAGGCCAGAGACAGGACTGGCACACGAGAAACCACGTTTCTCGAGAGTGCTCTCACTAAGTCGTTGTGTTAGAAAAATCAAAAGGATGATATGCATATGGTACTAACCCTGGAACTGCGGGAGCAGCCAGTGCAAGGGAGAGCAAGCTCATCCCGGCGAAGATACTTGAAGTAGAAAATAACATCTTGGGTATTTACTGAATTTTGTTGATATATAAATCTTAAATTGCGACGTTTGAGTTAAGTTGGATTGAAATGACTGTGGTAGAATCTAAAGGAGTGACTTTATATGAAACTTTGTAAAAAAAATTATGACTGAGAACAGGTGCGAAAAAAGGAGTGACAAAAATGAGTGACAAAAGGGTGAATGCAGAGATTGTGAAAAAATTCGAGTACTGTTTTACAAAGATTCAGACGCGGAAAGATAGAGCTACCGGTGGCTGCTTAAGTATAGGAACGAAACCGTCCATAACTCACTGCTGATAACTGGAATGCTGGCCCTCGGAGGAGGAATGTGCCCGCCAACAATAAGGAAAATGTAAATATTCCTAAATTACGTAGATTCAATCTATGAATACTACATCTCGTTTGAAAAAAGCTCCAGGAACGGCTCCGTCCCTGTCAGAATTCATTGAGAGGCCGGTCAAGACCATTACTTGACGTGAGGATGCTTCCAAATGTAACATCAGATCAAGAGGCCCAGAATGCTATTTTCAGCACGTGTATGCAGAGGGGAGCATCAAGCGAGAAGGTTTCGACTTGTTTGGTAAAATCAGCCAATCGAAAGGAGCAATCATGTCGTAAGGATTTGAGATGAGAAAAGCCCATGTCAATATCAATGAGATAATCTAATTTCCCGAGATCCCAATCGTGGGCTGTGTACTCGCACGAAACAAGCGAATATCACGATATCCGAACCCGAGATAAAAATCTTACGTTAGACCTTAATCTCTAGCAAATGTTACCTGTTATTGAAGAACAGACATCAAGGCTACGCCTTGTAGGAAGAAACATTTTTGTCAATGACCGTTTCCAAAATTATCTGAACATGCCATCCCGTGGCAGTAAAGGAAATTTCCAGCCCACAAGAAGCGCAAAGACACTTTTGATATTTGTCAAGAAGTGCAAGAACTGCAAGAACTGCAAGAACTGCATTTCTTGGCAGCCGCCGTCGACAAGCCCTCGATTTTGGCCTCGTGCGGGCATCTACATGTCTTGGCAAGCGCCGGTCAACAGCCCTCGAATTTGGCCTCATAACCATGTGTGCGTTTCAGTAACACAAAAGGTATGTTTGCTATCCAATACTCCGTATCCATACGCGTCATCAAATGGTTCAATCTGACCCGAATTGCAAGATTGGGCTGGATGGAATGTGTGGTGGATGGCTCAGCGAAAAGATAGGATTATGAAGCTGACTTGCCAATTGCTGGGAGATTTTGTTGACAAAATAATACACTTGGCTCGTGCACTTCCGCATTCGATTATAGAATGTGTATCCACGTGATTGATAAGAAATTACATGAATTCATTCCTCACGACAAATGATTCTTCGACGAAATGGTCCCGAATATCATATCATATTTACTGAGCATCAAGTTCGTAGTTATCGGTACTTTTCTTTTTCTAATCGTAAAAAGCAAGTTTGAAGTCCCGTGTTAGTAATCACGTGACAATATGAGACCGCCCGACCCTTACCTACAACCCATCCACTCAACTCCTCAATCTACTCGGTCTCTACTGAATGATACTCTACCTAGTAACAATAAACAAAATAAGTCCTAGATTTGAAATTCATCTACCTAGTAGTCTATCCATAATCTCCGTTCTTACACATCTATTAATCAGTGTTTGTTTTAGTACTCGGGCAGAACACCGAATATGATATGGAATTCTTTGATGACCAGCACATACGACCATAGACTGAGGAGAATTGGGCATCCCGTCCGCTCTGCCATACACAAGCCTCAGATCGGTAGATTAGTAGTTGGGTGGGTGACCACCAGCGAATCCCTACTGTTGTATGTTTTGTTTTACCTTTCTATTCTTTTTGGAGTTTTTGTTTTCAGAGAAGGTTGTTTGGTAAATGGTGTGAAGGGCGACGAAAGGATGTAGCCGAATACTCCAGTAGTGGTGAAAAATATTCTCTCCTATCTCAACCTGATAGTAGACGAGTCTCTTTTTGCTCACAAAGACCCTCCACATAAGCTTTCTCCTATTCATTCCCACCTCCTCTCCTTTTCTAACCGAAACTCAATATCCCCCTCAATGCCACGTCCCATTAGCTGGTCCAAATCTACCACTTTCAGGCAATTGTAACCACGGAAGTCCATTACCATCTGCTGTGTTGAGATAAACCGTATTACCTACATATCCCAAAATTAGTCACTCATTGTAACTTTTCCAAGCCCCATGTTCAACTGCTTAAAATATAAATCAATCAAAAAGAACTTACCCCACCAATCAGGAAACTGAGCTCCAGGATACGTGATGCAAAAGAATATGACAATTGCCGAAAGTGCAAGACCTGTATCGAGTGCAGCCGCTAAGACATAATTGTATTTGGCTTTTGAGTGTCAGTTTCAAACTCTTCGGGGAAGAAACGGATGGAGGTACTTACACCACCATGCGAACCATTTCGCTTTAATCCACCAGTTAAAGGTTAAGTTGACTAATGCCCAACTACTATAGTTGATTCCCGTAGCAGGCGGCACGTTATAAGTCCCGACGAAAATTAATGGCCAATTGATGAGTCGTATCCATTTCCTTTCTTCTCCATTGTTCTTTCTCCAGTACTTCCAAATAACCCAAGTAATAATTGGCATAATTGCACCGATCCAAAAGAAGTGCAAGAGACCGGAATAAATCTTTCCGATTGAATAAACGCGTCCGGGACCGATTGCTCCCCAGATAACAGATGAAGAAAAGGTTGTGCGGCCGTTCGGACATGTAAAACCATTCGATTGATCTTCTGAGCAGATATCTTTGACGTTTCCAAGCATCCAAAGAGTTACACCTACTTGTGTGAGAGCTCCAAGAATCTAGATTTTTGTTAGAAAATTGTCTGCAGCTGTGAGTGCGTGGATAAACTTACAGTGGCGCTTCCTTGTGCAAAAAAGAGCGTTCGAGGTGGAACTTTCATGTAATGGCCTAGCTTCATATCTTGTGCAAAGTACAGGCCTTGGCCCACTACATCGGTAGAAAGAACCTTGAAAATTATGTCTGTAGTTGGTCAATCAGATTGTCTCTTGTACAAACTTAAAGGTATACATACTTGCCAATGGTCGCCCAGTGAACATATATCCCCCAATGAATTCGGCTAAAACATTCAATTGGTTGGCATCCACATTTGTTATCCCTTGAATAATACCACATGGAATCATGTAAATTGCGGGAATGATTGCTGCTAGCAAAACAGCCCACCATGGTAAAGTCGTATGATAAACCTCGACCATTACAATACCTAGTATCATTATTATTATAGTAATAGCTCCATACCAATACCAAGGAGTTTGAGAATAGAGGCGCATCAAGCGAGCGTGGATATCCATTTTAGTACGACCTGCGAATGCATCACGGATTTGAGTACCATGCCAGATATATATATGAACAGGAACAGCTGTAAGCGCAGCAAAAGATATCCCATAGACGAAAGCAAATGTAGCGGGGAGGAACGGAGGAGAGTATTCGGCATATGCAGTTGTGTTTAGAGTATTTGCTGAAGTCATCACCCGAGAAACATTATAAAGGGATGCGGTATTATCGTATACATCAGCTGAACAAAGTGGTAGATAGGCTGTGTACCAAACATTTGCATAGCTGTGAATATAAGAGTTAGTGTTCAGACTGACATGGAGTAGTAACCTTTTTAGACTTACTAAAGACCGGGTGTGACAATCCAAAAGAAAATAATGAAGCCACCAAATACATTCATTGCTGTAAGTATTCGTTAGCCACATCGATAAATTAAATAAATTAGAGATAAAACGAACCTGCCCACGCTGGGGAAAGGAGAGGATTCGTGTTATACGCAACTTGTGACCAATCAAAAGTGATAGGACTTAATCCAAGGCCTGTGACCATACCGAACAGATGATTCACGATTAAGTTATTTGGGGCGATCCAACAAACCCATGTAAAGTACGAAAGAGACACAAATATCAATCCAGGGAAGAAATACCAAACTCCTGCCCCAACCATAACGTACATGAAAAATCGAAGTCGACTAATTTTCCAGCCATTGGCTATGGCATTGGCTCGAGAATGTAAGGTGGAAAGTAAAGCGCAATTGGATAACACCCCCGGCCAAATTATAGAGGCAGGCTCTACCAACCAAGGTGATGATAGTCCTGCAACTCCAAAACCCATCATTTGACAACAAAGTACAACGAGAATTGAGAAACCTGGCTTCAAATCAAAGTTGTAAAATGCTTTCGCAGCTTGAATAATACTCGTTGAGTCTGCGCTCCCGTATCCAAAACTCACATTGCTCATAATGGTTATTACGGTATGTTCCTTTATGTTGAAATGTCTGTCGGGATTGATGCACCATTTTCCTAAAGGACCTAGGTTGACGGTGTAGAGTGGTAGGATCTTTGCTAAAAGTATGCCGAAGGGCATTGCGAGAAGTTCAGCAACGAGTGCGACAATATGTACTGAGGGATAACGGAGACTGAAGAATTGATTGATGCCAGCACCAATCATAGTAAACGCAAACCCTAAAATCCACATCCTAAGGGTATTGACAGGGATGGATTGATCGTCGACATCTGGAACGACAGCTCTAACTAGGAAACATTAGTTTACTAACAACTGCAAAATCTAGGAGCGCGTTCTAACCTTCAGGATATGGCGATGTGTCGCCTTCTATATCATCCAATCCATCGTCATTGAGTATTTTTCCAACGTCAACCTCCAATTCCTGCATTCGTTGTGTTTCCACATTAATCTCTGCATCTTGAGCTTTGCCGACTTTCTCATTCATGTCTTTCCTTACGTTTTGAGATATTTCTGATGACATTTTGAGAACATTGGAACATTGAAGTGCAAAGTCTCAATGTGTCGCACGACATAAATTCGGGATATGTCTCGGCATTTTAATGCGATTTGTCCCACAGCAACATTGAAGCAACATTGTGGCAAAGGTTAGATAACGATACTTCATTATCAAATAACAAATATTTAACCAAGAATATTTCGTTTGGTTCAACCGTTCCAGTATCGATACTTCGATAAGGAATACTACTTCAAGATAAAGAGAACCTGAACTTGGAGAAGGGAACCACATGGCTGTCATTTGCTGGGGGTTTAAGTTTCATGCAAGAATTTCCCAATATAGTATTGCGTAAGCGCTATACGATAAGAATTATACACCTTCCTTGTTTGTATACATACGGATATTCCAAATACGTCCTGCAACAGCTTTAGAAAATGAACAAGAAATACACCTAGCTAATATATCTTGGTTCATGAATCACAAGAAGAAGACTCAGTCAATTAGACTTTGAAAAACTCTGTATATGAGGCGGTAAAAATCCCAAACTTTGTAGTATGATCATAATCAAAAGAGATACAAGTCGCTGGATTAGAGACTGAATGAACTTGGAGTATATGCCAGGGGAATGATAACGTCGGGAAAAAACTACAGACCAGGTTTACACCGCCTTCTATTTCTTGAATCAAAATCGGCAGAATGACAAGATCTCAACTGATAACCTTATCTCAAGACTCAAGGTAGTAATTGAATGTGCAAACTTCCAGAGTCGTTTATGAAACTGATAATGGATGGATTAACAAATCTGCTACATCAACAGCTTCCGGCAAAAACATCGTGGTGTTAAAGAATCAATAATTGATATATTGAGTCTTATTTGGTATGATTTAGTTGCGAAGACTAGCATTGGGAGCTTAAGGAGTACTCTCGAAATCGTGTATGGTGAAAAGCAACGTTTTTTGTATCAAGGGAATATATAGTACGGATGCGAAAGTTATAACTATTGGCACGTTTAATAAAGTTAGGCTATGTTTACCGTCACTGCATCCTAAGAAAGGATCTCACTTGCAAGTGTCAAAGTAATTGATCTGCCTACTTTGTTGGAGTTGCGACAAGCTTAAGTCAGTTGGTAATACCAACTCATTTGTTGGTTGGTTTCGGTAGATTTCAGCCAAGGAGCACGTGGTGGAGTAGGTATCAAGTGAGCGACAACATTGGAAGGCGTACAGTGTGTTATGCTGAGATGCGTTACATCTTGGAAGACAGAACGTTAACATTGAAGAGACAATAAAGACCTAGTGGTCTTTGTCACACGAACATCCTTTTTTGAATATATAAAGACGGAGGAGCAACAAATAGGGGCTGCACTCAAGTATTGGAGCGTAGGCTGGAATATTTATCACACCTGATTCACTGCTGATGGTAGTGCGGCTGACTGGACACGGACATTATCCAAAACCCCCTCCTCGGACTACACATTCCACACCCCACACCTCGCACCTCAACCTTAACCCTCCTCCTCAGCCCAATAATTGCCCCCAGTTTTCCTCCCCCTCTCATCCGCACCACCTACCACAACCTCCTTATCAAAAACCTCCGCTCTCTTCTCCATCCCCGCACCTCTCCACCCCCATATACTCCCCAAACTAGGCGGTAAATCCCCGTCCCCGTCCCCACAAACTCTCCTTACTCCCCAACCACAAACACAGTTCCTTCCCCTCCGTAAAAAAACTATGATCAATCCAATTCTTCGTATACGGTTTTCCATCCAACGTCGCAGACTGAATATAAATATTTTTATACGACGGGTCGAAATTGATATTTCTAATCGTAGCAGTTTTGTTCGTGAGAGGAGAGGTGATGGAGACGGATTCGAAGAAAGGGGGGATGATGAGATAAACGTCTTGGCCTGGGTTGGGGAAGAGTCCCATCATGCTAAAGGCGAGGAAGGAGCCCATGGCGCCTGAATCATCGTTTCCTGGTAAGCCGTCGTTTGTGGGGGTGAAATAGGATGGGATGTAGAAGTGGGAGCGGAGAGCTGAGAGAGCAGGACGTCCGGCATAATGGTATTGATATACGGTGAGGAAGGCAGGTTCGTTACCAATGTAGGTTATGTTGTTATCGTGGAGGTAGTCTAGACGTTTTACAAAGGCTGTGGGTCCGCCAAAGGTGGTGATAAGAGTTGCTTGGTCGTGGGGTACGAAACTGAGGATAGAAGTTAGTTTTTGTATGTTTCAGATATAACAAAAGTGTAAATTTAGATCAGAATACTTACAAGGAATATTCCCAAATACTACTTTCGAAAGTCTCAGCACCCGTGTTTTGTAATGAGCAAACACTATTGGGATTAAAGTCTATATTGCTACACTTCAGAGGATCCTGAAATCCCCATGTTTGATTGAGATATTTTGGTTGAAAGAATCCTTTGAAGCCTGTATTAGTTCCGTTAGAGCGAAATGATGTTTGTGCAGCATTAAAAAGATTTTGCCAGTTCTTGCTGCGTCCGAGATACTTTTGGACATCTGATTCGTGACCTCCTAGACCGGAACCCATGCTGGCAATCACAAAATCATTGTAACTATACTCAAGTGTTCTGGAGATACTTCGTGTCATAGTACCAAAACCCTTGTAGTCAACTATATGGTATTAGTTCAGTATTCACATGGCGATTTCCGGCAACTTGTATGTGGAAAGAGACGTACAGTCTTGAACAGGAATATACCCAAGGGCTTTCCATGAATCCAAACCACCACGACCCTCATTTGACCAATCATAAGGTTCAACTTCGGCATCTTTAACTACGGCTTCATAGCCAAGATTCCAATCTATGCCTTCCGTAATGCCTTTGATGTAAACATCAGCGAGGAGATTGTCTGCATTTGAACCACCTTGAGTGAATCCTTTACAAAGACTCATACGACAGTCAGGAAGCCATCCTTGGTGAACATCTAAAGTGAGAATTAGCTTATATCGGATAATAGGGGCATAGTAATACTAACATGTATCGATCAGCGAGCGAACCATTTTAGCTACAGTGGAAGGATCTAACACTGTTAAGAACGGTGTCTGTGAACGAAACAAATCCCAAATGCTAATATCGAGTTAGTGATGCTAATAAAGCTAATAATCGAATCTTACCAGTAAAAGGAGTCAAAATAAGGTTCATTACTCTTCCATAGCGGATTCTCTCCAGTGTAATCCTGAGGATTGACCATAGTTCTATATATTCCACTATAAAAATTTTTCAAGAAAGAAGCATCAACTCCTTTCGCCGAAACTTTGACAGGTGAAATCTTTTTGCGCCAAATAGACTTTGCCGCATTCTGCACAGCAGCAAAGTTAAAATCCGGAATCTCTGCCTCAGCGTTTGCACATGCTTGATCACTACTGATATAACTGACACCAACACGTGCCAAAATACCGTCGCCAGGTGATTGGAAACGAACAAATGCTCCACCCGGAAGAGGATAGCCATTGATTGAACGGGATATTTTGAGGTCCTTGATATCAGTACTGGCACGACTGTCGACAAATATACCGTTATCTCGAATTGAAGCCCCCGAGAAATCCGTACAGAAGTATAGAACATAATTTCCACTACCAAAACTGGGCAAGAATTTACCATTTCCAGTCATTCTCCCGGTAGTTGCGTCAACAGAAATGCTGGCATTGTCTTGACGAGAATCAGACAAGTCGGTTAAATCCATTAAGATCAATGGGCTAGAAGCATTTCCATTGGAAGTAGATGGGAATTTGAATCTGAATAATGATGTATGTTGTGTTGTTGTCATATCAACAGCAATACCACTGGACAATGTAAGACCAAAGTAACCTGGAGATGCCTTGACTGAATTCAAAACGTAAGGAGTGGCTCGCGCTTTCTTTGGATAAGTACATCCATCTACAATATCTCCTTTGCATCCTGCATAGGGAAACAAGGCAAAGTTTCCTAGTGATGGAGAACCTCCAGTTCCAGAATCATGCATACTGGAAAATCCAGTAATATTACTGCCATCAGTTGTAAATCCGCCCTGGTTACTACCAGAATTAGTATCCGCAACAGCTTTCGCCATTCCTATAATATCATTAATACGAGACTTAGTTTGAATATTAAAGCAATGAGGATTTTTTCGGTTGACATCATCACCGTCCAGTTGGAAACCTGATAGACTTTCAAAAGCAACCTCATGAATTGCTTACCATAAGGTACAGTTGCACCGGGGAATACATTTCCTTTTTAATGTCAGCAGGAAAAAACAGGAGTAGGATTCAAAATTCGAACCTCCGTTATTACTTCCAATCAGTTGATCAACATAATCAAGTACATCATACGTCGATGAGTTAGAAGTAACGTTCTGGCCAGCGACCACATATAAAATCGCGAAGAACACAAATAATGTAAAAACGTTAATGGAAGCCATGCCAACAATTCAGAGAAGGCAATCAAGAAAAAGGGACACGAAAACTATCAACGTGAAGAAATAAAGATAAACAAAACCTGGAGTATATAAGATCTACTTGACCATTCCATATTACCCCTCAAAAGGTTGAGATACAGAATTAGTCTCGCGTGCAGCCCTGCCTGCAGAGGTTGCATCCAGTTCCCTTTAAGGAAGCTCCCCAACTCTAATCACACGTAGCAAGAACTTTACCATTTGGCCAATGAATTACTATTGCTGCATAAATTCAAGTAGAACACAGATTAGCATATAGAACTACTATATGTGAGATGCAGGGGAATCCAGATGTGTGATTGAAATGATACACAACAACGAATAAAACGATTCGCTCGATATAAGGTTATCTCCATCCGATGAAAATTTCCGTCCCCGCACTTCCTCATGCAGATCCTGATAAAAGCAACATCGATGCCTCAACCCCTCTTCCAACTACCGACAGAAAGTCTATCCACCTGATGATTGTTTCAAACATCAATCATCCCCCCATCTCCCGACTAAGTTCTGTCTGTATCTTGCATCCTTTCCAAATTCACCAAATTTATAGATCATCCAAAAAACCAACCAACCAACCAACCAACTAGTTTTCCTTGGGCGAAATGCATACACCCTATTTATCTTGAAATCGTATCCCATGATTAACTTGGTCATAACCCGTTATTGTATCTCGTTGTACTGCAGCAATATGCATGGTTGCATTATGCATTTGCTGTTGTGATCATTATCCACGTTCTCGTCATGCACCTATCATTCTTCTTAATTTTTGAGGTCTGAATGTTGAAGATTGAATGTTGGATGTTGTGTTGTATTACAGGTGTAGAATATGATGTAGGGGTAAAAAAATCATAGGAATTGTTGGAATGGGTGAAGAAGCTGAGAGTTTGAGTGGAAGTTTCGCTGTGGACGTCTTGATCCCGACAGAAATGCTCGGTTAATCCTCCATTTGTAAGATCTGAAAGTAAAAGTTTGAGAATAACCTTATGAGTACTCAGATTTTGTACAACAGAACATTTGCATCATCAAGTTCGCACATAAAACCAAAAATATCACTCTATTTATATCATATCATAATTCTATTCAACTAGACCCTGAAACCACACAATTGCTCCATCCTAATACCTCACAAATAGTCTATAAATACGCCGTCGCAATGCCTAACTGAAAGAATACAACAAATCTATAATCTGCTCGCTATATACCCACCTCCTCAATCTCAAACTTCCCACAATGCCAAAGTAATAAGATAATCAAGCACTCCACTGCCTCATCCACAACTTCATCCAATCCTGAGTAACCGGACCCAACTTTCCCAACGTCTCACTCTTCTCTGCCGTCTTCTCCGTTTCCAAAACTGCCAATGGGAATCCATTTGTGATACCCTCATAGAATTCCAACAATTTGATTCCGCGGTTCTCCTTGATTTCTCCACGTTCTGCGGATGCTCGAAGTCGGGCTACCCATTCGGACCATTCGACAATTTCACATTCGGAACCGATGTCCTTGACGAGGACGGGATAGATATCTGGCCATGCGATGCTGGTAGGGTTGACGAGATGGAAGAATGGAGTAGAAGGGTACTCGGTGAAGTGTTTGGAAGGATTGGTGAGATCGGCGAGGTCAAGGATGATGTTTGAGAGAACGTCGACTGGAACCCAATCAATGCGATTCATAACTGCCAAGTTTGTGGGTACACATTTCATGTATTGGGATGTAGAAACGATCTAATTTGAAAATAGGTTAGTATTGTGTCTTTTTGGTGGCTAGGTTAGAACTTACACTAGGGAACCACTCCTGGATATTCCATCTACCCTTCTCCTTCCTAACAGGACCTGATACTTGACCAACACGTAAGACCTGGGTACGAACACCACTAACCTTCTGGGCTTCAGCCACAAGGCGTTCGGAAATGAGTTTCGAGGAACCATAACCCATAGCTGCCGAATTCCAATCCTCAATAATGGACTCTGGAATTGCGTTTCCCCAATTAATTCCTTGGGTGACACCAATGGAAGAAATGAAAGATAAAATAGCGTTATGTTTGCTTTGAGCTGCAAAGTCGATGAGGTTGCGTACTCCTCTGATATGAGGCTCAAAGGAAGCCAGACTCAAGTTGAAGTCAACCTGCCATTGATTATGAATAATATGAGTGGCGTTGCTCAACAGCTCATCGTATTTCTCTTCGTCGAGATCAAAATGCGGTTGCGACATATCTGTTTTGAAAAATCGAACCTTGCTGAAATCTGTTTTGAGACCATGACTCTCACTCGCCCCTCTTTGTCTTTCCTCGCCATTGACAGCACGATTGAGAGCGTAAACTCTATAGATGTGAGGCAATGCGACCAAATCATCGAGCATGTAACTACCCATAGAACCGGTACTTCCTGTCAAAATAACAGAAATCTTAGCGTTCGAATCCTCAGCGACATTTCCTGAGGCTCTAGATGGCAAATCCTTGACGTATTTTTCAAACATTTGCTGTCTTTCAACAAAGACCGTTCTTGAAGCATCGCCTTCATTCTCTGATGGGTGAGCAAGCTTGTAAAGAACCGACGCAAGAGATTTTACAGTCGGATTATTATAAATCGTGCTGGCTTGTAACTTCTCGGACTCCACATTGTCCTTCTTCAAGGCTGATCGCAATTGTCGCAAAAGAGTAAAAACAAGCAAAGAATCAAATGATCCGCTCGCAAAAACATCCTCGTCGACATGGAGATCCTTCAAATTAGCTACCTTGGCGACTAAATCCTTCAACGTGAGAGTCAACGATTCCAAAGAATCAGTTTCGAGGCTACTATCATCACCACCTTCTACGCTGGAGAAGAGTTCTTCGACTTCCGACTCGTAGAGCTTGACTGTTGCCGCACGTTGAACGGTACCCTTTCCGGCGCGCGGGAATGGCTTTCCGGGTTTGGCAAAGGTCACAAGGCCATCTTTGATTTGTGCATGAGATGGCGAATCCTTGTTTGCGGCATCGATAAAAGGTTGAATACGAGTAATCAAATCCTGTTTCTTCTCTTCGGTTACTTCCACCGGATCAGCCAACTCAATAATAACAGCAGGTTGGAAGCGGGCCTGGCCGACAACTATTGCTGAGCGTACATCGGGGTGTTCATTGATGGTATGTTCTATTGTGATAGGATTTAGCTTCTCGCCGTTGGAAAACACAATGATATCATCTGATCTACCCCGGTAGGCCCAAAGATCTGGTTTTGTGGGGTGTTTTTCATATAAATCTTTCGTGGAAATCTCGTTGAGCTCAGGGAAGGTGTGGAACATCCCTTGCCACTTTTGAAATTTTGGATCCCGTATCACAAACATCTCATAGAGGCCGTCGCTTGTCTCGACAAATTTAAAGCCATTGTTGGGGTGAAATTTAAAGTATCTCCAATCCTCTCTTTCTGTCTGAATGAGTGCGAGTAAGGAAGCTTCTGTACTTCCAATAAAATTGAGAAGAGTTGTGAACTTGGCAATGGCATCTCCAGCGTTTTGTCCGAGTGGCCCGCCACCAAAGCCAACAAACTTGATGTTTTTCTTTTGAATCCATTCTAGGCTCGAGGGAGAGAATGCCAACTCTTCGACTGTTGATGGAGCAACCATCAAGCCATCAACGCCGGCATGCTCCATCATGTCGTCTACTAGATTGGAAGTAATTGGAACTGACGGTAATGCCTGTACAATGTTGAGCCCGTAATACAATGTGCTGACAAGGTTCATGTAAACGCCGGCGGCGTGGAAAGGTGGAAAGGTTGAAAATTGTCTAGTTCCTTGCCATACATGCACATGAAGTTGCTCTCCGTCTACACACGGTGCCAACCGATTGGCGTCCAAGCACGCAATTAAAGCGTTTCTTATGACAATAGGTTTAGGAAGACCTGTTGATCCAGATGTGTGTAGGATGAGAGCAGGTTCAGTAGATGCCTCTGCCCACGTTTTGTCATAGGCATAGTGTGGAACCGGGGTTTCCTCGAGAAAGAAGTTGAGCTCTGGACAATCGAGAACGGTCATAGGGTGGACCTCGAGCACTTCGCCGATATTTCCAGAACCTTGACTGGGTAGTATCCAAATGTTACACTCGGATTGTTTTATGACATTGAGATGTCCCTCGATACTGTTCCGTGGAGAATTGAGAAGGATCTTGTGGCCAGTTTTCATAAGTGCCAAGGTCAGGATTTGATACCTCAAATCCACTTTAGAATAGTTAGCACACAGCCTCAAGATGATCGCATCAAAGTTCTAGACTGACCAGGACCAACATATCCTACTGTTGGGAAGTTCTTCCCCTTTCCGAGCAACTTTTCGATCCACCAAGCGGCCCTGTTAATCGAATTGGCGAGCCGCTTACTTGACACATCAACAAAACCATCTACCGCTCTTGTGGTTTTCGCTAATGAAAATATGATATGATCAGGATTGTCTGTAGCCCCTTCGTCGACCAAGGTGGGCAATAATCGCTCTCCGTAAACTGGGGCTTGTCTTTGAACTGAGCCCATAGTTTTGTGGTAAGGTATAATGAGTTAAGTGGTGAATTGGTAAATTTCACAAAGTTTTTGATAGTAATCAGGAGTAGTGTTGAAGTCTATTGCAAGCTATAGGAAGATGATAAGATGATGAGATGCTGCTGCTGATGATGATGATGAGACACTTGAGGTTGAGAGGAGGATAACCCTTTTATAAGGATAAATTCTCTGATCTCTGGTGAAGGATATGTCCTTATTTCATAAATCACTAAGACGTTCTACCCAAACCCTCGTTCGACCAATCAGAATAGTTAGCAGCGAGTGGTATTGGCGGAAGCTTAATTGATTGTGCACTCCGAATATCCATATTTTAGAGCTTAAAAAACAGCTTCCATATGTGGAGATGTCGGAAGTGTTGCTATGTCTGTAAAGGCCCGGTTCTCCATACAAATCAAACTTTGCATCTATTTCATGAATGAACGACGACATTGCCCTTGCATCAACACCCGCAGCTACCAGAGATTGGAAGTTCATGTTCGATATTTGGTGGTTGAGCACATCGGCCGATCGGATAAGTCGGAAGTTACGAAATGATAACCGGCTAAGACGTCAAGATCTTAAACTTCACGACAACAACGGGTCATTGGGCGGCTTTCTCATAAGAACCGCCCCAGAGAACATTCCGCTCGTCATAAATGTGTAATCAACTCACCGCTCAACTATTTCTTAAAGCACTTAGCATCAGCCTTGACAGTGATGATGTGGGCCGAGAAGATCAGTTGAAGGTTCTATGGGTGGGGTTTGTCAAAAGGATGTTTGCCGGATATACCCTCAGGACCTACCTACCCTACTAACTCATACCAATTATGTATGTTTCGGTAGGTAAGAGAGCCGCGCTTGGATAACGATGTGATCGTTGCAAACTTATTCGAAGCACTCGGCAGTGAGCATCACAGTCTACCGGTAATCTTCAACACGCAATTAGAAGACCGTGCTGTTGTGGTTGTTCTTGCACAGAAAAGTGGATCGATCAACCAGTCCCATCCAGACAATTGGATCAAAAATGAAGTTTATTATATTGCCAAACCGAAAAGATACTAAATTAGGAAAAGCTTGATTCACGTGATGTCTAGATTTATGATGCCCGTTGTGACCAGCTTACGTACCCGTTTTAAAGTCTGATAACTCGAAGAACTTCCTATGGACCATGATTCGATGTCTAACTTTCGCTCGTTGATGTAACCCCCGCGTGTCTGCATGAACTCAGGGCCTAAAATTGTCTTCTTTTTCTCCTTCATAATGCCTCGGATGGTAGTTGATGACAAATGTCCCTGCTGAGTGCTACAACTTGCAATTGCCCAACAAAACGATCTTCTATTAGCCCCTGAAGATTGACCGTTGATCGTTCCGTCACAATCATTAAGCAATTTTGGGCGTCGGCATGTAGGTGGCTAGGTCGGGAGATGAAGAATATGGATGATGCATGTATACTACATACATGAACATGAATGCCGGCAGAAGTAAGATGGTGAAGAAATCGATATGAGCGGGTAAAGGATGTCAAGAGCGGAAAGGTCGGGAATAGACTTGTCAACAACAGCATGCCGAATATCGATGCATATTTCATCTCTGAAACATAAGCATATTGACGCAATGTGATCATGGTGCCCAGAGAAGCTTTTTACGGGAGTGGCCGTGCTATTCTGGAATGATCTATACTGGGTCAGCATGCATACATTTGACGTCTCTGATAATTTGGAACAAATGGTATTTGATTCACAAACTACTCGGCAGATCTTGTACCGGCTATGCGGCTTCGCCGCCACTAGTCCCGCTCAACTGCCCCTCAGATATCAAATCCAAAATCGCATCATTTATCAAATGCCGTTACAACCGAGAACGGCCCTTCAAACTAGAGAAGGCTTCTTTTTGATGCCTAATGCTGCAGCATGATCCTTTTTCTTCTTTACAACCCGTTTGAAGCTCGGAGGTGGCATCGCTGATGCTTCCTCTTTCGTAATCTTTGGTGCTGGTCCTGCACCCGCGTTATCAGTATCATCCTCTATAATCTCCTCCATAGCCTCTTGTCTTCTCAAAAAAGCCCTTCGAGCTGCCTCTTCGTCCTCTCTTTCTTGCCTTTCCCGTTCTAAATCAACATTTTCTCGAGTTACTGTGACTTCAGTTCCATCCTTCCCAACTCGTTCATTCCTTGCGTTTCTTGTGCGAATCTCATCCAATGCATCAGCGACAGCCATTTCAGTTTTTGCCTCTGCGGTTTTATCTTCTAACTCCTGCATTGCATCTCGCTCTTGTTCTTCTCTTTCCAAACGATCCAATCTCTCTTCATCACTCTCTTGAAGGCCTCCTCCGTTCACACGCCATGGTTCGGTATTCCGTTTCGCGCCGCGCTCACATTGATAATCCATATTTTTAGGATCTGTCTTGAATGTAATTTCGCCGGAACATCTCGTACATTTGATGTAAAATCTATAAATGGAAATAGCCAGGTACTTTTCCTCTGTAGTTTCTTTGCGCGCATTAAATTTTCGACCTTTGTAAATATATTCTCCACAGGCAGTACATTTCATGGGAAACGGTGCCATCAAACGAACTGTCTGTACTTTGGGACCTGCTTGTTTCGGAGCGCGCGACCGAACAATCTTCGAAGGATCAAAATCGGGTGGGTAATATTTGGTGAGAACTTTTCGTTCAGACATCTTTAATCAGGTTGCTGTGATTGATGGACCTTATTATGATGGTAGTTTTTGAATTTGCAGAGGTTCAAGTGATCGAGGCTGTTCTGATGGTGAAGTTGGTGAGTGGAAACAATTAGTGGATAATGAATGAATGACAAAGGCGGCGAAGTTATTTTGGTATCCAAGTACTTCTAGCCTCATATTAATTTTGTGCACCTTTTTGTGCGACTTTTGTGCAAATTATGTAAGATTAAAGTCTTTTATCGCAATGGCCTTGTGCAAGATGAATGAATGATAGCCCGGCTCAAACTGATAACCATTAAATATCTCAGCCTCGCGTCACCCCACGCGACTACTCTATGAAAACAAACAATAAACCTAAACTTCTCTCCCTTTGTGTCCTCTAGTAGGCTTTTTTGACATTGATTATTATAACTTTGGGATTAATTATATGGGCACAACTCATCATATAAGAAAGATATGGAGAAATTCTTGAGAGATTGGCGGCAGGATGCTATGAATAAACACCAATACGACTCGGCAATTTTCATTGGAGATAAATTGCTAGCAATAACAAGTACAATCATTCCAATGCCCTCCTGGTCAATTGTTGGTTCTAATTACTTTATAGAGAGCGATAAAGATGCTTTTTGGCTTGCCCAAGTTCATTTCTCCACGGGAAACTATACCAGGGCCCAAAGTTTTCTCACTAAGCAAGACCTAATAGCTCGAAACCCTTCATGCCGGTATCTTGCAGGCCATTGTCTAATAAAACAATCAAGATTTGAGGAAGCTTTGAGTATACTTGGCGAAAAGAATCCTACACATTTAATATCAACGACCGGTCATAACAGAAAGAAGTTACAACATACTAGAGGGCATGCCCGGAATGGATCAACAACGCAGAGTGGCCGGCACAGGCAGGACGAAATAGCCAAGGATGAAGCCGCAAATATCAAATTCGAAGCTGCAATGTGCTTTCTACGAGGACTTTGTTATGCCAAACAGAATGCTTTCGATAGGGCGAAAGAGTGTTATAAGGATGCGGTACGAATAGATGTACAGTGCTTTGAAGCATTTGAGCAGCTCATGAAGAACTGTTTGATGTCTCCAGAAGAAGAATGGCAATTCCTGGAATCTTTGGATTTCGATACTATTTCTGTTACCGACGATACTTCATCCTCGCAAGAGGCAGCCGAATTTACAAAAATGCTTTATACTACTCGACTTTCGAAATACAAAAACCCGGCGGCTTTTACAACGGCGACGGAAACGCTATCAACACATTACAATCTAGCTACGAATCCCGATCTTTTATTGTCAAAAGCGGATTTATTTTTCACACAATGCAGGTTCAAAGATGCTTTAGCCATTACAAATTCTATTCTTGAGGAGGACAAGTACAACTTTAGTATATATCCTTTACATTTGGCATGTCTGTACGAACTACAACTTAAGAATGCCCTTTTCTTAGTAAGTGAAGTGATCTTTATCTCTTTTAAATACTTGGACGTTTCCGATTTCTCATTTGCAACTCGAAAGATGGCTCTTATTTTGGGACGATGCAAATGTTGGTAGACAGCCTGGCCTCTACCAGGACGTTCGAATGATAAATTTATGTCACATCCCTTTTAAATGCTAATATTTTATTGACAGGTAGCACACGACCTAGCAGATAACCACCCAGAAGAGCCATGTACTTGGTTAGCTGTGGGTATATATTATTTGGCTATAAACAAAGTTGCTGAAGCTAGACGTTATTTCAGCAAAGCAAGTATGATGGATCCTCATTTTGGACCTGCTTGGATTGGATTCGCCCATACTTTCGCAGCAGAGGGTGAACACGATCAAGCAATCTCGGCATACTCGACAGCTGCACGACTTTTTATGGGTACTCATCTGCCTCAACTATTTCTAGGCATGCAAAATCACATGTTAAACAACATGACTCTAGCCGATGAATTCTTAAAAACAGCATACGAATTATGTAAGACCGATCCTTTACTCCTTAATGAGATGGGAGTAGTATTTTACCACCAAGAACGACTTCAGGATGCTGTTTTAATACTCAGGAAAGCCCTTGAAATTGCGGAGGAAATTGATAGTGATCCACAAGCTTGGATATCCACTCGTTCAAACCTCGGACACGCATATAGACGTCTCCATCAGTGGGATGCCGCGTTGGCAGAATTCGATGAGGTACTTCGACAAGGTGGAAAAGATCCAGCTATTTTTTGTGCGAAGGGTTTGGTGTTAATGGAGCAGAGGAAATCTTTTGAAGCGGTTTTGATGTTCCATGAAGCACTTGCTATTTCACCCCAGGATGCAATTGCGACGGAATTGCTCAATAAGGCATTGGAGGAAACCGCGATTCATGGGATTAATGGAAGTAGGATTTTTGACGAGGAGGAAGATGAAATTGAGAGGGAGTTATCATTGAGAAAGAATGAGGTTTTGGCCAGTTTAAGACCTAGTAAAGTGAAAGGGAAGGGCAAATCGAGGAGTAGGGTGGTGGTTAATGAAGTTAATTCGATGGATGTTAGTGATGGGGATTAGGTTTTGCATTATGAAGATCTATCAAAAGGCCAGGACGTAGAATTGGGATAGATGGAAATGGTGAGAAATTTGAGCTGGGAAACTTTCACGTTTTATGCATCTCGTGGAGGTTCTATTTTTCCTTTGAGGGCGTATAATGGTGGGAAGGAAGGAAAGCAAATCGGGAGAACAGGAGGAGAATGGGTTAACGATGGGTAAGGAATGCATTGTGAATGGCGTATAGCATATAGCATTTAGAATTTGTCTACCTATTCGCTAATAAGAGATGATTTATTGATGAGAATCTATATATTATTATATAGAGAAGATTGGTGTATGTATCATTACCACATCCCCTAACAGCCCTTCATAACAGTCCTTCCCTACCTCAAAAACCCCCATTTTCCTTCTTTGTAATTGATGCCAAGCCAACAACAACGACAACATCTGAACATCGCAAAGGTGTCGCAAATACTAGATGTAGTATTTTCATTTTTTAATACATCCATGAAAATGTCAGAAAACACAGGAGGATTTGAAGTTGCTTGACTTGAATTGGCAGGATGGCCGCCAATAAGAAGGTTGAGAAAAGGGCTCCCGAGAATTCTTCCAAGCATTGGCATGTGTGTAGCCCTGTGGAGATGAATTAGATAGATGATCCTGAAGAGATAAGCTTTAGGGGTTTGGGAGATTGGGGAAGATGAGATGAGATGGATGATTGTAGGTGAAAGAGGGGGAGGAAGAGAGGATTTGGAAGAGAGGATTTGGAAGATATGGATGGTGTGGTGTTTTGAAATTGATATTGGTGGTGTTGGGGAATAAAGGTTTTGAAATAAGAGGTAAGAAATGAGGATGATATTGCTAACGCGTAGACATAGTGAGTTGCAAATACTTTTCCCCGAAGCTTTGTAAGCTTGCCTTTCTGGGGTTTCGGTGCAAGTATTTCTCAACTTGTGGGTAAGTATATGGCTTCGTATAATATCAAATCTCGCAATATTTCGAGCATTGAAGAAGACGGCAAAAACCACACTTATAGAGCTTTCTAGATTTCCTTCACAAGTACAATTCAACTTGCAAGCAAGTATACGAGTTTGCACAATAACAAATCTCGCAATGTTTCGAACATAGTAAAAACACGGCAAATCCACACTTAACCAACTATTTTAAGGCATAATCGTGATGCTGTAATGGTGGAAGTATTTGTCCCCTCATTGAAAATATACTTCCCGAGTCATTCATGCCAAATGAGAACAGACGACTGATTTGGCATACGTATAAAAGACGCAGTATATGCAAGTACGAAGAGAAAATATCCCTTTCGCCACAACCGTATATGAATACGAAAGGTATCAAGCATGAAATGTTTCGACATGTCAACACACAGACACTTTATCTCTGCGATTTGATTCCATATCAGCTGGAAATAGGTACTCGATGGTAAGATTAAGAAAGTCTGGATCTTCTTGCCACCGGATGAACAGAACAGAAGGAATGCATGCATGCATGCATGAATAAAGGTCCTCGAATAAAAACTAGCTTCGATTCGACTGATCTATCTATCTAGGCCACGGCTTCAACTTGAAGACTAGTTCTTGTGGCTGTGCGATCAGATGGTTATGCTATGCAATAATGAGGCTCGTGCAGTGGAGATATGGACTTGCGTTTGTTTCAGCCTATGATGAATGTACGTATATGGTTAGAGTAGGAAAGAGATCTTACAATGGCCGATGATGATGATGATAATCCGTTCTCCTGCCCAGAAGCCTGAAAGACACACGCCGGAAGGAATAGAAATGGGCCCTTGGTGGGGAGCAAAAATGTATTAAAGGGGTGGAGCGTTTATCTTGATAACTAATGAAGGATTCATATCGATACTGGTGTAAGGTTACCTAGTTATGTTATCTCCCAGGAGCAGGATTGAAGGATTTAGGTCGCATCTGGTATTTTATAATCGAGATATGACGATTTGTCCGCCCATGACCCCCAAGTACCGACCGTATGTGAGAATAAAATCACCGAAATATGAAATGTGCCTCTTCAACAGTGTCTCTCAACCGTGTCTCTCAACCGTGTCTCTCAACCGTGTCTCTCAACCGTGTCGAGACGTTGTGTGTTTCGTCGTCAGCTTAATCATGAGGAATATGGCTATTGGATCATCCAACTAATAAGAATAACAAGGATTAATCAACTGTAAGAAATCGAGTACATGATGGACAAAATGTCCGAGGTAATTGAATTGTTCGGATGAGCAAGCAACATCTGGGTGGGTGGGTAAACGAAACATTTCCATAGAGATGGAATTCTAGAAAGAAAAGAAAGATATGGATGATATAATAATAGCTATAGGTAGGTACCTACCAATCGGTACATGATTCTTGGCGCCCAATGATCGGGTTATTTATTGATATGGATCAAAGGATTCAAGAGCAATAGCTGAAGCCTTGAAGATTTTTCCTTGTGCAGTTTTGGGGCTGTTAATGTTGGTGGATAGATAGATCACTCACTGGTGGATATTATGGATACTCATACAGTGACACTGCGCGATAACCATGCGACCGTGGCGGCAACCACACCAGTTACGAGGAGAATTCATCATAAAATAATACGATTGGATAGCCCCTGCCAAGATGAATGTTTACTGCAGCTCGCTCTCGTGCGCGGAGTATTTTTGATAAAAAAGGGGGGGGAAGGGGGTTATTCATAGTCTTAGCGTGTATGCGGGACGATTGGCTTTTTTTCGCATCTAAGGAAAATTTTCGATGTTTCAAGGGTTTGGATTCTGCAGGAACAGGAAGGGAAGGGAAAGATTTGTGCGGATGACTGCATTACTGACTGCATCACTGTCATCTTATGGGGTCTGGGGTCTGTTCGCTTTTCTTGCTTACTTGCAACGGCCATACGATTAAATCTGTTTGTTGGTTATGACTGCAAACGAAACCATGTGGAACTATCGAGCACATGGGATGGATGATGATCGTAAGGTTATCGTTTATTCAATCTATAGATTCAATACTCTACAGACAGACAATGTCTAAGATGAACGAAACGAATCCATGATTGAAGAACATTGACTGGTCGTGGTTGGTTGACCCTCCTATGAATCAGAAAATTCATATGGAATACCCTCATTCTCCAGATGTTTTTCTACTTCTACGCACCGTGGATATCACTCCAGACCAATAAATCTAAAGATCCGTCCTTGCAGTGGCACAGTATGTACAGCATAAGGTTTCGCCATCAACCGAAGCAAGGTACACGAGCCTATCAATGGTATTTTCGCCCCTGCAGACTTTCAATCATTCAATGTCTGTGCGAAACCACATATCCCATCCATCCATATGTGGTGGATGCATCTATCCACATCCATCCACATTCATCCTAAAATGTACGAAAGGGCAATGCTTCAGATGCATTTCTACTTCAATCACATAGCCACTTCAACTGGTCATGTCTTATGTATAACCACTTCTAGCTCTAGCCCTAGGAGAATCTTCCGTACAGGAGACTGTCAGGAGTGGAGTTGAGATCCTTAAGACCCTTGAACTTTGCAAAAAGGGCGTTTGTCGACCAAGGTGATGAAGGTAATGCGGGCAGACCATAGCCAATTAAGACATGGTTTCCGACCTTCCTTGCTGCAGTTCCTATACCTCTCTATTCACTTGGGTCGAGAAGGACGCTCTGCTTATCCATGTCATTTTTATGTGAATCTTGATCAACACACAGACAGAGGAATATAAGATGGACAAGTCGTCCCACCATGAATTATCTCAACATCATTCTCTCAATTCACTCTCCGTCGAGCACTTGCATCTTCCTTCAAAGGCCAAAGCCTTTCGTCTTCCATTTCTTGGGTTGTTTTATTTTTTGTTTGTCTGCGACAATTGAAAATATTTTCAATACTTTTTACATTCCTTGAGATACTTTCAGTGAAAGACCGAATACCATTCCTTTATCGACACATTAAAAACTATCGAATTCTTTGACCTAGAACAATCAATTCTTTGAATAGGGTACGTGAAACAATTTTCGCTTCCCTGTTATCATTACGGATCTTCTTGTAATTTCGAAAGTCCTTTGTGATTTTATCTCATTTTGTCTTTGTTTTCCTACACGTTTATACTGCCGTTGTTCTATGAGACAATAGAATTCGGTTATTACACATTTTATTGTGAATATTCTCTCTCTGTTGAAGTGTCATAGGAGAAGGTGAATAATCCAAATAATCTATTCTATTACTGTTCCTTTATATTCATAACAATAAACAATCATTTCTTTATTGTTATGATTCTATTTCGATTGTGTTATTTCGAGAACATTCAGCCTCCTCGAGAGATATAAACTCGACATTCCGACTGACCTCGACTTTTTTTTTCATTCCAGATATCAACCACATCCATTTACTACAAATTCATAACGATCTTTCGAAATCATCAACGATCTTTCAACTACACAAATAGTAAACACTATACTATACAACATACACAAAGATTTTTCCGTCAGGCACGATAAAAGTCTACAAACACTCAGTCATCATGTTTTCCAAAGCAACCATCGTAGCAATTGCTCTCGCAACCGTCAGCAGTGCCCACATGATCATGACCAGTCCAGTACCATACGGAGTCGACACCCTCAACAGTTCTCCCTTGGCTGCAGATGGATCCGACTTTCCATGTAAACAACGATCTGGAGTCTACGAAGTCACCACTCAAAACAGCATGGATCTCGGTGGTTCATACGATCTCGCATTCAAAGGTAGTGCCGTGCACGGAGGAGGATCTTGTCAAGTTTCCATCACCTACGATGAGAACCCAACTAAAGACAGTACATTCAAAGTCATTCACTCCATCATCGGTGGCTGCCCCATGCGCAACATCGCTGGAAACAATGGTGATAACGCCAACGCCATCGATCCAGATACATACAATTTCACGATTCCCACCACTCTCCCAGCAGGTAAAGCAACACTCGCCTGGACTTGGTTCAACAAGATCGGCAATCGAGAAATGTACATGAACTGCGCACCCGTAACTTTAAGCGGCGGTTCTAGCAAACGTCACGAGCTCATCGAACGCGATCAAGCAGCCTACAAAGCTCTCCCCAACATGTTCGTCGCGAACATTGGAGACGGTTGTGGAACCGCTGATTCTTTGGATGTCGTTTTCCCTAACCCAGGTGATTCGGTCGAATTTGATGGTGGTGCTACTTCAACAGCTACTGCTGCCCCTACTGGTAATTGCGCTGCCGCTACAGGTAGTGCTACTTCTCCAAAGACTACTGGAGGGGCTGCCGCTGGAGGATTTACTACTCCTGTTTCGGTTGGTACTGCTCCGACTGTTCCAGCTGGTACCGCTCCTGAATCAACTCCTACTTCTCTTCCAGGAGGTGTATTTGTCACCACTAGCTTGATCGATAGCGCTGCTCCCTCAGCAACTTCAGCAACGTCCGCGACTTCAGCAGCTGAAGTCGTTCCCGCCGTCGCTACTACAGCCGTCAGCATCCCCACACTTGCAACCTCTGCTCCCGCAGCAACAGGTACCGGAAGCTCTTCTTCTTCTTCTTCGTCCTCATCTACCTCCTCTTCAGGAGCCCTCACAGGCGCTTGCACCGCAAACGGAATGTTCAACTGTATCTCCGGTACATCATTCCAACAATGTGCCAGTGGTATGTGGAGCGTAGCTCAAGAAATGGCCACCGGAACTACATGTGGCGTCGGCCAGACCATGGATTTGACGATTGCGAAGAGAAATGGAATGGGATTGATGCGACATGTTGTCCGAAGAGGATTAGGTGGGGAGATGTTTGTCTAATTCAAATTCACTACCTACTTTTGATGTTTTTCTCATTTACTCTCAGACTGATTGTTTGGGAGTTTGAGATTACACGCTCGGGAGTGGGAGATGGCTAGAGATTTGAGATCGCTGGACTTTCTTGAATCATGCGTGTCGAGTCACTTGACTCATGAGACATTTTTGGGGAGTCGTCAGTGGAGGTTCTTTTCTTCCTTTCTTTCTAGAAATTTTCTCTTACTTGCTTTTCTTACTTTGCTTTTTTCCTTGCAATTTAGCATGATAGCATTTCCACACACACATACAAGCATAGCACAGCACAGCGCAGCACAGCGCGCATTGCATTCCCACATTCATCCGCTACCCTTCTATTTCCAACATCACTCACTGCAATCATCATTTCAATCATCAATCAAACACCTTTTTTAAATTTGTACATAGCTTTTTCTATTTTCTTTCCTCTCTACCTCCCTCCCGTGTTGTTCTCTACTTTCCTCTTCCTCGTTTCTCTTTTCTCTTTTCTTGTGATCCTTACTATACTACTCTACACACACAACACACACACTACAAACACAACGACAATAATGAATTTACGATATGGATTGATGGGTGGATGGATGGGTGGATGGATGGATGGATGGAGACGAAATTTGTATTTTTCTTTGTGCTTTTCTTTGGTTTGGTCTACTTTTGGGTTTGGGTTTGGGTTTAGGTTTTGTGCATGACATGGTTGGTGTTGAGGGTTTTGATAGTATGCAGATGGAGTATGGATGGTATGAGCATCATGAAAAATGAAGAGAGAGAGATATGTAGATACCTAGATACCTAAATAAATGAAATAAATAAAATAGATATGAATGGATAGATATGCTTCAGAACAATATATTCCAGAAATGATATATTCTAGAATGATACAGAATTATATTTATATTTATATTTATATTTATATTTATATTTATATTTATATTTATATTTATATTTATATTTATATTTATATTTATATTTATATTTATATTTATATTTATATTTATATTTATATTTATATTTATATTTATATTTATATTTATATTTATATTTATATTTATATTTATATTTATATTTATATTTATATTTATATTTATATTTATATAAAATATATATTTATTTTGATATTACTTATATTTATATTTATATTTATACTTATACTTACAATTATAATTATAATCACAATTCTATAATTCCCAAAAAAATATATATATATATATATATATAATATAATAAAATATTAATAAATAAATAAATAAACGATCTAATATAAATTATATTTAAAAAAAGATACAGATACAAAAAAATAAAAATAAAATCAAAATAAAATAAAAGTATATTTTAGTTTGAATTTATTTATTGAATAATATTTATTGATTTAAGAGTTTTATATTTCTTTATAATATGATATAATTGAATTGCTATAATTTAAGAATCTAAGAAAGGATGTGTTTTATACTTTAAATCACTCATTATATCACATCTTCAAACCCTTCGGACACTTCAAGACCCACAATTTATAATCTATTTACTATTTATTCCCTTACATCATTTCTATACACTTCACATACTTCATAATATCTATCCACCCATCTTAATCTAATCTACCTAATCTATCAAATCCGCTATCTAATATTCAAAATCTTTCCCAAATTACAACACATACGAGTACATAACCACTCATACTCATTCCTATTGCTGATTTCTCCGCTCGAATGAGCGGTAGCTTATAAGGATATCAAGGTTTTTTGTAAATCTTACCTCGCGGAGAAACTTACTTATGAAAGTCCTGGATTTTCGGATTTGCGGTTTGAGAATCGGGTAAATGGTTGATTTTTTTTGCAGGAGATGTGTGAGAGACTGCTGTTTCATGGAAAGGAGGTAGTTTGTTTGCTGGGGTGGGTTGGGGGATAGTTGGGGAGGTGTTGTGATGGGTAGTGGAGTTTTGTATTTTCTGGGTTGCTTTGGAGGTAATTTGGACGGATGTATTGTTGTTCAGAGGGTTGAGAAGGTCGAGAGGGTTGAGAATAGAGGCGCATAGATGTGAATCCGATGCAACGGGGCAAATAGCGAATACAAATCGATTTCCAACCAGAATTCCCAGCCAATCAACTTACTCAACCCAAAACCCCTCACCTCACCACCTCACTTCTTCCCCTTCTTCCCGTCTCCTTTCTCCACCACAAAACCCCCCTTAACAAAAGCATCCCTCGCCACCGCATTAATAACCGCAAACCTCCTCGCCCCCAACTTCTGCCCTCCATACCACCTCGTAACAACGACCATAACATTCCACAAATCCATCAACTGCATTAAATGCAACAGTCTTCCTCCTGCCGCTGATTCCCCATCATCATCACAATCCTGATACGTAATCCCATTATCCGTTTTAATGCGCCAAGCTGTAATATTATGAGTTGCCGAGCGAACTTTTTTATCCGTCGAGAGAAGATTTTGTATATATTGGGAAGCGAGGGTCGGAGAAGAGACGGAAATACAGCGAGCGATGAATGTAGATTTTAATTCTGTGGTTATGGAGGAGAGGATCCAATTTGGGGGGTGAGTGATGGAAATATCTTGATTTTGATTTTGTTCTTCATGTTTCCGTTCAAGGAGTGTATATCCATCCCTTAATTCCTCATCATCTCTCAATTCTTCTCCTTTTTCTTCTTCCTCATCTCCCTCATCTTTATCTTCATTCACGCCACCACCTATCCCAAATCCCCCCTCTACCTCCTCAATAACATCAAATAAACAAACCTCACCTACTCTCCACGTTCTCCCCACAACCGTCCTCACAAACTCTACCAATTTCCCTGCATCGCCTTTCCTTGCATTTTGCCCCGCATGCTGCGTTCCCAATATTACAGGCGGAACATCTGGATACGCGGCTGGAAATTGTATTCGTAGTGATGTATCTTGGTTTGGGAGTGCGAGAATGTATATTTCGTTTATTTCATTAGAGGGACTAGTCTCATCCGCGGAGACGAGGGTCGACGGACCGTAGATAGAGTTTATAGCTTCAATTTCGTTGAGGAGGTCTTCGCTCATTGTGGGTGCCCCTAGGTGCTGAGTATGAGATTTGGAGGTGAGCTTGGAGGGGTTGATGAGTACTAAGCGAGGGGTGGTTGTAAATATTTTAGGCGGTTTGGATATCTAATTGCCTGGGTATTTTATGTTATAGATTGTGATGGAATTAGTTTAGACCGAGGTTATGATAGATGTAGTGGGACCATAAGACCTGCTAGGGAAGTCATCACTGGGACATTGACATGAATGCGTATCTTCCTTATGCAAAATCTACGTCTATCCTCCGCTCCAGTCTCAAAATTGCAAAAATAGGAAAGACGTTCACCCATTCATGCAGAACCACAACCAACCCTAATAAATAACGAGGTGGTTCCAAATCGAATTCCAAAACTTCTAATCCGTGTCTATGATATCCCAAATCGACCAAAAAAGTGTCATTTATTCAGTAGTACATTGACTCTTCAACTTCTGTTCTTTCGCAATCCTCTTTTTCTCCTCTAAAATCCATTCATCTTCTCTCTTCTTATCTGCTAACTCTTTCAATTCCTTTCCCATGTCCGTCTTAACACCTCGTCCGCCGGTGGTATCTCCTTGATCTATGAATTCAACAATACCGATATCGCTTTTTGCAGTAATCGCGTCAACTTCTAAATTCTTAGATTTAGTCTTTCCCTACATTACAACAAGGGTTATTCACGAACCAGCATACTCCTCACTCTCATCTGCCCAATTCTTCAGTTTCTCCCGTTTGAAGAATGCAAAATCCCATTCTCCTTTCTCCAACTCATTCAAATCTGTAAACACATATGTTTGGGCTTCTTTCTCGTCTGCCGTTTCTACCACTTCCGCCATGATTGCACTGGCACCGTGTGCATGTTCTTTATCTTTTGGAGTCAAGATCTTCACAGTGACAACCTTTCGCTCATATTGTGATCCTTCAAAATAATCCAGATTTCGCATGTTGGAGGGTGTGAGGCCTGTGACATAAGTGCCACGGACTGTATGACCGAGCTCGTGAATGATGGCTGGGTAGTCAGCGAAGCGGACGCGATGACGACAGTAGTCTGGAAGAAGGGCGGGCGTAATAGTTAGAGATGTAGATGGATGTTTAGAAGAGCCGTAGATAACGCGGCAAAGGACTTCGGGAGCCATCTATGTGAGGGAGAGTCAGTGATGGCAGGAAGAGATCCCATGAAAGGATTTCCGAGGGATATCAGAAGAGGGCCAAAGAGGGGAAAGGACTCACGAGAGTTCCGTAGAAGAATGCATTGTATGTTTCGGGGATAGTTGGCTCTGTGATTTTTGAGTCCATTCTTGCTATTGTTGATGTTAAAGTTGAGTATTTGTAGAGACAGAGCTTGCTCTCAATATTGTCTATCTCTTGCTTGATAGAGTAAAGGTGGAGTCGCCGAGACTGAAGATAAGTCACAGATATGCAAATAATAAGGAATGAAAAGCAACCCAAGAAGATTGTAATATCCTACCGAGCTTATAGGAAAATACTTAACTTTGAACTCGCATCCCAAAAGAAGTTGTACCTTATGCAATTATTCTTTGTATGGAGGGGTTCTATTTAGGCGCCGACAGTTGGAAGTTTCCAGCGTGGTGTAGAGTGAAGGGATGGATATTACTGATAAGAAAAAGATAAGAAATTTGTATTAGTCATCGCAGAGAATGAGGGCTTAATTAATCCTTTTAAGGATTAGTGGGAAGTAGTACCGAAAATCCGGGGTTTTGTTACCTGTTTCGGAGAAATAAACGATAACATCATTATCAACGACTTCGAAACACTATATATCGCTAATCTACCATAAATACAAACAAGAAAAAACGATATCTAGCATCATCTAGATGGGGAGAGGGACTCTGTCCTATTTCATTCTTATCCTAGTACTCCGCATTCGTCCACTCATGATATACTCAAACTATCTATGACTCGATTCCTACTCAAAAGTTTACCAAGAATGCCTTGTTTAGAGGTCTGAAGTCCCCTCGACTAGACTCTATTCCACTCAAAAGTTTACTAAGGATGATTCAGAGAGCTCTAAATTATCTAGGCCATTAAGATCTACTAGTCTCACCTCCGTTTCTCAATCCTTTCCCTCCAAATGCCATTTCCTTGTATGTTTTGTCGATCATTAGTACTTCATAATTCTCTACACCAAATGTTCCCGATATAGGAATTCTAAATAATAAGGTAAAGGATTTGCTTCCTGGCCAACCATAAGTTGAAAAGGCTATACTCATCTTAAATCACACTCACCACACTGGCCTTGGTTAATAACGGCTTTTGCTATTTTAGCTTCACAATAGTTCATTGACCGTTATGATCGACTGCGAGCTAGGCGTGATTATGGAATTTTCATGTCGGACGAACAAGTGCTTGATTATTCGAGTATTAATATTGAGGCTTCCGCCCATTGAGTTTTTGTTATTTCTTTCTATATTCCATCACTCAACTTGCAACAAATTATACACTCACCAAGCTACCGATAACCGAACATGAAGTTATCGGTTCCTATCATCGCGACCACCGGCTTGACAGTCTTCTTGTCTCCAACTCAAGCCTTTACGTCCAAGGAACCACTTCCTTCCAATGAAAGTTCACTCGCATCACCTGTCAATAGAATTTTAGTCGAATTCACTGAAGAAGATCAAGAACTTTTTGGTTATTATGAGACCATAACTCACCTCTTGAGCAACCTTCATGGGAGAATTGGCATCAACGATGATGCTTCAATAAACTATCATCTTGGTAGAAAGGATCACCATTATATCGACCCTAAGGACCTCAAACTCGTATCAGTGAATGACCTCGAGAAATATCACGAAGCACATTGGGTGAAGATTAATGAGCAAGAGATAGTTCTCCAATGTGGTGCTGTCAATGCCGCGACTACGGGAGAAGATTGGGCACTCATGCATCGTTGCTCTAGAGAAGAAGTTGCCATTCGACGATTGATGGCTACATTCAACGATGACGGCCATGAATTTGTTGTCTCAGTACCTGTTCTTCAAGCAGCATCAAAGATAAGAGAAGGTACCCACCGTTGCATTAAAACAGCTTGCCAGAAAGGTCCTCTGGCATTTTCGACTCCTACCCCAGCAGCCATTCTTCCACAACGTGCAGTTGCTGCATCTCAAATCGCAGCACCTATTGGCACTGGTTTTTCTCAGCCGACCTCCACTACTTTCTCGCAGGCCACCGCAGCACCCATTGGGAGTCATTTCTTGCCGACTGCATCACCAACTAACAGTCGATTTCCAACGATTACACCACCGCCAATTAACTCCCCAGAACCGTCTACTCTTATGACCATCACGCGCCCTGCAACATTAGAAGATTTACTTCCAAAACTTCAACCAGAAGATGAAGTTATCAATAACACATCAACCGGAGAACTTCCAGCTGGCCTTTGGCTCTCTAGACGGCAATATGATCCATATATAACCTTACCAAGACCTCAATGTAGCGACCCAGGTCCTGACTTTGTCTTGTCAGGAAGGGTGAGAACAATTACTCCTAATCCACGCAGGACATCATATACTACCATTGAATATTGGGGGTTTACTACTACTTCAACGGTTCCTCATGATTCCAATCGTCCACCACCACCGGACTCTATCATATACCCGACATGGGTAACGGCTTCATTTTGGCAAACTTTCTCCTGCCGTAAGATCTGGATGGAGTACTTCAATATGGATGATTGGTTCAAGAGAGATATTGTGGTGAGGGTTTTGGATGACTTGCAAGCGGCTTCCCGTAGGTAGTGAGGCATGGAAAGATAGGAACTGGTTAAGGTGTTTAAAAGTTGGGATTGGGAATATATACCAAGGCATCGGAGTCTGAAGCAATGGGAAGATGGAAAGTGATTAAGATACTGGTGATATCCAGGAGCTTGGAATTAGGAACACATTTATCAAGACATCACAGCTTGATATAATGGAAGGATAGAAATTGGTCAAGGTGTTTAGGATTAGGATTTAGGGATAAATTGTCAAAGTGTTTTAAGAAGTTTGGTAGTGTTAGGATATAATTCCATAGTAATCATACATTCATTCATTATACACAGGTAGATAGAGAGGACAACACATAAAAGTTTGCTTTCGATATAAGCTGATGGTCCTCTAGTGAGAGTTATACCTGTGATAATATAACCTTTGATATTATATAATTCATCCCAATTAATTCAAGTATCAAAGGTTGAATTCCTAACGACAATAATAACCAGCAAGACTAGGACCACAGACAACAATGAAATAAATATATCAATGTCTTTGTATGACCTCGGAAATTCTTTGATACTGCCGGTAAGCTGTAGGTATTTACTTCAATATATAAAGTCGATGTTTTCTGTATAATTCCTTGGGAAGATATAGAATGAATTTGAATTACAAAAGAAAGGTTTTATATTTTTACTCTATTGATATTAATTTCTAGATCTATTATCTCAAATAATTAGTTAATCAATCCTTACTCAAGTGGCGTATTCCCTACTCCATAATTTTATCACTTGATACCTAGCATCCACCATCCCACCGAAAGAAAAAAGTAGCCCCGCCATTCATTCACCAACCAGCCTTGCATCATATAAATCCAACAACAAGTTCAAAGATACACACAACAGGCAATACATCGATCAATTCAACAATTATTTAATTGCCTTTGACGGAACTCATAAAGATATAAACCGAACAAAATGGAGAAAATTACAGAAAAGATTGCGGCATTGCCGCCAGACACCAATTACTTTTCCCTCGAATTCTTTCCACCAAAGACCTCAATGGGTTCCTCGAATCTACGCGCTCGTCTCGATCGAATGTCTCGAGCATTGAGACCTCTATTCGTCACTGTTACCTGGGGAGCCGGTGGATCTACTGCGACCAAGTCCTTAGAACTTGCGGAGTTGTGCCAAAGAGATCTAGGACTCACAACGTGTCTACATTTAACCTGCACAAATATGAGTCGAGCATTGGTGGATCAAGCATTGGAAGATGCGAAAGCTTTGGGAATTAGAAATATATTGACTTTGAGAGGTGATCCGCCGCGGAGTGAGGAATATCGTGCTGTGGATGAGAAGAATGGTGATACACCTGCCATGGACTGGGAATTTGAATGGGCAATTGATTTGGTACGATACATTAGAAAACAATATGGAGATTATTTTTGCGTGGGAGTGGCGGCATATCCAGAAGGTCATGCAGATGAAGGACATCCAGAAGGACAGAGCCTCGAACATGATTTGCCATATTTGGTTGAAAAGGTTCAAGCGGGCGCGGATTTCATCATGACTCAATTATTCTTCGATGTGGATGCATACGATACATTTGAACAAAGGTTACGAGATCACCCAAGTGGAGCATTCAAAACTATTCCAATCATACCCGGTATGATGCCAATACAAAGTTACCAAATGATCAAGCGAACTACGAAACTTAGCCACGCGAAACTACCTACGAATATTATACGAAGATTGGATGAGGTTAGAGGTGATGATGAGATGGTGAAGAAAGTAGGAGTGGATATTTTGAGTGAAATGGTTGAACATTTGAAGAGTACAAAATCTCAGCATTCTGGTCCTCGAGGTTTTCATTTCTATACTCTTAATTTGGAAAAAGCTGTATCCTTCATCTTGGAACGAACCGAACTCATTCCGGATGCTGAAACTGTTGCGGCATTGGAACCAGAATACGTTTCTACTATTCCTGATATTGCAGATTTGTTGTCTATTCATAGTGGTTCTCACAGACGTAGTTCGAGACGTCGGTCATCGGTTGGATCTGATCCTTACAATCGTATCATAATTACCGCACCACAAACTTCAAATCCTAGTTTTGAAGCTACAGCACTAGAAGCTGGTGTTCCAGCTGAGGCGGTTAATTCTCGAGCCAATACTCTTGCAATAAGTGAAGGAGAAGGTAGTCTTGGTCGAGAAGCCACATGGGATGACTTTCCTAATGGCCGTTGGGGTGATGCTCGTTCTCCTGCTTATGGAGAGATTGATGGATATGGTGTCTCCCTTCACATGTCTATCAATCAAGCTATCAAATTATGGGGTCATCCAAGTTCTAGAGCTGATATCACCAATATCTTCATTCGTCATCTCGAAGGTCAACTCACTGCCATTCCTTGGAGTGAAGAAGGTCTTAATGAAGAAACCAACTCTATCAAAAAACAACTTCTCAGTCTCAATAAGAAAGGTTGGTGGACAGTAGCTTCTCAACCCGCTGTCAATGGAGTCAAATCTAGCGACTCAATCTTCGGATGGGGACCCAAAAATGGGTTCGTTTTCCAAAAAGCCTTTGTAGAACTCTTCCTCCCTACTTCAGATTGGGAAACCCTCCACGCTAAACTCACATCCCCTGCTCTCCGTGATACCGTCTCCTTCTACGCCTCAAATGCCAAGGGAGATTTTATATCTAGTGATGAAGCAGTAGGAAGTACAAATGCAGTTACATGGGGAGCTTTCCCAGGAAAAGAAATCATCACACCAACGATTATTGAAGAAGTTAGTTTTAGAGCTTGGGCTGAAGAAGCATTTGGCATTTGGGGTGAATGGGCTAGGGTTTATGGAAAGGATAGTGAGACGAGGATGATTATTGATGGTATTAAAGAGGATGTTTGGTTGGTCAATGTTATTCATCATGCTTATGTTGAGGGTGAGGGTTTATGGGATGTTCTTTTGAATTGAGGGGGATGGTAGTTGTTGCGGTCCAATGTGATGCAATATGTTAGGTTAGGTTGGATGTGGGATGTTGGATGCAATGGGTTTGGGGTGCATTTATAATTGCAATGATAAAGGATACAGAATGCGAAATACGGAAGTATATAGCCGTGCATGTACTTGTAGGTATGTGTACTCAATATCGCGAATGGGTGTTGGCGTAGGCGTGTAGGATAAATATTAAAAATGAATATAAAGTTCTTCACTATGTTTGAAATCTGAAGACTGAAAACATTAATTTTGTTATTTATCATCTCCCTCCTTGATTAGTGAGTAATATTAGAGAAATTTTTATTTGATATCTTTTTCTTATTATTTTTTTTTTTTGAGATAGAGATAGAGATAGAGATAGAGAATTAAAATTTAGATTTGGGTTTAAAGACGGATGGGAGACAAGGAGATGGAAGATGAGAGATGGAAAAGGGAGTTGGATTAGGGATTAGGGAGGTGAGAAGGGGGGATTTTAAAGGGGATGGGGAGAAGGGAGATTGAGGGAGGGGAGGTTAGGATAGAAAGGATAGATGAGGGAGGTTAGAGTTTGGTAGGGGGTTTATTGGGTAGCGAGCGAGCGTTGGAAAGGGATTGAATTGGACTGGACTGGACTGGACTGAATTAAATTGAACTTAAAGGGATTGAACTGAATTAACCTAAATCAACTAAACTGACCCAAACCAAGTTAAAAGAATTCATATCAAATAGCTCCTAGCTCATATCCATCCTCATCCCCGAAAATCCAGCAGAGAAACCTAACTCAAGATCCGGATTCTCACCAAATCCACATCCAAATCCAAATCCAAATCCAAATCCAAAGTCAAGATCAAGATCAAAGATCGAAATCGAAATCCCCCGTCTTATCTTACTTTATGTTTATTCTTATCCCTAGAGGAAATGAATTCCGAAGAAGAAGAAGAAGAAGAAGAAGAAGAAGAAGAAGTAGTTAAGTAAGTAGGTAAGTAGCCGAGTATAAATCATCAATAAAGTTCTTGCAGGATGTTGATTTTCGATTGGTGATGTGATGTGATGTGATGTGGTGACTGTGTGGTGGGAATGAGGTTGAGTGGTGAGGATAAGTGAGGGAGGGTATGCTGAGAGGAAAAGTGAGAGGATGCGAGGGAATTGTGATGTAGTGAAGTGGTGAAGTGGTGAATTGGAGGCATGTCTGTGGTGGAGATATGGTGAGGTGAATGACGAGATTGAAGGAGCTGAAGTAGGCGAAGTAGACGAAGCAAACTTTAACGGAAAATGGTTGAATGCGTAAATTTGGAGTGGGAAGTAGATGCGTTTCTTTCATTTGTAAGACAGTCTCTGCGAGAATATTGCCGAGATGATGCGTGATGAGATGAGATGCGAAGATTTGGAAATCGAAAGTCGAAAGTCGAAATTGACTAGACAAGAAAATAACCAGGAGTATCAAAATCCCAGATGAACCACCAACTGAATACCCCAGCACCAGCTTCATATCAGCCAACCCAGTGATAAAATCCCATCCCACACATCTCATCTCCAATGTACATCCCAAACCCAACTATCTAAGACTCGGCATCAAAAAAATCATTATCCTCCTCCACAAACCCACCATTTCCACGAGCATTACCATTACCATGTCCCAAATATCCTCCCCCACCAAGCATATCCTCATCACCATCTGCCGCGCGTCCAAAATCATACGCATTAGTATCCTCATGCTTAATAATCAAATCATCATCATCACCCTCATCATCACTATCAATGTAGCTCTTAACAGTATTTTTAGCCGCGCGAGCAGGAGTTCTGTTTTTCTTCTCGACGCGTCCACCTTTGACTTTATTGATGGGTTCTTTCTTGACGGGAGATTTTTTGGAGGGGGTATCCATTTCGAGGTCCGAATCGTCGTCTCCTTCTTCGTTGCTGGATGCGACGGCTTTCCTGGGGGTTTTCTTGGGAGTGCTACGCGGAGCGCGGGTTTTCTTGGGTGTGCTTGCTAGGGTGTTGTTAGTACTTTTCGGTTGTGATTTCAGATCCCAGGCGGGCTCTTTGCGCATTCTGTTTGTTTTTCTGTTAGACTTTTGTTATTATAGGAATGAGGAGTGTGGGATACATACCTTTCGAAACGGGTGGATATAGCCTTACCTGTTGTACCATCACCGTATTTTTCGGCGGTGGCTGAAAGATGTTAGTAAGATATTCCTATAGGGATGAGTGGTTGCGATGGATGGATGGTAAGACGTTATGAAATATGGATAGAATTTGACGGAGGAGGCGCGTAAAGCAATGCTAAAGGAAGAAGGGGAATTGCATGATGCATTCTTAGCAGCAGCTTTGATGGGTCGAAATTGATGGTCCAAGGCAGATGCGGTACGACCATCGTTCAACCACTTTGCCATTGCTATGATGTATATTAATATTTGGTCTGTGTGTTGAAAAGTTAAGCAAGGAAATGTTGTGCTAGTTCGGGTGCTAGATAATGAAATCTTGAAAATATAATAGGGAATTCTCGCATTTGCCATTAACAACACCAATATCGAGAGTTTGTGGATCAATGCCATTTTCGAAAGCTTCGCGCTGGCGAGCACCATTGGCTCTAAGAGTTCGAAATTGAAATTCGATTCCGCCCTTACTAGCGTCCTTTCCGAACATATTGGAGATTTCTAAGGAGATTAATTTGTATTCCGAATATTTCTGTTAAGGAAAGGCAACACTAAGTGAAAGAAAAGAATCAGAAAGTATTAGTTTTCAAGCAGACTTGCCATCGCGCTTTCTGGAGTCAGGATTGGCAAGGACGTTAAAGTCTTTGGGATCCTTTCCGTTGGCTAATGCGTCTTGTTGGATCTTAGCACCAGCTCTGATACCTCGAAATTGCCATTTCATCGAGTTGACGTCTGTATCAGAACCGAAGTGCTTCGCCATTTCTATCGACTAACATTAATAAAAAGATCACAACGTTTATGGAGTGCTAAGGAATATGTGTGTGCCTAAAATGCGCATGAAATAAATAATGGAGAGAGCTGAAGAGACCATTAGAATTGAACAAGATATCCTTGCAGTCCTTGCCCGCAGCTCTCGCACTGCGAATCTGATCAATATTTTTCTTGATGGTGGTAGCAAACTGGAATTTGATTCCTCCTGCAGTAGCATCTGAACCAAAACAGTGTTGAAGCTCTGGGATTAAGTTAATATGCGCTTAATATAGATGTGTGTTTTTTTGTATGAAAGTGCAAGGGAAATAGATCAAAAAATATTAAAACATGGTAGAACTTCTAACTAGTCTTGCCACTAGTGACAATATCAACAGTGGACGGATTTTGACCTGCAGCCAACATGGCTTTTTGACGTTCACCAATAACTTTGTAGCGGGTATCGAATTGGAATCGAATACCGCCACTAGTACAATCTCCCATGAGTTTGTCCATTTCTGTTATTAATCAGTCATGGTTTGATGTAATGGCGATGAAAGCGTGTTGTGTGATATGGGGTGGAGAAATAGAGAGTAGAGGATAGACAGAACTCCTGACCACTTTTGTCTCTCTTGGAAGGCATTAAATCTTCCAAGTCGACATCTTTAGGATCTTGACCAGCTGCACGCATCTTGGTTTGACGACTGCCAATAACCTTAATACGCTTGCCGATTTGTTGCTTGATGGCTTCAGCGGAAACATCTGATCCCATTATTGCAACAATCTCTAGTAGTTAACGTATCAGTACTGTTCAAACGATGATATGGTAGTTTGATGTATATGCTGTGATGAAATGGTTCGCAAAAACTGTAGGGTAGATGAAGACAGAACTCCTGACCACCTTTGGATGCACTTAAGCCTAGTTTGTCAAGGCTGACATCCTTGGAATCATTACCCTCTGCAAGCATCGACATCTGACGACGGCCAAGAAGCTTGACTGTGCGTTGAAAATGATGTTTGAGAGATGAAGCAGTGGTGTCTGATCCCATAATTCTAGCAGTTTCTAGTAGCGTTAACATCAGTGTAGCTCAAACATAATAAAATATTGTGATGTGCTGTAGTGAAATAAGATGGTGAGAACTGGAAGCAGAGTATTGAAAGAGCCTCTAACCACCTTCCAAGCTGTTTAAGGCATCCAAAGGGTCTAAACCGGCGTCGACCATAGCGATCTGACGACGTGAAAGAACTCTAATTTTGGTACTATACCGCATCTTGACAGCTAGAGCAGTGACATCAGAGCCCATATACTTGGCAACCTCTGAAGTTTGGATCAGTTATGTTCAAACACAAAGAAAATGTGTATGGTGTTGTGGAAATGTGATAGTGTTCTGCAAAATAGACAAAGTTCTAGGAAGTGAAATATCACCAAGCTTGCGTTGACTACCCAAGTTATCTAAACTAGCATCCTTAGGGTCTTCGCCAGAATCAAATAAAGCATTTTTACGAGCAGCCAAAACTTTGAAGCTTCGAGAAAATTGTGCTTTAATTCCATTTGGTGTGACATCTGATCCCTTTTTTTGAGCAATCACTAACGGGGATATCAGTGAAATTCAAAAAAGGAAAGGTGCTTGGGCTGTGTGAAGAAGTAAAGGAAGGTTCTGAAAACACAGACAGAACTCCCTGACCAGCCTTGTATCGGCGACAACCCAAGTCTGTCAAATCGACATCCTTGCAATCCTCGCCAGCATCACGCATGGCGATCAAGCGTTCGCCAAGTGGTTTAATAGTCTCCCGGTGCTGAGATTGGATATGACTAGCTGGAGTTGCCGATCCCATGAGCTCAGAAATCGCTAGCGTTAAATTAGTGCAGGTAAATGAGATAAACATGTGCTTTTGTGATGTAGAATTTGAGAAACGAGAATAAATATCCATCATTACCACCTTTTCCCTTGTAGGCAACATTGCCATTGGTGTCGCCCACATTCATGAAGATAGGATCTTCTCCCTTGGCAATGGCAGCGTTGATTAACTTGGCATCAGACTTCAGACGCCTAAATCTGTTGTCAATTGCAGAGGCTGTACAGTCTCCTCCAAACCGAACACTGATTTCTACACGAAAATCAATATAGAAACAAGAATGGCTGCATGTGAAATATGTAATGTGCTCAAAGGACAACAGATGAACAAAAATAGCTTATGCTCCACCATGATACCTTTTCTACCGTTTAAACCATCTTCCAGATTGACAGTGGACGGATTAACACCGGCTTCGACAGCTTTTCGAAGTTGTTCGGCATTTCGTTTGATGCCAGTCATTCGTGTCCAAATTTGATGATAGTTCGACTCATCTCCGTAATATTTGGAAGTTTCTGGCAAAATCAGGGATCAAAGACAAAAGAAATGAATAAATTTTACGGATTGTTGAAACGCGGATGACTTGATGAGGAAGATAAAGTTATAAGGAAATGTTTACTAACCATTGTAATCGAGTTTGAGATTAGGGTGGGCAGCGACGATGGCGGAAAGTAGGCGAACTGTTACCATGAAGTAAGTATAGTGCAAGCCGTGTGATCGTCAGATAAACATACCAGATGCCTCATAGGTCTTCCAGTTTGGCATTGTTGCGGTACTAGAAGTTCTGCGATGGATATCAGTATGATTATTTGATTTTGGATAGTTGTGTAATGGATATAAAGTCGAGTAATAAGAGCGAGTAGGAAGTAGAAGAGGTGGAAGTTGAGAAGTGGAAAAGGAAGTACAAGTAGGAAAAAAAGTGGAAGCAAGAGGAGAAAGTAACGATGACAAGATCGCTACTATATGAGAACCAGTGAATGTGAATATGCCCAAGTAAAGGTGAAATAGATCGAAAGACGCAACCAGCGCACCTCGCGACAATTACGAGGAAAACATATTTGTCAAGATAGACAGTCATGTGAGATCGACAGAGAGGAATGCTCGAGGATAGACAGAGAGGGATAATAGGAAGGATAGTATCTTACTTCGTTTGGGTAGGCGGTTTGGTGTTTGGTGTTTGATATTGAAGTGCGCGTGCGACTTGTGCGATTTACGACGAACGACGACGATCTAAAAAGCCAAATCAGTGCCCATAACTCAAAGATTTATATTCAAGAAAGTATAAATAAAGTAATAGCAAGAAGAATACTCACAAGATTCAAGAATGTTCAGCGATAGATGAAAATAGATAGACAATCCAAGTATTATTGAAGTGGATGGAAAGTTGTAGGAAGTTGGAGGAAGTTGGAGGAAGTTGTAGAAGAGTTGTTGAAGAGTTGTTGAGGTTGTGGGGGAGAAGAAGGATATTGGGAAAATGAGTCGAGGTTAGGACTTTAAATAAGTGAATTGTGCACAGCCAAAAATAACGAGAGGAAAGAGCGGCGAGGGGAAAATCAGGTTGAGGTATTATTCGACTTCTGCATGTCAAATGTTTTCCAGGAACTCAAGGCTGAAAGGCTTCAATCAATTCAATTCATTCAATTCATTCAATTCAATGTTATGGATTTCGTTTGTGTAGGCTCCAATGTGGTGATAAATAACTATTTTTGGCCGGGACAGGTTTCTCATCTATTCTTCAGCGCAGACTCTTCATTTCTGAAGTAATTTCAGCAATTAAGCGCAATGTTTATGATTGTTCTATCGTTTTGCTACATTAGAGATACATCAAAAACGTTGGTTTCCCCAGCAATCTTTCCAAGATATACACAATTGGATACTGTTTCCAAGTGAATAACCCTGTGTACGCACAAACAGAAACCCGATAGGATCTTGCCACAAGCATAAGGTGCCTGCAAGAACTTATCCATGAAACTCGGTGGATATTGGTTTTGCTTTTGCTTTTTCTGTTGGCTGCCTTGTTCGGAAACCGGCATCACTTTGCTTGTCATATATTCCTTTTCGTTCTCGACCATTGTAGTATCCTCTACCCCGCAGCCAGTATCTGAAAAACAAACAAAAGTAATTTAGAATTCTAGATTTGTCTAATATAATAAATACATCGTTTGATTTTATCCACTGATCTAGAACAAACAACAAAAATTGGAAAAACTAATAAAATCAAGTCTGAAAATAGATAGATTAAAAAAAGTTTGTATTTCAAAAAGAATAAGAGGAGTAACAAAATAATGTCTGGGGAGCCTGTCCAAGATGAACAGTGACTATTGTCCAATCCTTTTGTTGAAATACTAGCAACCCAGCTTCGAGCTCGTGCTGTTTGGAAAACAGTAGACACCCGCTGCAAATATAATGAAGCCACAACTATACGCCTTGATCGCTCTAACAACTGGTTTCCTGGATACAGAATGACTCAAGTCCCTGCATTTTAGACGGCTTGATGCTCTGAATTAAATTTCCCAGCGAGCCATTGTCATAGTATTTTGTCCTGTCCTTCCCAAAATATTTCGCTACCATAACAATCATCCCAACACAGACTGCACTCTTTTGTTTGAGAGGATATTATTGCTGCACGCTAGAATGGCCTCCAATGGTTTGAAATCTTAGCCATTTTGATCCGCTGAAGGCATTACGTTCTGCACCTCTTCCACAACTACATTCATTTCCCATGGATCCTGTCTCGACTTCTAATATCCATCTTCAAAGCAACAATAGCGTCTCTAGCACAATTTGCAGCATCCCAATTACCCTCTCTCCTAGGTACAATGGCTAGCAGCAATTCAATGGCTTCTTTCCGAGTAGAAATGGCCCCGTACCTGGCCGCCGCAGTCAGTGACGGCACAACACCACTATAGAATACAAAGCCCTTCTCAAAACTAGGATGTGCAATGACTGCCTTGCAAATTTCGATGACCTCTTCAAAAATGGCCTGGTAGACATGAGCAGGTGTGTTGGGGAAGAAAGCCAAATGAAATCCGTTGCGTGTTGTTAACCAGTTCACTCTTAACGTGCAGACAGTGATAAAATTGTTATCTTCCTTTTTTGTGCGCTTGAATAATGGTTCGAAAGCAATCTGCCATTGATCAAGATTGTTTAAAATCTCCTTGAACTCGGCCATTGCTGGAGACCAATCGAGCATTCGTTTGTTCCACAGTGCCGAATCAGATATTTCCTCTTTGGCAGGTTCTTGTTCTCCTCGAATAAGTGATGCCGTGTCCATGAGAAAGCTGATAAGCTGTCTACAAATCACCGTGAGGTTGTGGCCCGCGTCATCAATGCTTGTAAACATGACTGGAACGGGACTAGGAATATACATTCGAGTCCCGTGCATGATATCTTGGGCTTGAGCTATGGTGGGATCAATTGCAGATATTAATCCAATGTGTGTACTATGAAATGTGGCAAAAATGGCATCCTCAATAACATCGGGAGCTGGTGATATGGTTCGATCCGTTATCTGACGCTTTTCGCGATCTTTCATCCAATCTTGAAGTAATTTCGCAGCGCTCTGAATCTGAGTTACTGCCGACATATGATTTCCATGAAAGTTCTCGAATGAAAATATGAGAAGTGCAGCAAGCAAAGTCAGACGAATCGGTACGAGCTTTTTGATTCCTCCGAGCGCTTTGCCGTATTCTTGTACGGCAAATCTGTAATCATCGTTCATGGTCATGATCTGACCTTGCTTGCGTGCTCTCATTACCCTACTGAGAGCCCCAATTGCACAAACAGCTTGGAGAAGACAGGGTTCCTGATGACATGCTTGGAGGATAACACTGTTCCATAACTCGGAAAAGAATCCACCAAATACTTGAGTCGTAACATCACTACAGAAAAATCGAAAATATTGGAAATGTTTAGGGCTTTCGAATTCAACATCAGAAATGCTCCTTATAGATTCATGTCTAATATTCTCAGCGGCATTGTTAGATAGGATGTTTCTCTTGGTTGCGAGACCTTGTCTAGAGTTTGGAAATTCACGTGTTAAATAACCACACTTTTGAGAAGTGCCCTTGTAAAATATTTTACAGCGATAACATTCCGGCTTCCCTTCATCACATTTGATTCGTCGAGCTCTAGTAATTGCATGTCAGCACTTGGGAAGGGGATGTAGACTAGTCAGGGAGTCAGACTTGCATGTCGTACAACCTGTGTGAACTTTTGGTAATCCTCTTCTCTTTCGCAGTGGGACCGATGTCTGTTCTCCCTCTCGTTTCACGTGTGGTGGAGGCGCTATTACCAAAAACATTTTGCGAGGCTATATTTCTGGAAGGAGGATTCAAGACAGGACGGGCGCTGCAGGAGACACTGTAAGTGTACTCAAATGTAACAAGGTTCTAGTATCCGAATCGACCGACCATCCAGCTGATTCTTATAGCATGCATTGACCCTCGTCGGTGTCTCGGTACAGATTGGCTTGAATGAGCTGGTGGAGCATCAGAATTTCAAGAGTGCCGATAAGGCGAGCCGACAGGAGATATATATATATTGTTATATTAGGTATACTTATGCAGTGGCCGCTGTGCATGAAAATCCTTGTGTTTTTCCGACTCTACGGAAACTTCCCGTTCCCGCTTTCGTGGAAATACTTATATGACATGGTTCACGCCCATGGCCAAGATAAGATTTTATTAAAGTACGGTCAATCCAACCCGGTGAGAAATAATTGCACTTTTAGGATGTAATTTTCCTTGCATCGTAGAGGTACAGAGAACCAAGGAGTTCTGCTACAGGACCTCGACAAATAAAGCCAAATTTTGTGAAGAATGGGATCCATTGTGAGGAGGCGGAATGTCCGTGATTGACCAGCTGAAGGGCGGCTAATTTTTTTTAAAAGGGGATACTGAGCTCGGTCTTCGGACAGCAATCATTTAAGGTGGTTTCGATGGTTGAACAAGCGCTAGAGTGCATCTGTCCTCTATTATTAGACTTGATTAGCTCCTGTGGTCTTTTCCCGCTGCCAAAACTAACACAGAGTCGACAAACCCCCGAACATGGCCGATCCGCAATAAGAGTTCAAGGCATTTCGAATGTTTTCAAATAATTCCCGTGACTTCCAAAGAAAATAACATTTTAGGGGCAGATAAAGAATCCAACAATTTGACGTCACTGACCAGCTAACAAGTTCTGGCGCCTTAGCTCAGCACTTGGCATAAGGTCATGGAAAATCCTTTGTTCTTGCGCAGGGCCAACAAAATATATAAAATGTTACGGAAGGTTCTCCGTTATATGAAAAATGATGGCAGAGGTGGCACATCATGACGGTGCCAAATGCCCAGCACTGGCTAAGTGCCGGGTTAAGCGGGTATGGGGATTTCTTTATTGTCCATAGGTATGGATTTATATTGCATTCTCCATGGGCTTTATCCAAGATATATAATATCATGAGATTTCGCCCTGATCGTTTGGTTGGCCCAGATATTGAGGTCAAAGAGCGGATATTTTCATTCAGCAATTGGACAACAACAGATTCTCTCCTTTCGAATAATTCCACCACGACATAACTTCAGATTGGATGAATTTGGCTTCAAAACCATGGTAGTTCAAGAATCTGGAGATCCCATTCGAATGCTGGTTCTGGAGACAGATTCGCCACATCCAGAAGTCAAGGAGAATAAGGGTGGATATAGTGATATCCTAAATTCATTATTTAAACAGGCTGGAAAAGAGCATGATCCACCATTGGAAATAGAGACAGAAATGCACTATGTTGTCGATGATCCTGAAAATGGTCATTACGGGCATTCTCTCAAGGTTTCCGATATCGATCCATCTATCAACGCAATATTGATCACAGGAAGCATGTACGATGCTCATGGGGCCAATCCATGGATCAAAGAATTGCTACAGTTTTTGCGAACCTTGTGGATTGAACGGAAGGATCTGAAGTTTAGTGGTGTTTGTTTCGGTCACCAGATATTGTCACGAGCACTGGGGGCAAAAGTGGAACAAGAACCAGCCGGAAACTGGGAATTGGCACATACGGAAATGGATCTGACTCCTGTTGGGCAAAGATTGTTCAAGACGAAAGACAAAAAGCTCAGTCTACACCAAATGCATCAAGATCAGGTGACTACCGTGCCATCGGCGTCGACAACTGAATTGCTCTCCGAAGATGACAGAGTTGAGGTCTGGGCCAGTACGGAACATACAAAGATTCAAGGTCTGTACTTGAGGGAGAGGCTGTTTACCAGTCAGGGACATCTGGGTTTTGATGAACAAGTTGTACATCGTGAGATTGACATGCGTGTTGAGAGTGGCGGAATTGAGGATAAGAACGTAGCTGAGCAAGGAAAAGACACCGCGCATCTAAAACACGATGGGCTCACAGTCGCTGGCGCAATTTTGAGGTTTTTCTATGGAGACGATCGGGATATTCAAGGAAGGAAGTCAGAGCAAAGCTAGCGGAAATTCATCCAGCCTCGTCGTTTTGAATCTATGCGCTTTAGTTTAATCTTCGAGGTCGTTTGTCGCCATGTGCCGATTCAAAATCACATTTTTGGTCATTTACCACTAATACGGGGATTTGAGCATTCCGCTGCACCAGTGGAATTATTGTGTATCTGTGTACACCAGGCTTCCGGAACATCCTGAAGAGCAGTGAGTTGTGGTGATCAACCCCGTGATGTCAGCAGTATAATTGGAGAATGGATATGCATCATCCGGTAAGCCAAATCTCGTCTTTATCCTTTATCTCATCTATGTAACCAAAGGATCTTGCTGGTGTCCTCTTAGAGAAAGCCAATCATATGCGCCGAGGATTGGTGTAAAGGTATCGTAATATCATTGGTCATAGAAATAAGATCCGGTAGTCTTTGAGATCAAAAATAGATGGATACTACGACGGTGACAACCTGAACCATCGTATTGGAAAGCTACACCACGCAGCGTTACAGCCAAATCCAAGCTTAAATAAGTCGACATCGTCAACGTTACATAAGACAACTTGAGAAGTTTTAGCTCTTTTCAATTTTTCCGCAGCTTCCCTCAGAGCATGACATCAAGAAGTCAAGGCACCCATTTACCTAATACTCAAAATCCCAACCAAATGACGAGAAGCGGCTGAATGTAACACAATGTTGCTTAAGGTTACCCATGTTCCCGCCCCGCGTCTGGAGGAGATTACGGAGCCTGGCAGCGCACCTTCAACTATAGGGCCCGAGAGAACCTGACAAAGTATCAATACTAGTGTACCCCCTTATAAACTTTGAGTTAAAATCTATATCATTTGGAGCTAAATGACTGTCTATGATACGTAGCAATTTGTATATATTAATTTTAGATTATTTTCCATTGAGATAAAGTAGAATTATCCTTCTTCAAGCAACGATTTACAGCTCTAGTGAGAGTATTTCAACGCTAAATTACAGGGCTTAATCCCGATTGATTTGATTAACCTCCTTACTGCGTGCTGTAGTGGAGATACCCTGTAAGGCCCCATAGTCACATTGCGCTCTCCGGAAGGATTCTGTGATGCTACCTACCTCTATAGCACAATACCGGTACAAGAGCTGATAAAAGGATTCTATGATCTTACCTACCGCTGTCACTCAAAAACGGAAATAAACATAAAATGACGATAAGGTTTCGAGAGGCTGACGGATGTGGAAATGAAGCTGGCGATCGCATCCTTCGTGAGGCTGGTTGTTGGGAAAAATGAGGATATAAGGATATTGATATAGTATCGTCCTATTCCTCATCCACACTTCAATCACCATTTCTTCTTCCCAACCTACCTCAGTCAACAGCTCAATCTTCAATCATGTCTTTATCCAAGATTTTCATAGCCCTCACAGGTATCATTGCTATAGCTTCAAGTAACCCTCTTGTTCCCAGAGCATCAACCGCTTGCTCAACATCAAGCGGCCCCGGTTTCTGCCAGAGCACTTCTACTTCCTGCACCGGCGGAAAATACATAGCTGGTGCATGCCCAGGCGCCGCAAACAATCAATGCTGCGTGGCAACATGTTCTAGCGGGCAAGGAACATGCCAAGCAACATCGGTAGCATGCAGCGGAGGTACCTTCAAGAGTGGTCTCTGTCCCGGAGCTAGCGATATCCAAGTACGAATCCCCCTTCTCCATTCTCCCACCAAACCACCTACTAAAAACCCACAGTGCTGCATCAAAAGTAGCGGAAGCACAAGTACCGGCTCTCCAGGTTTCGATATCTCGCAACCCGGCAGCGCAGCATTCTTCCAATGCGCCAAGAAAACCAAAAATATAGTCGCCATCCGCGGATACGAACAAGCATGCGGAAGCGGCGGCCAAGTCGACAGCAATTTTGTGACGTCGTACAAAAACGCCAAAGCGGCAGGATTCACCCGCATAGACTCGTATCTATTTCCCTGCACGGGAACACCTACAGGAACCGAACCAAAATGCAAGAGCATCGCAACGCAAATATCTGAATACCTCCAAGTAATCTCAGACAACGATATGGATATCACGATGCTCTGGCTCGACATCGAGCCCACATCCGTATCCAATTCCGCGTGTAACGCGTGGAATCTCGGCGCGGCAGCTAATGAGCAATTAGCCAAACAATGGGTTGCGGCAATGAAAGCCACGGGGTTGAAGTGGGGAATCTATGCTAATGGGAATCAGTGGAGTGGGATGTTTGCGAGTAGGAGTACGGATGTTGGGAGTGAGTTGCCGTTGTGGGCTGTGCAGGATGATTTTGAGGCGGGTGTGGGTACCGTGGATACTTTTATGGGGGGTTGGATTAAGGCTGCTGCTAAGCAGTATTATCTTGGTGTGTATATCTTTTGATTCTTGTGTGTCTCTTGTCTTTATTTGAGATGGATCGTGCAGGAAATTGTGCTAATACCTATGTTATATAGATACCACGCTCTGTGGCCTAGGTGTGGATTTGGACTCGTTTTCGTGAATGTTCAAGAGGGTCTGGCAGTCAGGCTTGAGGACTGCTAGGTCAATGGTACTCAGGTAGTGAGCGGTGTCCGAGTGATCTTCTTGGGTGAGCTCTTTGTATTCTCAGATCAGCTTCAACAATTCTTTTGAAATTATGACACTCTTGATTGGCCCTGATTTATTGCCTCATGTGAATATGTACAATATGGTATCACGCCAGATTGGACGTAAACTTCGTATCACAGTACAGTACAATCAGCATCAAAACTTCAAGTAAAACTCATATCCGACCACATAGTATGCCCTTCAGCCGCCCACTCGCAAGTATACTTATACATAAAACGCCAAGGGTATTCCGGAATCCAACGCCATGCCATCACCCATTTCCATCAAGTCATATCATCATGTCTGAAGGTACCATCTATCTATCAATTGAACCACATATTCTGTTTAAATAACCCCAGCCTCAGTAATTGTTGCTCCTCTATCAGCACTTTTCCTCGCTGGACTGTCAAGCTCTTCGAAGTCTCTCGCAGCAATCTTCGCATTCTCTAGAGCACAATTAAATCGTTCCTCTCCAGGTGGAAGGATGGCTGCCAGATAGGTATTAGTTGTAAATTTAACAGCGAACATGCAAAAGTTTGGCATCTTCAACTCAAACAGGCTAAACTGTTCTGCGGATTTGGGTGTACCGGTATAACGAGAAGTGCTTTGTTTAAAGTTTTTGATGATATTCGAAAGGCGCTCGAAACGATCCGTTGTAGGATTTGTTTCCCCTTCTGGCGATGTCCAACTTGAAACAACAAGAAAAGAGGAACGCTCGAATAAGAGCACTTCCTCAGCTTCAATGATAGTTCCGAGTGAAGAGAGATGTCTTTCTATTTCTCCTAGATTTGGAACTAGATCATGGATAATTTCCGCCCATGCTTTATAAAGTGATTGATCCCAAATAGATGTTGCAAATGGTACGATATTGAAAGATTCTGATTTGGATCGGACGGATGATATTTTTTCATGGAAGTTGTTTTCACGTTGGTTCGGAAGGACAAGATCCATTTTGTGTACCAGGACGTAAATGCTTGCGGTTGGTGAGAATTGAGTGAGGGCTGTGATGATCGAGCGATATGTTAAAAGGTCGCGGTCAAAGTCTCGAGATTCAATATCGAAAACGTATATGAGTACACCGACGCTTGAGAAGACATGTTGACGTTGCTGGGAGAGGTAGTTTTCCATGAATGCATCCTGCCTAGCTTTTTTGTTAGCCATATTGAGCCTAAAATTAAATCGCAGCAAAAAATATGCCGACAAGGAGTCAGATGTCGGTAATTTGCGAGCAGCATTACAAGGCTAAGGTAATATAATATCTTGCAGGATCTACCAAGGTTCCAATGCAACTCGCGGAGGAAGCTGTCCGGCCTCTCTGTTTATTAGAAGCTCAAAAACATGAGATGATAAGAACTTACCCTCCACAATCCCACAGATTCAGTGTTAAATTTCCCAGAAACTTGACATGGCTAAGATCGACATCAATTGTTGCACCCAATCGTCTTGTATCCTTTGCGACATAGTTCGAAAAGATAATGCTTCTCATGGAACTCTTCCCGGAACCTGATTTTCCCATCAACAGAACCTTCTTCTTCCTTGGCTTCTTAGATTCGGATGGAGAAGCCACTGCCGCTGTAGATGACTCCTCTTGTTGCCGATGGTTCTGCATATTTGGTTGAGGATGGGATCTGGAGGAATTGAGGAGAGATTGTGAAGTCGAAGCTTGAGCTTGAGCTTTTGAAGCAGAAGCAGGGCGGTGAAAGTAATTCATTGTGGAGTCCGGAGAAACCTTTGTCCGAACAAATCTCCAATAATATGAATTTATCAGACAAAACTTTTTGATGTGATGATGTTACTTATGATTTCAAGTATGATTTCTCAATTCTTCTGCTTCTGGTATAACTGTTATTAACAAAGGCGACAAGTTGAGGAGTAGCTTAGTCTACGTACATGACAGAGCTCAGGTTCAAGTGAATATTTCTCGTACCCTTTCAAATTTTAGCCTGCAAACCAATCAAACAAATTCCAATATGGATAGAACATTGAGACAAGTGCCTTTCAAGCCTTTTTATATCATTTCTCTCGCAGGAGCATGGGATTTAATCGGAGTTATGCAGAACCTAAGTATCAGATTCACGATCAGAATTTTATGTTAAGATCCTTTGATTTCACAAAACCTTCCAGCTTGATACAATTGGCGCCTCGTAAGGCTTATATCTTGAAACGTTACTTCTTTCTTACCCCATCGATGCGAGAGGATGGCATAGAATAGGATTTGAGCATTGTGGGACTCTGAAGACGTAGAGTTGATGCGACCATCTGCGCTGAATTCCATTGTCTGTCTCCGTTCTCAGGCCCAATTTCGCTTGCTCTAGTCCATCGAACTTGCATCCTGGCATCTAGAAGCTGGGGGACACCAGGCTCCGCAAATGCTAGTTCGTCCCGCATGCGCCAGTTCACTTCCACAATAATTCTTTCACCAGCCTGTATTGGATTCCAGCCGTCCCTTCCAACACCAGGCAATATTCTTTTCGTACCAAGGTCTATAGTGGGAGGTGGTGGTGGAAGTGGGTTTGCTCGATTCGCGGCCATGGTTGATAGTTGGCTTATAAAATGTGAGGGGAACTGTCCTATCCTACTCAAACCACAATAAGTGAATTGATGGTCCAAAACCAAAGATTGGATAGCGTAATATCAGTCTTGGCGATACGAGAGAGGAGAGGGAAAGGGTCTCATTATGTAGCTTCGTGAATACACCAGAATTTAAAAGAATGGGTCCAAAGACTAGCTAAACAGGTCCCTCTAGACAATGTAGGCCTTTGATTGTTCAAGGTTCAATGGGAATGAAAGGAATAGTGTTGGAGGGTTTATGAATATCATCAAAGTAACAGCGCCAGGATGCCATGGAAGGAGATTCGCTGCTGTGCTGATAGCTTCATACAATTAGATTTGGCAGGAGTATTCATTGATCAGCAACACATTTTAGCTTTCAAAGCTTGGAGGCTGTTTGGCAAGCATGTTTCTTACATGGACACATCGTCTTTCCATTCACAAATAACAGTGGTGTGCATAAAACAGCGCCCAGGAGTTCGTACAGTAAGAGATAAAGAGTAGTGCTCCAAGTACGCTGAAATTGGAAATGTTTCATTGAAGGTGCACGCAGTGGAAGGCAATCAACTACTTTGTCACGATTTTCTCACAGGAACATAACTGCTGCAGCATGACAGCCAGCCGCGCAGTGGTGCATCTGAATTACTTTTTAGGAGAGATGTTCACAATCATGCAATGGATAAAAGAGATCATACATCAAACATATACTCCTGTCAAGGCCGCCTTGAGCGTCCAGTTCCGAAAAGCTAATGTTGTAAGCTTGAATGATCAAACATTATTTAGTCAAATTTAAATTGGGATTGTTATTACGCCTTGACATATTTCATTCTGACTAATTTGAGATTTATATATCCACCGTAGCCCATGATTACAATGGTTCTCTTTGTGCTTCCAAAATCATCAGCGTACCTGACACATAGTAAGCTTGATATGAAAATTACATGTACTTTTGAAATGGCTTTTCGACGGGTGGAACATCACTTTCCACACCCACTAAGTCCAGAATCAAGAAGGAAGTGAGGTTTTCATTATTTAATAGACTGATCTTTGTCCCTATCATAATATCAATTCATCGTCAAAGAAACTCGGATCCAAGTGTCATCTTTGAGCCTCGCATTTTTAAGCCTCACAATAGGCTTTGCTTTTCTCAAAATCCTCATACAGGCAATAACAATGACCCTTATTACAGGAGCACCTTTTCCTCACACCAACCGGTTTAAAACTTGCCCATCGCAAAAATCCTTCCTTTCTAGTGCGAAGATTTTCAACCTTCACCTTGCCCCAACCTCCCTCGCAACCCTCGAGATACCTACAATGGTCTTCGATTTCCGTTTTGAGAATAGGGCCAAAGTCATGAGGATAATGAGGGTGGTGCTTTACAACTAAGATGGCACCGGGTCTCTGTCCAGCAATCGTTGAGGGATCATTTACTTCCAGGTGTGTCTTTGTTGTAATATTGCCAAGCTGGAATCGCGCGTTTGGAGGAATGGGCGTTTGGGGAGGCATGGTTACTATGGACGAGTAAGTAATGGTGAATATGATGTCGAATTGTGCTCAGTCCTTCATTATGGCAAATTCAGATTTCATACCATCCAGTCCACTCATATCCTGACTACCATAAACGGGCACCGATCTTAGTGGGTGGCGTGCAGAATATGCTTGCCAGTTTTCATAAATGCATCGACATCCTCCACTCAAACAGCCGCATTTTCCATCATAAGGAACCGGAAGTAAATCCTCCCAATCAATGGTTCCCGTCATACCAGTACGAATACTCTCCACTTCAACTTGATTGATATTTTGATGTGCCAAAACTTCGACAAAATCGCCGACTTTGGCGAGAGGTAAAGAGAGGGCTGTGGGTTTCAATGCTCTCTTGACTGAAATGATGGCGCCAATTTGCTGCCCTTCCAGCGTTGCCGGATCGTGGATTTTAACGACGGGTCTTTCGTCTTGCGGGAGTTTTTTCATTTTCATCGGGGTTGGATAGCCAGCAGTTGGAGGAGTATCAAATGGTGTGATGGGTACGCTGTAGTCCATTTTACAGGTCATGGGAGAAGTTAGTATATGTAGGCTCGAAATATCGAGCGCTTTGAACAAAGATTCCTTTTCCTATAGATGTGTCATGTTTTAAGGCATAAAGCAGCGTGATGCATCTATCCGCGCAGAAAACAACCACTTTCGTATTCATACTTGCTTCTTCTTGTACTAGAGTTCCAAGGGCTATGTCATTTTTTCGGTATATTGCATAGGAGGTCGTGAAGTGCCGTTTAACACACCACATATGCAGTTCGATAGGCCATCGGCAGCCAAGAAAACCTTTGGGAAACCCGACCGCCACAAGCTGGGTTCATTTAATCATATTTGCTTAGACCAGTTTCTGATAAGCCTCGCACAATTCCGGGATGCTCATACCAAAACAAATCATAATGCGTAGCTGATGACTCCCAGAGTTGCGGAAGTTGCATTCATTGCAAACAGCCAGTCTAGCCAATGATTTAACTATCTTTGGCCAGCGTATACTATACCTCTATTCGCTTCCGGATTTGAGAATGACCATCATTTCAGAGCTATCATGCAGTGTGACCATGCTATTATTGAAATTCCCTATTCTCTCAAACACACTGTGATAACATATATAGGAAAATTACTCATGAAGACGTCATGATTTTGAAATTCGGGTCGCTGCCGATGAAAATGCGAACCTCAACTAAAATCAAGCTTCAAAAAGCAATGCTTGACTTCGTGACATCGACTACTTTCTTTACCTACCTTGTCATGAGACCCGAGTCGAGCCGTGACACAGGTACACCACATGCACTATCTAATCTCATCTGTCCCCGGTGCGTTTGCATTTGGAAGAAGCAGTGCAAACAAACCTCATCAATCTCGTGATGTTCTCGTGACCTATATTGTTTTGTTGCATGTCTGCATTTCGAAATGACACGGTATAATATTATAAATACAGTATAGGGCTGCTTATATGGTGTAACATCATATACACAGTATGAGCGTACACAATATAAGGTCACTTACACAATACAACATCGCTTACACAATGCATACACAGTATACTGGTTATGTACAACTCCAATAAATCGTCCCATAGTTTTGGATGACTATGATGGGGATGATGGGATGAAAGCCTCAATAAACGCTTAAAATATAGGTAGTTCTAAGCTTGGTAAAATAATCGCTTCGTTTCTCATTCCTGTGTTTGTGTTGCAGACAAGGTTTCTCTTACCTTCTTCGAATTTGAAGGATTTGGTTTATAAGAAGCAATGATGAAATTTCTATATCCCGTTTTCAACCATCATTCGTCCCAGATTTCGTTGTGTCGTCAATTAACCTATTTGGATCACTAGCACGTATAAAGTTCAGATACTGCTTATGTGGTAAGAGAACTTTTAATTTTGATTCTTGATTGAACATTCTGAGAAGAAGACCTAGCACGCCTATACACCAGAGCTGCCATGTATGGGAGACCAATAACCCACACGCCCGCAAAACAACAACGCCGAATAAACATAAGACACCCAAATAACCATCTCTAAACTCATCGATCCAAAGCTTGTGCTTGACACTACGACGAATAATTAGCAATAACTCCACAACCAAAACCAGCCATCAAAACAGGGAAAGTAACATACCATCTGCCAATACAAGCCTCTCATCCCCAACAACTGCCCATGACTCCCACTCTCCACCACATTCCCCCCCTCCCCCAGCACAAAAATAACATCTGCATTCTGCACTGTCGCAAGCCTATGCGCTACAACAACCATAGTTCTCCCTCTCCCTGTTCTCTCAAAAACAGACTGTACACTTCTCTCTGTCTCAGAATCCAAATTCGACGTAGCTTCGTCTAATAACAATAATCTCGGATTCCGAATCAAAGCTCGCGCAATAGCGATACGTTGTTTTTGACCACCCGATAATGCAACGCCATGTGCTCCAACAGCAGTATTATAACCTTCAGGGAGTGAGGAGATGAAATCATGGATTTCGGCATCGCGACATATTTGATGAAGTGTTGTATCTGGGATTTCTTCTTCATCCGAGACACCAAGGAGAATGTTTTCACGAATGGAGCCTTCGAATAAAGAAGCTTCTTGTGCGACTAAGGAGATGGATTTACGATATTCATCTAGAGAAATATCCCTGATGTCCGTTTCTTGGTAAAGAATCTGACCACTCTGTATCTGGTAAAATCGTTCGAGTAAGGATATAATACTGGTTTTGCCGCATCCTGAGGGCCCAACAATGGCTGCAAATTGACCTTTCTTGATCGTCATGTTTAGTCCGTTGAGCACTGAAACATCACGAGTAGGGTACTTGAAAGAGACATTCCTGAGTTCAATTTTCACCCCACGAGAATTTTTCTCTTCATTCGCGTCCGCAAAATCGTAGAGCACTGAATCGTGCTCATTTTTACATTCGGGTCTCATACCCCGAATACGATCTGCTGCTGCAAAAGCTTGAGCAACATTTGGTCCGAAGCTCAGGGTTTGGCCTGCAGTGGTACTTCCTTGCACAACTGCTAAATACACAACTAGGTAGTTAAATGGCGTATACTCATGGTTGGCTAAAAGCTGACCACCGTACCAGAGAACAAATGCCATGCACAGTATTGCGATACTATCGCTCATCGCAAATATAAAGGTTGAAAATTTAGCTTTGCGGAAAGCTTTCTTGGTGTAATTTCGCAGAAGCTTTTCATAGCGTCTACCAATCTCCGACTCTAGAGTAAGAGCTGATACCGTACGAAACGCACCGATGGATTCGGTGGCGAACTTGGAGCTTTCTGCAAAGACTTCATTGTTCATTTTTTCGAATTGAGTTTCGTATCGAAGACGGAAGAATCCTGCAGCTAGAATAATGGGCATTGTCGTCACCACAGTCAAGAGAGTGAGTTTCCAGCCAAAGTAAAATGACATTGCCACAGATCCAAAGATATTAAACATCGAGATCAGCACAATTGCCATATTGATTCCGAGTAATTGCTGAAGTTGAGTAGGATCACTCGCCATTCTAGCTGTCAGACTACCCACGGAATTCTCTTCTTCGTCATAATATGATACCGGCTTTGAGAGTACATTCTGGAAATATTCTTGGCGATATGTAGCTGTGATATTCTGGTTTCATTATTAGTCATTGATTTGGCATATGATGGACAATACTCACAAATGAGACAGTGTTGGAAGACCATCCGAGAGCATAATAGCTAATGCCCACGCCAATAGCCAATAGCGTAAACATGAAGCACCAATAATTGGTCTGAGCCTGTAGAAGCTGCCCCCATAGGTTAAACAGCGAAATGAGTTTCGCAAACAGAAATGCATGTAAAGGAAATGAAGCGCCAGCGCCTAATGAACTCAGAAACATTATAATATACCAGATCCATCGCGGCTTTTGTTCCCAGAGGAAGAGCATAAAGCTTCCGAAAGGAGTTTTATTTTTATTCATTGGGCTCAGCGATTCCAAGCTAGATTGATCGCCCCCAAGGTCGAGGCTGATCTTCGCAAATGTTGGGGAGTCCACGTCTTGTTTCTCTGGGTCGTTTGACATATTGGCTGTCTTTTTGGGATGTTCATCATTCCCTAACTGTTGAGCATTTGCGAGCGCCCAGTACGGACCTTCGATATCTTTCAATAGCTGTTCATGAGTTCCCTGTTGTACCACTTGCCCTTTCTTCATGACAACAATATTATCTGCCTTGATGACGGTAGATAATCGATGGGCTATTGTGATAGTAGTTCGGTTCTTCGATACTTTATCCAATGCGGCTTGAACTATCTTCTCACTTCTGACATCAATAGCACTTGTTGCTTCGTCAAGAATCAGTATTTTCGGCTGCTTGACAATACTTCTCGCAATTGCCAGCCTTTGCCGTTGGCCACCACTTAGTTTCATCCCAAAATCGCCCACCATTGTGTTGTAGCCCTATCGATGTTAGAACCATTTATATTCCGTTGGGTTATGAGTATGTTGGTATTAATTACCTCGGGTAGTCGCTTAATGAATTCATCTGCGAAGGCTTCTTTACAAGCTCGTCTTATCAACTTCCTCTTCTTTTCGTAGCTTTCATGTTCCCATTTTGTACCTATTAAACCATACTCCACATTTCTATATATAGTGGTATTGAAGAGGAATGGTTCTTGCTGTACAAGCCCTATCTGTGACCTCCACCACTTCAAGTCAATTTCATGAAGTTTTCGGCCACCAACAGTGATTGTACCGTTTCGGAAGAAAAGTGTCTTTTGATTGGTCAGTGACAATCTCAGACATTTCATCGAGCTTTAGAACTTACAAGTGCATTATCTGTGAGGTTTCCATCCAGCTCGTACCACCTCTCAATCAATCCGACGATGGTGCTTTTCCCCGAGCCAGATGCTCCAACAATAGCGGTTATTTTCCCAGCTGGAAATCGAACATTGAGATTGTCAAGTACCTTGACACCGTGTCTAAGAGGGTATGCGAAATTGACATTCTCAAGGACGATGTCTTCCCTCGAAGAAACCTCCCGACCTTTTATGCCGCCTGTCTTCGGCTGTGGTGCATCAATGATACTAAAGAGTATACCTGCAGCACCAGCGGCTTGTGCAGCGGCAGTAATGGGGGCTGCTATACCCCCGACAGACATTACAATAGTCATTATAGATGATAACACACTAAAAGGCATTAGTATTATGTATTCAAGAGAAGTGACTTTTTGACAGGACAAACATAATTATAGTTGAGACGCTAGAAATATCCGATTCCAGGTACAATTTGATTGCAAACCAAAAAGACATCGCAAACGTACTGGTTTCCCGATCAGCGGAGGGTGAGATTAGCCATGACAAGAGGACCTACGCGTGTATCGCAAAGAAGACTAAGTGCTGGTCAGTACATGGAATGTGGTCGATTTTGTAAGAACATACCAGGAGCTTGCTGAATCGCTACTAAAGGAGACATGAGTAAACCTCGCCGCCGAGATTCCTTCACCCAAGCAGCATATCTCTTTGCCATTTTTTCTTCCGCTTCACAGGCAACCACCATTCTAATAGAACTGAACACCTCACTTGCAATTGAGGATGACGCCTGATCAGCTTCCTCCACTTGCTTTAGCATCTTTACCAATCGGGGAATAGTATACAAATAAAATGAAATGATGAATATTAAGCCCGTGCTGGTCACCAGTGTGAGCAGCCAGTTATAGTAAAATGCGACTATCAAAGCCGTGAAGATTAAAGACATGCTTTGAATAAAAGTGGAGAGCTTTTCTGAGATGCCTAGTTGTAGAATGTTTGCAGTAATGGTTATGATAGATGCTGTTTGTCCTGACGGTAGGGTATCAAGCACCGAAATAGGTTGGCGAAAAAGAGCATTGAGGTATGCTATTCGCATTGATGCGGATATACGAATGCTTACCATCCGGAAGCCCAGCTATAGGGATGTTAAAATATTGATGGAGAATCGGCGGTTGCTATTATTTACTCACAACAGCGACATAATCAAGGACCAGCCGGCCCAGAAATAAATAGAGCATATATATTCTAGACCATCACATTAGTATTACCCTCGTTTATATTTACATATGGAGCCACTTACACATTTTGATTGATGGCTGAAGTGAACATCTTCTTCGTTTCATCAGAATCTGGATTATAAAATCCGCTGAAATCGCCAACAAGTTCACCTAGGTAAGTAAAGTTAGCACTCCTAAGAGGCCACATAAATTTTGGACCACGGATCTTACCAAACACGACGTTCATGAGAGGTAGTGTAATGCCAGTGAATACCGAAGCTCCTCCTGCTGCAAGGAGGAGTAATTTGTCATTATGATTGGTGTAAGAGAATATTCGCTGTTGAAAATTTTAGTCATGCGGTGACATCCAGTACAAGGGCTACTTACTCTAAAATGAAACAATGCCAGCTTGTATTCCGCGCTGATGTAAGGCGTCTTAGTTTTTGGCTGAACATCAAAAGCCTCATTGCCCCGACTGTCTATTTGACCATTTTCCTCTCCTGGTAACAAAGGCTCCTTCGCTGAAGCTGGCCATTGCGTTGGCGATGTTGGTGAAATGAATTTATCGGTATGTGGCGACGAGATTTCCTTCATTAGAGCATCTGTTTGTAAAAAAGCTCCGGGAAATCGGCTTGATCGTTTTGCCATCCCATTTTTCCGCGACTTTGGTTCCCCACCATCCCCAAAGCCTACGTCCACATCCGACAATAAAGGTACATCTGACGTCCCTACCGATGACGGCGAGTTGCTATCATTGTTTCTTGCCATCTTTACTTTCTGAAGGTAAAGTTTCCTCACAAAATCTCATGACAGTATCATCACTTTCAGGACGGTCATGTGGCATATCAAAATCTCTCACTACCTGTGCTGATATCTCCATGAAGTTTCTTGTTTCATATTTGCGCTTCGGTTTCATCATAAACCATACTAGGTCTCAGGACGAAAATAATAAATTGATAGTGGGGATAAGAACAGACTTGACATCCGTGCATAAAGGAAAACCATTGGTCTGACCGTGGGCTATGAATGCTAGAAGCACATGTTCAGTTGGCTGAGAGGAAACATGACATATGAAACGAGGGCCCGAAGTACTTGTATTGACGTGACAGAATGCAATCAATCGAGTCATTGTCTATCGGCCGATGAATGCAACGTGAAAACTAGTACAGGTGTGGTGCCATGGTATGGTTTGTTCACTTTCTGGTCCTTGTGAAGATCGGCCGACATCAGAAATTAAATGAGATTGGATGTAATTGGTCCTTATTTTCCTTGGTGTATCGAAATACTTGAGATTGTTGCATGGCAGACCTCGGCTATAACTGTGAGCATTTTGAAACTTGATATATCGTAGCACGAAACAGAATTGCTTCTCACTTTGAAGAATGAACTTCACATGAAGCCACTCAAGTCAGATCTCAGAGTTAAGCATTGAAATGATATGAGTCGCAACGAGATGAGCGATTTCGGTTGAGTCAATTGAAGGAACACACACTCGACTTCACCAAAGGAACACCCAATCAATAGATGTAATAAATGAGATATACTGTGAATTCATAGGTCATGATAACGTTCTATCCTCCCATCTAGCCTCAAAATGTGGTATCGTGTAATAATTATAATTGTAATGAGGAAAAGGGTGCCGGTTCTACGGCCTAGTGTTTCCGAACTTCGGAGCATGCGTGAGGCCTGCTCACTGCAGGAATGCAAGGGCTTCTTTCAAGCGCTTGAATACGTGCTTCAATGCATCATCCCATATAATATATTACAAAAGTCCGATACTTGAGCCCATTGTGCGTATTATGTTGCCAAGCTCCCGAACTGTCTCCGGATCTCTGGGCAATGTATGGCCTTTTCCGTGATCAAAGAGGTATGCATTATCCATATCGCACACATTATAGAGCGAGATGCATCCTGCCAGATATGGATCTAACGAGCCAACTAGTTCGAGAGTCAATTAATGTTTATGGAAGCATCCAAGGTCAATTATGGAAAACGTACTGATATGAAGGGTTGGAATGGTAATTGTCAAGTCGGTTGTATCTGCAAGAACAATTCCATCAAATTCAGGTGTCAATGGAGGCCACCCAGCGAAGAACACAGCACACTTGAACATTGGTAATCTTCCTTCGATTTCGAATCTCTTTTGCTCGTGTAATAATAGCGTCCCCGCAACAGTGGCTCCTTCTGAATATCCAATAATGCCGTCGAAAGGACCTTCTTCTTGCATGATATCGTATAGATATTCCATGGCATCTTGTGCGCTCTCATCGCAATGAATACCATTGGCATTTGGGACAGGAGCTGCGGAGCCAACTCCGATCCTCATCAATTCCCGCATTTGATCTTCCGCAGTTGCGCCTTTGGGAAAATTTCTAATGCGGTCGAGAAGGTCACTTCCCCCTTCTTCTGCATTCCCGGGCTTGATGAATCGATAATGTGGACCTGGACCGAAATAATCTTCATATCCCTCCGGGGGAAACGCGTCAACGGGGCCATGAGCAAAGAATAGCTCGGCAGTCTCATCTGATGCTAATTCCTTAATCAGAGGAGCTGTTCTAAAGATTAGCATGAGCCTTATGGTGTTGAAGGCTGGCAAAGATACATACCAAGCTGCACTCTAAATTTCTACAAAAGTTAGCTTAGGCTTCCAATCTACAGTGGAACGTTGTACTTACATCTGAGCTTCCATATGCTCCACAAAGGCAGAGAAACTTCATATTTGTGGGTCTTTGAAAATTAATTTTAGTAGAGTAACAGTCGAGATTTGATGTCAAGAAAACAATAGTAGATTAGCAGAGTAAATGTGGTATAAATTTTGAGATGAGATCTTTCTGCGGGCTTTATGGGGGTCGTTAAACTTTTGAATGCCAAAACATCAGGACAAGGATTTGTATTGCTTGATAGCAAAGATCCTATTCGACTTTAAGCAATCCATATCGAAACATCGATAAGACAAACATCACTTCATATCACGTCTGTCATGTTGTAACGAGTTTAAGATATTGTGCACAGACAGAGGAGATTGGCAAGTTGAATCTTGAGTCTGGACCGAGTCGCATATGATATTGAGGACATTGGGATTATTGGGATTATTGGTCAAGCCATCGGATAAAAGAGTCTCCACTTGGAAACTATAGTCTGTTTCTATAAGGAAAAGAAGAAACCCGTCGAGCATGAGTGCTTGGTGTAGATTCCCAGAACACAATGGGTTTGAGCATGGGTAGAGAAGTAGGGGCAGAATAGTGGGCGTTGATAGAGATACTCCAGAGTTACCCATTGCTTTTTCAAAGTCGGGGATAATTTTGGTGGCACCTCAACATGAGTAGGGGAGCATTGTCGTCAGAGAAAAGCTTCTACCTAGGTGATGCAGCAATTGTCACGTGACTCTGAAAACGAAAGACCCGCGCCACATCGATCACCGCCACAGACACGAAGTTTAAACTTCAAGGTTTCTCACATCCTTTCTAATGTTTCGAAATGAGGTTCAGTGCACACCTGCAATATGTGCATAGCATCCAACCAAATCAAGCAAATGCTTGGACAAGTAACTTGAATCAGCGAGGGGACTCAAGCTTACTTCCGCTTCCCTTCTTTTGTTTGTGTGGCGTTTCATACAGTTTTCCCGGGGTCATGATTTGTGGTGTAGCTCAGCGCTAGCTCAAGCAGTTTGGTCGATGCTCTCTTTGTCATTCCCAATGGCATTTCTAGCATTCTTTTTGAAAAGGAGTGTTGGACATATATTCTAATCTCAACCACACACAGGGAATGAGCCATCGAGAGAGTCGTTGTGCAGTGCAGAGTACAAATACTAGGTGGCGTGATATAATGTCCAGCATGCGTTGAGATTCTGAGGTACCCAGGAACTGGCGGGTTTGTAGTTTCCACCCTCTAGCGTTCAGTACTATATCGAAATGAATTGTCAGTTAGATGGGACGATGGGCCAAGGTGTGATCGACACGGTTTGTGCAATACCTCCGCTTTGAACATGGGATGGTAGCCGTGCGAGACTCTATCCGTTTACATATCCGACGCTTGACCGGGAACTCATCTTTCCTTTGATTCTTGCTATTACGTGAAACACGATCTGTCTAAGTGAAGATTAGCATGAAGTGGCCCAAAGAAACATTTCAGCGCATATAGGCAAAACAATGTACGCGTTCTTTTGATTGTGATTTTACAATGTTGATGTAATACACGCCAGCTTTAATTACAGCAAAAAGATATGACGCCTTCAGCGACCACCTGGAACTCGCCCCAGGAGGGTGGAAATGGTGCAGTTGTGGAGACGATATTAGAGCAGAGCTTCGAAGCTGCTCCGGGGGAGAACGATGATGCGCCGGAAGTAAAGGCCTTTAAAGATATTTATTCACAAGCTTTCAAAGATGGATATATCTCGGGGTATAGTCAGCCTCAAGCTGCGAAGCAGATACCGATAGCAATCGTTGGAATGTCATGCCGTTTACCAGGAAACGTCAGCACTCCAGATGAGTTCTGGGAGCTCTGTTCGAGGGCTCGAAGTGGCTGGTCAGAAATACCGAAGGAGAGATTTGATACCTCCAGCTTTTATCATCCCAACCCCGGAAAGGCGGGTTGTTTTAATGCGGCTGGTGGGAATTTTCTCAAGGAAGATGTAGGGCTTTTCGACGCACCGTTCTTCAGTCTTACTGCCCAAGAAGCTACTTCCATGGATCCTCAACAACGAATCTTACTGGAATGTACCTTTGAAGCTTTGGAGAGTGCTGGGATTCCTAAGCATGAAGTTGTTGGGAAGGATGTGGGAGTTTTCGTCGGTGGCTCGTTTTCTGAGTATGAATCGGCATCATTTGTGGACACAGAGAGTATTCCCATGTACCAAGCTACAGGTAAGCAATTCGTTTCCGGCTAAATTCTACGGCATCCCACTAAATAAATTAGGATGCGCTTTTGCTATGCAGTCAAATCGTATCTCGCATTTCTTTGATCTGCGCGGACCTAGTTTTACCATGGACACTGCCTGCTCTTCGAGCTTAGTTGCCTTGCATCAGGCTTGCCAAAGTCTTCGAAACGGCGAATGCAAATCAGCTATTACAGGTGGATGTCATCTTAATATGCTACCAGAAAATTGGATTTCAATGTCGAATTCTCGGTGAGCTTTTCAAAACCGTATTATCTGTGGGTTCTTACTAACATTCACAGTTTATTTTCTGATGAAGGGAGGTCATTTTCTTTCGACAGCCGAGGAACTGGTTATGGACGCGGTGAAGGTTGTGGTCTGATTGTCTTGAAACCTTTAGAACAAGCTCTAAAGGATAACGATAACATCAGAGCTGTCATAAGAGGCAGTGGCATCAACCAAGATGGTAAGACTCCAGGAATAACCATGCCTAATGGTTCAGCACAAGGTAAGATCAGAATAGATTCCATTTTGCCATTCAGAATACTTACCGGGCTAGAATCGCTCATGAAACGGGTTTACGAAAGCGCTGGCATCGATCCAAAAGACACCGGCTACGTGGAAGCTCATGGGACCGGTACTAAGGTCGGAGATCCTATAGAAGCTACAGCGTTGTATAATGTATTTGGGGAAGGCAGAAATGCCAGAAACCCCCTATTTGTTGGATCCGTGAAGTCAAATGTAGGACATCTTGAAGCTGCTTCTGGTGAGTACTATTCGGCCGTCATAAAATTTTCCAGAAGACTAAGACAAAAATCACAGGTATTATATCCGTAATCAAAACAGCCATGATGCTTGAGAGAGGCTTCATTCTGCCTAATCACGATTTTAAGACGCCTAATGAGAACATACCTTTCTCGAAGTGGCATTTAAAGGTATGTAGAGAATTACCTATTGGGCTTGATCAATGCTGACTTGCGGTAGGTTCCAATCAGTCAGCGCCCATGGCCAAGACCAAAGAAGTTTGCCAGTGTAAACAACTTTGGATTTGGAGGCACAAATGCACATGTTGTTTTAGAGCGGGCGCCTTTCATAACTCCGGTTGAACCGGGATCTAGCGAGAAAGCGCTACAAAATAGAAGATTGATCACATTATCCGCGAACGATAAAGGTGCGCTGGAGGCACTCATGAAAAACATCGGCATCTACCTGGAACGAAGACCAGAATTTTTTCAAAATGGTCTAATGAGCAATGTGGCTTACACGCTGGGACAGCGAAGATCTCTGTAAGTATTCTTTCCGTTTATCTATCAGTCGAAGACGTCTTATTCGAGCTTGAGTCTATGAATCATGCCCCTCTACTGGAAGAAAATTATAGCTTGAGCTGAGTATTTGAGGATCTGAAAGTTCAAATTATTCTAGATTCGATCTGGTATGAGAATGATGGCGGCATTGGTGCTAATCCAATTATTATTCAGACTTCAATGGAGAGTTGCGATCCCAGCCACATCATCCTTTGAGCTTATTCAAGCACTAAACTCTGGAAAAGTCTTACCAATGAGAGACATCGAACCATTGCGGATCGGCTTCATATTTACTGGACAAGGCGCTCAATGGAATGCCATGGGTCGTGAGCTCTATGAACATTATCCGGTCTTCGCTGCGTCTCTAGATGCTTGCAACAAATGCCTGATTTCATTCGGGGCACCTTTTTCTCTAATCACCGAGCTCACTAAAGATGCCGCATCCTCGCTTGTCAATGAAGCCCACATTAGTCAACCTGCATGCACAGCAATACAGCTGGCCTTGACTGATTTATTCCGAAGTTGGAACATAACTCCAGCAGCCGTTGTTGGTCATTCCAGTGGTGAGATTGGAGCCGCATATGCGGCTGGCATTCTGCCTCTTGAATCCTGCATGGCAATTGCATACTATAGAGGTCTAGCGACGGTCGGATTAAGGGAGAATTATCCCGATCTCCGAGGATCAATGATGGCCGTTGGGTGTAGTAAGGAAGAGATCGAACCACTTATCGATCAGCTCAAAGCAAAAACGGTTCGTATAGCCTGCTTCAACAGTCCGTCCAGCTTAACTATATCAGGAGATGAGCCGGCTATCGACGAACTTCAAGCATTAATGGAACAAAAACAAATGTTTAATAGGAAGCTTCAGGTTGATGTGGCCTATCACTCCCATCACATGAGCTTGGTTTCAAAGGACTACCGAAGATGTCTTCAATCTCTTGCTCTTCCCAAAAATACAGATGTCAAATTTCATTCCTCATTACTTGGCCAGCTTGTAGAAGGATCAAGTCTTGAGGCCCAGTATTGGGTCGATAATTTGACACAAGCAGTTCGATTCTCTGAAGCTGTGACGGACATGTGTGCACAAACTGATGAAAATAAAACTGGGGTCAATATGCTCATCGAGCTAGGACCCCATTCAGCTCTTGCTGGCCCAATCAAGCAGATCCTAAAGACTTGCGGGAAGGATGCAATGAAGATTCCTTATACATCTGCGCTTGTGAGGAATAGAGATGCTGTGGAAACAGCAATAGACTTAGCATCAACATTGTTTACGAAAGGCGCGACCCTTGAGCTCGGCGCCATTAACATTACCTCCCCTCTCAATCCTCCTTCATTACTGATCGACCTGCCTCGATACCCGTGGAATCATGCAACAAAGTACTGGCATGAACCGCGTCTAATGCAAAAGCACAAAAGCCGAACAGCCCAACGTCATGATCTCCTAGGTACATTGGCTAATTACTCGAACGATCTTGAGCCAACTTGGAGAAATGTTCTCCGAATTGACGATGTTCCATGGCTTCGAGATCATAAGATCCAGTCTCTAACACTTTTTCCTATGTCTGCTTTTATTGGAATAGCAATAGAAGCGGCATCGCAAAAAGCAGCAGCTGGTAACATTCAGTACAGTAATTTTGAGCTGCGCGATGTCTTGGTCAGCAAGCCACTTGTGCTTACCGAAGATCCTATTGAGATCACTCTCCAGCTACGTCCTCGTACGCATGACAATTCTGCTTCTGATATTTGGGACGAATTCAAAGTTCATTCGTGGGCCGCGAATAAAGGATGGACCTTGCACTGCCAAGGTATTATTGCTACGAAACTAGACAATCATGACCTTGGATCCGCAACAAAATCGACTATGGCAAAGATTGGTGAAGAAGCAACAAGTGCCATCAACAAATCCGTTTTATACGACTCACTTTCGAACATAGGTGTTTCATATGGACCAAGTTTCCAAGGTATGAATGAATGCCACGCTTGTGAAAATGCCTCAATGGCACAAGTCATGGTTCCCGACACCAAGCAAGAAATGCCAAAGGAGCATCAAGGAGATATGATAATCCATCCAGCATTCCTTGAACAAGTCATTGAGATGTACTGGCCAATCATTGACGCAGGCCAGAATGCAATAGATACTATCTATCTGCCTTCATCTGTTGGGCAAATAACAATTTCGCGAGAAATCACCAAACTCATGAGCAATCCTGGTGCATCTCTCCAGGCGTTCTGTGAGGGCACTTTCTCATCTGGCCGTCCGAAACCCGCCACTGTCTCGATGTTTGCAGTCAATGATCATCCATCAAAAGATCCACTCATTATAATACGCGATTTAACGATTTCGCCGATAGTAGAAACAAGTTTAAATTCGGAGACTGATGTGCAAAGAGAACTTTGTTACAAATTAGATTGGGAGCCTATACTTCAAGCTTCAATCTCTGTCGAAGAAAATGATGCCTCAAATGAGACTGCGAAAGTTCCCATTGCACTATCTAATGGCACAACGAATAGAGTGGAATGTAATTATGATTCAACCGAACAAATTGTGATTGTCCGTGGCAATTCGGAGGAACAAAAAGATGTTGCATCCAAGCTAGCCGACCTTTTTGAGCATTCGACAGGAAGAAGACCCGACACTGGCAATCTATCTGAGATAGAAACAACAGAAAAGCTCTGTATATTTATTTCGGAGCTCGATAAACCATTCTTATCAACCCTCACGTGTTTCGAATTTCTTGCTTTACAAAGAGCACTAATTGGTTCTCGTGGGATACTTTGGGTCGTCACAGGAGCATATGTTAATTCATCTGATCCTACGGCCAATATGATTACTGGTTTAAGCAGAAGTATTCGCTCTGAGACAATGCTCAAGTTCGCAATCTTAGATTTGGATCCAGAGAGGCTTCTTGTTGAAAATATAACGAACGCTATAGTCACCGTCTTTAAAGGGGTATTTGGTACACAGGCTGATGCGAATTGCGAACTGGAATTTGTGGAGAGAAAGGGCGTATTTCTTACGCCGCGTATCATAAATGACACAGAAATGAACGAATACGTCCACAAACAAACAAAAGCTTCCGCCCTAGAGCTAACACCATTTGGACAAGAAGATCGGCCACTGATGATGGCTATCACCGTTCCAGGTGCATTTGAAACCCTCCACTTCATCGATGCGTCGCTCGAACGATTAATAGAAGATGATGAAATTGAGGTTGAGGTTAAAGCCATTGGTATGAATTCAACAGATCTCGCTGCTGCCTTAGGTGACACAGATCCTGAAGGCTTTGGATGCGAATGTAGTGGTATTGTGACTAAGACAGGTAGTCATGTTACCAATTTTGCCCAGGGCGATCGGATTGCGGGTATTTCGTTCAGCCAAGGAGTCTATTCAAGCCGGGTTCTCATGAATGCGTCATTCGCTTTTAAGATCAATCACAGTATATCCTTCGAGGCCGGCGCATCAATGCCTATGGCATTTTGCTCTGCATACTATGGTTTGAACGATATCGGGCGACTGCTCACGGATGATACCATCTTAATTCATGGAGGATCTAGTGCATTGGGACAAGCAGCCATTAATCTCGCTCAAACTATGGGTGCCAAGCTCTTCGTAACTGTTGGTAGCATCGAAAAGGGGGATTTACTAAAAGAAATGTACGGCTTGTCCGAAAAGGAGATAATCGTGAGCCATAATGCTTCGCTTGGACCGAACACTCTCCAACAATCATACAAAAACAATTTTGACGTTGTATTGAATTGTATTCCAGCGAATGCAGATACGCTGCAGGAGATTTCTGCGTGCTTAAGCAACTTTGGGCGCTTCATCAATCTTAGAAAACAAGAAAATCATGCAATACTTGAAGGTGGAACCAATAGGAGTTACTCTTCCGTCGACTTGATAACTCTGGGTATTGAAAGGCCAAAGATATTGAGCAACCTCCTTTCGCGGATCTCCAGCTTCTTGGTTCAAGGTACCATCAAGCCCATCAGTTCGACAATATTCCAGATTTCGGATATTGAGACAGCATTCAAAACATTGCAATCTGGAAAATTCGATGGAAAACTAGTTATCGCGCCGAAGCCAGAGGATTTGGTCAAGGTTAGTATTACCAAATATCTTATCGTGCAAAACACTAACAATATCATAGGCCACTCCTGCGGATAAAAGAAACAAGATACTTCGCCCTGATGCCACGTACATACTTATTGGAGGAACTGGTGGTTTAGGTCGAAGTATGGCTAGATGGATGGTCAGTAAGGGTGCTAAGAACCTTGTTCTTGTATCAAGAAGTGGTTCCATTACTGGGAAAGTTAAGGAGTTGGTTGATGATCTTGCGGCTGCTGGTGCCAATATCATAATTCGACGTTGTGATGTCGCTAATAGTGACGCGGTAAATAATCTTATCACAAATGAGCTCACTGATTTGCCTGAGGTGAGAGGTGTCATTCATGGAGCTATGGTTCTTCGAGTAGGTCAAATCCCCTCATAAATATCTGGACATCACTGACTTAAATAGGATGTTCTGTTCGAGAAAATGACACATGAGGAATACAGCACAGTCATTGAATCCAAAGTTCAAGGTGCCTGGAATTTCCACAATGCCCTGAAATCGCAACAATTAGATTTCTTTGTCGCCATTTCTTCCGCGGCCGGTGCAGTAGGGAATAGAGGCCAAGTCGCATATTCTGCTGCAAATACATTTCTAAATGCATTCGTGCAGTATCGCCTTACTCAAGGATTGCCTGCTTCTTCCTTAGATCTCACCGCCGTATCCGACGCCGGCTATCTCGCGGAAAACGCCGAAGCCGCAGCCGAAGTAAGCAAAAACCTCGGAAGCGACACTATATGCGAAGCAGAGGTATTGGCACTCCTTGGTGCTGCCATTACCGGTCGCTTAGCGAGTACGTGTAATAATCACACCATAACCGGAATGCGAATCACCAACCCACCACCGTTCTGGACTTCTGACGCCAAATTTAAACATCTACGACTGGCCCACGAAGCCCTCGCAACCTCCTTGGCTGACTCTCCGTCAGCAAATATATCCTTCAATACCGGACTTAAAGCCGCTACCACCCTTGAAGAAGCGCAGGAAGTTGTTACGCGGGGATTATTACATATTTTACCTTCGGTGTTAATGTTAGAAGCGGAGGATATGGATATTACACGGAGTCTGTCGAATTATGCGTTGGATTCATTGGTAGCGATTGAGGTTAGGAATTTTATTGCCAGGGAATTCGAGGCGAATTTACAGGTTTTGGAATTATTGAGTAGTGGGAGTATTGAGATGTTGGCCAGGACGATTTGTGGGAAGAGTAAATTGTGTAGTTTTTAGTGGATATCTTGGATGATGGGTTATTGGCGTATAGTGTATAGTGTATAGATGGGTTTGTGACGGGCTGGTTGGGTAGGAATTGTAATTTTAGAATTTATAATGTTATTTTTCATCGTCATTTTCATCACTGACTGTGCATTTATGGGCCTAAGCAACCATCTCATTGTCCCTTGGCTGGAACCCAAATATTGCTATAGCAATCGATCCAACCAGCTTCATGGGACAGCGTGGCTTGACGTGGAAATGATAATCGTAAACAGCACCCTTCCCCTTAGGGTTCAAAGTCTTACAGACGCTTCGGATCCGAATCCATTTCCTTACCCGGAGAAACTGTGCCTCTTTTAATCCTGTAAAGAAATCTATGTAACGATTTATTAATTGGTTGAAATTTCTCGGAAGTGACAGTTGAATATTATAACTTTTGAAACATAGTAAAACTTGAACTAGAGATAATTTTTGATAGGGCTAATTTTTTGAAAAATACAAACGACGGACTAGTCTCTAGATGAGAAAGTAAATATCTTCAAGAAAATAAATATTTATTTGTTATAATATATAATTTGAAAGTAAAGATATTTAATGACAATTTTATATTTTATCAAATTTTATCAAAATCGGTACAGGGACAATTTATATCCCGGAATAAATCTAAAGCACTGACTGACTATTAATAAATATAAATAAATACCTAGGTATGAGTAATCAACTTTTGCGAGGGCTAACTTTCCGCCGAATGATGAACACAGGGAATTTAAGGAGCCAATAAGATTGGTAAGCTTTCTCGATGCATGAACTACAATTGGATTGGTGCCACGCTTGGTCTTTTTAACTCTACGCAGTACACAGCACACCTTGCTTATCACTCTCTCCTTTCATTTTAATATTAGCTATGGCTATGGCTGTGTTTTTTTGCTATCGGCCGAAGATGCGCTTTTATATCAGATATTTTACCCATCTTTTTTGTATTATCCCCGGCTTCGTTGATAATATGGAGTTGGGATAATAGGAAATTATGCAGATGTATTGAGTAATCTATAGTTTGAGTTGATACTTTTTCCAACTCTGAACAGTTCTTGGATTTCCATTTGTTTTCTTTGGGCCAGTTTCCTCGAGCTCTCCGGCCGCTATTCCTTCGTACCAGCAGCTACAAAATTATCAGAGAAGTTATTTGTGTGAAGCGATTATCTATACCTTGGGGGAACCTTTCGCAATTCTGATACCTCGGAAAATGTCTACAACTCCAACATCACTGGGCCCCTCCACACCCCATGGCCACCATCACAAAGGCCAAAGACTCCGCAACTTCATGCTCCCAAACGGACGAAAAATCCACATCGCCCCCTCCCCAGAAGAAGCCGACCTACTCCGTCGTCGCCTCAGCACCATAGAAAAAGACCAACCCTTTGACCTCGTGATCCACGGATCCGCCGAACATCTCGACGCGCTCCGAGCCGCGCACGATCACCATGAATCCAAGCGACAAGCATTGAAAGATAAACATGGAGATGCTTATGATGAGATTGAAAATGTGAAATGGGAGCTGGATGTTCTCGTCTCGGAACTTCACATGTTGACTGATCATGCAGTGGCTTTGGATGCGAATTTTTCGAAATATGGGTATAGTGCGCATTTGAGAACTTATGATGATGGAGCTGGTCAGAGGAGTGAGGCGGGTTCGTTGTATCATGGGCCTGATGATCATGAGAAGAGGGATTGGACGGCGGAAAAGAGGAAGGGGAGGATTATGAAACTTTATAAAAAGGTGGGGTTATATAAGTATATGGATACTCATACTTATGACCTTTTCTTTCATGGAGCATAAAAGCTAACAAATTAACAGCCTACCGTTCGACAATATTTCCATCGAGGGTTACTTTGGAGAGCATCAGGTAGTACTGAAGTTGCCTCATTTGAACTCTTCGTAGATTTATTATATGTTGGTATTCTCGCTATAAATGGAGATCATGCCGCGGAAAATCCTACTGGATATGAACTTTTGAGATTCGTCATAACATTTATCATGAGTTGGAAGATTTGGAGTGATATAACTCTTATCGTCTCTTGGTTTGAAACAGATGATATAGCTCAAAGAATAACTATCTTGTTTATCATGACTTGTTTACTTGGGTGAGTAGCATGCATTCATATCTGATACAACTTTCTTCACCCTCTCTCCAAGTCGCTATTCTTTCATTCCATGCTAACATTGAATAGTCTCACAACAAATATGTTAAAAGCCTTCGAAAATACCTACACGATGCTAATAGCTTTCTACCTAACCGCACGTCTCTTCATGGGTTCATACTATCTATTCCTCGCCTGGGTTATACCCATGGTCCGAGGAATGTTGGTAGCTCAAGCAATCATCATTTTAATCCCCAGTGCGCTCTGGATAGGAAGTATCTATGTGGACCTCCCGCAACGATTCGCCATCATCGCCATGGCCATCTTCACCGACCTAACAGGATCCGTAGGTATATTTGCCATCATACGAGGCACTAGACACATATCCACACGACTAGCCTCCTGGACCGACCGCGTCTTCGAATTCTACCCCGCCACAAACATCGAGCACAAAACTGAGCGAACAAACGCATTCGTAACCTTAGTTTTTGGTTACTCCGTCGTAGCCATCATCTATCAAAGCGCCGCATCCTTCGGACTGAATGCATTTTTCGGCAAAGCCGTTCTGGGACTCATCCAAGCATTTGCATTTAATTGGATATATTTTGATTTAGACGGTACGGATTTATACGCGCATGCTATTCGACGGGGTGCTACCTCTTCTGTGATTTGGGGATTGGCGCATCTACCTTTTGTTATGAGTTATGTACTAGGTGGAGCTGCACTTTCTAGACTTGTTGTTGCGAGAGATGGTGAGGATGCTTCTTTGGAGAGTTTAACGGAGGCGTATCAGATGAAATCTGAGACGGAAATTTCGGATGGCTTGCGTTGGTTTTATTGTGCTGGGTTTGGGATTGCGTTGTTTTGTATGGGTATGTATTGATTATTTTTCTTTTTTCCCTCTCTATCATTCCCCTCCTTTCTTCCCTCTCTCCCCTCCACCTTTTTCCTCAACCAGCTAACCACCTTCTTACCTCCCCCCACAGGTCTAATATCCGGAACACACATCCACAAAAAAGCCACACAATCCCTATCATCATCATCATCATCCAGCGAACGACAAATCCGCCTCAGCAAACGTTACCGCCTCCTAAACCGCTTCCTCACCAGCACAATCCTAATCTGTCTCCCTTTGATCCCGCGACAAAAACTAAACTCACTCCATCTAATCTCCATAGTCACAGGTCTCGTTCTCTGGGTCCTGGTGCTCGAATTATGGGGATGTAGCTGTCCGGATGAGACGTTCTTTGGAGATCGTGGTGAGAAGAGGTGTGTGTATACGTGTAGGGCTAAGGATGTTGATGGGGTTAATGTTTTGAGGAGTGGGTTGGAGGGTTTGGAGGGTTTGAAGGGAGGGAGGAGGGGCGATATGTTGAGGATTGGGAGTCGGAGTGTGAGTGTAGGTGTTAGTGAGAGTGGAAGTGAAAGTGAAAGTGGACGGGGGAAGAGAGGGTTATGAGGGGTTTAGGGATACGGGGAGGTGGGGAGGTAGCTATAGACTCTAGAGGATATTTAAAAACATCAAGTAGGTATGAAGGGGAGTAATTGTATAGATATTTACCTATTTATCTATCTAGATAGATATAGAAATAATAGATTATTCTCATCTCATCTCATCTCATCTTATATTATAAAATATAAAATATAAAATATAAAATATAAAATATAAAATATAAATTTAACTCACCTTCATTATCATAAGATTTTAAGATTTTAAAATATTAATTAATCACTCAGAAAAATAAATGAGATTATTTATCTATTATTTATTTTATTTAAGTATATAATTATAAATCTTAAATCTTATTCATACTCGAAACTATATTTATTATATAATATCTTATAATTATTACATTACATTAGCTACCTACTCAGGTATCTATCTATCTTCTAGGGTATACATATATATACACACAATATACATCCATCCATTAGGATAATTCCTTACCTACGTACATACATACATACATACATACATACATACATACATACCTGCATACTAGGTAGGTAAGATCTTACTTCATTTTCATTTACTTCTACACTCAACACTCAACATTAAACAGTAACCATAATCATAATCAATCAGCAAAAATCATCCCATACAAATATATAAATAAACGAAAAGTCAAAAGAGTCATTGGATAGGTAATAAACCAACGACACGAGTCATTATTCTCATTTTGGTTGTATGTAGCTACCTACTTTCATTATCTTACTCTCATCTCATCCTAGCAACCATCCATCAATCAATCCATGCAAACGTACATCCTCAACCCCTTGTATACATCCCAAAATCCAAGTTATTTAGTAGGTCCAAAAGTCTCCATATTCCAACTAAGTTTGTGCTATCTCATCCTATTCGAATGAAAATTCCATTTATCCAACTTTCCCATTTCTCATTTCTAATCAATCTCCATTAAACTTGATTGAAAAGATAAAAATCGAGAAAGGATTTCGTAGGACTAAAATAATAATAGAAACCCCAAAATGAGAGTGGGTATATTCAATTAACGCCTTCTTCTACTATTTGGTAGAATCAGTATCCTCCCATATTCCATACCATCAACCTACCCATACCATCCGAATATAAATTCTTTTACGGACATTGCACAGTTCCCAATCCATCCCATACCAGAAATGCAAAAAGGTTCCCTTTAACTCCCAAACGCACGAGAAATGTACGTTTCACTTTTTGTATAAAAGAGAACAAGCGTCATATGTCGAGACCACTTGAAGTTATTGTCGACGTAATGAGGTATTCGAAAATGACCAGAAAATTCAATGACTCCAACAAAAGAAAATATAGATACTGTAAAGTGAAATATAAAACGCCAACCGTTTTTCTAATAGAACACATGCCTCGATGATATACGATCCGGAAGCGAAAAGATATTTGCTGGATAAGAATTATTAAGTAGTAGGGAGTGAAGTCCGATTTAAATCGAATAATTTGATCGGGCTTCGGACGTAGGTCTGTTAATGGTATAGCTCCATGGCCTAGGAAAAGTGAATTCTTTCAAGGTCACTCTTGCAGAAGAAATTGCTCAAGGTAAAATCTTATAAAAGTCAAGTCCTTATACGAATCCAATATCTATGGGCCGCAAAGATATCAAGGAAATAACTTGTCCAAAGTATTCTGAATCCAAAGATCTAGAACCGAGGATCACGATACCCACTACGGTTCATGTCCGATTGATATTGAACTCCACTCATGGATTCGGGTTGTGATATGCGAAGTGGTGGTAATTGCTCGTTACGTTGATAAGAACCTCTTGGGGCGTAACTCTCTGGTTGGTATGCATTCATGTCGACATGTGCACCACCGTTCTGTTGCATGGAGGTGAATCCATTCATGACAGGTTGATGATTATTGGATCCAGTTTGATTGAGTTCGTTGCGAAGTTGTGAATTCTCCAATCGAATGACGTTACCTTCGCGGCGAAGATTGTCCATCTCGATTTGTGAGTTGTGTAGCCTCGCTTTCAAATCTTGTATCTCCTTTGCCTGCGCGTTATGTTCGGCGATAGCTATAGTAGTTATTAGTATAAAGTCAATGAATAGTGTTCGTTGCAAATACCTTTTGTCAAAATTTCCCACTTGCTAGCTTTATTACCGCGTTCTTGAGGCATCAAATCCCTCAAGTTTTCAAACAATTCCTTCATTTCAGTTCGACGTTTTCTTTCCGCAAGTTTATGGCTGACACGAAGCTCAGGTGTGCGACTGTAAGGTTGTCCACTGTTTGGTGAATCGCCATCCTCAGCTTGTAAATCAGAGATTTGACGATTCTGTAGAGAATGATGGTGATGAGATACATTCTGGAACTCAGATGATGCTCGTGATAATCTGAAATCGGAGGACATTCCATCCTCTAACCTTCTCTGCCCAGCTGGCAGACGAGATTCTGTAGTGTATTGGCTGCTGGCGACCGAGTCTGCAATGCTACTGCGTCTCGAGTCAAGGTTTAAGAAAGAGGTTCCTACTCTGCTCAAGCTCTGGTTATCCTCGAGATGTCGATCGTGCGAGTTCCGTACCCTATGCACTGGCTCTTCAGGGAACGCCCAAGCTTCTCCCTTAGTTGGCTCAGCCGCGCGAGCAATATTAGACATAGCAGGGCCAGTAATCATAGGGGCAGTCTTTGGAATTGTACTTCTGGGGGACGTTGGTTCTGGTAAACGTTGTGGTTGATAGCTGTTCGAGAATCGAGGGTTTGACAAGCGGTCAGCGGTGTTACCAGGGTTGCGCTGCTGTTGTAGAGTGCTCTGGATTGAAGTGGTTGACTGATTATTGCTGGCGTATGGCGAATTGAGACGCAGATCTTGGAAACCAGTACCCAATCTAGAATCAACACTCTCCCGACGAGAATCCCCATTCATTGAAAGAGCTCCAAGTCCGGATCCATATGATTGTCTATTTGTTTGGCCTGACATGGAGACTAATTGGCCAGCTACGGAGTCTTCGTAAGATGGGGAAACCATAGATGCGACGCTCATGCTGCCGGAAGTGGGAGAGGTAAGTTGTTGACTGGCAATGTGATTCGCTGCAGGAGAGGGACTTATATCGGCACTGGAGGAATGGTATCCCGTTGGTGAAGGAGCCATGACGACATCGCTGCTCGATAATTGCGAGTTGTCTGTATTAAGGGTTTTCGTCAGCATATTCTTTGAAGCGCATTTCAAGTGAATGCTCCAAGACTCACGCTTCGATGATGGATCTAGACTTGAATAATAAGCAGAATCTCTCTTATGCTCTTCAGGGCCGACTTCATTCAAAACTCCTGCCAACCCAGTAGGCATTCTAGTTGATGGCGGACGTGAATCCATCATGGTAGATTTGATGGTGAACAATTGCTTTGCAGTGACTACTTATCGATTGATCTATTTTGAGTGGCGGCGGGGATTGTTCTTAATTTAGGACTGAAGATAGAAAGCGGGCAAGATTCGCAATTCGCAGAGTCGCGGTTGAAGAATGGTAATTGGAGTAAGGTGATAGGTTGGCTGTTCAGATCAGACTGGATTGACGATGGTGAATAGTGAATATTGAATATCGAATTGTTTTACTTGATCGTACTTTGATTGAATTGTAAAGTTTTGTATGTTGTCAGGTTAAAAGAATTTTGAAAGACCGCAGATGAAGTAAAAGTTGTGTTCTTGTTCTGCAAGGGAGAAATAATGAAATGCTTTTCGGGGAGCGGTGATCGGGTCCTCGCGTACAGCACTACGAGACTCGGTGGTTGTGGTGGGTTGGTGGGACTATATCGTGGGATTTATGATCTTTTACCGTCTTTCCTAAAAAGCCTCCAGGAAAACTATTAAAAAAAAAAAAGAGTAATGAAAGAATAAAGAGAGTTTGATTGAGATCTCGAATATTGACTTTGTATATATCAATTTATCAAGTAGTAGTATAATAAAATAAGAGATGATCCTTGAGATATCCAGCTGATTGTGATGAGAGTTAGGTTTCCTTGATACTAAAAGAGTATACGGTAATTGAAGGAGGTGTACTCTGTACTCCGTACTGTATATATTCTGTTGAAGGAAGAAGTCTGCGTTTGATTTGTTAAATCTGGGGAGAGAGAAGTGCAAATGCCAATAGATAGTACCTAGTGATCTGAATGTCTTCCAGAGTTTCTAGTATGTGCCAAGCAAGTATCCGTCCGGTATATGTCAAATATCCAGAGATTAGGATCAAAGTGGTCTGGTCTGGTCTGGTCTGGTAGTTGTCTGATTATGGGAAGAGGAAGCCTTATGCTGACTGTGAAGAAGAGAGTTCTGGGTGAAGTTGTGAAGTTGTGAAGTTGTGCGTGTGTGGAAAGGTTTATGGTTTATGGATATGGAGACCGTTGCAATGAACTGGGGAATTGTGTACCAAGGTAGACCCGTAGTTAGTCTCTTTCTTCAAGTGCACAGTCGGGAAGATGTATGGCTGCCAAGTCTGGGTGGTGGATGGGGTGGATGGGTGGATGGCGGATTGTGGGTTCCCTTTGTACTGCGTGCTGTACATACAGGGGCAAGGAAGGAATCTTTAAAGTTAAAAAGTTAAAAGAGAAAAGAGTACAATGAGTGAAATATGTGTGAACCACGGGCAAAACGGTCAGCCAGCTAGCCAGCTAGCCAGCTAAAAGAGAAGGATTTGTTTTATTATATGTGTAGGACGGTAGGGAGGTTTCAAACTTTCAGCACCTTTCGGAGGATCTGGGTAATGTGGACGGAAGACGGAAGATAATCTTGTGAGATGTGCAAGTTAATCTATGTGGACTTTGGTGTTGAGATGTAGTATAGATATAGTATAGATCTATGATGTACTAGATAAGTAATAAGGGTAGTTTAATCCGCCATGAAAGTTTAAAACTTGGTCGATATTCTTTGTCGGTCTCCTGTTCCGAGGCTTGATTTGATGGCTTGAATCAGTCAGAGAAAAGTCGATTATATTCGACAAGTAAGAATATATCGAATATAGAATAAACGCGGAAAGAGGAAAGAGGATCGATTTGATATGCCGAATATAAATATCCAGGTAGGTGGTAGGTAATGCGTGAGTTGTGAGTTGGTTGTGAGTTGATGGGGGGAAATAATAAATCAAATCATCATCAATCAACCAAGTAAAAAAGAAGGGCAATTCTAATTTCTAGCTCCAGCCATAACTCTCTCTCTCTCTCTCTCTCTCTCTCTCCCTCTCTCTCTCTCTCCCCCTCTCTCTCTCTCCTCTCTCTGTATGGGTGAAAAAGAGAAGGTTCTTCCCACGGCTCATCATCTTATTATGCTAGACTCCATCCCGTTAATTCGATTGCCATTTCCCCCCCGATCCATGAACATCATGGATCGAAAGGGTGTGATTATTTCCCCCCTTGTGTTCTCCAATTGCATTGCATCGTGGACTATGACCAGCATTATTATCCTATATTCCAGGATTATTTGTGTGTGTGCCCATCCATGTCTGACATTTCAAACTAAACCAATTGAAGTGTAATTTTATGCAAGAAATTTAAATATATTTGGCTTTTCGGGCTCATTTCTTCTCCCTTGAAAGTTAAAATGTACGGAGCATTTCATTCATCTCATTCATCTCATTCATCTCATTCATCTCATTCATTTTCATTCATTGTTCACTGGAAGTTGAGTCTGTGTACGTACGGACGGACCAAGGTTAATAAAAATGACTGGATGGGTATTCCCCCAGCCTGCCCCGCAGAATATCAGCAACAATTATCCGGCGATATCTAGACATCCACCCAATACTCGAAATTTGCCATATACGAGTACCGAGACTGGTGTCTACGGGAAGAGGAAACTCTAAAGTATGACTTTAGAGTTTGCGTGCATTGGTTAGAGGAGTGCTAAGCTTTGTACCGGTGTGGCACGCCCTTGTGCTCTGTTCAGAAAGTAGATAATCGTTGCTAGCATGCACGTCGTGTGCAGGAGTGCAAGAGGGCAAGAGTGCAAGAGTGCAAGATGGATATCACCATTGAAGGTATGAAAAGCCCAAAGGAATGGCTATCCCATGAGTCCTGTATGAAAACTCATTCAAAAGTTACTTCGCACTCTGTACGACTCTCTTGTAAAGTGGACCCACCCATTGACACATGAAAAAAAATGGTCCAAGGTTGATAAACTGTGCCGTATAACCTAATCGTTCATGTCAGCCATATCCATCCATGGATGACATCGTGAATCCTAAGAGGAAATGATTGGGTAGATCACGATTCGCTGCTTACTTTGACCACATAATGGAAATAATCAATAGTTGCCACCGTTTTCATCTATTCCTCGGGGAGTTCATCCTCAAAATATTTGTATCTGAATCATGTGTTACGCATTAAGTGAGGCATGCTGCAGGTCTCGCAAAGCTACATGATACATGGCAAGTAGATGTATTCAGCGTGGTCTGATTGTTCTTTGGTATTCTTGGGATACCATGGCTTGATGAATTGAACAATGAAGTAAGTTTCAATCTGGTCAGGATCAACAAGCATCGGTGTTAGTGTTTGTCTTTGGTTGCTTGGTTTCTGAAGATTATGATCAGATCTGACAAGTCGTCTCCATTCAGATACTGCAACTCATATCAAGGTACTTGGAACTTCCGATTGATCTCGTAGATCTTTGACTTGATAACAGGGAACAGCTTGTACTGTCCTACTTGACTAGGTACTCTCAACGGCTTTGTTGGGATGGTACAAAGTACCGGTAGTACAGACTATCTTCCTTCGGCTGAGACATGATATCAAAATCATGATACTACAGTACAGAATCTGGGAGAAGCTTGGAAGGGGAAATGTCTTAAATCTTCCTTCCATCCAGACTCTGTGTTTAGGCCTATATGGAAACATTCAGCATTTCAAGAACCTACGAGGTCTCAGCGGTATGATGCGTATACTTATCGACAGCATCTGGAAAAACCCAGAAAGCTCAGATCAGTACATGGCTCTTTCTCTGACGCTCGTGCCTGACAGGACAAGCTCTCCACAAAACTTGGGTTTCCCGTCTACTAGTATCCCGTAGGCTAAGCCATCTCGTGCCAGGAAGTTCGGAAGTAGATATTGTATCCTCGATTCCTCCACAAACCTTAATCGCTCGTCTTCTCAATAAGGTAGTTCTTGCGTGAAAATCCCCAATCCCGTGATTTCCATCTCATCACATGCCGTCCACATACTCAATTCATCAAACGATGGTGCTATCGATATCAGCTAATCAATGGAAACATGGCATATCTGCCGTTGTTTCATCTGCAACCATGTTCCCCGATAATCCTAGTCTACACGGTAGGCTTCAACCTGGGTTTGACCCTGTCGCTGCACACTGCGCGGCATGATGATGGGAAAACTGGGTTACTCAAGAAACATCTGGAGGGGTTGGGGTCCGTACTACCTCCCTTAACTTAGTGGCCTCGTTCTACTTTACTGTCAGACTACAACTACGCCCCTTTGAGTTGCCTAAACAAATTTCTATCCCTCTACATCAATGATGATGGTGGGTGGTATGGAAAAACTGACTCATTATCGATACAATGACTACAAAGTGGTGCCATAACCCATGAACCACATCATCAACGATAATAGATGCAAGGTAGACTGGACTTATCAAATACTAGATTATATGCTTGGACTTATAAATACACCGTGCTGGATTACATGCTTATTCTCACCAACCTAGCAGCTGGAGCACTTAGATACCAATCGCAAGATGTCTGTATCCTCCAGGGTATCGTGTGGAGTGAGATCTTACTCTCTGCATTCAGGCTTAAATGATTTTATTTATCGGTGTCATTGCAGTTTGCAAATCACCGAAAAATGGTGATCCATGGTGTGATTTGCTACAATATGCCACCTGGCGCTTGTTGAGTCTCGACGTCTACAAAGTATCACTACAGATAGACGCTGTTCATCCGGGATGTGTCAAGGGAGCCAAGGAGCTTAGTAAAAATCCTTACCTACGACGCTGCGAGCCCAATCTGGATGGATCCACAAATCCCGAGATCAAATCCTGGAAAATCTTACTCTTGCTCATGATATTCATCATCCTCGGCTCGGGGATGCATCTCATGAAGGACGTGATGCCGCTCTGATAACGGGGTAATGAGAAAGTCGAATGGTGAAGAAGTTGCAGTTTCCAGTAGAGGAGAGGAAGAGGAACAGGAAGAGTAAGCAAGAAAGGCAAGCAGGCAAGCAATCAATCAATCAATACCTTCGGGATAAACTAAAAAAGACCGACGTCTGGCTAGCCTTATAACCGCCCCGAACACGAATCATCCCATGTTACTTGAAAATCTTAGCCAACTGCCAATTCTCCCGCACGGCTTAGGTTGCATTAGTATCGCTTTAAAGTGTTGATTAGACTGTTGGTCCACGATGTGTGAACGTGGTAAATCTAGATCGAGTTGGCATATCGCCGTGAACAACGTGTGAGCGTGCATTGGAATGAAAGCTTAAACTATTGACCAATAGTTGAAAGTTGAAATGCATCTGTTGTTTGAATGGGGTAATGATGAACGAGGTCTGAGAGTGATGATGCTATTTAAGTAGGTAGTAGTCGGTAGTAGCAGGTAGTAGCAGGTAGTAGCAGGTAATAGTAGTTAGTAGCAGGTAATAGTAGTTAGGAGTAGTTAGTAGTAGTTAGGAGTAGTAGATGCACCGTCCTAAAAATTAAAAAGGAATTACTCGAGTATTTGATTTGTTACCTATCTCTCGACAAGTACCTGTCTAGGTATGGTATGATTCTGGGTGGGGGGGAGGGAAAAGAGGGATTTGATATAGTTTTTTTCTTTTTCTTTTTCTTTTTCTTTTTCTTTTTCTTTCCTCAAGGGAAGATTAATAACCACCAGTCAGATTTCCGAATAGTATCGGATCTTCTTCAACCGGATTTCGATCCTCAGCTGGTAGGCCGTGGCTCAGTTCAATGCATGGCCCCCATCTTTTCTCCACTTGAGGAAAAGGTGCAGAAAAAGCACACAATCCTTTTTGTTCTGGATCCAGAAGTTCATTAACCTTATGTAATGAAGTAGTTGGTTACTAACTATCTAGTATACTTATTCCCATGTTACTTCGTCAATGTTACTGTTACTGTTACTGTTGCACCATCACGGGATGCTTCTCGGTGTTTTTCTTCCACTCAGCCATTTATTCACCACACCATCTTTTTCTTCTTCAAACTTCTGCATTGCCATGTGCTGAGCCATTAAACAAGATCCATGGAATTAATAGTTACAATACCTCCGCGGTATGGTTGGTGTATGCACATGAAAACACCAGATACATGTACTTTCCACACTCTAATCTTACAACCGGTGAACCAATCACGGAACTATAATTCTGTGGATGAAATCCAGCTCATGGGATGATCTCCCAGTATTCTGCACATAATTTCCCTAAAGCAAAGCTTTTCAATGCAACTCAGATTGCGTGACGGCTAACTTATATCGTGGGACATTACTCACATCATGAACATTAGTATGTATCATTGAAGTATTTTTGTTGGCTACCGACTACTTGGAACCTTATATCAATGATCATTCTTGCACTTCCATGTACTTTAACTTGTACAACTTGACCCAATCTGAGTGGCTTGGTATCATTCGAATGCATCTAATACTTCAATATCTGTACTCGCGTTCCGAACTCACAAGGTTTATGGGTCTCGTGCGTAGGGAATACTGCTGATGATGTTTTCAATATCACTATGCGGATGCACTATAATTTACATACTTCCGTTCAATGGTTCGATATTTTCATTGAGCAAGATGCTTCATAATGATTTCCAGCTTAATGCGAGACCAAGATACTATGATGAATCTTATTTCTTTCCTACTAAATTATAAGAGAATGTTAAAGTTAAATTTCTCAACAATTACACACTCACGGGATCACAGCATTTTCATTTATCTACCCCAATTTTCATCTCATAATTTAAGGGTACCTGCTTATAAGTCGTGATACAATCAATAGTGGCGTATCTCTCTCTACACCCTAATTAATTAACAGGAAGCTTTCTAGACCTCTGATTCTACCTCAGTCGGATGTATCGATACACGAAATAAAGTTTCCAAAACAATTGTGAACACAAAACATACTCTCAGATCGATGAGTGTGATATTCGTTTCTGGATCTTGGTGTAAAAATACCCATGCTGCTTGTATCCTATATCTTGTTTTATGGTTCCTCAAGAACACACGGCTGGATGTATCCTAGACATATATGATATGAGCTCAGCTGCTCTTTTTCATCAAATAAAAAGAAAAGCTAATGAACTATTGTGGCATTCGTATTTAATCACGGCCGATTTTTCTCAACAAGGTTGACTGACTGACTGTGACTAGGTAATGAGAAACTTATGAAATGCACCGGGAGATGCATATAAACTTCCGAAATTTTGTATATTAGCATCTTTTTCTTTAATTGAATTGATATTAGCTTTTTATCCGTTCAGAATAGTGATCCTCATATTTTCATCCATCCGTTAGTCAATGTTATACAAAATCATATTACTTCCATTACTCCCTTTCATATTAAACACCATCGGCATTTGAATATCTACTTTCGTCATACATAACTATCTAACTACATATATAAGATCTTATTTACTAGGTATTTCCCAATACCTGTTAGATAGGTACAAATCTATAGAACTATAATGTTTACTTTTACTTTGTATACCTACCTAGGTACCTTCCTTCCTTCCTTACTTTATATTGTATTATATTGTATTGTATCGTAAGTCTTATCTAGGTACCTAGGTAGATTCATACAAAAAATTTCGATACGAGCTAGCTAGCTAGGACTTTAATCATGTATGTTTTAGAAATAATTTTCGTACTACGTCGATCGGCTGTATGGGATTGTATTGTATTGTTCTGTGTCTTCCCGAACCGATGCCGGTATTATTATACCAAGCAAGCTCAGTCGCTCAATAGATATCTCTAATTAAGAACTCTTTATTTCATTGTATCGTTGTACGAAGTTTATCTCGAGATAACTTTCAAGATAGATCTAATGATATAATCAATATATTGTAACAAATAGAAAGAGAAATGGAAAATGGAAAGAAAGAGAATGAAAATGCATCTTTACAATTTCACAACCTCAATACTTCCTCTGAACATTCAAAATCTCGGGAACCTCAAGAACTTCAAGAACCTCACACAAAACAAATATTAAAGTATCTCTATTCATTCATTCATTCATCCATACCACTTCATCACTTTATACGACCCCCTCTCACCTAATCCTATACTTCATACACATCCCGATTTCCAAAATAAATTATCAAATTATCAAATGAATCGAAAAAAAAAAAAGTTGGCTCAAGCGTGTTGATAATCGCATATTATATTTCTATTCTCATAATCAATAATTTCTTGATATTTTCTCGGTTCAGGAGATGTGAGGTGAGGTGAGGTGAGTTTAGACTAGGTTAGGTTGGGTTTGGGTTGATGGGATGGGATTTTGGGAAGGATGGTGAGATCGTGATAAGGGATGGAATGAGATGAGATGAGTTATTATATTTGATGTAATTAATATTATATATATATTATAGGGATATAAAGAGAAATATAAAATGAGTGATGACGAGAAGATATCAAGTATCGAGTATTAAATAATTATTTATTTATTTATTTATTTATTTATATATCAAAATAAATAAATAAATAAATAAATACAAGAATTAATTATAAATTTAAAAATTCAAGAATAAAAAAAGAAAAAAAATTTAAAACTGAAGTTTAATAAAGAAAATTAAAAATTTAAAATAAAAGAAGGAAATTAAATATTTAAAAATCTAAGATAATTTAATTTGTTTTAATTTGTTTTAAATATAATAAAAAATTAAAAAAGTATGAAAAAAAATTAATTGATATTATAAATATTATATTTTATTTTATTTTATTTTCTCCATATTATATTATCTTAATCTCTTTTTTCAATTTTGAATATTTAATTTCAATTTCAATTTAAAGAATAGATTTATATCTACATCTATATCTACATCTATATCTATATCTATATCTATATCTACATCTAGACCACACCAACTGATCTCATTCCAATCATCTCAATCAAAACCCCACAAGATAATAACAGTTTCTAAATTTTACCCTGCGAGTCTTCGAGTAAACAAAAACGAACAAACTCAAATCGATTTTTACCCACCAACCCACCAACTCAATAACGATAATAGTGACAAAAGAGAAACAAAGGAAAAGGAAAATTGCGCTTGCTAAGATCGCGAAGTGCGAAGTGCGGGACGAGAAAGGAAAGGAAAGGAAAGGAAAGGAAAGGAAAGGAAAGGAAAGGAAAGGAAAGGAAAGGAAAGGAAAGGAAAGGAAAGGAAAGGAAAGGAAAGGAAAGGAAAGGAGGAAAAAGAAATAGTTAAATATGTCTCCAACCACTTTGATACAGCACCTGCATCTCATTAATCAAACATTCTATTCCCAATTCCTCTCTCTCCTCATGTCCACTTCCATTCCCATCTCCACTTCCACCCACATCCCCATCCCCAAGAATCCTCCCCTCCCTCACCCAACCCACCACTCTCCTCCCCATCCTCCCCCTCTCCACCAACCCACTCCACCATTCCCCAACCCACCCCACCCTAACCCACCAAACACCACTCACAGCCTCCCACTTCCCAGGCCATCCCTTTCTCGCATTAGCCATCTCATAAACATCCCTCCTATACGCCACTCTCACATTTGGATTTACATAAATCCCCTTACTTTCTCTGAGCGGATTATCCGCATGTATCAAACAACATTCACTACCCTCTACATGTTTTTGAGCTAGAGAATCCGCAACAGCTCTAAATTTTAAACCTTTGAAATTATTGTTTTGGGGATTGGCGATTCCTTGTTCTTTAGATGGAGAGGGATACCATGGTTCCCCGTCGAAAATGACCATTCCGTTCCAACAACTTTTTACAGGTACCGGTTCGTTTCTTTTTATTGCATTTAATGATTGGGAAGAGTAAAAGTATGGCCAGTAAAGAGATGAGGTTTTTCGACCAGATGAGTCACGGAGGGCAAATGTGTCGTAGTATTGGTAGGGGCGTGAGAAATCAAGAGAACAAGCTGCGGCGTAGGAGTTATTGTTTGTGGCGAGGAGAGTAGTTACGTCGGTTGTCTGTTGTGAGATTAGTCACAAGTATGATTTTTGGATATAGAGAATGAAATAGATGCAAAATATAGACTATATAGAGATATAAGACATGAAGAAGTAAGATACAAAACAAACGAAAAGAAAAGGGGAAGAAACACGTGACAACATACCGTAAAAACAACATCATTAATCCATAAAATCTTATCAAATTTCCTCCCTCTTCCCTCATCCCACACCCTCAGTAAAGGTTCCATAGCCCTGTTTCTCAATCTCGCCAAATATGGTATCCGTCTCATTTCCCATCCACTTTCACTCTCTTTCCTTCCCGTAAATAACCATCCACTTCTATCCTGTCCCTCCTCTGGCACATGTTTTAATTCCTCAAGCTGAGCCGCACGATCCATACCTAATTCGATCGTCCTTTCTACCCCGGCTTCATTTAGCATACCATCCAAATCCATCAGTGCCGCTTTCGTTCCATCCCAAGAACCCGACTCAACAATTGAGACATAGACATTCTTAGGCCCTAGATGCTGAACCAGGGATATAAGAGCCGGTGACCAATTTTGTCTGAGCATTATTTCAGACCTACGAAATATAGCTGCGATGAAAATTGTTTCATTGTTGGGATTTCCCATTTGTGGTGTAAATCCCTGAAATGCTATATCATTTTCAACATCACTAGATAATAATGACTCTTGGTCCCCCTCTTCCCCAACCCTTCTCATCGATGGAGAATCCTGACCCAGCAATGAGAGGGATTCATGTTGATTTGACGTCAAAGTAGATGGATCAACTGCCGAATATGAAGGCGTGATAGTACGTATTGGATGTGGAAGATTGATAATGATCCAATAAGCATCAAGGAGGAAGAACACAACGATGGCAACACAGAGATTAGAAAGGTGTGAATGGGGATGAAGAGGGGATCGTGGGGCGCGGAGGTAACGTCTAGGAAGGAATGTCATGGTTTAGTTGTGATGCTGATCTTGTACTGCCAAGAAGAGTATGTTGATGCCGTCCAGGGTATTCTAAGAGCGTGATGAGGGGCTATGGACGGGCCGAAATGACCGGGTATGGTACTCTAGCTCTTAGCTACCTAGTAGCTTGTGACAGAGAATGTGCTCAAGGAACAACCGGGGTAGCTGTAAGGGAAGAGTATCGGATATCCCGTTCGGACAAATGACCCAGAAGGAAGGTGGCTAGCCGTTCAAAATCTGGGGTTCAGATCCGAGTCCGTCTCAACCTATCGCATAGGGAGATGATGCGGAGAAAATGTGAGAATGTGAGATTGTGAGCTTATAAGCATGTGAAGCCGTGAGAAAGCCAGAACATTATTCATGTGAGGTTTACATGAAATGAAGCAAAACCAAGGCATGATTCATAGTTTTGTACTATTTGCTGGTTTGTTGGTTGGCTGTTGGTTGATTGATTTCTGCTGTCCGTTTTCAGCGAAACATGATGATTAACCAAGGGATTATTTGGCGTACCTTAGCGTGCGAGCTTGTAAGCTTATATGTATGTACCTAAGTCTATCAAGGGATTCAACTGTGCTCGTATAAATATCATGACATATACATCCCCCAATCGGATTGTTGTAGTAAGGTTGAAAAGAAGAGGGTATAAAACGGCGCAACTGTTGGAAATGCAAGTGACTGATACAAAGGAGTCAGAACCTACTCCGTGCAGTAGGTAATTAATTGTAAGTTCGTGTTCCGACCCAACCAAAGTTATTTTTATCTAAGTTTTAATCTGAGACATGGGAGCCAAGAGCTTCTTTCCGATTTAGCTGTAGGATCCCCAGATTCCCCTTTTTCCATTTATATCTTCAATTTTGTTTGGACTATACGTACGGACAGTATTGATTGAATATCTCCTTCATAATCATAATCTTACTCTTAATCTTGCTCTTAATCTTACATTCACTCACTCACTCACTCAACCCATCAAAATAAATATCCACAACAAAATCATTCATTACCTACCTACTACCTACCTACCCAAGTACCCAAGTACCCAATCTCTCATTCTGATTCCCTACCTAGATAATTAAATATCAACATTCATATCTTCTCTTCTCTACATACAATAAATAGATGGATATCGATATCTCTTTCTTTTATTATAATCATATCTCAGGGTAGATCATCACGATATTTATTGATCAATTAATTATCGAAGAATATATGCCTAGTGGCCATCAGTCTATACAAATACTGCGAGTATAATAAGCAAGCCACTAGAATCAGTGACTTTCTCGGCCAGGTCAAATAATCATTTTATACCTATCCTTAGTTTGGATTTTTGAAAAGTACACTTTCTGAAGTCAGTCATTATACAATTGAATTAATATTATAAAGAGACGAGAAAAACCGTTTATTTATTTATTACTACATACAGTCTATTCATCTACCTATCTATCAATCTATCCAACCATTCCCCATCTATCCATCTATTCATCTACCTATCTATCCATCTCTTAATATAAGTATATCCATCTCATGCTGAAGCCTCAATAGCCTTTTGTTGCGCCTCAAACTCCTTGCTGAATGTATAAGTAGTATACCCCTCTGCCTGCGTCTTGTTGTAGAAGAGATTTCTATCATATGGTCTAAACTCAATTCCCTCCTTGACTCTGAAAGGAAGGTCTGGATTGGCGATAAAGTATCTTCCAAATACAATCACAATATCTTTTCCTTTGTATTCTTCATCAACAGTTTTCTTTGCAGATTCGGCCGAGAATCCTCCAGCGATAAAGACTGGGCTAGTACCATCCCAAATATCAACAATAAATTTGACGTTCTCCTCCGTTGCTCCACTGTCTACGTTTCCATCGATTCTAGACTCGACAACGTGTAGGTATGCAATGTTCAATTTCTTGAGCTCTTGGACGAAATAGCTAAATTGTGGAACAGGATCCGCCATTTTCATTCCTTGGAATTCAGAAAATGGACTCAATCTAATAGCAGTCTTGTCAGCACCAACAGCTTCAACCACAGCCTTGGCAACTTCAAGTCCGAAACGTGCCCGGTTTTCAATACTTCCTCCCCAAGAATCTGTACGTTGGTTGGAAGTATCTTGGAGAAATTGATCGACCAAATAACCATTTGCGCCGTGAATTTCAACACCGTCGAATCCAGCTTCAATTGCATTCTTCGCGGCTTGTGCATAAAATCCAATATATTCCTTGATTTCAGCCTCGGTCAAGGCTTCTGGCTTGGCTCCTCCCTCGAATGCAATATCGCTTGCAGATTTGACTTTATAACCAGATTTCGCCAATTCTGTAGGATCTGCAGCTCTTCCCAATGCCCACAATTGCATCCAGATGTATGATTTCTTCGCGTGTACGGAATCGGTAACTTTTTTCCATGCGGTAATTTGATCTTTGTTGAAGATACCAGGGACATTAGAATAGCCACCGGCTGGAGGAGCAATAAAGGTAGCTTCGGTGATGAGATGTGTGCCGGGAACAGAAGCACGTTGGGTGTAATATTCGGAAACCATTGGAAGAGGTACTAAGTTCTCGTCGGCACGGAATCGAGTGAGGGGTGCCATGGCAATTCGATGTTGAAGCTTGGCAGTTCCAACCTTGAGAGGAGTGAAGAGTGTTGATGAAGACATGTTTATTGGGTATTCTCGAGAGGTGAGTAGGTATGTGAATATGCTGTTGCTGTTTGATTACTTGTTTGTTTGAATGGAGTGGGATGATGGAATGGAGTGAGAAGGACGAAGGGTCCATATACCTTTATACTCCCCCATTGCATTTCGGTATTGCGCAATGGCGTATATAAAACTTACTAGTTTGATTGTTCAGCATCGCGGATCTAGCATCATGGATATTGCTTACAAACAGGATAGCCTGACAGCATACTTCGTAAATCCAAGATATGTCCAAGGGGGGTGGGGACTCGGACAAACGATAAGTCGGCGATAACAGATTCTCCAAAAATCTGAAGGTTTCTGTAAAATATTTTGTCAATGTATTTTCGATTTTGGTGAAACAGGCAGGACACATAAGCTATTACAAATCGAATAAAATCGCTATGACGTGCGGTTGGTTACAAGCAAAATGTCACCTGCCAAATGCGAATTGCCGACATTATTGATGATAACTTCGGGAATTGAAAAGTAATTCTTAATTATCACCTCCAGAATCAAATGTAGAAGCAATTCATTCGTTCAAGAGTAAAAATGTGTAGCTATTGGTTGGTACGAACATATTGTTAGATAGAGTATTGAGCAAAGAGCAGACAGAGAGCAGAGAAGCGTAGATAGATGATGATATTTTTCACCAATTAAACAAACCCCACTCTCTCTAAAAGCAGCGCCCAAATTTCCCATTTCACTTGACCCACAAGCACCAAAAACTCATTGCAAAAAGCTTCATTCATTCAGTCTTCTAGTTGTGAGTGACAGACAACACAAAAAAGGCAAAATAATTGGAGCGGCAGGGAGTCGAACCCTGGACTTCATCGAGCATTATCAATTATCTCTTTAGAGATATTGAAGTTGCAAACGAGGCACTCTACCACTGAGTTACAGCCCCTAGCGGGTGTTATTGAGATAAAGATGCTTATTTCAAAGTATATTACCAGCGTCAAAAACAATGTGGGTGCGAGAAAGCTGTGGGGAAGAGTCATAAAATCTTACAAAGCACTCGGTCTAATAAAATATGCGACTTATTATTAATCCCTCGCCATGGTCGGCTCTCACAAAAGACCGACTCTTACATAACCAAGTAGGTACCAGTCGGGAATAGCGAGTATCCCCGAAGAGCGAAATGTTCTACTACGATACCTACCCAGGTAGCTATGATATATAAATGATTTGGTCAACTTTGGAATTAATACAATGATTTTTGTATTGTTGATTTCGATTTGATAATATATACAATTCTTATAATCAGATTTTACTATATTAGCGTGAAAATCATAATTATATATTATATATCAGATATAAGATTTTTCAATAATAGCTTCAGATTTTGATATATGTTCCTCGAGTACATCACAATCGGTAAAAGGGACAATTCGTTTCCCGAGGACATTCGCTTTCTCTGATTATGAGAAGTAGTCGGCCGTTCGTAAGAGCCGACTACCAGTTTAAAGTCCCGTGGTGCCTTACGATGGAGCGAGAAGATGGAACAGTCCACCGGTGGTCATCGACAGATACATAAAGGTACTTTCACTATATCGGGAAAGTACCAGGACGTCACTAATCCCTAATAGTTGCGTTCTCCTACTCTTGTCGATTGATATATAGATAGAGTTAAGAAGAGAGAATAGAATAGGTTAGAAGATATACAGTGGATGGAGGTCAAGTGAACCAAGGCACATGTTCTTTGCGGCAAATACTACAAAGTATCTAACATGTAGCGACGATAACATCGTTTCTCGATATGCGATTGACATCGACTTTCAAATAATGTGACAGCTCTTTCATTCCTCTATCTCCAAATTCCAGTCCTTTATAATCAAATTCGTCGCCTCTTCTCATCCTCGTCTCACTACATATCACTATCCATACATCAACGACATACAAGTAACAGAATCTAGCAATAATGATTCCAAATCATCGCCCATACAATGCTACATCCTACCCATAATTTCTCATCTGTACTCCATACCACCACCAAAGTATCTTTTTTTTTCTCCAAATCTCGGAATCAATAGTTTGTGCACCCCGAAGAAACACAATTTGAACATATCCAGATTCTCCACGGGCTTTGAGGATTCCCGTAATATAGGTGATGGAATCATTTCGGCGTTCTTTTTTTGTTATCTGTTTAGTATTATATTCTTCCTCGGCATTGGAGTTTGGTGGATTGTATTTCCTATTTTCTCTTCAATGTCATAGTGATGATATAAACAAGATATTCCAACCAGTAGGATAATCTTGCGATTCGTTTCCATCACAACCTATTCAAATCAAATGCTTGCACAAACCCTTCTTCCTCGTTGCCTAAAGAAAGAAATCAACATCGCCGCTCTCTCTCTCTCTCTCTCTCTCACAGATTATCAGTGCCATCAGCCATAGCGCATCTCCTCCAACCCAAGTTTCCATCCCGTCTTGAGCAATGAACAACTAGATCTCCCCTCTCACATGAACACCAACCTACAATCTGCATATCCAACCTCACCATCCATCTCAAAATCCCCTCCATACACACTTCTCCTCACAACTACAGTATCGCCATCGCCATCACAAACCTCACCTCCACACCCTAATACTCCAACCCATCAAGTCAATATCAACCTCTAAACGCAACGAACGGTATACACTCAAATAACTCACTCATTCACCAAAACAGCTAATCAATTCACTACTCCTAGGCCTCATTCCCTCTCTCCCACATAACTACCCCAGGACCCCTCAATCCCGCGTTCCGCACATGTAAATCTTAATATACCTTCGCATTGTACATTGCATTGTACGTACAATAGAGACTCCACACCCGTACCTAGCAGACCGAATTTCCCAAGCCGAAAGTTCAAAGTTCAAGTAATGAATATGAATATGAACGTATAGATCTCGAATCGCAAAATCAAGGAAGTAATCATTAATTACCTAGGTAGGTATCTGTATATAAGATTTCCTTCTTGTATTAAATATATATACATACCAGTCTCAAGAAAAAAACAGCGGCCTGGCAATCGGTGAATCCTCAAAGTCCATATAAAAGTAATTATCGATCGTTACTTCTTATTAGGTATCTTCACTCATTACTTACGTACCTACCTAGGTAGATCTTAGCTTCCAAGAAATAGCAATTTGAGAACAACACTTACGACCAACCCAATTTCATTCCCACCATTAATTACGAGCACGAACAAAAAGAGGAAATACATGATATAAAAAGCATTTCACCACTCTAAAACTCCCATAGCCATTCATAGACTCACTTCCCACTTGACTTGACTCACTTGATTCTCTTAATCCATTCGACTCTCTATAACTCTTCATAAGTCCTCCATACCATACATACCATACATACCACACAACCCAAATCCCAAATCCCATATTCTTATTTCCAGTTTAACCAACTAATCAACCGTCTTCACTTTCACTACAAGACGAGCAAAACCAATAAAAGTTAAATCAAACACGAGCTTACTTACCCACTTTACAGCTTTAGCACTGTACAACCTTCTTACCATAGGTATCATCTCCAATTCACTCATTTGCAGAGTACAGTCTGTACAGTGTGTACAGTGTGTACAGAAAGAAAAGTTTTTATGGTATATCTGAGGTATCAGGGGGGGTCGGTTATAAATGATATTGTTGGTCATAACCTTACATATACATGTATACCCAGGTCACCCTTAGTATGAAATGCCAATTTTTGTCATCATGCACTGGCATTTTCAAACCCGAGAGCCTCGAGCCGGTCTTGTAAGACTTTACAAGTAAAGTATTTATTCGTTGAACGATGCATTGTGGATATCTAGCAACTACCTTTTCACCCTGTATCCGAAATAGTAGACATGTATAATGCAAAGCTAGGCCTAAGCCAGCCACACGAAAAATAAATCCTTCCTTTTCGGCAATTGTACCTGCCACCCGAGCCCCTCAAGCCCCTCACACCTCGCACCTCTCTTCAAACAAAAAGATTGCTCGACCGTTGAATTCTCTAAGCCCCTACCATCAATCGCTCCACTGCCTACCCCTGATTTTGAGACCCACTTCCTCCTTTAATCCACCCCTCACTAATAACCAATGCATCCACCATGCCCCTCTTCAACATCCTAACCTTCGCATCCCTCTCCTTAATTTGCCCCTGCAAACTCAAATATTTCGCCTTCCAACTCTCCTCCTCTTCCTCTCTTGCCCTTCCATCCCCCATCCCATCCCCCATCCCCATCTTCCCATCATCTTCAACAACTGTAGCTCTTATTGTGAAATTTCCTTCAAGACTGCCAAATTTCATTTTCCAATGACATTCATAATCTACTCTCAGGGGTGGTCCTGGAAATTCAATCCTTGTAACGCGAAGACGCGTCATCAATGGACCGCCTGCTAGCGCTGAAAGATTGATGAGAAAGGCCTCTGTACTGCTAGATTCGGCCTGGAGGTTTCGGATTACTTGCTTGCAGATTTTAGATGCTTCGTCTATAGAGCATCGTTGAATTGAGTTTCCAGCTGCATCGTACCATTCGGCGACGAGGATTTCGCCTATAAAGTGAGACTCTAGAGCATCGATGTTGGTGCGATCAAAATCTTCGTTCTGACGAAAAGCTATGCTAACAAAGTGTTCGAAACTAGGGTCCGAAGGTCCGTTGATGGGGTTGTTGAAGTACTCCATTAACGATGTTTGTTGAGATTGGCTCATTAAATCATGCTGCATGTTTGTATCGGCCTCACCATTCAGGAGTACGACAGGTGGTGGTGGTGTCGCTAATCGAACATTGCCACCTTTTCTTTGTGGGACTTGCAGTGAAAGTCGATTTGGTCTAGAATTTTGAGTTTGTGAATTGCTAACAGGTGGATTGGCTTTGACACCCGCGGGAAAGAAATTCGGAATTTCAGAATTCGCCACTGTAGGTGTGGCAGTTGGTGTATCCCTTATAGAACCAGGATTCGCAGGGAAAGTCGAGAAGGGACCATCAGTAACAGAACGATTACTCGGTGGTCTGCCCCTTAATTTTCCAGCCGATACACTACCATTGCTTGGCCATGCTGATGATACCGCAGGACCATGGCGACGTCTGGATCGTGATTTATTTGGCGTTGTAGCAGACTGAGGTTCATTGCTATCCGGCCAAAGATGTGTTCTGGTTGAGGGTGTAAGAGCTGATTGTGGATAAGCTGATAGGGGAGTTGCACTTTCGGATGGAGCACCCCATCTAAAATCACCCACCAGAGAACCTCGAACTTCTGTTGCAGACCATGGACTCAATCGGGAATCAAAAACTTGCTGAAAAGAAGAAGTTGCTGTTGCTTGAGTGGCACTATCAGGATGCAAAGAAGCTCTAGCAAACATAAAATCTTCGGACAAAGTAGGCGAATGTAAACGAGGACGCTGAGACGGTGATCTTCCCATTTCATCATCTTCCCTATCTTCAGCCTTCTTCCGCCCGCGCTTAGGCCTTGTCTCCGGAAGCAAAGCACGAAGAGCCAAATCTTCATCAGCAGTAACTCCGTCTCGGCCAAGCTCCGATGGTGGTTCATTAGGTGATGGTACCTGCGTCCAATATACATGGGGTTTGTTCAATAAATATTCAAAGAAAGCATCAACATGCATCGCATGCAACCACCGCTAGATATCGTTAGCTCAACATTCGAGATTCCAAGATTGACTTGTATACCTTGAGCCTAACCGCATACTGTTGTACCTTTTGGGCGCTTTGACCTTTCTCCAAAGCAGGAGGCTCAACCCCTAGGTCTATTGCCAGTTGTGCCCATGTTTTAATTTCCTTATTCTCTAATTTACGAATCAATTCGAATAATATAAAAGTGCTGAAACTCTTGTTATCACTTTTTGGGGGCGCCCGAAATATTCGCCTGAGTTCAGCAGTATCGGTGTCTGATGCCACAGTGGGATTGCAGTACATGATGAAGCCTACGTAGGCATCGTCAAAATTCTCGTCTGTAACTTCTCTCGAAGGTAGAGTTCGAGAACTCTGCTGATTTGGAGATAAGTTTCCCAATGATAAAGATTGTACCTGATGCTCAGGCACCACCCTATCATGAGCATTTGAACATGATGCTTGACTGTGGGCTTGAATATATTGCTCACCTCCTTGAGGTGCAATTGGGGCATATTTACTTTCCAATCGACGTTTTGTAGGTTCAGAGATCATTGCAGGGACATGAAGGACTGGGAGCATTCTCCCACTTTTGAGTTATCAAATAACTCAGCCTGGCTAATTACTGGTGAAGGAATGAAAAATATTTTAGTTTTTGGAAAAAACGAGAGATGTCAGATGTCTTTTGATGATCAGATGATGACTTGATAGAAATAATGAAATTTACTCCCAATTTCAAAAAGGTTTCCGAAAACAACAAAAAATTAAAATAAAAGGTTGTGAAAGACACGTTTTCCCCTTTCTGCCAAATAATGATGATATGATGATATGATGATAACCTTGTACTCCAATTGAAGCGTCAGCTGAAAAGTAAGAAGATTTGAAAGTTAGAAGGAAATGATGATGTTGGGTATCTAGTAAAAACAAATGAACAAGTGCTGGAATGGAGATTCTGGATATATTTCGCGATATAAGCTAAACAAAAGGGGGGTATATATGACTAGAGTAGCGTTGACGAGAATTGTAGATAATTGACAATAAATTGATGTTAATAATAAGTTTTGATTGAGGTTCAATTTCCACCTCGTGGATTACTTAATCACAGATAAGAATAGATATCAGCACGTGACAAATGAGATCTCAAATCTCACATGTGTGTTGTGTTGTAATTAGGTAATTGGAAGTGGGGCAAATCTCGGGGATGTAGGAAATGCAAGGGGGGTTCCCACATTACCTCGGTAAGTCGGCCGTCTTTCCTTTGATACCTGTGCAAACTGACAATGCACATCTGATGCAGCGGACTTCATTATTATCGTGACGAGTTAATTTCATCTTTCTTCATTCCTCACGTCTTTTATACAGATCATTATTATTATTACATCCCCTTTTGTCAATTAACTCCCCTTTATCAGACTTTATCAGACTTTATCATCACCACCATCACCATCACCATCACCGTCGCCATCTATTGTAATACCTATATGCAAATCAATCATGGCCGCTCAGCAGTCAGATAATGTTGCTCATGCTCTTTCCGGTGCTGGTGGGGGCATTCTTTCCATGGCTCTTACGTATCAGACCCCTTTCCTTCTCCGCCTTTTCAATGTTAACAATTAGAAGCTATCCTCTTATTACACTGTCTACACGCGCCCAAGTTGAATCAAAACGTGCTGATTCGGGATTCCTCGACGCTGTAAAGCACATCATGGAACGTGAGGGTGTCAAAGGCCTTTATGCTGGGCTCGATTCAGCACTATTTGGAATTAGTGTCACAAACTTTGTATATTATTACTGGTATGAATGGACTCGCTCAGCTTTCGAGAAGACGGCACTCAAGACTGGTCGAGCTTCAAAAAAGCTTACAACAATTGAATCGATGATCGCCGGAGCAATCGCAGGCTCAGCGACAGTCTTGCTCACAAATCCGATTTGGGTGGTTAATACGCGAATGACCACACGAAAGAGAAATAAGGACACGGATGGGAGTTTTTTGCCTGGTGTAAAGCCATCAAACGCTCCTACAACGCTTGGCACATTGCTTGCACTTCTTAAAGATGAAGGTCCACAGGCGCTCTTTTCCGGGGTTTTACCCGCACTGGTGCTTGTTATCAACCCAATATTACAATACACAATTTTCGAGCAGTTGAAGAATTTCATTGAGAAGAAGAAGAGAGTCACTCCAACATTGGCATTCCTTCTAGGCGCGTTAGGGAAACTCTTTGCTACTTCTATCACATACCCTTATATCACCGTGAAGAGTCGCATGCACGTCGCCGGAAGGGACGGAGGAAAAGAAAGTATGATGCAGGGCATGAAACGTATTTTGAAGGAAGAGGGCTACGAGGGATTCTACAAAGGTGGAGATTTCTCCTCAATATTATTGGAAGACATGTCACTAACCCTCCCCAGGAATTGCCCCCAAAGTGTCACAAAGTGTTTTGACCGCTGCATTCTTATTCGCCTTCAAGGACGTTTTGTATGAACAGACCATCAAACTAAGGAAGAACTTTCCTGCAAGATAGCTGCGAAGGAAACTTTGATTTGGTTTTGGACTAACATGCTTTTGGAGCATGAATCCGATTGTAAGTTATGGCATCGCTGGAATGTATATACATGGTATTTGAACTGTTTAGGAGAGGCGTTGGAATATACCTGCGTTGGAGATGAGGCCAGCATGGATATATTCTACTTTGCTTACTAGGAAGGGTCTTACACGGATAAATAGAATGGTTAGAGTCGGTTGTATCTATGGATTAAGGCAATGATAATGAGGTCGGAAATCACAATGGAGTACGGGAGTAAATTACTTGAAACGTTCAAGTGCGGTCTGAAATAATGAGACAGACCATCGATCCATTCGGACACACACCTTCAACTCCAAATCTCCAAGAAAAGGATTAACTCAGTACCTGACGTGAAATTTCAAAAGATTGCACAGTGCTGCTTGTAAAAATTGTTTGACTTGATCCACTTGTATATCATGTGATTACGCGAAATGAAAACACGACGTCAGGCTTGCTGTTTTCTTTCTCTCATCAAGAAAGTTACAGACAACGCACAATACCAATACTTGATATGCGATTACTACAAAGTCTTCGTTTCTCACATGCTCTGACCAAAAGGAGGTATCGGTCATTGATATCCCATACGCAAACTATGGCAAGCTCTACGGAGGTCGATGAATATGGATTCAGTTCTGGCGATGAGGCAGATTTACTAGATTTGACAAACGCGGTAGATGCTGCAAGTGGTAACCAGGGCCACAAGCGTAAAGCTTCCTCCGAACAGACTTCGCCGGTTATCAAGAAACAGGAGACTGGGACATCTCACAAGGTTCTTCCATCGGCAATTTCTGCATTGAATCGCAATTTCGGGTTCAAATCCTTTCGATTAAAGCAGGAACAAGCCATATCAAGAATTCTTGCTGGTGAAAGTGCTGTTGTTGTCTTCCCCACTGGAGGTGGAAAAAGTCTTTGCTTTCAAGTCCCTGCACTTGCTTTTGAAGAGGAAGATAAGCGTCTCAATACTCGTGATGAAGGCGAACATGGCAGTGAGTAAAACAACAAGAGTGCTGCGCGGCAATACTGTACATAACATTTTCTGAGCTAAAGAATCGGACAAATGCTTTGAATATCGGCCTTTTTTCGTATTTTGTTTATTCCTTTCATACTTTCGAGGAGGAAACTAATGCTAGTGACACGCAGTCACCCTGGTAGTATCGCCACTGATAGCATTGATGAAAGACCAAGTGGATGCTCTTGTTCGTCGTGGAATTGCTGCGGCAACATTCGACTCAAGCAAGACGAGAGAAGAATACATTCAAACGTGCGAGGCATTGAGAAAGGGAAAACTTAAGTTACTTTACGTAGCACCCGAGAGGTTGAACAACGAGGGTTTCGTGGAACAAATGAAGTATGTCCGAGGAGGTATCAGATTACTTGCAGTTGACGAAGCACATTGTATCAGCGAATGGGGGCACAGCTTCCGTCCAGACTACCTAAGTTGTTCCACGAGTTCTACTAAGACTGCATTTATACTAACTATGGGTAGAGATTGCCCGTTTTGCTGAGGAGATCCAAGCAGAGAGAGTCGTTTGCCTGACTGCCACAGCAACACCTCGTGTTGCCAAGGATATCTGCCATGCTTTCAACATCAAAGACTCTGGGCTCCTTCGAACTTCCACCTATCGACCCAATTTGCGATTATTGGCAGAATCAGGAGATAGGAAGGTAAATATGCTACCTAAGCTCAAAGACTTTCTACACAATCACAAAGGCTCGACGATCATCTACGTTACTCTGCAGAAGCAAACGGAGGATCTTGCACAGACATTAGTTAAAGCGGGCTTCAAAGCTAAAGCCTTCCACGCAGGAATGCAGACTGAAGCTAAAACAAAGCTGCAGGACGAGTTTATGAGGAGTGATGACATGATTATGGTTGCAACGATCGCCTTTGGCATGGGAATTGACAAAGGCGCTATTCGCAATGTTATTCATTTTAGTGTCCCTCAAAGTCTGGAGTCTTACAGTGAGTACATTTCCTCTTAGCATTTCTCTTCAACGCGCTTCAGTCGCTTGACAGCATTTTGCATCAGCCCTCGTATCCACTCAAGTTTAAAGAGATAACCTTACAAAATGACTTGATATACTCGAGTGGCATAAAGTCTATCGTGCTGATCTCTGAGCAGGTCAGGAGATTGGAAGAAGTGGACGAGATGGCAGAACCTCTAATTGTTTCTTCTTTGTATGTGGCGAAGATCTTCATTTCCGCGAGTTGTTTGCAAGAGGTGACCTACCATCTCTTGCATCTATTCGTGGCCTACTAAACGACATATTCGATTCAACGACGATCAAGCTTCCAGTCGGAGGCGAGATTCACAGTTCCCACTACAATCAAACGAAAGAATTCGATATTCGGCCTACAGTCTTGAGTGGCATTTACGCACAGTTAGAGCTAACCCATGGTCTTATCCGTGCTACTACACCCCTGTATCAGAAGTATTCGTATGTCGCAGAAGACAACAGGTATCGTGCCAAAATCGCATCGGATCGGAGTCTGGCTGCAGTTGCGATTGCGGCGTGCGGTGAGAAGAAATCTAAGTTATATCACATCGATGTCGAGACTGCAGCCCACCGTTACAATATCGGAAGAAACGAGATTATTGCCAAGCTTGGCGAGTGGAACTCAGAAGGAATTCTAGACTTGAAGCCAAGCCAGGTCTTGAACGTTTACAAAGTCACTAAGCCTCTTCCAAAAATGGCATCAGAGATTGAGAAGCTTGCAGAGGCAATCCACACCACCCTGGACACCCGCGAACAACAGGCATTGGAGCGCGCGGATAAGGTTCTACAGCTTATCACTGGCAAAGCTTGTTTCTCGAGGAAATTGGCTGAACACTTTGGCGACGAGCTCCCCGATGGAAAAGAAGAATGCGGTCATTGCCAGTGGTGTTTAACGCACAAGCCCGTCAAGCTTCAACCTCCCCCTCCAGTTCCTTTCAATGACATTGCTTTCAAGGAAATCCTTAGTATCATCTCAGACCGCGACGATCCGCGATTCCTGGCTCGAGTGGCTTTTGGCATATCTACACCAAGAGTGAGTGCGATGAAGTTGGGAAAGAGTCCGATCTTTGGCTCAATGGAAGATCACGAGTTCGCGGTAAGTGGGATTGGCATTCAAATAATTTCTGGAAATATGAAGTGGCTAACAAATATCGACTTTAGGTTCTTCTGCGAGCTTTTGAGAAGGAATGCGAATAGAGTGAGCTTGGGGCGAACGGCATGTAATTTATTTGTATATTGTAACGAGTAAGAATATTTCATATTTTGGTTCGACCAGCGAAATAGAACAAGATAGGATGAGATATCTAAGCTAACGAAAGTTTGCACCTTGTACTCCATACTCGGCAAAAAAAAGCGAATAGGCTATATCCAGGAGATGGTACCTAAAGGCTACATCATGTGGATGCTTCATGATAGCAAAGAACAAATTTCATTCTTCCATGCACACCCATTGATTCCCTGAAATATCTGATACTGTGAGGCAAGCATAATACAAGGTTAAAAATTTCAACTAAAGGATTGAGCGATTCCAGTATTTCATTACTTCATTGAGGGGCGTTTCCGTCCAGTACTTTTACAGGATCTTAAAAGTTTCTTTTCATCCGAACGCCAATACGCTAAACCCATCCGTGACCCAGATCAGTATTTTCCATTCCATATATGGTACAATTCGTGTATCACCTCATCATCTTCTCCTCAAATCATGTTCTTCCGCCCAGAATGCTGGACAAGGAGCGCCCTCATCACCTCTCCCATTCTTCATCCCACCCAAAAGCCAATCCGTCAGTCCCACCACCTTAGCACCAACGCCCTTTTCCCAATTTCCACCTTCTTGCACATGCTCAATAGTATGCGACCAGATCCTCCCCTCCTCATCAAACTCAAAGAGGAAAAGCCCGGTAAACTCCTTACTATCATCCTCTCCACTTCCACCGCCCAACCACTCCGTAATCTTATCCACATTTTCCCTTGCTCCAATCCCTTTGTAGAACCCCCCTGTGCCTTTATTCTTCGTCTTGCCAATCGTTCTCCATCGTACTATTAACTGTTCGCCATTTCCTCTAGGTGATTGTCTCATCCGCTCGGAAATTATCTCGAGCTTCACGTTTCCAACTAAAGGAACGCGGCCCCAGGCGATAGGAGAAGTCCAAAGAGCGGCAGAATAGGCGACACGGCCTGAGACGGTGGGTAGATGGGGATGCGTGGAGGGGAAGAGGTGGAGGGTTATTTGCGGGGAGAGAATCTCTTGAGGGAGGGGCGATTGAAGGAGAGTTGGGAGGCGTTCCTGGAGGATGCGGAGGGCTGGGATTGTTAGTATATTGTCTGCAAGTAGGTGAATCAGTTGTGGGGGATCCGGGGAATGCTTGCTTTTTCCTAGTTTTATTGTTCTCTCATCTTTGGGGGGTTTATTTGAATCGTGGGGGCCAGGAGATAGATTCTCATTGCGGGGTATCGAGCCGGTGAACCAGACGTCTGAGAGGTCCTTAGGCCCTGAATTAACAGTTGCTAAACATCGAGAGCCTGTTTGAAGTGTATATGTAGTGGCAAGTTTTGTTTGACATATTAGAGAGGTAGAGGGGAGCTTTGAGGGCCGATTCCGAGTTAGGCGCAGGAGACTCTGAGGTTTCGACATCAGCTTGAGTAGGAAAGATTCATACGAAAAGACATCAACACTTTAACAAATTAAAGAAAGAAAGTACACGGGTATTCATTATCATAGACTCATAGTATTTGACTTGATTGGACAGATAGAAGATATCATAAAGTTCTAGAAATCAAGTCAGTGATATTCAAGCTTTATCAATCGGCATTACGAGCTGCTGATTGCCGATTAGATCAAAGCGGTCAAGGGATCAGTTGAATGAATCACAAGAATCACAAGAATCAAATTTACCAAATTAGTTTGAATGACTCAAACCATTTAAAAAAAGTGATAAATACTTCAAAATACCCCATGTTCAATATCCAATACCTTGGTAAATTAACAAAGAACAAAGGTTTATGCAATTACTGGTGCATATATGTAGATTCAAATATAATTCAGAAACATTCACCCGCAAAGGCCTCATAATCCCAGCTAAATCTGATTTCACGTGATACTCGTCTAACGCCCGTGGACCGCCTCTGCACCTTAAACACAGTTGAGGTTCCCAAGTTGCGATATCTTATTCTACAACTACAACCATAAGACATCGAAAAGGATAACCAAGAGGTATCATAAACATCCTACATACAAGAATCTCCCTTTGAACAACCACAAAAATGAATCCAGAGTAGTAAGTTTGAACCCCTCAAATCAAACGTCATCCTTTCATCAACTTCAAAGAAACCGCCATCTACATCATGTCTTTTGAGATGCAATACTGATCATTCTATTTGCAGAGTACAATATCCCATACTTGTCGTCACAAAGATGTCGTTATCGTCGCACAGGATACATTCCACTGGCCCACGTCAATATGTATATCCTGAACGGACTCCGACTGACGAACTCAATAGATACGATTACCTCTTCAAGCTCCTCCTTATCGGTGATTCCGGTGTAGGAAAGTCCTGTCTGTTATTGCGATTCGCAGACGACACATACACCGAGAGTTATATCTCCACTATCGGTGTCGATTTCGTAGGTGTTCATGTTTCGGGGCCACAGAGTATTGTTTGCTGATGAGGAGGTAGAAAATCCGCACGATCGAGTTGGATGGCAAGACCGTCAAACTACAAATTGTAAGGCAGTCTGGAGAATAGTAATACAGAAACATTATGCTGATGGTTTCATTTGTAGTGGGACACCGCTGGACAAGAGCGTTTCCGTACAATCACATCATCGTATTACCGAGGCGCTCACGGTATCTGCGTTGTTTACGATGTCACCGATATGGACTCGTTCAACAACGTCAAGCAATGGTTACAGGAAATCGACAGATACGCAACAGAGGGCGTAAACAAGTTGCTCGTAGGCAACAAGAGTGATATGTCGGACAAGAAGGTTGTGGATTACACTGTCGCGAAGGTAAATACTATCATGTGAACACAAGCACTTGAGACTCTGCATCAGCCGTGCTTGAATTTCAAAAAATCGTGACTAACATACATCGTACTAGGAATTTGCTGACAGTCTTGGTATCCCATTTCTCGAGACTTCAGCCAAGAATGCCAGCAACGTCGAGCAGGCTTTCTTGACCATGGCCCGCCAAATCAAAGAACGTATTGGCACAACCACAGCAAACAACAAGCCCGCAGTACAAGTTGGACAGGGACAAGGCGTACAGTCGGGGTCTGGAGGTGGATGTTGTTAGATGATATTGGTGGTCGATCGGTCGCTTTTATCTAGGTTTTTGATGAGCCTAGAACGTCACGAACTCCTGCTTTCCCTTTTCTGATTTATCCGCATTAGACTGATGGTCCCTTGGATCGGCCTCTGTAATTCGTCTGTCTTTCGCTGCCTTCGCTAGCAATGCATCGCAGCAAATCACATAGCAAATCTTTGCACCAATGAATTTAAGGAAGAGGGGAAATAGATAACATTAATGGCTGATGGATGGAGGGAAACGAATCCAGTTGTGAAACATTTGGCGTGAAATGGGAGGAATTCGGGGAATGGATCTTGTCATTGTTTTTTACTTTTTCCTTTTTATTGATGCACGGTTTCCTTTTTGTGGTCTGAAGCTTTTTTCGATGCTACTTTATTTGATGGTATCGAATTCTTTTTCTACGTTATCTTTGTTATTATGACAGGCAAGGCAATATTCGAGACTTTTTTCCCGCGAGATTATGTACTTTGTACTGTATTGTACTGTACTGCATGATATGTTTTCTATCTTATCTTGTTCCAATTGTGTTTCTGAAATGTGAGGTATCTCAACTATGTGTAGTCCAAAGTTTAGGCCGGTAAGTTGGTTTGTTGGTTGGTTGGTTAGTTTATGTGGTGAGAGTGGGAGTAGATAAGTGAGCAGAGCAGGTAGGTGAGCAGGTAGGTGAGCAGGTGGGTGAGCAGGTGGGTGAGCAGGTGGGTGAGCAGGTAATTCTAATTTCAAGTTTCAAGTTTTAAGGTTCAAGTTTCAGGGGGGAAAGATTTACAGGTGAGGTCGGAGTGTGGGTTATGTTATGTTATGTTATTTGATATTATATTATACTATACTATACTATACTATACTATGTATGGATGGGATAGGTTTAGTTTTAAAGGGGATTTGGATTTGGATTTGGATTTGGATTTGTGTTTATATACTGTATTGTAGTAGTAGGAGTGGTAGGTAGGAGCAATAGTAGTAATAGTAAACGAACAGTAAGTTTATATGTAGCTGATGGATGGATAGATGGATAGATGGATATAACATAATATAAATCTTCTCAACCATAATAACTTCTAAATCATAATACAAATGCCATAAAGCAAGCCCCTGTCCCTATACCATCCAACTTTCAATTCCGATTCCCAACCAAGTAGGTACCCGTGTCCAACGCCTATACTTCAATCTCCAACCCATCATACATCCATACTCTAAATCTCAATCCCCAACTCCTTCCCAATAATAACCGCCGCTTTCTCTCCCACCGCCAAAGCCGTATTATTAGTATTAGCCCCCACATTCTCCGGCACCATACTCAAATCACAAACCTTCAATCCACTCGTCCCATACACATTCAACGCCGCATCAACTACTCCTCCTTTCTCTCTCGGCTTCATCGCACATGTTCCTAGCGAGTGCCATGTCGTATTTAAATTTCCTCGAATCCAATCTTCAATCGCCATGTCATCTTCAGCACTATATTGAATATCCTCAACGGTCCCCTCAATTGCCCCATTAGAGAACGCAGCTTTAGAACCCTTGGGGAACTTCGGATGACCGAGCTCTAACTCGCCTCGGAAATATGGAAGACGTCTAGAAATTTCCCGTTGCATTTTGTAGGCCCATAGCTGTTTCTTCAAATCGCTCGGATGCGATAAAAATCCCGCGTCGAATTCATACCCGTTTTGCACGTCGCTTGATGAGGTGATGTGGATGGATCCTCGTGAATATGGGTATGCGGTGTAGGTTCCCATGGTGAAATACTGACCTGGATCGACGAGTGATTGGTCTCCGAGGAAGGTGTTGGCGACGGCGCAGAGCATGAGTGGTTTGGTGGGGTGAGGGGCAAAGTCTCGCTCCCAGTCTGCGACGAAGTCGGGACCTAGAGCTTGGATTTCCGAGGGGGAAGGTCGGAGTTTACTGCAGACGTCTGGGGCACGTGTTAGTGTCTGATGGGAAGTAGGAAGTGGGTGGGATTGGACTTACCGACTGCATTCCAACCTAGTTGAGGATCTTTGGCTTCAAGTGCTTGAGCAAAGTTTTTTCTTCCGCTTAAGACGCAGTCGATGGTTTCGGATTCATCGAGTGATGTTTTGTAGGGGTACAGAAGCAAATGATGATCTATTCACCAAGTGGAATTAGCCAATCTTCTCATAACACAAAAGTAAATAAAATCTACTCACCCTGATACGCCTCGCCTACCCCCTCCACTTCACTCACAACCTTCACTCCACACCTTTCTAACACATCCTTCCTACCCACTCCACTCCTCTCCAAAATTTGCGGGGTCCCCAATGCGCCTGCACTCACAACCACCAACTTTTCTGCAGTAATCGTGTGCGGAATCGCTTTACTCAGTGCGAGAGCGGGCTGAAAATCAGAATTGGGTATGTATTCTATACCAATTGCACGAGGAGGCGACGAGGAATCAAAAAGTACACGTACGACTTTTGATTCGGTGAGGATGTGAAGATTAGGGTAGGAGCCGGATTGGAGAAGAGGGTGAACATAGGTGTGTGCTGAATCTTGGCGACGACCGTTAAGAGAAACGTAGCGACGCCATTTCTATTGAAAGATTAGTTTCTTCAACGAGGAAAGACATGAACAGGAAAAGAACAGTAAAGTAAAGTAACAGAAAAAGAAAAAAAAGAATAACTCACCCCCCACCCACAAGTCTCCCCATCCTGCAAATCCGCAATCTCATCATGACCCATCTTCTTCACCGTCTCCAAAAACACATCACCACTCTTCCCCCTATAACCACCATCACTCACATGAACAGGTCCCTCATATCCATGTTTCTTCCTATCTACTTCTCCCTCCGGATGATACGTTTCGAGCTTCTTCCACATTTCCAACATATCTTTTGCGCTCCATCCGGGGGTATTCCAGGAATCGAAATCGATGGATTGAGCGCGTGTGTACATGAGGAAATTTATCGAGGAACCGCCGCCGAGGAGTCCGCCGGCGGGAACGATGGCTTCGCGGTTGTTTAGGTGGGGGGAGGGTTGGGATTTGTAGAACTAGTTTATTCATATATATCAATATTGATCTCAATCTCGGTCTCGATACCAAACTATATCCCATTCACCCCATTCATTCTCCCCTCACTCAGTCAAATCCCCCAGAGCCCACAGAGCTCTCTACCCTCGAAAAACACAGGAAAACATAAAGAAAAACATAAAATAAAAGGATCAACAAACCAAAGCCGTCTTACTCCCCGGAGCCAAATGACTCAAAAACAAAACCGGTGTCACCACACTCGGATCTTCGAAATTGTTCCTCCCGCCTTCCACGAGTAGGATTCGTAGAGCTGGGTTTGCTTTGGCGAGTCGACCGGCTGCTACGCAGGCGGCCGTGCCGCCGCCGGCGAAGATTATGTCTACGGTTTGGGGGATGGATGGTTGCATTTTCCTTCTTTTTGAGGGAGGAGGAAGGTGAAGAGGGATTGCGTGTGGTGGTGTGGTGGTGTGGTGATACGGGGTTTGCAATTGGGTGAGCGGTTAGTTGGTGTGTGAGTGTAGGATATATGTCTCTATATATATGTATATATAATACCTGATATAATAAGATATCTGTAGAAATATAAGAAAGAGGAGGTGGTAAGTGATAAGGGATATTACAAACTCTAGAGAAACAGGCCGTCAAAGATATAATAACAAATCCCAATCCGACCCCGCCCTCAGAGCACCCACTATACATATATACATATATACCTATATATGTAAGTCTTCCCAGCCCAAGTACTTCCAAGCCCACAGTACCCAATATCCACTCACACACCCATCCTCCAACTAGTTTCTCTCATCCGCCACTAGTACTACGATACTCTGACTGTCCCACACCAGCCCAATGTTACTAGTTACTCGATATGCAGGCATGTATATCTAGTATCTGATCAGCCTAAAGACAGACTCAAAGAGTACACGCCTCATTGCGAGATCTGCAATTAATTCTGTCCTATATGAAGGGGAGAAGAAATCAAAATATTAAAAAATTATGAGGGTTGATCTGGTTTTATTCCGCGGGGTAAGTCTTAAGATTTTGCTTTCGGATGTATTTAAGGTTTAGATCTCGGACCTTGAGTGGATCGTTTTTTTAGTTTAGAGTATTCTGTTATTTATCTTCTAATAAATTGAGGATTTCGAAGATAAGTACAAGGAAACAAGGTTTATAACTTGGTGTTACACAATATTTAATACATGATGGATGATTGATATATAATACATGATACATGACACATGATACATGATATATGATACACAACATACCATACTCAATCGCTTGATTTGAAGTTGCCCTGGTGTCTGTACTTGTACTTGTACTTGTACTTGTACTTGTACTATCTGTACCTGCACCTGTGCTAAAAGCAGAGTTAATAAGCTCCCATACTACTACTATTACCCCTCATCTCACCTCAACAAATACACACCCATACACATATACCCGCGATCTCCATCCGACCAACAACATACAATCTACTTCGCACCTCCCATCTCCATCACGTGTCTCCGATCTCTGCCAACGGATATATCATATCAGGAGTAGGATGGCCGACTACCTACCCATCGAAACCCATCGATACCCATCTAAGCACGAACTTACACTACCCCCATTCTCACATTCAGCCTCACACCATACTCATTCAAATTTCACACTCCCACTCGCCCTCACACCCCTACTTACTTACAATACACCAGCCAATACATTAACAGACCAATAAACCCGGCCCCCTACACAGCATCCACAGTCTGTATAAAACTAAAACCATAAATCCCATCCTAACACCCACCGACCTACCCTATCCCATCCCCCTCCACCGTCAACAAAAGCGGGGCAATTGGCTTAGCAAGCAGCAAGCAGCAAGCAGCAAGCCAAGCCAAGCCAAGAAGACCCCGCATCCCATCCCATCCCATCCAGCCCGTGCAACGTCTGCAACCTCGGACAATATACTAAGATCTTACACACAACCTCGGACTTCATTACAGCACAAGACAGACAGACATCCAAACTCACAGCCCCGCCACCAGACGCACTAGATACCAAATACACTACGACAAAGATAAACCAATCAAAAAGAAAACACACCACGGAATCATCCCGCCTTAAGATATGGAGGCAAAAACGAAAGCTAAAGCCGCATGCAGCTGAGAGCTCCCCCTTTCCTCCTCATCCTCTCTTTTTTTTCTTCCAAGATTTCCACATTAAAATATTTCTACATACAACACAATACAACGTACATACATACATACGTACATACGTAGCATCAGGGACTGCGTGCCCTGCAGATTGCATCTGCGGTCTGCGGTTGACTATAGATTAGAGGTTAGCCCACCGGTGGCCCCACCCACCCATTATAGTATAGATTTACCAGTTACCCAGCTCCCCTGGCTTTCCTCCATCGCTTTTCCTGTTCGGTAATATCGGTAATACATTTCCATCGTACAATAAGAGCATTACGCCACTATCAAAGACTAGCTACCCATTTGTTTACCTCGAAAAACTAGATCTGCTTAAAAACCAAAATACAATCCTCAATCCTCAATTCTCAATCCTCAATTCTCAATCCTCAAATAAATAATCCCACCATCCATTCATCCATTCATTTGCATACCTACCTACCTACCTAATATACAAATTATATATCATATCATGAAATTTCCACTCAATTTCCATCCCATCCATTCATACATACATATACACCCTTCATTTCCTCTCCGTTGTTATTGCTATACCCTGCATACTACCAATTTTATTATCCTTTTGCTTCTCTTGCTTGCTTGCTCTTCTCTGCTCTGCTTATCAAAACCAACCAACCAATTTAACTCTTTGTACACCAGGAACGAATGTCAGTAAAAGAAAGCAAAAGCAAAAATTGCATTCCGTCCTATCTATCCATTCATTCATTATGCTTCACCAAACAATGTGACAAATTTGTTAACATTTATTTGAATGAGAAGAGGAATAGACGGAAGAAAATTGCCCATATGCAAATCTAACTCCCAATGAGAACTTCATAAAGATTCATAAACTAATTTGAAAGAATTGAGAACTATAACATGCAATAAAGTCGGACGAGAACCCAACACCTAACCATCCTGTCCCAAGTAACCTTGAACGCCAAATAACTTATTCTCATCTTGATATTGGTATTGGTATTATGTACGCCCCCATTAATCATCATTAAACACATCAATTCACACAAAAGTTCCCTGCACGTTACCCTTCCCATGAATTTGTACTACCTTTGAATGTATTCAAATTAAATTTCAGAACGCCCCAAAAATGCAATCATCCTACTTAGCCGTGCTGTTCGTGACTTTCCTCAAATTCTTCAGCATATTTTCAATCAAGGACTCCGAGTCAATAGGCACGTCTGGTAAGTCATGAGTTTGCGGAGGAGGTGCATAAGTTTGCACTTGTACCTGCGAATCTGGAAGCTTCTGAAAATATTGTTGATGTGGATAGAGGGGTTTGGCCTCTTGCTGAGGAGATGGAGGTGGAGGCTGAGACTGATGTGATGCATTTACTGGTTGCTGAATGGGATCTGGCTGGGTAAGAGGAGTCGTCGAAGTACCATTTACAGCTAGTTGAGGCTGTGATAGTGAACTATGAGTAGCCTGCTGTGCCGGTTGGGGTTGGGATTGCTGGGATTTCTGAGTTTGGTTGGACTCCGTTGTTTGTGACGTTTGAGACACGTATCCATTGTGTCCAGGAGAGCCTTGGCCACCATTTGGACGGTGTAAGGGATTTTGATATTGAGTAGAATAATGACTTTTGTGATTTTGCTGCTCACCCTGCTGCTGGTGAGTTTGTTGTTGATGGTCCCGTGGCTGTGGTACATGATGTTTATGAAACATCGAACTGTATTCCTTTCGAATTGCCGGGTGCAAGGGTGAATGGTCTTTCCTTTCCCATTGATTGGTATCGAAAGACTTTGGCGGAGCCTGTTGTGTGGGAGTATGCTGTTTTCTGGAAATGGAAGGTGAAGCATAGCTTGGCTTTTCGGATGATACTGCCGAAGAATGTGATTGCGACCCATTGGAGGAATACGGACTGCGAGTAGATTTGGAATTATAGGATGTGATACCACTATAGGCTGGACTAGAGTAGGAAAATTTGTTGCCAACACCACCGCCAGCGTAGGAAGAAACTGAAGGTGGGGATGGAGCTGTGCTCGAACCTGATTTCGCAAATAAAGTCTTCTTTAGATGCTCGGTCCAGTTGCCTTGATAACCATTCATGAATCCTCCACCTTCTCTGTAAGGGCTCTTATATTCCATGGGTGAGCGGTTGTGCTCAATCTGCAAGTAGAGATACTTCGCAAACACGTTTCCCACCTTAGGAGCAGATGCCCTGCTGCTAAAAGGATTATTTCCTTTGGATGCCGACTGAGTTGCTCGATAGTTTGTATTGGGTGGAGCCAGAGGACTGGCACTTGCTTGTGTTTGACGTTGTGCAGCTGCTTGATAAGGCTGGCGTGGGGGAGCATATTTGACTTGTGGAGCATAATTGGCGGGTGGAGGGGCATAACTAGTTTGTGGAGTACAACTAGCTTTTGGAGCTGCGACCGCGGTAGAAGTCGCAGAGGGAGCTGCAGAAGGAGCCACAGAAGAACCCGGGTTATTCTGAAACCTGGGATCAGTACCAAATCTGAGACCGACTGCAGGTACTTGAGCAGGCCTGGAAGCCGCTGATTGTCGCAAGAAAGCCTGCTGAGATTGGTATGACTGTGCATCAATCAAGCCACTATGATAATCATCTCCAGATTTACGAGGCTTATACACATATGGCTTCTCTAGCCTTGTGACCGACGGTGGGGGAGTTGCCGAAGATGACGCTGGTTGGGTAAAAGTTTTGCTAGTAACCATGTTTTGTAATGCCTGTGCATTGGGGCCAATATATGAAGTATTACTAGCCGGCATCTTTGTGGCGCTGGAAGAACTTTTGCTCGAGGGTGTCGGATATGAAGCTGCATATGATAGACGTGGCACAGGTGCAGCTGCCTTGGGAATTGTGTCGAGGAAATGACCCTTAGGATTGTGTCTTTGGATCCTCAAATTCTCCGTAAACTGTGCTCTAGCCTCTGTAGAGTTCTTTCCAAGATAATACCAAACTTGGTTCTCTTTGCTCAAATCCAATTTGACCTGTGCTGCATTGCGCGCGATACTCGCTGTATTAAATTCTGCCCATGTAAAGCCCTTGACAAATACATCCTCAGGTCTTGGAATGTCATCAACTTGACGCTTTGTTGTATTGAGTGACGCTGCTTCAATACGAGATTTCGGCATGGGGATTGCCTTCTCGGATGGCTTGGCAAGAGTGAAGAATGATTGGTCGGGAATAAGAATCCACTTATATTCGACTTCAACACGATCACTGGTGGTAAAGTTAGCAAAGTTTTCACACAGGGTCAAGAGGTTTACGAACCCACGTGGCAGGATATCAACGAGCACTGTCTCCTCATCTTCCCGGTTCTCAATGATAGTACCTGCAAAGATATCCCCTTTGTAAAACTGCATTTGACAGACTTCGTTGACCTTTAGGCTCTTTGCACCATTGCGAATACGAACATCTTCCTCGAGAGACTCGCTGTCGAGCTTCTTATCCCGCTTAACGCGATGGAAGCGACAACTGAATTCAATGCCCCACTCTTTGTACTCGGTGCCATCCTCGCCAAACACTGGGATCTCACCTTGCTCAACAAACACACCTGCTGCCGCTGCACATGTCGCATGATATGCCCTTGTACACTTCTTCTTCGAGCATTGGAAACATGCACCTTTCTTCGAACGGCAATAGTTGCACTTGAGATCAAATCGAGCTTTGGAAATCTCCTTAATGCCCGTAACAACTTCCTTCTTCTCCGTTTCTTCAATGATCGTTTCCGGAATGTACTGAGCACACATGCGGTGTGCCTGTTTGCCATCCTCCGTTGCAAGTAGAGGCTCAGAAGGAATGTCGTTGGGACAGAGGACACATGGTTCGTGAGCTGGTGCTTTGATGCGCATGCGGATTCTCTTCACATTTTGTTGGTCGTCTGACTCACTCTTGATGCGCTTACGCTTGCGTTGGGATTTAGTCTTGACCTTTGCGTCACCACTGCTATCAGGCGGTGTCGGAAGATCCGTCGGTTCATTTTCATCATCTTCTTCCTCTTCCTCGTCCTCATCAAAGTCGGTTTCATATTCAGTCTCTTCGCCATTCATCTTACGTTCTAGATCTCGAACGTTGATCCAAACACTATCCTGAGCTTGATCGCAATCGCATTTCTTGGCCACCTTTCCATATTCAATCCATGATGGTAAGCCAAAGTTAACAGCTTCAGCGCAATTATAACCGAGGTTGTACCCAGAGTGATATCCGTATGGGAAAGTAATTACGAACTCGCCTGGCCGGTGAACGATCTTATTCACTTTGATATTATAATTCGACAACAAGTGCTGAGGCGATATCAAAAATGTTTTGTGACGAAGGAATTCGCTGCAAGCTTTTGCATCTGCTGGCCAGATATTTTTCATCGCAGCTTCAAATCGTCGTGCATCTCCTTGAGAAATACTGTACCATTGCTTCGGTGCACCAAAGTGAAGATAATTGATACTGTAAAGATCGACGTCCTCCAAATGCCAGGCAAAAGTAGCTTTCCACATACCCAAGTAAAGATATGCAGTGTTGACACCAGGAATTTGACCACCCAAATGATCAAGGATGTTGGGTAGCTTTCCAAGATTCCATTGGGTCGTTCTATCATCGAAAAGTGAACCCATCATATCTGCTCCGTAGAGGGGTGGGGCAAATGTGAGAGTACGCCAATAGTGTCGTTCCAATTCTTCACATCTCTCTGCCGAGTAATCTTCGCCCTCCAACTCATACTTGAAGTTCTCAAAGGCAGCCTCATCCACCACTCCGGTTTCGCGACGATTGTTCTTACGGCGAGAAGAAACAGATATGGCTTTGGGTTGCCGTCCCCCCTTTGATTTAATAGGTGTATCATCCTCATCTCCTTCTTGCTTGACAGACGACGCATCGCCTTCGGTTTTCGGAGATATTGGAGTTGGTAAACGATCCGGAGTCCCGTTTTCTGGATCGGCTGTAGCATTTGTCTTAAGTTTAGACGGTCTCCCTGGCTTCCTCTTCCCACCGACGGCTCCTGGTGTTGAAGGAGCCTTGGCCCTCGTCGCAGCTTTAGCTTTTTCGATATTGGCTCTTCTCTCACCTCTCTTGGCAGGGGGTTGATGTTCACTCTGATCGCACAACTGTCGCCATTGTGGAAGATTGTAAGAACGTTGGTGGAGTATATTAGCTTGTCGGTATGTTCCGCTCTGACCCATGATATCTTGCTTAATCGGATCCTTTACTCTAATCGTTTTGATAGCATCGTCGAGCGGTGGAAGGGCAGCTTTCCATTCAGGTGGAGGAATGACCTTGACAATCCCAGATTTCATGCCATATTTGTTAACTTTATCCATCTAAGCGTTATCGCATTAGCACATGGTCCCCAGGTGGTATACTTTTGACTTACGAAGAGATTAAAGTCCTTGAATTGAGCCATGGTTGGCATAAAAACAGGAACTCTGCCATCATCCTCCCAATGCTCTGGTTCAATGGCATCATCTGCTGAGAGGTCAACATCGGATAATTCTGAGTCGCTTGATGGATCGGTTCTGATTGTATTGTTGCTTTCCGGTGGCGAAGCAAGACCCTGCGAAATCGCAGATTGCTCACCTTCGCTGGGCACGACTACCTGGTCGGTAGCAGTCGACATCGTGTAGGCTCATATGCGATCGACCATGCGACTGTATCGTGCGTGTAATTATATCGTAAGGTTTCTAAAGTAGGTGAACGTCGTTGAATTGTGGAGGGGGTTTTGAAGAATGATGCGCGCTTTGGAAAAGAATGGATTGTTTCTTGGCAAATGTCGAAAGAAACAATTCAAGACTTTATCCTGTCAACTCCATAAAAATAAAAAGGTAAGTTGGAATTTTTGTCTGATGTGGTTTAAAAAAGATTATTTGCTGGTGATTATGGGAGGCAGTTGTATTTTGCACTGGCTGGCTGTACAGGACCAGACGATTTACTGAGGTGCGAGGTGCGAGTTTCCCTCGAACGATTTCTCCTACTTGCCGATATACACTAAGCTTTATCCACTTTAGCGTCCCTGTTCGGTTTCCATTTCTAGAACGGTGATTTGAGTGAAGTGGATCGACATTTTTGATAAAACAATAAAAGAATCTTTTGAATAAGTCATTAATGTATAATAGAGCGGAGTAAGCTCATCAACACGTATATTATGTTATTACTTTTACTTTTTATTTTCCAGCTTCATCACTTTGATGATTTAATAGTTATTAGTTTGTTCGTCATTTTATGATGATCCTTTGAATACGAGTACCCGCAATGTATTCTATATTTTATATCACATTGTCCTTGACGAATTGACGAATTGATGATGCCGGCTGAATCCTTTATACATACCCAGGTATGTATATATGTAGGTACGTGTTACGTGTTTCCGTCCAACATAGATACGCATCGATATGGGAGAGAGGAGCATAAACAAATTGAGGCGCATTCCAAGTACTAAGTAAGGATATCATGGCGTTCTTCCTCCTTTTCACACGGGAAAAGGAGATATACCCTACTAGACAGGTAAGACTACAACTTGCAATAGTTGAACGGAATTTCTCTCTTTTTGCGATATTTGGTTTCTCTTTGGGGGCTTCTCTTATGTTGTCGTCTTTCTTCATGATTTCTTGACTGCGTTGCTGCTTGAATTATTATTTGATTGATTTATTGGATCGGTCAGGATCATTTTATGCAGTGCACAGTTCACCCTCCTGTAAGATGAAAATCATCTCAACTTATCCAAACAAACTGGAATCATCATCATATAGGGCTGAGAAGTTTATCTTTAGTCTCATCATTTTACACTGTACCTCTTCGGACATTCGTTCGCATTGTTCTTTGGTGTACTGTCCATTTCAATCCAGTCAAGTGGGATAAAGATGTGGCATGCTCCTTACCTTCATGATCAGGAGTTGCGATGGATCTATCAATTTGGTTTATTCGAATACTCAGGATTTTCAATTCTGAAAGCATTGATACGATATGACGTTGATCACAAGTGGAATGATCAAAGATACATATGTCTTCGATAAGTGAGCCGATAGGATGGAACCCCTGTACTAGTGAAATCTCTGTCGTTGAACTTGCATCTACGTTAAATTTAAGCTTCGACAAGGCGTGGGCCAAGTGGCTAAAAGCGGTGACACCTCTCCACCTACCTATCTACCCTAGGCAAACATTACCCGTCTTCCCCATGAAACCCTAGCACAGATCTTACGAAATCGAACCTTTTTATCTGGGAAAACAGTGGTCGCTGGTTGAAAGGATATCATCACAGCCAGTCATGACCCTCGAAGATATCTTACATGTGCCGCCGCAGAATTTGAATACTAAGCATGCAAGCCTGCAAACCATCTGCGGGCATGCAGCCCTGAATATATTCGTCCGAGGTATCGATGTCGTTTCAGTCATTTCCAGAATTGGGGGTCCCGTTTGCATAATCAATTCATTTTTGGAGGATGCGTAATCGCAATGCATTAAGATGTGCAAATATGAAAGTCAAGAGGATGTCAACAACCTCAAAAATCGAGATGCTCGGCAGCACACAGGTGACTCTACGCTTACTCGTAGCTAAGCACATTGGCTCTCGTGAAGTTTGGGCATGAGAACAGTTCGATTAGAAGCTGGTTTCATTCAATTGTTGCAAAGAACGTCGATCCTGTTGAAATTTCACAATGTTCACAGGCTAATCTTATCTCAGCCCCACACCTCAGAAACTACATAGCTACATAGCTACACTTCTGTTAATACATTTATTCGCACTCATGATCGTCATCATTGTAATTGATTTGACTATGCTATCAAACGGGCATGATATCATATCATTTTGATTGATGTGACCAGTAAGACGACAGACTTACTTGACACAATAAATATTAAGGGGACCTTACGTTATAGATAAAACGACCGTACACCTAGACCTAATCTCATATACATACATACATAGACCCAACAACAATTACATAAACTACCATGAGCGTGTACTCGACAAAATGAAACCTTGCCGGAATATTGACAGTCGGGGCTGGCTCACAAGATCCAATACTCACTTACCTACCTATACCTATACCTATATCTTCCCATCACCAGTTGCTAGGGAACGGAACGAGAGATTATTCCTCTCTTCCCTCGCTCCTCTGAAATTGTATCCATCAATCCGTAGCCAGAACCCAAATCAAACCACCCAAAATCCACCCTCATCCCATTTCATTGCATCTCATTTCTTCTATCTCATCTCATCCCAGCCCTAAACCCACCAATTCTAGCTACCCCATCCACCCTTCCCAAACAGCCGCACTCAATCCAGCAAATCCAGCCAATCTAGCTAATCTAGCAGACCATTAAAAACATTAAAAAGAGTTAGTAAGATCTTACCTGGATTCGAATATTCAAATCAAAACCTATAACATATACATTACCCTTCCACCCATTCACAACCAGTCTACACAGCCTGCACGAACTATACTTCTTCTTTTCCTTCACTTCTCTTTCTGTTTCTCCTCCATCTCCATAGCATATTAATTATCTTAAACCCTCTATCTCAAAACTCTCATCTCAACCTATACCCCCTATTCATCTCAAAACCTCCCCATGAAAACTCCAAACTTCCAAACTTCCAAATCCTCTCACCCTCTCACCCTCACACCCTCACACTCAAATAAACAAGTAATCAAGTTATTAAATACCCTAAAATTATATCCCATTCCATCCCACCCCATCCCAATGTATAACACTCATTACCTTACCAACTCTCCATTCTTTATTCCTCATTTTCCATTCCCGATTTCCAATTCCTAATTCCCAACACAGAAATAACTATTGATAAAGAATATACCCATCCAGCACGAAGCAATGCATTCAAAGTCAAATTCGCATTATGTATAAACCTGACTTGTTGTTTAAATTCATTGATGGTCTCACACACCTCTCAAGTCTTATCTAATATTCGTCATATTATTACCTCCTCGATCCTGCAGAGTTCGTTCCATAGAAGTGATGTTATATATCCATCCCTTAATCCACAGCTCTCTTACTGTACTTATATTTCTTGGGCCACCTTAAAAAAACCCAATCCAACATCTCAAATACAATCAAAAATCACTTCATCACCATATGTGTGAAACACTCTCATATAATCTGTATCCGTAATTTTCATTCATTATGCCCATATGCAACCGTCATCAAATCATAGGTATCAATCATTTCGTTTTGACCACACCTCAATCCGATGCAAACCCCTCAGTCCCGATCCAGTCTAACCGTCCTAAAAGACCAAGACCAAGATCAGCAACCAAAGACCAAACCATCCGAACTTTTCAATGTGTGGGGTATGAACTAGCAGCCTGCATAACAGCGCGCAAAAAGAAAAATCAGTGGCCAAAATACAGAAATGTTTTGTTGTATGTAATGCCATAAGAGTAACCGCTCTTCCATATCATTATAGCCCTAGGCCATATCCAGCCAATATCAAGAACATGACAGATCCGTGCAAATGCTACCTGTGCCGTTTTCGCAATTGCAAATATTAAATGCAAAAAAAAAACTTTACCCATTTCGCCTTTGTGTGATGCCATGCCGCGAGAAACAAGTTGAATGAAAGGATGAGGTTATTACAAGCTGTGTCAGCTGAAGCCTAAGAGCTCACTAGTTGTGAGACTCTAGAGCTGTTTCCTAAAGGTGAATCTATGATGAGTCACCTCTTGGGGCACGAGGAGCTCCACGTGGACCACCTCGACCACGCCCTCCTCGATGTTGTCCATCACCTCTGAAGCCACGAGATCCTCTACCTCCTCTACCACGATATTCTCCACGGCCACGATTACGGCTGACTTCGTGGAAGCCATCATTGTTGGTAGCTGGGGCGGTGGGAGTCTTCTAAAAGAAAGCTATTAGCAAGATTTCCATGATTTATCTTATGAGATTAGGGTCGACTTACTGAACCGGGGCTCTCTGGTTGTTCATCGGCCCAGCTTTGAGTATTAGGAGCGGCAGCAGGAGTAGCAGTAACGCCGGTCTCAGTCTCAGTAGCTTCGCGAGGAACCTCAACCCACTCTTGCGACGTAGATAAATCGTTGTTGTTGTCCCAATTTGCCTCTGCCGCAGCATTTCCTCCTTCTCCAAAAGCGGAGTTTTGAGGGAGTTTTTGAGCTTCTTCGAAACTTGGTTCTTGGTGTCCATTGGTCATTGCAGTTGTCACAGGGTCATCGATTTCGGTCAAACCGGCGTTGGCGATAGTAGGGTCACTTTGAACAGGATACTCGGCGACTTCGGTTTGAGTTGTCTCTTCATCAGCGGTCTCGATATATTCGCCGGCGGCAGATGATGTTGGTAGCGCAAGGGCAATAGCCTTGATATCGGCATCTAACAACTAGTTAGTAAGTTGTAATAACTTTAATAGCACGCGCTCTTACAAGTCGTAGTAAGTTCCTCGCCGTTGACGGAGGAACAGATCTCCTCAGAACCTTGGATAATCTTCGTCATGGCAGCTACAGCAGCCTCATCACCACTGTAGACTTGGGTGAGAAGACCTTCAATGCCCTTGTTCTCATCAAGGTTTGGATCATTTTCCGGGCTTCGGCGCAAAGCAGCAAGACAGAGGAATTTAGTAATGAGTAATAAATTGGCCTCCTGTTCCTCAGCCTTCTCCTTGGCAACTGATTCCTTAGCAGCGTTGACCTTCTCTTCGAGTTCTGTACTTGCACGCTCGCTGAAAGTCTTCTCGAATTCAGCCTTCTCTACCTGGAGCTTAGTCTTGTATTCTTGGTCGAACTTCTTGTATTGTGCGATTTGCTCCTCAAGCTGGGCCAAAGATGCCTGGAGAGATGGCTTCTTCAAGATTTGTGCCTTTTGATCAGCGTTGATTTTGCGAGTAGCTACCAACTCGTCCAAGCTCTTGCCAGGGTTTTCGGCGAGGACATTGTCGACTTTGGAAGCGTTTGTCTGTGCAATATTAGCAATTTGTCTCAAGGCGATCCTCCGCAGATAATCTTTACTTACGATCTTCTTGTTGACATTACGAATATTCCTGAAATGAGTTGTCAGCTACCTACCCCTCACAAGAAAAGGTGACAAAAACACCAATGTTAGATTGATGTAGTAGTTCGAAAGTAAATGTTCTTACTTGTAAAGCTCCTTGATATATGGACTTTCGTATGTTCCATCGCCATTGGTGCTCTCCTCAGCACTGTTGGAGGGGGCCTTCTCTATGACTGCTGTTGGTTCGGCGGACTTTTGAACCTCGACAGCTTCGGTCTTGGCCTTCTTCTTCTTCGCAGACTTAGATTCTGGCCTGGAAGCTGGGTTTTGAGTTACTGAAGCGGCCATCGTGTGAATTATTTTTGTTAGGACTTTCAGGTTGACTTCGTAATACAGAAATGTCGAGATGATGGCTTGCTTGCTTGCTTTTGCTTGTGAATGAATAATTAAAATGCCTCGTCTATTAATAAAACGATGTATTTAATACAAGAAGTTGAGAACGAGGATATTTTCAGGTTTGAGATCGGAGCTGTGTAAGATAGATATGAAGTTTTAGGAGTGGATGGTATTAATTGTCAAAAGTGAGGGAGCTTCAAGATGATGGGATGGGGAGAGATGTTTGGATCAGAACCTTGTCGGCCTTAGCGAACGTGGGAGAAGGAAGTAGAATAATAAATTTTGACCCAACAGAAGAAAAGTCAATGCATCTGAATATTATGAGTGATACAAAAGAGGCTTGAGACTTATTCAATAGGTATCGAAGGTTTATCTAGGTATTCATCGTTATCCTAAAATCAATTGAACCTCAATTGATCAATACATGCTTCACTGAATTTGCTGTATTCTGATCATCTTCGCGTTGTACCCCTCGAGCGTGTAATGCCTGAAATCCACAGCCTCGTCTTATACACTCTCCTTCTGCCTCCTTGGCAACCGTCCTCCTTAGGTATTTCACATGGTTATCTGCCAACTCCCACATTCTTCGTAGCAACTACGTCTAGGAGGCACATCTGATAATCTCCTGGACTTGAAGCACTCTTCGTACTGATACACTTCTGCGATGTTGTTCCATTATAACTTTGTAATCTTACAATCACTCTCCCAAGCTCGAGCCTCATCCCTTGAATTTCGATAGCGATAACTAGATAGTAAAGAGGATTATTATGGATACAGAAAACGGCAAGAGAGCTGGGCATACTTCTGTGACTTTCTTTATACTCTTCGCGCTAATACCACGCTCTCCAGCTTGCTTCGCATTGATACCGGCTTCTTTCATTAACCTGGATCGATTAGACAATATACCTAGACAAATGGATCCACTGAAGGGGATTATTGCGGCATACGTTTCGAGAAATAGCATATAGTCAAGGAATATCTACGATGTGTGAATCAGCAAATGGCCTTTCTCTCGGGGAGGCGACATCAAACGTACCAATACATCGACATTTTTGGTGAGATTGCGCTTGGAATGGGCTTTAACAATCTTCTTGAGACTGGCCCGAGGATAAAGTTTCTGTCCGGTAGCCATGATATTAATGAGTTAGATATATGTATGGTATTCGTACAAGAAGGATTGCGTAGATATTATCTTGTTGCTGAGCTTCGTGATGTTAGGTTAGTAGTTATGCTGTGATGTCTAATTACGTGCTTTACGGTTGCAATGTTTACCTCGCGTGCTGTGATATTTGAGTTTCGCAGCCTTGCCATCTGAAGTCGCTCATTGGTTGAGGTTTCAAGCTTTCACGAAGCTAAATCGGATGAGTTACCCAATTAGGCAAGTGGGTGGTATCGTCCCCTCCCGCACCTGCCAAACTTAGTACTTATGACAAACAGACAGACTACTATTTACTTTATTTACTTTACATTTTCAAACACGGCTTCCTTCGGCTTTCTTCTTCTTCCCATTTCTTTCTACTTGACACCTTCAAATCATTCAAAAATACACTCAAATTACGAATGCCAATTCAATCTTAAACTGGTTTGACAACATTCCGGCACCTATCTTAACATCCAGGAACAGGGTCCACCACAAATCGTCGAATCATTGGTATCATGGCATCTCCAGCATCTGACAGAGATGTGCTTCCCGATTCTGTCAAGCCTTCTCATTATGCACTCTCTGTTTACGACATCGAGCTAGGGGGAGCTTTCAGCTATCAAGGGACAGTCAACATTGACATCAAAATTGTCAAGCCCACTAAGGAAATTACCTTAAATGCTTTGCAACTCAAGATACATGAAGCTGAGGTACTTTTGGCTTCTGGAAAGACCTCGCAGTCTATCAAGTCTAGTGAGATATCTTATGATGGTAAGAAACAGCGTGTAACTTTAAGCTTCCCGGAAGAGTTGTCTATCTCCGAAAATGCCAACCTATCAATCAAATATCAAGGAACAGTCAACAATGATATGGCGGGTTTTTATTATTCAAAATATAAACCTCAAGTCACACCAGCTGCGTCTGTTCCTAAGGTTGATGATTTCCACTGCATGTATAGCACTCAATTCGAGTCATCTGATGCTCGTAGAGCTTTCCCTTGTTTCGATGAGCCTAACTTGAAGGCGACTTTTGACTTCGAGATCGAAATCCCTAAGGATCAAATTGCTTTGAGCAATATGCCTGAGAAAGGCTCGAGGGATTCTAAGGATGGATATCACTTCATCGAATTTGAAAGAACGCCAATCATGAGCACCTATCTTCTCGCCTGGGCAATGGGAGATTTCGAGTACATCGAGGACTTCACAAAACGCAAGTATAATGGGAAGCCAATCCCTGTCCGTGTCTATACTACTAGAGGCTTGAAGAGTCAAGCACAATATGCACTTGATCATGCACCTAAAGTCATTGACTTATTTTCGGAAATTTTCGATATCGACTATCCACTCCCTAAAGCTGATTTACTTGCTGTACATGAATTTGTAAGTCTCCTATTTCGTTGTTGTCAATAAATCCCCTATCTGCGTGGGCTTTACATTGGATATCCAAATATCCTTCTTCTTTAAATCATTCAATTCGTGCGCTCGCCGTGTACATGTAGTGTAGTTGACATTTTCGCTAATCGTCGTTCTAGTCCCATGGAGCGTATGTTGAAGCCAGTTCCCGAACCCCTACAAGGTCATGAGTACGCTAACTAACTTTCTAATCTACTGGATAGTATGGAGAACTGGGGTCTTGTAGGTAGTCCATATCATTGAATGCATTAAATCGCTACTCACTGTTCCAGGTTACCTATCGCACGACAGCTGTATTGTTTGACGAGAAAACTTCCGATACAAAATTTAAAAACAGAATTGCATACGTCGTTGCGCACGAACTCGCCCATCAATGGTTTGGCAACCTAGTCACTATGGACTGGTGGAGTGAGCTTTGGCTTAATGAGGGTTTCGCCACCTGGGTTGGATGGCTGGCGACAGATCATTTTCATCCAGATTGGTGTGTATGGCCGCAGTTCGTGGCTGAGGGTATGCAGACTGCATTCCAGTTGGACTCCTTACGTAGTTCGCATCCTATTGAAGTGCCAGTCAAAGATGCTTTGGACGTTGATCAAATTTTCGATTCTATAAGCTACCTTAAAGGTAGCTCGGTGCTCCGAATGCTGGCCACCCACCTTGGTCAAAAGACTTTCTTGAAGGGAGTTTCAAACTACCTAAAAGCTCATGCTTATGGCAATGCCACAACACAAGATCTGTGGTCAGCTCTGAGCGAAGCTTCGGGTCTAGATGTGAAAGCTATCATCGATCCATGGATCACCAAGATGGGCTACCCTGTTCTTACTGTTACTGAAGAACCTGGACAAATTGGCATTAAGCAAAGTCGTTATCTCTCGACGGGCGATGTGAAACCTGAAGATGACGAAACAACTTGGTGGGTGCCTTTGGATTTCCAAGGAAAAATTGGAGCCCAAGGAGCACAGCAAATCGCTTTTGAACGAAAAGAAGATACAATCAGAGATATTGATGACTCTTTCTACAAGATTAATTCCGAGACTGCAGGATTTTATCGCGTCAATTATCCACCAGCAAGACTTGCCAAGCTTGGATCACAATTGGACCGCCTCAGCTTGACTGATAAAATCGGTAAGTCTAGACTAAGCTTGGGATTTTTAAAAAGTCCAGGTTGCAGTTCAGCACAATAGTGAGGCGCCTCTCGATTCGCTTGGCTTGTTGAACCATTCAATTGTTCAACCTGTGGTATATCGATTCGGCTAGAAGGTTGAATTTTTTAGATGCAAAACCTAGAACCATTCACAATATGGCAAACATCGAAAGCTCTCGAATTTGGACTGCAGCCTGGGCTTTTAGAAATTCTAATCACGCTCTCTTGTCTCAACTTGGTAACTGACTTTAGCCTAGGTCTCATTGCCGATGCGGGTGCACTTGCAATATCGGGACAAGCAGCAACTCCAGCGTTCTTAACTTTGGTGCAAGGTCTATCTGATGAATCTAACTACTTGGTTTGGACAAAGATCTTGGGACCCAGTGGCACTATCAAGTCGGTGTTCTCCGATGATGGCGCTATCTCGGATGGAATGAAGGCATTTTTACTAAAATTAGTCACTCCAGCGGCGGAAAAGATAGGCTGGGAACAACCTGCGGATGAAGATTTCCTTAAGTCACAGCTTCGACCTCTATTAATACTCTCTGCCGGTATCAATGGCCACAAAGAGTAAGTTCAGAAAAGGTATTGCATACATAATTCATGGTTGACAAAATATAGAATTATCACCGAAGCCAAACGTCGCTTCGATCTGTACACAAGCGGCAAGGACAAGTCGGTCATTCATCCAAGTCTAAGAACTGCAATTTTTGGCCTTTCCATTCGATACGGTGGGAAATCTGAATATGATGCTCTGAAGAAAGAGTATCGCGAAACAACTTCCATCGATGGTAAAGAGATTACACTCCGTGCAATGGGACGTGTTCAAAGTCCAGAACTTATCGCCGACTATTTTGAATTTCTCTTCAATGAAGTTGCAACACAAGATGTCCACACAGGCGCAGCCGCTCTTGCGGCAAATACTAAGACACATTACCAGCTTTGGCAATATATTCGAGATAACTTCGATCCAATCAAGGAGAGGTTGTGAGTATCCCAGTTTAGCAATTGAGTAATCTGTTCATTTGAGAATGTCACTAATTCTTTTTGCAGATCTGCTAACATGGTTGTTTTCGATCGATTTATTAAGCTTTCTCTAGCCACCTTTAGTGATGATGATATCAACAAGCAAATTGAAGAGTTCTTCGAGAAAAAAGACAACAGAGGCTATGATCGATCATTGGCTATCATTGCCGATACTATCAGGGGAAGAGCAGCTCTCAAAGCCAGAGATAGGGAGGTTATCCTCGAATGGTTGAAGACCAATAGTTATTGCTGAATTGGGTCGAGCCATGATGTTCGCTTGATATGTCCTTGAGCATCATACCATTTGTTAGAGTCGAGAAATTGTTACTGTCCCACACAATTGCATTTATTTATTATGCGAAATATAGGTCCCTCTTAGTCATTTTTGATTGTAGTTCATAACTTGATAAAATGATGATGATATACCTAATGACCGAAATGCTTTCCACAGAGCATTGTCGTTTCTTGTCAATATGAGAACTGATCCTTCCTTCACCGTAAAATCTGGGTACCCCTTCCTCCCTATTGGCCATACAAAATTATAAGACACTATTACCCCACCCACCACTTATACGCCGCGCAGAGAACCATAAAACCTGCCCGCCCGTCAAAAAAGAAAATCAAGCAAGAGATGAAATTAAAATGTTGAAAAAATTGCGAATGCAAAGGAAAAAGAAAAAGTTCAAAAGACATTTGAATGACCAGACTGGGGCACGATCCCAGGACCTTGTCCGTATTTAACAGGTATTAAGTGTTAAGGACACGTGATAACCAACTACACCATCCGGCCGATGATTGTTGACGCTGGAGTGAAGTATTAGCGTATATATTCAGATTTGAAGAGGGGTTGGTGTATGGTGGTTGGGGCTCTGGATTTTGATGTTCTAGGAAAAAATTATGTACAGGTTTTGATAGTTATGTATTGATATGTTTTATTATTTTCTTAGGGTTTTAATTTTAAATATTCTATATCTATTAAGTCTTTGATATTACAATACAATATCAAAATGCTCGAGTATATTACTCCAGCATAAAGTAGAGGCTTTTTGTTCAGATCTTTTGATTAGTGTTCTTGTTTAGTTTTGTTAGCTCAAGAGTAGACTTACATACCACGCACGTTAACGTACCTATTTCTAATTTGGGTTATTGAATTGGTGCGTATGTATTTATAGGATATATCCAAGATTTTGTCCGGGTTTAAAACTTGTAAGTTCTTACTTTTGTGTTTGATTGTCGAGGTTGTTTGTTTTTTAGTGTTGTGTGTTCTTCTTTTGTGGTTAAGAATATCTACTCCATTTCTCACAAGACAAATATAACAACACTCTCAAGTCCCCAGATAAGGAGCTGATATGAGCTTCAATGGGCTCTCTTCGTCTTTGTCTTTTCTTGCCGGACCTGATCCAAAATCAGAGTCTACCTATGCTCATGTCTTATTTCCTTTGTTGTTATGTTTTCCCTTCTTTCTTCAATGAAGTGAAAGTCACGCGAAGAACTCGTTCCTATGCATTCTTTGAAGATTTCCACTTCATTGTTTGATGCTCAAGCCAGAGAAATATATAAAGTTCTGCAATGATGATAAAAGCGCATAATTGATTCATTATTTTTTACTGTTCTGTACAACCACTCGACAATACAAAAGCTTCAATATGCCTCCAAAACACGCTGAGTGCAAACATGTCAATATATGCGACGACGAGCTCAAATCCGGTGTTACTTCTCTGGAAAACGTACAAGCTGGAGTAGAAGAATTTCATAAGAATGGAATAGTCATTTTTGAAAATGCTATTCCTCACAATATTGTCGAGAAATTCTACGAGAAGATGAATACAGATGGAGGCCAAAGACTGGAAGATCCGAACCTAGTCTTCAACCATGGCATCGAGAAGAACAATTTCTCCTTATGTCCTCCTTTATCCAAGGAATGGCTTACCGAAGATATTTGGGCCAACAAACATGCGGCAGCAGTCATGGAAGCTGTTATCGGAAAACCACAACTTGTACACGCAGGCAGCAACATCACTATTCCAACACAAGAACCGACATCTCGTCAAGCCGTCCATATAGATTCCTATCACAGTCATCACAGATTCCCCACCTGCATAGAGTTATTCATGTACCTCCACGACGTGTCTCCCGAAAATGGCTCTCCCGAAATCTGGCCCGGATCCCATCACGATTGGAATTTCAGAGATCTCGTAAGTCATGGTCGTGGCTGGATCAAATCCTCAGCATTCAACCGACGCGCGGAACATTCTCCTCCCTTCCAACCCACTATCCCCAAAGGTTCAATCGGCATCCGTGATCTCCGACTCTGGCGTTCCGGAATGCCTAATCTCTCTGATCAAAATTGTATCATGCTTGGCTTTACCTACTTCCCCCGCTGGTACCGCAATCCAATGCGCATTACACTTCCCAAAACCTGTCGCTTCCTCATGCAAAAATGGACACAAGTTGATGCGATTGGAGCGACGGAATTCGTGGATGGAGAAATAAATCATCTGGATCCGAATTATGACATGTTGGCTTCGTTGAACTTTACTCAGGATCCGGAGAAGAGTATTAAACAGATTCGGGAGAAGATTGATACTGCGCAGGGAAGAGAATTAAATGCGGAGTTAACTGTGACGGATAGGGATTATTGGGTTCCGGGAAGGAAGAAGTTGATTGAGAGGGTGACGCATGGGGAGGGACAGGCAAACCAGGGTGATAGAGGTAAGGGGAGAAAGAGAGGGAAGGGAAAGGAAATGGGGAAAAGGAATGGAAGGGGACAGAATGATCAAAATCATACGAAAGCGGAGGGGGGTTTCTTGAAGCCGAAGAGTGAGGGTGTTAAGAAGAAGGCTCGGAAACCTAGGAACAAGGGCCCGAAAGGTGAATCGAAGGTTGAATCGAAGGGTGAATGAATGAGATGAGTGGTAACTATGTTTTGGGGGTTTATATATACTGCTTTTTTTTCCTGTGGAGTGTATATATATATATATATATATCTACTACCGAGTAAATCTATCTAAGTTTGCATCGTTCATACGTTTATATCTCAAATACCAAAAGAAGTCACAACTCTCGTCCACCATCCGATCCAGTAATTAATTTTACCTATATAAAACACCTTGACTCTTTTGTGTTAATCTTCAACTATGAATCTAACACCAACGTATATAAATGGTCAAGGATTACAATCTCAATTACTCGAGTATACAGAAACGGAATCCACCATACAGTTTTTATTCGCTGCCTGCAGCAACTTGCAAGAATTTACCAATGTAAAGCTAATTACTCGAGGAATGCTTTTATAAACACCGGGAGTATAAGTATGATTTCCTCAGATATAATTTGGATTTTGAATTCCTGGTTTAGGAATAACATCAATGAATAAAACAGGTATACTTCAACTGCTTTTGAATAACTTAATGAAGTCTTTATATTATGTATACTTCATTATCAGCATCAGTATCAATATTAAACATTGATTCCTTCTTTACATAACCGAACCCCATACTTTTCTGGAATGGTGGGATTACTAGCGATATTAATATCTATGTATTGCTAATATAAATCTTAAATAATTCAAAAGGACAACCATCTACCTTTACAGCGCAATGTATAATGCTGGGGAGACATCAACTATAAACAGCCACAGTGACTTAAACCCACTATCCCATTCTCAAATCAAAATCAGATACAATAAAAGTCCTGAACAACCCCGTCCCCTAAAATCTCAAATAGGAGAAATCAAGTTTGGCGGTCCGGGCAAAGGATCCCTCGAGTAAGGCGGCGCAAGCCCCACCATATCCAGAGCCCTAGCATATAGACTCCTCCTACTACTATTCGACCTCCTTCTCCTCGATGGCCCCTCCAAAAACGTTTTCATGATACTCCCACTCATAACAGCAGCCATTATAGTAAATACCCACGTCATCCATTGAAGCGCTAACATCACCTTTCCAGGCTCAACATCCATCCCTGAGTTTCCTTCTGTCGAAAATTTAGAGTGTACGGCTAGCGCGGCACCGGTAGATGTAAGAGTATAAGCTGCAGCAAAAGCCGCGGCGGCCGAAGACCAGAATAGGAATTTTATAGAAGAGATGTGGATGTGGGAGTTGGTTCCGTTGTGTTTGGTGATTCCGCGGGCGGTAATGAGGGAGATGAGGGCGAAGAGGAAGAGGAGCGCTGACATGGCGGGGATGACGAAGGAAATGCTTTTTTGAAGATCTATAGCGTATTGGAGGGTTGAGTGGGGGCTGGTGAGATTGTAGATTGTGGATAGGAGAAGAGGGGATTTCCCGATGCTGGGTCCGCAGGTATGTCCACCTGAAGATGGCGCGCAAATGGCTGAGTGCGTTAGCAGGAGAAGATGGGAAGTATAAACCGGGAGCCAAGCAAAAATAAAATGTTGGCTTACAGGTGTAGGAGAATCTGATTCCGGTTCCGGAGAGTGAGGAAACGTATATATTATCCATGCCAGGTGAGTCGGTGCCACATCCAATTAGCAGTAAAACTGACGCAATATGTTAAATCCTTGCTTTTGTTGCGCGTGGTAGACGTACTATGAAAAAGTAAAATGGGAATTGCCAAAGCATATAACGAAAATGTAATGATCGCTACCTTGAATCTTCCTAAGGTTGGTTGTTAGCATTTACTTCCGGATTAACACTAAGTGAACTTACCCCAACCATCAAGACGCGGTCTTCTTTCTCTGGAGGGCATTGTATTATTGGAATGAGTTGCTGAGTGCGATGACAGAATCTGACTCAAATTCATAACAAAAGAGGCTATTTTGGGAAACTCCTTCCTTCCTTCATCAATCCTGGAAGTTGATTGTTCAAGTTGATACAGAAACGGACAACCACTATATAGAGAAAGTTTACAATTAGAGCTAATTGTACCATGAACCAATATGCCCATGGAATATAATATTTTGTCATGTGGCGGCGAAGAGACAAGGCAGTGGCCAACATGACCGATAAGGTACATGGAAATCATTGCTGCCCAATATAGGTCCAAAGATAGGCCTAGAGACGGTAAAAGCTTAGCACTTTCACTCATAGTTATGCAATGAAGATAGACACCTGAAAGAACTACTAGAATAGAAATTTACATTATATCAATGGCAAAACTGGGGAAAGAGACTTCTTTTGCTAGATAGGGCCAGCTTTGGGCCGTATGTGGGTATTCTTCGCCATATTCGGTGAGACCTTTCAGAAGACCAAAGACTTCAAAGACTTCAGAGGCAAAGAAAGCAAAAGCACTATCTGCATTGTCCTATGACCCAGAAAAACTCAAGATTTGGGGGCAATGGAGAAACAATGCTTGTAGAAGGGTATTTTCAAATGTTTTCGAGATCTTGAGATTTTTTCGAGGGGCGTTTTCATCCCAAAACCTAATGATTCAATCGTAGATTTGACACAGGTCGCGGCCTTGAGGAATGATTTCGAATACTCACATGACGGGTTTACCTGAATCCATCAAGTTTTTGCTCCTAATAGATTCGCCCCAGACTTCAGAGGCAATTGCATCGAGCATACGCACTCACTCGCCTGGGGCAAGTTTGCCTTTTTTTCTACAAACACAGTGGATGGTACGTACACGACAGAACGGAGCACTAGCATCATAGAGTAGAAATTAGATATTTTTAGCTTCGTAAAGTACCAAACAGGACTTTCACTGTCCACCGTGGCTTGTGTCAAATGTCACGATGATAATAATATCGTTTCATTGAACTAAAAGAAAAGAGTTCTAGACTCCGCCACACTGCAACCTTGCCACTTCTTGCACACTAGTATCCGTATTTCAATTGCCTTAGCCAATGGTGGACATTGAATGCGATTCCTTTGACCTTTTGATTTAGGGAAATATCAACATTTCGATATAATCAGCCTTCGTGGGCGCAAAGAGACACCGACATAACATTGCCTGCTTTAATGCGCTCTGTTGGTTGCCACGCTATCATTTTGTGCCATATTTTGCGGTTCTCGACCAGAAAGTAAGATATAAAACACGATGTGATGTGAGACCGGGATCGGAGGAGTGTTCTCCCACTATTTTTCCATTAACCCTACCTAGCTATAGGTACCTAAATTTCTATCTCTCGGTCATTATTGATAAGTTAATATGCGCTGCAAGAATACAGTTCTTGGTAGCCATACAGAGTAAAATTTATGCTGGAAAGAATCGATGTGAAATTTACGCTTCAATGGTGTTTAGCCGTCTTGTCCAAGTCTTTGTGGTGGGAAGGGCAATCGGCAGACTTTTCACTTTCTCTTCTTTCCCCAACTTTCATGATAGTTTCCAGGTTGACTGCAAAAATGCGGCTATATATAGCGGTAGTGCATGCAAAAGTTGTAGTCACGATAGCCTATATGAGCAGGTGCAACTGAGGAGGAAAATCCACTGCGAAGCCGTGTGTACATGATCTTTTCCATCCTTTGCCCCGCTCCCAATTACTCATAGAGACAATGAAGAAATACCCCAAATACTACAGGCATTCGCCCAAAAACTTTCAAATTGCTCCTCACGTTCCAGATCATCACAACAGATCATCACAGAGCGCCAACAAACTAGGCACCCAGGCATTTCCGAAAGTCTATTGATAAATTACGAAAAATCATGAATATTGATAATGGTACATAGTAATTTACACCCATTATGATATTTCACAGCCATATACTGAAATTCTTGATCTACTCCTTTTGGATAAAGATTTGATTTAATTACTCAGTTTCTGTTTTCTTACTTTCCAGCCAACATTAACTTCACATATGCAATACCCTCCCCTATGTAATACTCGCTTATATTGTGTAAGCACACAAGACTTTCTTTAGCTGCCCCTTGATTCACCCCGCATGAACTCAATACACACTCTAGTGAAGGTCTAGAAATTCCCCAAGAAGATTGAACTTTGACCAATAATGTAGTATCTCCCGAGCTGGAAAAGCATGTATGTCACAAGTTATATGATTCGTTGCATTTTCTTTTTGAGGGTTCATCTTTGTTACACCTTTAGAAAATATTCATCAGGAAATAAGCGAAAGAGCTCCAGTTATTTCCTATGGCTAGCATATTGGAATACCATGGAGGAGAGTTCATCCCAGAAAATTATCATGGGTCTCCGAGAACAAAGTTCCAAGTGGAGATAGGCAAAACCAGCGCCACAGTTTTGGAGATGTTTCCATCTTTGCCTGCAGAGACACTACCCGTAACTTCCCTAATAAGCTCTCTCCTTCGTTCACCATAAGAGCAGGAATTCCTAAACTGTCACTACAACTTCACTAGACACTTTTTTTTCTCAAGACAGATTTGGTTGGGACATACAGATGAATCACTCGGCTATTTGACTTTTATTTTGATGTCCTTCCGAAGGAGAACATGAATATCTTTGCATCTGGATGGATTAATGAGCTCAAGACAGATACACTAAAATCGCTAGCAATGCAGATAAAGGGAAGGAAAGGAGAGGAGTTGAGATGATGAAGAAGCCAATTCCGGGTGGGAAATAATGACCATATATCTGAAAGATCGTTTAAAAGACGTAAGGGTTCTTAAATGTGTAATGAGAAGATTTGCTTACTGTAAAAGGTGAGTAATGAATAAACAGAAGTAAGAGTGCCAGGTAGGATAGAATATTTGCATTTTCAGCAATTTCTTCGCACATTACTTTTCTTTGCTCAACTAGCATATAGATGTCCTTTCTGCGAGGAGTGAGGTTCGATCCATTGGTGTAGGATATCTTGTAATGAAAAGTAGTAGTCTATAGTAATCTTACCACAATTAAGAGCATTTCATGTTCAAAGCATAGTAATATTAGATCTTCTACGCGAATTTTAATGGGTGCGACTACATTGGTCCTTGGTGCTCCAAATTCATTCAGATTTGCGCGACAAGTACAATATTCCAACGTTAACTTCATTTTGATTTTTCCCCCGTCCACTCTTCCACTTGAGAGAAATACACCAGCAGACTTCAGTATATTAAACAAATCTGTTATTGCCCAATCCAATCCCTTCTCACCATTCGATCCCATTCAAACCATGTAATCCACAAATACCTATTCACCCCCAAGCCAAATATAACTGCCACCTAACCAACCCAACCAATCTATCCCTAAAACGAACCCTTGACAAACCGCCCCCGAAACCCCCTCATTCCCTATCCGTATCCGTATCCCTATCCGGCACAAACAAATCCACAAACTCACAAACCGGCATACCAAAAAACTCCATACTCTTTGAAATTTCCAAAATCCTCTCAATTCTCCCCTCACTTAATTTCCGCGCAAAATTCCTCCTCGCTTTCTGCTCCACCAATGCCAGACTTTCTCTTCTCCTCGCGTGGCCTTGCGGGAAATGTATCACGATTTCTTCTAATTCCGTGTCGTCGTTTAGAGTAACTTTAATTGCGTTGGCGAGACTGCGTAAGTCCTGATTATGGAAATCTTGTGTAAATTCTGCATCTTCTTTGATGGAGACTTTATCTCTCAGTTCTTCTACGCGGGGATCTTTGGACCAGGAACTGGTGTTTTGGTAATCTTCTGCTTCTGGTAATGCGTTTTTGAGAAGAGTGATGGCGATCATGTAGCCGAGGCTGTGGTCGCGGTCGGAGGGTGTGTGAAGCGCTCCTTGTTTGTTCATTATTACCATTGCTGCTTCCTGCGTGCGCACTTGGATACTTTTGATATCGGTTGTGGATAATTTCTTTTCTTTTAGTTCGGTGCATACCCATAGTGCGGCCTCGAGTGCAGTCATGCCGTGGCTTTCTGCAGTGTACACTTTGAAAAATACATTTTCGATCACGGAGGTGCCGAATGGTCGCGGGAGCTCAAATGTGTTACCTCTGAATAGCACATCGTAGAAACCCGATCGTGGAGCACTCAATGCGGTTTTAACACCGGGTTGTCCCGTCTTCGCCATGAGTGCGAGCTGTACCGCTCGCATACATGCATCGCCCGCTGCCCAGTTTTTTCTAGGTCCAACATTGGGTGCTTGACGATATGCACGGAGAGGGTTACCATCGATCCAAGCGTGGGAGACGGCGGCTTTAGCTTGTGCTTTTGGAAGTTTCATCAGCCAGGATACGACGGCTGTGGAAGCTACTTTGACGAGTATGATGTCGTCAAGACCAGCTTTGTTGAAGGCATTTTTGCCTTGGAAACAGCCTTGAATTTCGTAGGCTTTGATGAGAGCGATGAGGACATGGCGCATGGTTAGAATGGAGTCTTGGTCGTCTTTTGACGTGGCTACACGACTGAGAACATCGGCTGTTGACAGAATGGCTCCGAGGTTATCTCAAAGAAGGTCAGAAAATTATTCGATGCATAATAAAAGAGGTTGGCATCATACCAGATGGATGAGTCCATTCTGCCCCTAAATAGGCATCATTATGATTAAGATATCTAATCATAGCACCCATATCGAAAGCCCCCTTCACCATATCAAGCTGATAATTTGTTCCAGGCAACTTAAAACCATTGGGAATAGTATCCGGAGAAGGGAAAGTAGGTCCCACAAGTTGAGAGAGTTCGGAACTTGTGGTGATGCTTTCGAGACCCGCTCCGATAGCATCGAGTAAAGCTGAAGTCGCACGCGTCCATGCTAGAGGAGAGGTAATCTCATAGTCGTATGTGTAGTCGATGATCCTGGTTATTTCTTCATCGTAGCATGTCATGCCGTTTCTGTCTACTTTCACATCCCGCATCCTGCGAGGAATGGAAGCCGTAGAGGCAGATATTGGAATCTCTATCATCTTCATGGTGAACGTGTTGAATAGGGTGACGAGAACGAAAAATAGGATTAATGGTAATAAATCAAGAATGAAAATGAGAACAAAAATTAAGAAAAGTTAAGAGGTGGTGAGACTCCATATATCTTTGCATTCGGAGGCACTTGTCTCCCAATCCAGATTCCAACATACCAAAAGAAATTGATCTACATGAATACTTGGCCCAATAGTATTTTAATCGTCAGAATCAACGAGGCAACAAAGCGTTTGCACGAGGGGTAGACAGCCATCCAAGTAGTTGCAGGGCGTACAAGCTGGTGCTCGTAAGATTTAGCGCGCAGAGTGTTGTCAAACAAGAACCTCCTAGATAGAGTAAGCTTCCTCTCCTTATTTTCGGTTCTTCACCAAACCTCTTCGTCCACTGCATCGCATATAGCTTGACACAAAACCAGGCGGAATTTCACAAACGTAGCCCTGGGATAAATCGAGGATATCGTTTGGTAGACGTGTATCCTTCGAATTTGAACATGCAGATTTCCCCACTACGTTCGTTGGAGCCACAGCAGCTAGTGATTATCCCTGCCAAGATGCATTGACGTGCGGCCACGCATGTTGATTGAAAATTGATGACACGATTTGACCACGATAGATGATGTGAATTGTCTTTCCGGATTTGAATGATGTTGTTTATATGTAATCAGATAGCTCTGCTTGTAGATCTCACCGAGCCAAACTGGATAGATAATGCTTGTCCTTCGTAACACGAGTTGGGTTGAGATTCGGAGCCATTATCCTGATTGCTTTCAGGTTCGCATCAGCCATCGATTATATCAATTGTTGTATGGTAAAAGAAATCATTGGTCAGTACTTCAGAGCAACACACCAACCAATCAATGCACTTCAACTCATAAGAATGATTGATCTTCAATATCGCAATGGGAAGCCAAAAAAAAATAAAAAATAACATACAACAGCAGGGATTCGCTGGTGGTCACCCACCCAACTACTAATCTGCCGATCTAAGGCTTGTGTATGGCAGAGCGGACGGGATGCCCAATTCTCCTTAGTCTATGGTCGTATGTGCTATGAATCGATTTATATAGGTTATTATTGATTAGATTACATGTTTGTCGACTTCGAAATTCAGCGGAGCTAAGATCAAGCAGCATAAGAGTCAAGATAGATAGGAAAATCTTCTTATTAATCTAAAAATTCAAAATATTTAATACAGAAGACAAATAAATCATATTTTATTACATATGAAAATACAAAGAATTCAGAGTCCCATCTTAATGTAGAGATCACGGGATTAATATTATAAATATATTTAAAATCATAATATTAACTCAAAGCTTTCGTCGGAAAGATTTTCTTCAGAAACGAATCATGTATCAAAAGTAACTAGCAGCGGCTTTATTAAAAAGACCAGTGTTGACTTTTTGAGGCCAGGTTGTATATATATTAAGAACGGAATATTCTCGACAGGTATTACACCTTTATTACTAGCAGCAACAATTTGTCAATTTAAGACCATACACTCTGATATGTTACATCTGATACTACTTTTATTTCCATCGAGATATTCCTGTAATGTTAACGACAATATCTAACACCTCCCAACAAACTATTTACTTTCCCTAGCTATAGATAGCTGGCGACTGCCAAAGCTCTTCTGGCTGCTATTACCAAATTTCATCCGTTTCAGAATAGTTACAAGAAATATGAGATTGTACTCTTGATACTTCCATCCTCCCAAGTTCATTTCGAGATCTCATAGATAGGGAATTCGAAGCTTTTTGTACTCAAGGAGCCTATAAATATTCAAGGTTTTATTTTTCTTTCGCTGTGCGGAGACTTTTCCATTTTCGACACCATAAGCCATTGGTCTCATGTACTTGAGGTCATCAAGAAGCTATGAAATTTTATAATTGGTCTGTATAATGGACCGACGAAGCTTGTCTAGCCACGCCTCCGAATGAGAATCGTATGGCGGTTGACATGAATACTCTCGGCAGTGTCATGATTAAATATCAACGACATCAAACAACATATACACTGGCACATCATCTCGCCTTCCTTGAGCCAGGTGAATGTGCAACTAAACACTGATTCTCTACCGTTTTAAACTTCTGACAGAGAAAAGGTTGAAATATCTACGCTAAAGATCGCCAGTTTTCGTGCGCTTGCATCGAAAGCTCCTTCAGTACATAAAATAATGTGATGGATTCAAGCCGCTGGCAATTCAACGCACCCTCTTTCTATGGCAAGATTCAAACCGGGAATAGATGTCAGATGATTCCATGGAGAGATCGAAGAATTTGAACGACGGAGTAAAGTTTCCTGGCTTCCCCTTATTCATACAGAAGTCAGCTGGTGTTCAAGGCTTTCTAAACAGTGACTCCTCATTTCACAAGCTACTTACAGACTTTGAGCAGTGACTAGCCAAGTGATTGTGGCCTAAATATACTAAAAGCTTTGGGATCATATCAGATATGAATGGCCTGTGCCCTTGATACATTCACCGCTATTATGTGAGTATTTTCGTAGCTACGAATTGTTGATCCTAAGCCTTCAGCAAACCATGTGTATAATTAACAGGACGCAGTGACGATCCGCCCTTGCATACTGTAGCATGTCATGCTCTTCACCCCGCATTTAGCACGATGTCAAGATCGAACGATTGACTTGCAGAGCCAAGAAAATAGAAGAGCCTTCTTACATCCAATAATTATTGTGATTGATTGTGTGTTATCATTGTGTAGTCGGCTTTCATGGCTCGGTTTTTCTTGCCCAAATACGAGCAACTCCGCATTTTGAGGCTGTAATAATCTTTCACAAATAACTAAGACACTTATCAAATTTGCCCGTTTTCATTTCAAACTTGCATAAGGTTACACAACATCCATATGTTGGTGCCTAGAAAAGATACCTACCTGCAGCCCCTTTTGCCAATTAAGGCTAAGCCAGGACAGATCCTACATATTTTTCAAGGCAGCTTCGACGTCAACTTCATGAAAATAACAAGCTCATTCAGCTTTTAGTTATTACCACTTAGCACATATATTTGTTGGGCTTGAATCAGCTGGAACATTTCCGATAATGTGAGGAGTGATCAAGCCGCTTTCTTGCGGAATTTGTGCTAACATAGACATTTTCGGCCCACACAATTTTATAGCAGAAGCTAATACCTTGCGCACCCGATATTGGTCGTGGATGAAACAGGCATAGAATACCAAATACCGTAATTCAAGGCTGAGGTTGAAAGAACTGTAGTGTCTAGATATCTGAACTGTTGCATGAAGCCAGCACTTCTCGTCACTGAGTATCCTTGGTCCTTGAGCTACAATATCAAGAGGCCAAGACGGCTTGATAGACATGTTTCGTCATGGAAAGGGAGCTAATTGCGGGCCCTAATTTCAAAAGCACCAAAAAACAAAAGATTTTCATTACCAAATTGTTTTGTCATCGAAGCTCCGTAAATTTGACCAGCAGGCTCAGCTGATATAACCCCAGCTTATCATAACAGTGGGTACGCGGCTGGAATTGCCATTGACAGGTGAATCATCCCCTTTCATAGATATATGCTGTAAAGTTTGGCTTTCAAGCGCTGGTCACAATGATCCGTGGAAATTATCTCCTCGGAGTGTTTGGCACTGCTGAGTGAAGTCAAAATATCTATATAAGCATCCCTTTTCCGCAATAAAGCATAGTGCCTCATAAATCTAGCAACAGCTAGCAGAATCATTTGAAACTTCTTGAACATCAAACTTCGTCATGCAATTCAAGCTTGCACCACTCCTTCTTCTTCTACCGCTGTCTCTTGCTCTGCCTGAGCCGATTGCCGAGCCGGTTGCTGTCTCTGGCTTCAAAGAAGTCGAGGCAGAACTTACACCTCGTGATGGGCCTGATACTCTTATAGCACGTGCTTGCTCTTACACCACTGGATGCGTATCCCAAAGTGGAGCTAGTGCTGGAAAGTATTGCGGTTTCTGTAAGCAAGTTCGCGGAACTTATCATGTCGGAGATATCTATCAGTGAGTACCTCTTCTGTCTATCTTTTCTTTAGGTTTGGGACTATCCGTTAAATTCTCCCGTTGTGACACCAAGGACATCCTGAGTTGAACAGTCGCTAACTTCAGAGTCTAGGGTTAATGGTGGCTCTGGGTCCTCGAGCTGCTGTAGCTATGGAGCAAGCTCAGTCTGCGCTGCACGCTGGCCAGCTGTCAGCCCAAAGTAATTAACTCCCAATTATTTGTATGGTTCACTCGTGACTAACGTTTGTGATATCAGCGTACTTGTCAACTGCGCCAATAATGGCAGAGGATACTAGCTGGATGAATACTGGAGGCTTGCGTGAGAGTCTCACTCATTTTTATCTCAAATGCGTGATATGGGCTGCAGATCATGTTACTATATTCGCTGTCTTTCCTTGTGAGATTCAAGAGTAGAATTTCAAACTGATGTATTCCTTCGTTTTATGCAACGAACTTTTTTTTATATTAAGCAGCCATAACAATAAAAACAGTTGGGTACCCAAAAGGAATCATCATCATCAAGAAATACTATCGGCCGTGTGTATGGACTTGGATAGAACCATATCATTCCCCTGCTCATTTCTCCAGGACCTCAACAAAACTTTGTCGATATTAGAGAAGATTTCTTGAATGTGAAAGGAAAATTTGGATTTCTTCTCGATCATCTAGAGAAGCTTGTTCAAGTGCAGAGTTTGGCATGGCAGAATTCCGTGACAAGGTTTTGACGCCGGTCGCTGAAGTATACTATCGGAGGAGTTAATGAGAGCGTGGGACAAAAAGAATGCTTTGCGCCAGAAATTTGGGAAGTTGTGCCAGGAAGTCTGAGCAAGAAGGCAAGACGTAATTTTTTTTCGAGAAATTTATGTATGCATTCACCCTTCAGCAAAACATACACGACGAGTTAAGTCTAATGACACACACATCAATAGGATACTAGCGTCATTGCTCGAAAATACTGCATATTTTTGGCTTGGTAATATACTCCAAATGTGTTGAGTTGTCAAACTTCCGTACACTCAATGATTTAGATAATGAATAATCATGATCAATCATCTTACTTTTAGTTTGATTCAGTAAACGAAATAAAAGGGGAAGAGTGTGTAAAGTGGGCCTTTATTGGCCATCGACATCAGAAGTGGGTCTTCAGCCTTGCATAAGAAGGCTGCCGAGTTCGGCTTCAAAATATATTTCTAGCCCCGCCGCCATTCATGACTCTTTACAATTGAGCGACAACCACAACCTACAATGCCTTCTCGTCCAGATTCCCCGTTCAACTTGCAGACATGCGCTCGTCCAAATATCCTCTCATTACAACCTTATCGTTGTGCTCGAGAGTAAGCATTCTATATTCTTATTCCTCATGTCTGTTCACTGACTCACATCTTTCTATTCAGTGATTATAAAGATGATGGAACTAATATTCTCCTTGACGCCAATGAGAATGCCTACGGTCCATCTCTTCCCGGCAGCACCACTTCAAACTCCTCACTCAATTTCCTTGGCTTAAACCGCTACCCTGACCCTCACCAACACCCTCTCAAATCCCTCCTGTGTACCCTGCGCAACACCCACCACCACACCGAGCTCCCTCTCCACCCTCTCAATCTGTTTCTTGGCGTCGGTTCCGATGAAGCAATTGATGCTCTTCTCCGCTGCTTCTGCACACCCTCAATCGACTCAATCCTCGTCTGCCCACCAACTTATGGCATGTACAGTGTATCTGCACAAGTCAACGATGTAGCACTCGTCAAAATACCTTTATTACCAGCACCAGAGTTTGGTCTGAATGTCCCAGCTATTCTCGACACTCTTTCCAAACCACAACCAAAGCCTATCAAACTTATCTACATTTGCTCCCCAGGAAACCCTACTGGATCTTTGATCCCAAAAGAACAAATCGAACAAATACTCTTGCATAAGACGTGGAATGGTATTGTGGTGGTAGATGAAGCATACATAGATTTCTCACCTGACGGATCGTCACTAGCGGAATGGGTGAATGAATGGCCAAATTTGGTGGTTTTGCAGACATTGAGTAAAGCATTTGGGTTGGCTGGTATAAGGCTTGGCGCTGCGTTTGCAAGTGTTGAGGTTGCAGCATTGCTGAATAATCTTAAGGCGCCATACAATATTAGTTCTCCTACAGAGGCACTTGCTTCCCAGGCCTTGAAGGAAGGTGGATTATCAGTTATGAGGACGCACAAGGAGAAAATTGTGGGACAGAGAGAAATATTACTAAAGGAATTGCCCAAGGTTAAGGGCGTGGGGAGATTCAGGGGCGGCACAGCCAGTAATTTCTTGCTCGTGGAGATTTTGAACCAGAGTGGAGAGCCTGACAACGAGGTTGCGAGAAAAGTGTATGAGACTTTAGCGGAGAACAGAGGAGTCGTGGTTAGATTTAGAGGCAAGGAACATGGCTGTCTGGGCTGTTTGAGGATAACAGTTGGAACAGAGGATGAGGTAACGAGATTCCTTGAGCAAGTTGGTGGGGTTATAGAGCAGGTTTGGAAGGGCGAGGGTGAGAATGTAGAAAGTGTCGAGGAGGAGCAGAGGAAGGAAGCGGAAGCGAATAATATCTTGGCATAGAGAAAAAGAAATAGACATGTAGATACGTCTTAGATACCATACCCTGTTTAAAGATTTCGAAATCACCCATATTTGAGACTTGCAAAAATAACGAACCTTATAACGGGTGCCTTATCCACAACCCAAGCCCCTGGAATTTTACAGCTATATTTTCCTTCGTCTTACAAGACAGATGTTGTTGTGGACAAATACCTATCACAGTATCCTCAAAATCTCTCGAAATATAAAACCAATCAAGAATAAACAGTAATGCATCCCCATCCCCATCTCCATCTCCATCTCAATATATCCTCAAATAGAAACCCAAACAGAAACCCAGATATCTCTACCACAACCACAACTCAGCGCAGCTACTGCAATCGTACAATCCAATACATTCCACATACTACCTACCTACACACTACTTTCCTTTTCATTTCTTCAGTGTAATAAGTAAGATCTTGAAATAATAGATTAAATTTGATACCTAGATAACCTTATTTGATAATTGAAAACGTTGATTGATATATATATATTTTGAAGATTAAAGTAATAGTTAATTATTTAAATCATTAAGATATCTTATAGATTAAAAGATTGAAATAAATAAATATATATCTGGTAGTATAATCGAGTTGTGTTATATATTATCCTTTTTTAAAAAGAAAATTAATAATCTCATATTGATAGTCTTAGCTCTTATAATTTGAATATTAAACATATATATATATATAACTGATCGAGTCTCTAAGATTATATAACTAGAGTAGAGATTTTAATTTTTAATGTTCTTTTTTCTTCTTTTCTTTCTTTAGACTAGTCTAGCGATGCTAACAAAATACAGATCTTGGTACGGCTATAATATGTTTACCTCTGTATGGCTTTCTTTGTAGACATGAAAATATGGAAACGATTTCTCTTAACTGATGTACGTTTCTAGTATATAGTAAGAACCTCAACATATTTCCGTTCCTCTACGCAGCGGGATTGAAACGAAAGGGTATATAATTATATTTAATCTTATGAAACAATTTTCTATCGTCTTATGTCTCATCATCAGACTCAACTTATCTCTCTATAAAATGAAGCAGAGATAACAAGCAAATAAAAGAACAAAAGTGACCACCAAACTGCCGGAGTATGTATTCCTGGTATACACGTCAGGATACTGTGGCATATCCCTTTCTATATCCAACCTTTGATACCTTGACATTTGCAAGAATCTTGTAGTAAACGGCAACCTTACAACAAAGGTCGGCTTAACAAATATTCGATGCCAAGCCATTTCTCGTGGTTGACTCCATATTTTCCATCACAGTACTCTTCAACGAAGGCCTGATAGAGCCTTTCGTCTGCGATTAAGTCATTTAATTCATCTTTAGCAAGACGCCATTCTTCCTCTGGCAAATCATCGTCGATGACTTCAGACATGCCATTTTCTTCAGCAACTAGACCTGCAACCTTGACTGGCTCTGGGTGGTATTCCTCGCATGGGTGATTTGGACAACCTACGCCCGGTAGTAAAGAGAACCCGTTACAAGCACAACGCTGATATTGACTCATGTGTGATAGATGGTGATTTCGACCAACTCCTACAACAGAAACAGCAGGGACTCTCCAAGGAGAAGTCAGATTCCGCTTGAGATCTTTAAAGCCTACGACAATCGTGGATACCTGGCAAAAGGCACAGAAAGCCGGATGAGTGTGGCAGTGTCTAGGAATTTTGTGAAAGGTAATTTCGCCTTCCTGGTATGGATCGATATCTTCGACAACCACGTAGAGTCTCTTTAATGAATGAAACCTAGAAAGTATAGGCAATACGGAGAACGAAAAGTATTCCACATCAGCCCCCGGTGGCGATGATTTAGGAACATTGAAATAAACGGAGTTCACCGCAACTCTCTTTATAGACCTCAATTCATGTCTTCCCAGTCCCTTTTTACCAATCGGACCAATATTCACGTGCTCAAACCAGCCATTCTTCTCATATTTATAGCCGGTGAGCCAGTTAGCAAAGTAGATGACATCTTTATCAAATCTGATGTAGATATTTGCAGGGTTTAATTGCGTTGGGAAGCACAAATTGTAAAACTTTTGCGCAACATATCTAGCTTCTCTGGTCTAAGTAGTGAAATTGTCAGCAAATTTATTAATGTGATAAAGCCGCGTGGAAAGAGCCTCTCGATGAAAATGCGGTTGCGGAGCAGATGGGGCAGCGTTAGATTATTCTTACTGTATGTAAAAGAAAAGGTACCTTGGAATGGAATGACAAGTACTTGTCCTGGTCCTTGTCATAAACGATATCAATAATACGCGCTTTAGGTAAGCTGAGCTTCCAGATCATGTTACGTAGCTCAGAACATAACTGCTTGAACCTCACAAAAGTCACGGCATTTTTTTTGGAAGTCCACATTGACTTGATCCGTAGCGAGAGAGCCAAGTTCCGGACCATGTACACTCTAGGGAATGCATTAGCAATGGAGACTGAAGCAGGAAATAAGCTTGGAAAGGATGGAAGCAGAAATCTTTGAGTAATTGACACTACGATCTTGCTTACCTTTGGGACAGGTGGCTCCAATGAAGCGGCCATAAAGGCACCCGACATATTGCCCTCTTGAGAAGGTAAAGAAAACTTGGGATTTGGTAAATTAGAGATTGCCCGCTGTTGCAATTGATTGTAGCTGATCTGGATTCAAGCCACGAACTTGACGCAACTGCACAGCTCCCCAGCAAGAAGGGGGACTATGTCACTAAGATAAGGGCCAAGAGCGACCGGAGAAGAGGAAGGGAGTTTTCGTAAAATTGGTGATCCAGAAATGGAATTCAATCAGGATATGCTGCTGCCAGATGTAATATCCCTTTTATGATTAAGGCTATACCTTTGAATTTTTAGAGAAATAGCAGGATGAGACTTAGTGATAGTACCTACTGAGAGATAGCTGACAATAACAGGAGCAGGATCAGTATCAGATGAGGTGGTCTCGATCCTATATTTAGAATGGTAGACAGAAGTCTTCCCAGGCTAAACAGAAAGTGATGATATGATTCGAATGGTGAAGTCGGTTGAGCATCTTCAGGACTTCGTTGCTATGTAGAATGGAAGGATGTAGATTAATTGCTTCTTTATACTTTTGACGTAATATGCCCCAATTTCTCGTTGTTGGTCTTAGAGACTCTAATTGAAGTGAAGTGAAGTGAAGTGAAGTGAAGTGAAGTGACTCGAGAGGGAAGGTGCATTCATTAATGGTCCGTGCGGTTGCTGCTGTAGGAAAGCAACGATAACAAACGACAACTTCCTTTTTTCCTTTTTCGTGAAGAACTTCAACTTTAATCAAACACTTTTCTTCTTGTATTCTTACTATCAATTTCATTATCTTGAAATGCTTTCCGGAAAAGAAAGTCGACCAAAAAGTGCCTGGGAGGAGCGAGCTCTGTTAGAGCTCCTCTTCAGAGCTCCAAAATCAATAACTGATGATGATTTACTGAGTATTTCCTTGAGCAACTTGGCCAAGAATCTGAACGATAAATTACCAGCTTCAGTGATAATGAATACATACCTTCGATGGCTCGAAGCGCATCGCAAAAGCCCATCACATTTATTTAAAGCTTGGCCAAATACTACCAAGCACTGGGTGGAATCTCTGAAAACCCGTGGTTTCGACAAGAGGGATGTCTTATCACACGTGGGAGATTTGAGGAAAGTCCATGGTCCATTCAGCAATCAGTCGAAAGGATGGGCCGCGGAAAAGTATCCTCCTTCCGTTGAGGAAATTGAAAGAGTTTTTGATGAAAAGCACAATGCGAAAAAAGATAAATCTTTAGGCAAAGTGGATTCTGGTGGAGGTGTGTATCGATCGGATAAATCTTCAAGTAAACCTGGTGGTAGTTTTACTGATCACGTTCCACCGAACTATATCTGCAATAGATGTGGGAAGCATGGTACGAGCTCACGTTCAGTACACCTTCATGACGATATGCTTCATCTCTACCCCCAAGATGGCATGACAAAGCAACCAATGATCACTAACACTGAACAGGCCACTTGGTCAAACAATGTCCAACGAACATGGTAGATATTCATGATCAAACCACAATGCAGAGAGAAGATTGCTGACAGAGTTGCAGGATCCTGCCTTTGACAAACAACCACCAGAAACTTACCAATGCTTAATATGCAATAAATTTGGAGAGCATTGGTACTCCTTGTGCCCGAGGAACACAAAAGAAGACTCCATCACCCAAAAACGTTTGGCTGCCGGAATAGATGTTACAACTCGACATAGAAGCTTCGACGAGAGAAATTATCACAAGGCAGACTTGGACGAAACATCGAGGCTCCACGATATCAATCACAAAGGTCGGGACCGAGATTCGAGGGATTGCCGTGGTGGGGAATGGGAGGCGTCGGAAAGAGCAGGATCTGCTAAACAGAAACAGGCGATAGCTTTGGACCACGACGCCAGTGAAGAGTCGGAATTGCCAACTCGTAACAATAAGCTCGAACTTCTTGCCGATATCGAAGAACGCATACAGAAGGCTTCAGTTGCCATGGCACAAGAGACAGGGATGTCAGTTGAAGGTGTGGCAGAAATGACCGGCGTGACCATATCAAATATGGCGGCTACCATTATGGCAGCTACTCGTAAACGTGCTCGCTCCATAGAGTTTGATGATGTTGGTTGTGAGGAGTATCAACGAACAACTAGACAAAAATTTGAAAATGATGACAACGACGAGCTGATGCATGGAGCTGATGATGAGAGATTTTTGCACTCGGATGATGGAAGACATGATGCAGAATCAGGTGGGATTTTCAAAGAAACAGACCCTTTTACCGAAGAATTTGAGTTACGCCAGGTCTTGCCATCCCAAAGCTTGATGGACCAAACTGTGTGGTCTTCGAAACTTTCACAATTCGGTTTGACCATGTGCCCACGAGAAATGTCACCTATGGATACTTCTAGCGAAGATAATATTCGGACTCCCCTGGATGATATGGAAGAAGGCTATGATTCGCCACGTGTTCGTTCAGAGACACCAGAGAAAATCTACACCGATTTTGTCAAGAGATTGATCGAGAATCGATCAGAAGGTCAAATTGTAAACCGAAGAAGACCCCGCCGCACAGCGTTAGAGTGTTGGAATGAAGATGATCGACGTCGAATGGGACAATTGAATACTTCAACATCGTAAATTTACATGATCCACCCATGACTTTATGAAGTATTGGTACTAACAATAATCAGATCCCCGCAAAGCTCTCCTACAGTGTCTTCCACGTCATTATTGGGCTCAGATCGCACGGACGATGCTATCGAAGTAGACCATCCATCTGAACAAGCTCTTAAAGAAGATCCTTACTTCAGTCTCGGTAAAAATACGCCAGATTCGCCAGGTTGTGATATTGCCATGCAAGAGGCAATGCCCGGAGTCTCAACACATGTTCATAATAAAACATATTGAAGGGTGTTGAATATGAGTTTTTGTAGCCATGAGCCGTTGTTCGACATGGCAGGAACCAGAGAATGGATCATACCGCAGATGTTGAGAATAGTACAGACAGATAATTGCGATATCTGGGCATTTTATCACGCAGACTTTGAAATTGCTGCTATATGAAGGTTAATTGCTAAGAGATATGCTAGGATTGAGTAACGGACGACAAGATAAGAAGATTTTAGCATGCGGTTTTATACAAGGAGAAAAATATATGAATCGCAATACCTCAGATAATGGTGACACTTGCGTGACAAATTTATTTTGACTGTAACTTCGCCTTGCGGCAGTCTTTATTCCTGCAGATGAACTCCAAACTCCTAGCTGCCCCATTGGTATCAACTTACTGACCACTGCCATTACTATTAGACAATTTGGTGGATCTGCCCCTCACATTCCTACACTCATTCCAACTTATCCAAATGTTCCAATCTCGTCAACACAACCTGTTTACTCGTCTCTTCTATTTCCCCTGCCAAAAACACTTCATCTAATATAGCATACACCTATCATCACAACATATTAGTACCATACCCATTTATCCGCCTTCTCTCCCCCTTCCTCCGAAAGATAAAACATACCTTATAAAAATTAAACACCAAATCCAATTCACACACATTCCCAAAAAAACTATCCAGCACCTCGACAAAAAAATGTATAGCCTCTAAATACGCCAATTCATTATCATTCGCATCGACGCATGCGCAGAAAAAAAGCCCCGCGTACCGTCGATACACGATTTTATTGTTGCGGAACTCGACGAAATTCGATTGGTATTTTTGGTCGCGTGGTGCGACGAGTCGGTGGACCTGGGGTGGGTTTGTTAGATTGCTGCTGGGAATTCGTGGAATAGATGAGGAAGGGAGCGATGGGGTGGGATGGGGAGAAAGCATATATACTTACTTCGCCTTTGAGCTTGATCTTCTCTTCGTCGTTGTAGGGGGCGTACCATTTTGCGAGTCGGGTTTTACCTCTGCGGATGGATGGGTTAGGGATGTGCGGTTTCGGATGGGATTTAAGAGGGAGGAAAGGGAAGGGGTGTTATTTACTGGCGGTTTTGGATTAGGATGAAGGAGAGGACCATTTTGGGTGGTTTGTATGTGTGAATGGATGGAAGATTGGTTTGATGATGTTATGGAGGTCGGAATATTACGGTGCCCGGTTTTGGTGCAGTTGAATCTATGAGGTCTGGATCCCAATTACCGAGGCCGGTTTAGTAGAACCTGGTAATATAAGGGACTGAAAAATTCAATCAATTAAACCCTTTATAAAGAGGAATGCTGTATATTTGATTTAAGGGATTAATGTATCTATAAAATTCAGATAGTAAATTTTAACTTTTACTTCGATTAATATAATTGAAAAAAAAAAATTTATATAAAGAAATTTTTTTATATAATAAATCTTTTTATAGATTTTATTATAGTAAAGTTTTATATTATAATCTCTCAAAATAAAGTTTACCTGAAAAGATATATATATAAGTGGTATATATCTTTATTAAATGTATTTATTATAAAGAAAGTATTTCTAGCTCTTATAGAGTTGTTAGTTGTGAGCCGGCGGGAGTAATGAGGCGGCAGGAAACAAAATACATAAGCAAGATGTATTCCCTTTGTATTTGGAGCTTCATGCTCAACTCAAATAGTATTCTTTACTTAGTTATTCCTACCTAGCAAATTTAATGCCCTACTTGATCGTCTATCAGTACACGACCTAGTGTCAGCGGTCGCTTGCACGTGATATTAGCCGGGCAGGACGTAACATTGTCCGTCACAAAAGGAGTTCAAATCAATACTTTTCCCCAAGATTCCAAAAACAAAATCTTCGACGAAAACTTTGAGTGTGGGCTTCTTATATGGTTATAACTAAAATATCTGTATTGAATCCTTATTTGGCGATATGTACCCACTGCGAGGCGATAACTCCTATGCCAGCTCGCCGATACTTACTTACCATTATCTATGGAGCTTACCACTATGACATAATGAAAACTTTTAGATGGCTCATCACTCTCTAGTTCACCGCCATACTCTCTCCAGTCTCTCTTCCCTTCGCCAAGAGTAATATACTCGCGACTTTCGATAATACATCTATCTTTGCAATCATACCGGATCCGACCCACCACACCTCCATTCTGATTGCTAATGTTGGATTCCATATCGCCATGAGGTGTGAATTTACATTCAGAAGAGAGTTGAACAAGTGGAGCATTGAGGATATAACGGTCGTCAGTATAGTGGAATATGATATCCTCATCGGTTCTCCAACTTATCGTCGATGTGGGAAAGGTCGCATACTGGATTTTCCCTGTGTACGACATCCAAGACCATGATGGTATTCTCAATTTCATGACAACCAATGGAGATATTATGTCTTCAAAATCGAATAAAGGTTCCATCCACTCATTCACAGAACTCCATCAGAACAGAGTTTCGCCTAGAAAACGTCGAACAATTCCATACACGCTTTTCGTGTTGTAATGATTATCCAATCGAAATTCAAGGCTAGCCAAGGCCACCGGTCTGTCCTTCTTCACCGTGAGTTCAAGTCCCGAGTATAAAATAAATGTGCTTTGAAAACCCGAGAGCGCATCTTCCGGTTGTTCCGCTCCGTCTAACATCGGGAATAGTGAACTTCCCAGAGCATTCCTAGGTCTTAAGAACCAAGTAAATCAGTTTCTCTTCCAAACATAGCATAGGCTAGACACGCGCACCTTACACCCTTATCACTACTTTTATCCCAAACCACCGACCCACACTCCCAGTACATTTGCTCTCCAACGACATGGATCGTTCGGCGTGACAAGGCTCGTTCCTGCGATATCCACCCTCGACGACTTAGCGCCCCGCCCTCTTCGAAACTTCCGCTCGCCTCCTTTGGCGGATAAATAGCAATTGTGCAGTAAGCGAAAGCAAACACTTCCCGCATTCTTGTAGCCTCAGATTCCCAGCCCGTCCTATCTTTCTGAATTATACAAAGAGAATCGATCCAGAGAAAACCGTACGCCTAGCTTCCTTGTCATGTGCACAGCATCTTGATATGCTTTAGGTAAGCAATCAAGTGTTATACCATTTCGCGACCATCCAAGTTAGCTGTTGAAGTAACCGGAGTATCGTTTTGCCAACGATGAAAAAAGGCAATATACAGCCAGCCCGTGAGCATCTCCGTTGGTAACCCCGAAGATAGATGGAGTTTGAATCGCTGCCTTCTCCGACATCAACCGCCCTTGTTGGAAGCTTGGAGAGGTAGCTCTCAATGTGCTCATGTTAACCATCGCATATTCGAAGCCACACAATACATAACATCAATTCAGCATTGCTTCCGGATTCGGAGCGAACTGGAATCTCTCTTTGCTTGCCTATGGTTGGTGTCCGCGGGCCTATATCGGCAAAGAATCTTAGTATATTATGGACTTGAAATCGGGTTGTCTTGTCTCCAGTATGCAGTTCTACTGGCTTGGCATAAACATATACTTCGCTTGCCTCCGGATACTCGTTGGGGTTGACAGACGTAAGGATTCTCTTGTAGACCTCGCAGAGCTTTGCTCTCTCTCGTAACTCTGATAAACTCTCACAAAGCTTGTATCTTTCGTCTAGGGATTCAAGCGCCTGATTCAAAGAGGAACACGGTTCGTACGATTCACATATGTGTTCCTTCGTAAATAACTTAGCGAAGCCTCTGACTCCCATCTTGAACACCAAAGAACACAAAGATTTATAATTTTATCAATTTTAGAAAAACGTAAGAACTATAATGCCCTAGGTCCGTAAACAACGCAAACGCTACCCTATGAGATATCATCAATAACCATAACTTCATTCCTATCCACCCATACCACTCCATTCCATCCATCCCATTAAAAGACAAGTACTTGGGGGAAAAAACCAAAAGGCAGCGACCGACAGAACTAAATTAGCCCCGCAAGTTAACAAAAAGAAAAGAGAAAAAGCTTCACATAACGAAATGTGCCCTAAGTTTCGTGCTTAGTCCCCATATTTCCTTAATTGGACCTTGTAACATGGTAATCCTCCATATTCATATCAATCTTCGTGATTTCCTTTGACCCCTTGTTTTCATTCAGCTAACCTCATGATATAACTTTTCACTTTTGTATTTGGACCTCCAATCAAAAAGATTGATCTCTCTTCACCAGAGTTGTAAAAGGTTCCTCTTTCGCCATGTCGTTAAATTTATGCGGCAATGAGTGGCTCGCTCTCACTGGGCATGGTAGCCTTGAAATCCTCTTTTGGTGCTTCTGGGAAATCCTCCTCCTTGATGCCATTGATCTTTGTTGTTATTGGGGAAGAGGTAACTCTGCTAGCCTCTGGAGATCCAGAGCGGCTTCTGGCACTTCCAATAATCTCTTGTGCTTTGTGTGCATACTCCCCAGCGTATTGCTTGGTGGTCTCGGCAACATGGGCTGCGTGTTGACTGGCGAGTTGTTTAACTTGTTTAGTTTGTTGGTTGACGACGCTGGAGGCTTGAGCAAGGAGATTGTCGATGAGTTCCTTGTTGGTCTTGTAGATAAGTGGGCAGATAAAAAGGACGGAGGTGAAGATGAGAGAGAGACCCCAGAATGGAATAAGCTTGATCAAATAGTAGGAAATGAAAGATCCGATCAAGGCCTATTTTGGTTAGCACTTTATAATTCATGGTAAGGAATCTGGGATTATCTTACAGTCAGAGAAACAAAGAGATTCTCGGCGAAGAGAATACGTTGCGACTCAATGACGAAGAAGTTGATGAGCTCATGTACATCGCCGAGTAAGTTGTCAAGAGTCTCTTTTGAAAGAGTATAGTATTTCTTAGGTCTAAACTGGGATGTAAGACCATGCGAAAAAGCTAGCTTTCCAAGAGCTTCTGCGAGAACAGTCACAAACAAAGCCATGTATGTAACCTTGAATGAATATCGGAGGATATCAAGATATCTCGCTGCGAAAATGAATGCAACCGTGGAGAGGTATGCAATTCCGGATGCACGAGGATTTTTCCATGATAATAAGTTGGAGAAAAATGAATGGTAATGTGTGAGTTGTTGACCTGTAGCTGTTGTATTGGAAGGAGTGGTGCGGGAATTTGCGAGGTTGGAAAATTCAGCTTGAGTCTTTTGATGTTGCTCTCGTACATTATCTGCCACTGGGCCTATCGCGAGGAAGTCAGTATGATAGTCATGGAGGATATCTGCTAAAGTTCAACGTACCATTTACGACACTTTGAGTGAAGGGATGGTTTCCGACAGTGTTAGCAGCTGCAGATGCATCTGGATTGACTGATTAGTTTATTTTCTATAGTGATATCAATGTGCGAACTTCTGGACTGTCTCATGGTTAGCGATGCAAACTTGGGTGATTTCATTGATAGATAGATGTAGCTTACCTCACTGTCATAAACTGCGTTCTTTGCGTTCTCCATTGTGTTAGTAGTCCCTTCGTTAGAAGTTGTACTGACGTTGGAGGGAAAATCGGACATAATAAGTGTAAAGTTTGATGGTTGTGTATCGGAGAAGGAAGATAGTCGAGGATGCTTTTGATGATGATAAGCTTGTGCAGTGGAGTTGGAAGGTTTTGTTGATGCGATGCAATGTGTTGATTGTGTTATCCTTTGATGTTGAGATTTATTTGGTAAACCTTTTTTTCTTGTTTAAAAGAAACAGAAATAGTCTTTCACCAAGTTAGTTCAGGATTGAATTGTATTGTGTTATGACGAAAGCTGGGAAGAAGAACTCCGCTTGATTCTTTTGTCCTTTTTCTTCCTACAAAAGCTGCAGTAGTGTGAATAGTAAGAGTGGAGTTGTAATATACAATCCCTATGGTCGGTCGGTCGGTCGCACTTGCAGAGGCCAGACAAATTGAATTGGATTGATATGATGGATATGAATGATTTTTGGTGCTAGTGCTCACAAATCAAGCTTAGCGTATAACCAGGCACGCGAGCAATCCTGTTCTTGCCCTGCCCTGAGAATTTGGGAGTTTGCGAGTTTGCGAGTTTGAGTGAGTATAAGATCTTAGCCCGGAGCTGCACTGGATGAGCTTTTACAGGCTTGCAGGCTTGCAGGCTTGCACAGGCTTGCACAGGCTTGCACAGGCTTTGTTGACAGTGAATGGGTTAACGATGGGGGACGTCATAATAGAGGCGCCACACTAAATATTCCTGGTATGCACGGTTCTGATGATTCTATGGTACGCCTACGGTGCGGTACGCGACAGAGTACGCTACGGGATAAAAGAACACCAAATCAAAAGTCATGGATCGATTTATCCTTGTTTTCCTGATCTGATCTGATTATCATGGAATTACGAGATGCTCCCTCCGTCCATGAATGCTTCTACGATATTGATTGATTCTCCCTCTTCTCTCCTGGTATCTATGAATGCCGTAATAAATAAACCGTATTCCATCATCTGTATATTCATGACCCATCTTTCCATTAATTCTATACCAATTATCAAAAGAATCGTGGTCTTTTCGGTATTGGCCCTTTTAAAGGCGCGTCTAGATACATTTCTACCCGGATGCACCTAGTGTGTCCCTAGTGATTACGGATCCCTATCAATCAATGCATCTATCTGCATCTGCCTTCAATTGCTCTTTGCTTTTTTCCGTTTCCTTCTTTTTTTGGCATGTGATTCTTAGCTATCCTATCGCCTGATGGGAATTCCAGCGCTTTCCAACAAATCTCGTGATGAAAGACATCAGAAGAGAACAACATGACCACCTACTTCAACAACCAGACATTGAGTCATACCTCATCTACATACTTCTGACGTCTTAATACCTAGGTTTGGTTATCTGTCCTGTATGAAGAATTGCAAGAAAAAAGAAGCCCAGTTGCTAGTTACATATGAAGGGGGCCAGATCCGGTAGGATGTGGGATGAGGTGGGGTTGTTCTAGCTATTGAGGCACTGGGTGACTGTGCGTTCGTCACATCCTATTTGTCTCCACCACAGCCAAACCAAAGAAGGTATTTTGTTCCCGCCTTCAATATTTCCTCACGAGACCGAGTTTTATTAGGGTTTGACAGTCTAATACCCTATTGATGAGATTTTCTCTTTCTGAATCACGTCCTGTTGAAATGTAAAGCCATCCATAATCTTCTCAATGGATGCGAGACATGTGATATAAGTCTTACAACGTGGAAAGGGCACAGATCTTAGCTGATAAGAACATCTCAGCGCCCCGCGAAGAATCTTTCTTTTGTGGGTATCGGGATGATTGCATCACCACAGAAATCAATGCACTCGTGCTGATCAATTCAATGATGTCGAAATCTAAATCGCATTCAATAAGATCAAGCACCTTATCGAAGATCCTTCGTCCCAAGCAAGACCTAGAAATAATGAGATTTCGATCATTACGACAAACGTCTGCTGGGAGCAATCTAAGATCTTACATTCTTTTGTTCAAGACTCAATATTGGTTTGGGAGCAGCTCACTCAAGATTTGTGCTTTCACCAAATTGCTTCTGCGATGAAACAAATGTTTGAGTATCGCAGAAGCGAATTCTTCCTGATGCCAACTTTTACTCCCAGTGATTCCTGCTTCATTTTCCGACACTCAAGATTTCAGAATGTCAGGAAACAACTTGTTCATTGTACTCTGCATCACGTCCGGTGACTCCGTAATTCTACTTTTCAGCAGTCATGATTGACAACGGAAACCATCATATTATTGAAGAAACCAACAGCTACAACATCCCAAGTACAAGCTGACACGCAGAAAAATGCCAACAAACTAGTTACTCGAATTATCAAATTCCCAACTACGACATAGGATTAGGATAAGCAACAACCGAACTCATAACATGAGTACACAACTCACTACTCTGTCCCACCTTCGCCACCGTATCCCAATCCAAATACCCATACACCCATTCCCCAGGACTCATCAACGCCGCCGGCGTATAATTCGCACAATGCTTCACATAAATCAGGTCATCCAAAACATCTACATCCAGCCCCGAAATCATCATCGGCACCTTACTCAAATTACATAAAAATGCAATAGCTCCATAATATTGAATACTCCCAAAAGCCCCAGTTAAACTCGAGACAGTATCTTCGCTGCCCTTCATACCGAGCCCGAAACAAGGCCAGCCTGGTTGGATGGTGGCGCAGGTACTGGTCGTGTTGGCTTGGAGAACGGCGCGCGCTTGGTTTGTGGCTGTCTCAGGGAGGAAACCAGCGCCACAGGTCGCGGTCGCAGCCGTGGCAGAGGCGGCGAAGTTGGCGGTTAGGGTGCCTGTTGTTTGGATTTTGCTGGATGAAGAGGTAGATGAAGATGAAGATGAAGAGGAGGATGAAGAGGTGGATGAAGATGAAGTTGTGGTTGAGGAAGTTGTGGTTGATGAGGTCTTTGCCCGCCCTTCCACTATCGCGGCAGCAATAGCATTGCCAATAAAGGCGAAAAGAACTATTCTGTGAAAAATCATCGGATACTTGAGATAATGCAATGCAAAGAACTATAAGTTTTTATTCTTAAGTATCTAGCTTAAAACCAAGCGAATGTAACGTCACCAGTGTGTATACATGAATAGAAAAGCAATGCTTGAAGTGTCAATAAAAAGTAGGCAACACTTCAAAACAGCACAACAAGTCCATTATGTACCTCCTCTTACATGCTAGTTCCCGGCCACTGGGTCTCATTTCGCAAACCTTCTTCTTATGAATCTGAGTGCGTATTCGTAAATGTACAAATACATAACCAGAGCAGATAAGGTCACTAATAAATGACCTATACAACACCTCCAACCCAAAACACCTCCAACCCAAACCACCTCCAACCCAAACCACCTCCAACCCAAACCACCTCCAACCTCAAGACCAACTACCTCATCACACGCAACCACATCCAAGGACTCATCACCTAAAATGTCCAAGAAAAAAAAGGAACAAAAGAAGACCATGCTGCAAACCCCCCCCCGTCAATGTACGTAAGATAGAATTAATTTATCTTCTTGTTTCTTTTTTATTATTAAGTTTTCTTTTTTAATTTTCCTTTGCTTTCATTCATCTATCCATTTATTAACACAAATCCTCACTCCTGGTCTTTCTTCTCTTCTTTTAAGGTTCGGTTTTGAGGTTCTTATTTATTTATTTATTTATTAAATAAATAGTAGGTACGATCTTAACTTCTTTTGGGGTGGGGTTGCTTGGGAGTACTCTGTATGTATACTGGTGTATATAACCTAGGAGTATACAGAGTATGTATGCACACAAGATACTAGTTTAGAAGGTTGCGGTTGCGAGGAGGGTTGGAGGATTTATTGGAAGCCTGGTTTTGGGGGAGGAGATTAGGTTGTTGAGGTGAGTGGGTTTTTGAATGTTTGGATTTATTTTATGGGTTGTTATTGTTAATTTTTTGGAGATTGAGAAGATGGGAGTAGGGATCCATTTGGTGTGGGAGAGTGCTGATATATCATTTTGCGTATTGTAAGTTTATTGTGCTTTGAGGTTTGAAAATGAGACCACCACGTAGGGTTCGGATTCATTCATGGTTATATGAGGGCATCTAGTCTTATGTATACATTTGGCTTTCGACTTATCATGTAATAATATTACAGAATCCTCATCTATTTATCTATATTCGGTCTATTCTATAACAAACTAGTTATACAAATATATGTGTGATAAGTGTTACACCTCTAATCTAAAATCTAACACAAGACTTCTTCCCCTTCCCTCTAACTCTCTTAGAGTAAAGGTCTAATAGCTTCCGCCGTCGCAATCGTACTCTCTGCTAAGCTCTTATACGTGAATCCCATTTCCTTCGGCGCTTTCTCACCACTCACCCTCGGTGCATCAGGTGCCAATTCCACTCTTTCCACTATTCCCGTTTCCTTGTTATATCCGACGTATCCCTCTCCAGGGTTTCCAAGTGGTATATTTTTCACAATTTGCTCTTCTCCCTTCTCCTTGAAATACGCTCTTGTGATATCGGCATGTGCCTGCCAGGGACCGATTCCGACACATCCTATGTAACGTTCTCCGTTTGATTTTTCTGGATGCTCGAATGCCCATATGTGCATATAGGCCACATCACGAACATCTACCCAACTTGCGCTTCCGATATCGTCAGGGATGGTTTTGGCGTTTCCCGAGAGCATGCTCCAGATTGGTCTTAGGGTTTCGTTTAATTTGTCGCCTGTCTTGGGTAGGTAAACTGGAGGGCCGACTACTACGGCAGGGTTGATGGTGCTGATGGCGAATGCTGGTTTTGTCTCTTTGAGGAATTTCCAGACGGCCTGATCGGCGGCTGTTTTGGAGGCTCCGTAGAGGACTCCTGGGTGAGTTTGTCGTCCTTCTTTTAGATCGAGTTGTGCTTGCGCAAGGTATTCGGATGCAAAGTCCGCTTCGGTGAAGACGTGATAGTCGGTGCGAGGGTTTGTGACGGCGATGACGGAAGATGTTACTACTACTGCTTTGAGTTGAGGACCGGCTTTTAGGGCGGAGATGAGAAGAGTGTTGGTGCCATCTACGGCAGGTGTGACCATTTGGGCGTAGGTTGTCAAAGTGAAGTCGATTGGAGATGCGGTGTGAAATATTCCATGAACGCCTTTGTGGGTATTAGTTCAGTTCAACTAGTCTGGAGGGGATATTTCAACCTTTAACAGCTTCGTCAAAAGCTCCAGAAACTGTCATATCAGGTACCTCATATATCTTGACTCGATCTATATAAGGTGCATAAGGACCTTCAAGAAGAGGATCGGCACTGGAGAGACGACGTGTGGTGCCTCGAATAGAATACCCTGCTTCTAGGAGTTGCATACCAAGGACACTGGCTATATAGCCGTTTATACCGGTTATGAGAACGGTGCTATTATTTGGGGTTGAAATTGCCATTTTGAAGGGAGGAAAAGGTGTAATTTCTATATATAGCTTGTGAGAATGAGAAAATGAGTTCTTAGATACTGAGTATATCGACGTTATCTGAATTGATACTCCAAATCTAAGAACTTCTACATGAGGGAGTATTCACTTGATATATATTCTTCAACCCCTCCATAGTGGGTCCATACGAGGAAGCACTTCTCATTAAGAATCCCTAATAGATATGATGGAATCGGCTCATTATTCAGCCAGAGCAGAACGATTAGTACATTCACGTGCAGCTAAATGCTCAAGCTTAGAAATCCATTGTGATAATGATGTTGAACCTCGGAGTATATCGGTAGGTGTCTAATTTGATCAGTAATACTCGAGTAGTCGGGCCATACATTAGGCCGACGAATTGCGAGTTGGGGAAAGTAAGTTTCCTCGGACAACAATTGTCCTTCGCAGCATATCGATTTCGAATTGATATACTTCTTTTTCATATTTTGAGTTTCAACTTGATGATACGGTTTGATAATGAGAAATTCATTATATTAACTCTACATTTGTGTAAGAATTTTTAGCAGTACTGTAATTGTAGGGTTTTCGATGTGGCTTATACTAAAATTACGCTGAGGAGATACTTGCTTTCCCCGACTAATCGGAAGAGAGAATTTTAGCAGCCGTTTTAGGAGAGGAAAGATGTGGCTGAAACAGAATATTGAAGTCAGCACGTGAGCGGTCAAAAAATTCACACTTTTATTTCTCCACCGCTTTGGTATTCTGCCCGATTTGGACTCATTCCATATCAAATCCAAATGCTTCAAGTTCGAATACCTGGTATTCTAATCCACTTCTCTCCCGGCCATGAGTACCACTAAACTGATTCCCTCCCGTCCATTGTTACGGTATCTCAATGAAAGAATACTTAGTACTACCCGCCCGTTTTGTCGTCAAGTAACGCAGAATTCATCTGCAAATTCATTTCGTCGCTCCATTCTTTTTCGTCCTTCACAACAATGTCGCCACATTATGTTGTCGCGAATCGCCGAGAGGACACAAAATTTCAAATTGCAAGCTGATAACCATAAGATTTTGGATTTTGCCAAGCTATCAGTTTTTGATAACACTAAGTTTCAATCACAGAAGATGATTTTATGGAGAGAAACGGAAACAAGGCCCAATAGCAGACCGCATGTGTTTTTGGGCGTGATGTCATTGAGAGATGCGATGCAAAAGTACCTGGGTGATAGAGAAAATGTAATTTTGGATCCGGGTGTTGGCACTAGCTGGATGCTAGTGTCTAGAATTGGGTTCGAAAATGAGGCGAAGGTGAACCCCGCTCTCCTGGCCGAGACATCTGAGCAGGTCGGTGGTAATGGTTTGGCAAACCTCCATGAGTATCTTTTAGTCAAACGAAAGTCTTGGATGGTGCCGAAGCCTGGACAGCGAGTGAAACACAAAGGAGGTCGGGGTAATGCGAAACTGATACATCTTCAGAGCAATGTTAATGGCCATAACATGAGTGTGATGATGGCGAAGGCCTACTACTATTTAGAAACGCACAATTTTAACGCGGAATTCCATATACATTTTTCGAATCGTTCTAAGTACAGCGAAAATGAGATGCTTGAGAGGTTGATGAAGATACCAGGTGGTTTGGCTCTTCATCCCCAAGTCATTCAGCGGCAATTGCCCACTGATACTGGGATTAATATAAGACCCCGGAGTGATGGTAGAGAAATGGTATGGGTTGTGGGCAAAAGCGAACGTCGTATAGATGAAAAATGGGTATTGATGGCGGAGAAGAAGATGGCTGAGCTCGAGGGGACCCCTGGATTCATAATGAAAAGGGGTAAGGAGATGGTAAAGGATCGGAAATGGAGATTAAAACAAGACAAAGAAGAAATTGTAAGCTTGCGAAAGCAGGGAGAATCTTTTGGTCATGTTCTCGAACGGCAGAGAGAAATTCATGGGCGGGAGAAAGAACTCAGAGCAATGTTCAAGGAGATGAACGTGTCGCGACGACAGAAAGCAAGGGATAAGCAAGCGCGAAGACTTCAGGAAAGACTTCGCAATCAAGCACGTCGACGGGCAATGTCAGATGCTCGTCTTGAACAAAAGAGAACATTTAGGATGCGTTGGGAACGACGAAGGAAAGAAAGTCTGAGAGTGATGTGGTATCAACGAAACGCACGCGAGGCGATGAGAGCATCATTTTTGGCTCGGAGAAACGCGAGAAAGACAGAGCTAAGAGCTAAGTCTATGTCAAGTACATTGGATCATTACACGAAACGGATACAGATTAAAGCGAGACTGGAAAAGAGTAAAAGAAAAGTACGATTAATCCAGCACAAGGAGCCGGCGAGGGATATAGCGAAGAGAGCATTGTCTCTACGCTCTCCTCGATCTGCAGCACGAAATATCTTGCAAATTGAAAGACAGAAGTCGCTAAATCAGAAAAGTACCATGCAGAAAAGAGAACAGAGGGAACTAGCTCTAAGTAGGAAGATGGCAAGTCCTTTCCGATCGAAGTTTGAGGATGTGTTTAGAGACGGGAGGATGACATGGATGTAGATACAGATATGAGCGATCTCTGATGTATACATAAATCTCTGTATTTTCCAGGGTACATTCGATGATTTGTAGGATTAAATCCACAGATGTGTCGATCTACAAATTTAGATGGGATGATCAAATCAGAGAGATGCTTTCTACTCCACTGCACTCAAGCACACAGTGTTCTCTATAGCGATTTGAATACTCCGGTATCATAAATCGATACCTTTGGCACCACATATCTATTCTATATACCAAGTTCAATTTTCTCGTTCCTGAATATCTATCGACAGAGGAGCGCTAATTCAGGATTCTCGTAACGTTTGGAAGGCTAGTGCCGAGGAACTGAGTGGTGGTCTTCCAGTTCAGCAATTATTCTTGGTCTTTTCAAGTATAAAAATGTGATTTGGATGTCAAAGTGCTAGTTTACAAGCCGTGGAGACAGAACCTTTTGCGTGAATGGTATTTTTTTATATCCTCCTCGCAGGGAAAATTGTCATCTTTATGATGAATCACAATAATAGTGCCCGTACTTCAAGCTGACGAGAGTGAGGAGATCGACTAGATGAAGGAGTGCGGCCACTTGCATTGCAGAGAGTGGTTTTACCTGTTGGAGATGATAGGCTGACATTCTGATGTAGTAATAGATTGGGGATAAAAATGCCGCCTCTATTGAATGTATCGTTTGTTCTCAAATCTCTATTCAAATGTAAGAGTAGTGGTTGAATATATATGGTCTTGACTAATCCTAAGGCACATTTTTAGTTATTGGATATACTTGTGGAATCTTCACGCAGTTGCATCCGTATATTATACTTGAGAATATTCGCAATGAAATTCCTCGGAATCTTGGATGTAAGATCTTAATAGAAAGATATGCGAGTATAGAGGATAAAATTGTGTGATATTTTAAATTTCAAGATTTCGTAATGATATGTAAGTTTCGAAGGTGAAATGTTAATGGTGAAGTGATTTGTAGGACTTAATATTTCTCTTTCTTCATTATTCAATTCATTTGCAAATATTCAGACTCCATTACCCAAATTCATCTAACGTGTGGTCAAGACGTCAGATATTCAATATAATTTCTCACACTCATTGTGTAGGGTATCTCGCAGTTATTTCAGATTTTCAGATTTTCAGATTTTCAGAGATCTCCAATTGTGTCTAATTTCTATGCTCTGATTAAAAAAAAGCTCTCATTCATACACGAGATTGACCAGGAAAACTTAGCAATAGCTGACTCCGTGCTTAGCATTTCCACGCACAAAATTCCAAAGAAACTCCCAGGAACATAAATCATGGTATTACGACCAAAGCCTTTCTTCCCACGGTTACGCACTCCTAATCGAGAGAAAGCCACTCTACCACCAACTTAATACCCAAAAATAAAATAGAACAAAATCGCTAATCCCCAATCAGAAATCAAAAGCTGTACATACAATGCGGAGTAAGCAATCTTTTTGTCCTATAATTACTATGCATGCATGCATGATTACTATTCATTTACCTACCTATTCAACATTGACTCCTGAGGGGCTCGCTTAAATTACCCCTCGGATGTGGCGCTTTTGGACAAAGATGTTGCGCGGGGAAAGATGGGATTATAGATGTGAATGGAATGATTTATAAGGAGCTTGTGAGCCGAGCTGAGTTGAGGAGGGTATGGCGATGATGCAATGGTTTTTTATATTTACAGACTTTTGGTTTGGGGCTGAGGACGTGGAAGACATAGGTTGTGATTAGTGATATGGGGGAAGCTATATGCTGGGAGCTTTTGTCTCTGGAAAGTTTTTTCGGACAGGCTTTGTATAGATCACTTTGTTCAATTTATCTACTTTGATATATTCCAATACCTTAATATAAGTCCAAACACAATTCCTAGAAATTACAAAAGCAATGGCGTCCACAAAACCCCTCGTCCTAGTCGTTGGAGGCACAGGAGTCCAAGGCATGCATGTTGTCAAAGGTACATTCTCATAACCTACATCCATAAAACACAAGAATCCCACTAAAAACCGCAGAACTCGCACAAGACGGCGCCTACAACATCCGCCTCATAACCCGCCACGCTAATTCTCAGCACGCGCAAGAACTTGCGCAACTTCCAGGAGTAGCCATCGTCGAAGGCGACATCTATTCCGAGCACGATCTCCACAGATTCTTTTCAGGTTGCACGCATGCCTTCATCAACACCAACGGTGGTGCCATTGGCGAAAAAGCTGAAATTTATTGGGGCATCCGATATTACGAAATTGCACGCACACACAAATTGCAACATTTCTTATACTCCAGTCTCGAATATTCACTCAAGATGTCAGATTTTGATAATGATTACAGAGATGGACATATGGATGCGAAAGCGAAGGTTGCGGAGTGGATTAGCGTGCAGGGCACGAAGAAGATGAAGTGGAGTATTTTGACTAGTTGTTTATATATGGAGATGTTGAACGAGTTGTTGGCTCCGCATCCCGATAAGGAGGATCCGGAAGCTTTAGCATTTATTGCGCCGCTGGGTCCCAGGGGAAGTGCACCGTTGATTGCGTTGGAGGATTTTGGGAAGTATGCTAGATGGGTGTTTGACCATCCGGAACGTAGTAATGGACTTAATCTCCATGTTGCTTCTCAAGAAGTCGTTTGGGCTGATTTACCAGATGCATTCACTGAGGTTACCGGCAAGAAGGCGGTGTATAGGGATGTAACAATTGATGGCTGGTTTGATCTTGGGCTCTTCCCTAATCCGGATGCGAAGTTCGGGCATAGTGCTCCTGGGGACGAAGGAACATTGCAAACATTTCGGGAGAATTTTGGAGGATTCTGGAGGTTTTGGAAGAGTGGCAAGGTGAGGAAAGATTGGGTTTTGATGGATGAGATTTTGCCGGGTAGAATAAGGTCGGTGAAAGAGTGGATGAAGAAGAGTGGTTATGATGGAAACGTCAAGCCTTTATTGCATGATTTTCATCAGAAAAAGAGAGAAGCTTAGGAATAAAAAAGAAGGTTGATACCTCTTCAGGATCGTAGGAAGGCTGATGATGAAGCTTTTCCAGATCGGACTAGAGCTTAGGAGATGAAGTTCTTAATGAATGAACAACTTTATGATCAAACTGATGCCCTGCAGTGGCTATGATAAGAGCCCCGAATAAATTTGTCACACGGCACCCAAACAGTGATATAAATTAACGGCGAATTGAAAATAGATCCCTATGCTTGCCTGAATTTTCCTCCTAACTCCCAACTCCATCTGTGTTTGCAATAGTCTATGACCTCTTCATTTCTTTAGTGCTGCAAATCTCGCCGCTAACTCATCCACATCTGGTATCGTACCACCAACTGGGCCTTTACTTTGGATGCCAGGTTTTTGGGCATTTGCAGTTTGCATCTTCTTTGTTGGCTTTAGGTCTAACGCTCCACGCACTCTTGGGTGTAGATTGTCCGTTCTGGGGCTGGGTGGATTAACTCTCAATGGGCTTGATGGCCCAAAGCCCCCCGGCGGAGTAGCTTTAAATAACTCCTCCCTTTCCTCGTCAGCTCTACCATTCCCTACCAACGGCGCCTCCAAGTTTTTCTGTGCCTGTCCGCCACTCGGGTTCTCGTCATCGTCATCATCTACGAATTCCGGGGCCTGTCCAATATCTTCCTTTACTCTTTTCGGCCAGTCAACTCCGTACGTCCTAGCGATCTCCTCCAAATACCCGTTCACTAATTCTTGCGCCGGTGGAGTAACAGAAAGCTTCTTTAATACTTTCTCCGATACCTTCTCGTCACTGTTCTCCATCGCTTGCAATGCGAACTCCTTCCCGTACTTCTCGCACAGTAATGCCCGCACTTGTTGTAGTTCCTTAATCTCTGTCCTGGGCGCAGCATATATTAAACTTTTCACAGCTTCCTCTAAACCCGGATCGCAAACTGATGATTCCATAAGTCCCGTCCGCGCAAGGAGTAACTCGCAGTAGAGCTCGAGGATTTCGTGAAGTTCGGTAGTAATGTCGGATCGAATAATGTTCTCAACCCGAATCCTTGCAGATTCTATTTTTCCCGTCTCCAGAAGCTGAGCCATAGCTCTACGTTGTTGCTTCGAAACAGCTTCATCTTTCTGCTGTACCATACGAAGGCGAGCAATCGAGAGCTTCAGTTGGACCTTGAGTTTGGACTTTGGGAAGGTTAGCAGATGGAATTAACTTGTGTGTGTATTATATATGATAGACTCTGAAAGTATGACTACTCACGATTATCGTTGAAGAAGGGGCCATCGTGATAAAATAGATCGTTTCTCTTGATGTTGTTACGTCGGTCGTTGTCTACTATGAACTGGTAAGGTATTGATCGCGGGGCACTAGGGCACCGACTACTTGGCTGGGGCTGGGCATGCTGGGATTGTGAATCATGTATACGGCTAATCAATATGCCCCTGGATGCAAATTCAGCACTGTTCCTACTCAGTAGATGATAATAAATTGGATCCATCATTGGGCATCTTCATGCTTTGAAAGGACGCGCATCAATTTTTCCCTTCCTGATGTTATTTTTAACCATTCGCCGCTTCATCTGTAAATATCCTTTTCTTTCTGTTTGTGCTATGTATTCGCTTCATATTTAATGTTCTATATTTCTCTACCTAAATTCCCATCTTTCCTTTTGTTCAAATAATGCCTTACGATTCACGACCAACACGATTGCAACGTTCGAGACCCTTGTCAAGTCCTTAATGCGCCGCAACATACATACGGTGTATACATGATGGGGAAGTCAATATGGAGTCCCAGCAAATGGGAGGAATGGGCGGAGAAGAGAGCGACAGCTATATGGACCAATTTACAAACAAATAATTTGTGGCAGCGGATGCTTAAAAACACTTTGGCGACTACAATCTGTATCATCATCGCCATTATGCCGCAGGTAGTAGCTGTATATGGGAAAGCCGCATACCTTGCGCCAATAACTACCGTTTTTGGACATCCAGGGAGGCGTTTTGGTATGATGGCAGAGGCTCTGATATTGACTCTTTCAGGAACAATGCTTGGTGTAGCTTGGTCTATGCTCGCATTGTACTTGTCGAGTCTTGTATATCACAGTAATCCTCAAGCAGCATTCACCATCCGAGGCATATTCCTCGCTATCGCGTTGCTTTTTCACGGAATCCTCAGGTCGCATACACCACGTCTGTTTCTTATGGTGCTACTCCTAATTATTGTAGTTCTTGTCAGTATGACTAGTACAGCTACGGCAGTTACAACTCTTTCAGTCACTCAGCTGGTCTACCCTATCACAACTGCAATTGCCGTTTTACTTGCCGTGAACACACTTGTTTTCCCAGAATTCTCCAGTAGCTTTCTAGGAATCACCACTATCGAGACCCTTGGCGAAACGGTTGGAGCCCTGCGAGATGCCGGACGATACTTCATTGCCATTACCGAGAGTTCTGAGAGTGCTGTTACAGATACCAGATTAAAAAATATTATTAGTGCATGTGGAAGTGGAAATGGTGAAGACCTTCATAGACCTCCGACAGTGGCAGAAAGGCCGCCCATGAAGTCCAGAGTCAATGGCTTGACCTTGAGGCAAAAGATTCTCTCCTTTTTCCAGAAGACTCAAGAACCGCCTGCGCCGCTTCCAACGAACGTCGAGAGGAGCCCACAGCCTGTAAAGTTAAAATCTTTGACAGACAAAAAGGCCACACTGCGTGCAAAATTGGCAGGATGTAAGGCAGCGCAACAAGAATGCAACTTCGAACTTGCGTGGGCAGTTCTTCCACCAAGAGATGTGAAACCTATCAGTGACATCGAGATGAAGAAACTTGTGGCCAATACCATCGCTTTAATAGGGGCCTGTGAGAGCAAATATGCACTAATGGGGGACGAGAATGACAAGAATGAGTCTAAAAACAAAGATAGAACAAAGCTCAAATCGGTTGCCGAAAATGGTGGTGTCGACACCTCAGAAGCAGAGGATTCATCACGACCAACGACAGACATGGATACATATGATGAAAGAAGTTCAGATGAGAAGAAGCCTTCCAGGAAGGAAAGGCGCAAGCAAAAGAACAAAAGAAGAAAGGACAGAAAAAAGGACAAGTCGTTGATTGAGAAGGAAATGGAGAATTTGGAGTTAATCAAGCCGAGGAAAGAAATCGAGTATGGTGATATTGATTTGTTGAAGTATCTTGTGCATCGTATCGCAAAGCCATTGTCCAATCTCCAAGAAAAGATTGACAGAAGTGTTGACGTTGTTTCATCCTCCCTCGCTTATTGCTACGATGTCCCTAAACTCCCGTCGGGAATTCGAGCACCCGCCGGGATTCGACTTGAGGAGATTGACATTCGTGTTGATATTTTAGTCGACGCGATTGCCGATTTTGATAAAACTTCAGCGGCGGCATTAGAGGGCGCTGCAGCGCTACACGATCTGGGCGGGCCTCAGGTTGATATAATGCCTCGCATGGAGACGTTCTTGATTTCCTCATTCTTGTTGAATCTTCGGCAAGCCGCTTTGCATACACTTGGAATGCTTAGACATTCTCGGGTTCTAGTTGAAAGACGGCAGGAACTACATGGTCGAAAAAGCATATATCTTCCTCAAATTAATTGGAGGAAATGGCTTCAGTCTGGTGGTGAAGCGGATATGTTAGCTCTACCCGACAGTGCACGAAAGGATGCAAGAACGGGTAAAAAGAAGGAAGATGCTGCAGACGATGCAGTAAGCATTAATAGTGGAGAAACACTACTGGCCAAGAAAGACGTGGAGTCAGCAATACCGAAAGAGGAAACTCCAGTACAATCACCGAAGGTTGCAGATGAACCTGTAAAGGAGAAGAAGAAAGGCACGCTTATGCTTCGATTCCGAAATAGTTTAGCTGACATCATCGAATACTTGGTCGGTAGTGACGACATCTCATACGCCATCAAATTGACTGTTGCCGTCTTTATTGTAACTTGGCCGGCTTTTCTTGTTCAATGGAATACTTGGTATTCCTTGAACAGAGGCCTTTGGGCTGCCTTGCAGTTGGTGGTCATCACAGAAGTTGCTATTGGAACCTCTGTTATGACTTTCATGTTACGAGGTGTTGGTACAACCATCGGGTGTGTGTGGGGCTATGCAGCATACCAAGCTGGCCAGGGCAACAAAATAGTCGCTGTTGTGATGATAGTTATTGGCATCATTCCATCCACCTACATTCAGCTTGGATCTAAATATATCAAGGCGGGTATGGTCACCATAATCTCAATGTCGATAGTAGTTCTTGCTACCATAGATAAAGTTGTTCCTGGTTCAGCTACCGAGAACTTCCTGAAAAGGCTGATTGCCTTCTTCATTGGTGGGGTTGTAGCCCTCATCGTAGAAGTTGCGCTCTTCCCAGTCAAAGCCCGCGATCGTCTTGTGGAGTCCCTTGCGTGCTCCATACGCCAAATCACAGAGATGGAAGCATGTCTAGCCTATGGTATCGAAACGGAAATCAACAACGTCAATGTCCGTTCTCCAGCTGTCATATCACGATTTTCTGTCGCCAAAGGGAAGGCTGAGGGCGCACTAGCAGCTGCAGAAGCATTCCTTCCATTCTGCGCCAATGAGCCACGTCTCAAAGGTTCCTTTGCACCTCATGCTCTTATCTACGGAGAGATTCTTTACGTATTACATGCTATTGTAGATCGTATGGAGAATATGCTTATCTTACGTCACGAATATGGATCTGGTGTTCTCGAAGAACTCAATGCACAAGTTCACCCCTATCGGCGTAATGTTGCTGGATCTATTACGCTGATTCTTTTCGCGACTCACGAAGCTCTCACAACGAAACTTCCTCTTCCCCAATTCTTGCCCTCCGCTCGCCTCGCTCACCTTCGCATGGTTAATCGTGTCCGAGAGATTGTTCTTTCCTCCAACCTCAAGGAGTCTTCACACGAACGGTCGGAAATTGAAGTCTCGATGGTTAAACGATTTGTCCGCCAAAAGTTCCTATCTTGGAATGCAGCCTCCGCTGGTCAGATTGAAGTTATTGAATACCTTGAAGAACTCATCGACCTTGTCAAGCTATTAGTGGGAGCAAATGAGTTTAGAAGCGGATTATTGACAAGAGGTACTTACAGGGAGTGGGTGGATAAGATCCAAAGACCCGATACAGTAGAATCGGTGATGCTGCCAGCTGATGGAGCTGTGGAGGAAAAAGAACCGCAGATGACATCGGCTAGGAAGAGAAGGCCAACATTCAGTAATACGAGAGAAAAATTCTTTGGACCAAGTGCTGGAAATGCTACTAATACACGGCCGGATAGCGCAAGGCCTGGTACCGCAAGGCCTGGTACCGCGAGACCTGGTACGGGATCGAAGGCTGCAACGACGGAGAAACTGGAGGTGGAGAAAGGAAAGAAAGACATGGAAGAGGAACTGCCAAGAGTTTTGCAAAGGGTTCGCACGAGAAGAATGAGTGAAATGAAGGGTATGGCAGAAAGGAGGAGTAAAGAGGATATGGCTAATGGTAATGCTGGGAAAGGAAACGGATTAGGGATATAAATGTTCACGAGGAGTTGAGGCTTTGTTTATAATAGATGATTCGGCTGGGCACAGGTTTATAGATTCTTTTAATGCATACACATATTTTCCTATCATTTCAAATGAATATATATATCATCTATTTTCTCATATGAACATAATTCTGTATATTCATAATATAATCACTTCCAAAATAACAAGGAAATTAAAACCCGGCGCTGCATCCACGCAAACGCTCAACTCCTATTCCGTCATGATGTTCCCGCTTCTTTTTCACTTCCCTTGTATATATACGCCATGCCAACTTGCTGTCAAGTTGCCAATAAGAGATAAAAATCATCACCTCCTCCTCTTTTCATCGAACAACCATAGAATTCTTTAATAGCATGACAAACCCCATATATCACATATCACAGGTCAAGATCAAGATGGAGATCAACCCCTCAAATCTACCCACTAGCATCAAACCAACTCGTACCCTTCACCCGTAAATCAGCACTTTCCCTTCCAGTTTCCCTTTCCCTTCCACTTCCCCTTCCCTCTCCACGCAGCAATCTCTCCATCCTCCTTACACTCTTTTCCTCCTGTCCTTCGCGAAAGCATTCCGTTTCCTTCTCTTCAATTTGCGCTTGCAACTTCAGTTTCTCACTACTGCGTTGCGAGTTGTGAGATCTTGAACTTGAATTTAAACTTGAACTTGAGTTTGAACTTATGGTATCAAAGCGGTCGATTAGCGGTCTAATGGTTATGGATACTGCGGGTTTTGTGGGGTTTTTTGTGTGAGAGGGGCTAGGTGGGGGCGGGTTTGTATTTGTATTTGTGTTTGTGTTGGTGAGAAAAGGATTATTTGAACCCGTTTCACAGAGATTGTGGGCTGGGACTCCCCCGAATATAGAGTCTGAGGGCATGATGGATATTCCCGGCGTGTTGGATATGTAGATCATTTTTGGTTTGATCTTGGAGAGGGATGTTTGTTTACTGTGATGAAATCGTTTGCTTTGACCGCGTGATAATTCGGATGCGCTGGCGCTGGCTCGGCGTCGCGAGCCGTGGGTGCTGAGGGTGTAGGTTGACATGGGGTAGATGGTGGGGATGGTGGGTAGAGGTGGTATGTCTGTTGGGTCTTCTGGGGAGGTAGGGAAGGTTTGGAAGGTGGAGATGGAGGCTTGGGAGTAGGTGGAGCTGCGGGCGCCGAAATTGTGCGGAGGGAGGGAGGGCTGGGGATATAGGGACGCGGGTCGTGGTAGGTGTGTAGGGTGTGTTGGGGATTAAGGCGATGGATGGTGTTGGAAGGCCAGGGTAGGAATAGTTGTCGCTGACCGAGAGAGCGGAGGGGAATGGTGTGGAGGCATTTGGTGTGGAAAAGGGCCGGTCGAGTCGGGCGACGGTCTTTACGGGTGCTTCTCGTGGAGGTGGAGATTTAGGTAGAGGTAGGTGTGGAGTGTTAGGTCTAGATGTCGACGAAAGGGTTATGGAAGGCAAATCAAGTGCCGGTAGCGAGGGCGGTAAGGATTCTCGTGATGAGTTGAAGCGATAGTGATGGGGAGGGAAGAGGGCACCCATAGGTTCGGTCATCTCTGGGGTTGTGGGTGAGTTGGCTGTGGATGTTGAAGGCCATCGTACTGGACTAGTATCGATCCTACCGACCGGCTCGGGACTTTGTCCCACTCCTCGTAAATTTTCATCTATCGTAGCAAGGTGATCTCGTGCATCACCCCAGGACTCATTACGACTTCTGTGTTTAGGAGATACCGGCGATATGTATGAAGTAATTCGCTGAGTATGGACCCTAATTGATTTCCGAACGCCAATTCCTCCCCATTTGAAAATTTGAGCATCATTTCCTTGAAGCTCCGCTGGTTTCTTCGCAAGCCCATCTTCTTCGTCGAGATTCTGGAACCTGCCCCCCGTCGAAGAATTTTTTCGGTTTGCTCTTCGTTTCCATAACAGTCTTGCGATAACGGCAATTATTAATAAGGTGGCCACGACGGCCAAGACGATCATACCTATCACGACATTGCTCAAACCCTTACCAGAAGAGCTATGTGAGGATGTTGACGTCTTAGATGGTGCACTTGCTAGTGATGTCGGCGTAGATGTCGCGGTCACTGACGTAGAGGCCATTGGAGAAGATAATATTGAACTACTCGAAGTTTTACTACTCTTTAATGACGTCGTGGAAGAGCTCGAAGCTCTTGATGTTGTTGACGAGGATGTGAAAATGGAAGATGTGGAGTCATTTATGAGGATACAAATCTGGCCAACGACCTTTAAAGTAGCTATAAAGAATTAAACATGGAATCTGGACGACACAAAGTACAACTCACTGCTAGCATCAAGCAGACTACATGAATTTTGAATACAGCTGGTCGCACTGGATACTGTTGAACCCTGCGTTGGGCTTCCACTTTCATCTGCACAAAAACAACTAAAATCTCCAACGCTACATCCAAGCGAGCCTGTAGCTATGTCCAGACAACTGTCAGAACACGAAGGAAGCGAATTGATCTCGTCAGAAAGGGACTGAGTATTAGCGAAATTCGAAAACAAAAGCAGCATTAAACAATATGAGAAAATCATTATGAATCTACATTACTCGTAGTACCAAAAAAAAGAAACATGAACATCAACATCGCGAAAGGAACCAGAAGCATATCATACGTTGGGTATCCATAGATCTAAATTCCACATGTTAAGACCCCCGGTATGGTATGACATGGAAGACATGGGAAAGATGGGAATAGAATAAGCTCTTAAACTCGGGTGATGGGTCAAGCAACCTATTATTGTAGAGTATCCACAAAAACAAGAGTTTGAATAAGTCAACAGAGGCGCAGCCCGTCAGGGTCTAATGCAGATATTCTCTTGGATGTCTGTCAAAATTAAACAATTGGATTATTTAAGAGACAGCTTGGAGGGTAGGATTAAGGATTAGACTACCATCAGTGTGGTCCGCGTCTCCAGGCCACCGGAAACTAACCGTGAAACGCGCCTACACAGACACCTTATGCTATATTAGGTTTTGAGATCGGAGATTATGGCACAAGAGTACGAACATCAACAAACCAAAAGGTCATAGAATTCCCTTAAATTCTTCCTTGCGCTTAGATCGACCGGTAAGATCATTCGAAGCCTAATTGCAAATGGCCAAGAGAACATCAAAACCAGCAAAGCTAATTCCATTCAGAGCTGATGAAAACAGTGATGTAGGGATGAGTGGATATTACAGCATTACAATGAATTGATCCACTGCACTCGCATCCTCGAAGGATCTAGACATCGATATTCATCCCTGTTTCTCCCACGCTATTTGAGGAAACTACGGAGTACAGAGCACCGAGTAACGTGTTCGCTCGCTTCAAGGGCGCTTCCAAGAATCGGTATGTATATATGTACGTACTCCGTACAAACCTATGAGCATAAAAAGATAAGACAGAAAATGCCACGTCTGAAACATCTTCTAGAATCCGAAATGGAAGCAAGAGAAACATAACTATACATGAGACGAGCGAAGAAAAGATCCCCACAGTTTTGAAAGGATCCTGCACCTCGAGCTCCTTCTTGATCTTCATCTGCTGAAAACTTTCTTCAACAGAAACTACCTATACCCAATACATACATACCAACAAAAGCAAATTCACAAACACAGACATGCGGATGCCGATATTAATATTATACCGGTAGGTACAGCAAAATTGCAATTTCCACGAGCACACCCAAGCTCTAGAATCTGTTAATAGCAAAAGTAATAAAAAACACAACACGGAAACACCGTCCTTTCCCAAACCCAAAATATGCATTGATACGGGTCGGTACATATTCAGTACAGCACCGATGTCCTCGTATAGGTATTTTTGATGATAAAATTATACAAAGGGATAAAAAGTCCTGTCGCTACTAGCTATAAAGTAACATGGTAACATGCGATGTGATGTAATTTATACTTGTCTGTCCAGACCAAGAGAGAATCTAATTGTCTTGTCTTGTCTTGTCTTGTCTAGCATAATCATAATTTACGACCCGCTCTAGAACTCTTCTCTCTCTCTCCCTTCCTTTTCAAATTCCATTCATATAACATAAATATAACCTTAACTGCCCATCTATCTTTCATTTTCGCTTCTCGAGCTCTCGAATTTTCTCTCCTTCATTAAATCTCATGAAATAACTAACTCAGCCGGTGGCTTTAACTACTCTCCACTAGTAAGGGATCGTCCCGACATTATTCACATTCGAAGTTACACACGGCAAGATAGTCATTTGAATCTGCGTTACATTATATAGACTCTCTGCACATTGATCCTTCGACCTGCAATCGAACACACGTGAGATTATCCACATTCAACAACACAGCTCCAGGGTTTTCATTTTCCGAGGATCCAAGTATGATAAAGGTTATATAGATATCGGGAACCAACAACAACAAAGTCTTTGATGGTCTAATGGTCATGATTTCCGCTTGTCATTCATCTGATAGTGCGCGGGAGATCGGGGTTCGATTCCCCGTCGAAGAGAATATAAAATTTAGTTTTCAATCCTTTTTTGGAAAAGGTTCCAAGGAAAATCTTAATTTAAAGTTTGTAGAGCTAGGATTGAATTATTTAATTATTTCACATATTTGATATTGATTATATATTATAAAATTTAATATTTAATATTTTTTTAAAAAATTCTTGTTCACTTTTTATAGGTTTTAAAATTCTTTAGTTTAATTAATATATCTTTATACTCTTTGAGAGATCTCTTATACAAACGACGACTACTACTACTATCACTGGACCACAGGGTAATCTATCGATCCTATAAGATAAGAAGAGTTCTGTAAAAATTCTCACGATTGATTGCTTATGTACACACATACTTATTATATACATATATAATCTAACACTTCTTACTTTAACTTCGCTCAGGATTCTTCACATATACACACAAGAGACGAAAGACCCGAGTTCTCTTCATCCTCACTCCCCCTCCCAGATCAAGTCCCTCATCTTCATTACCTAACCAAGTAACAAATAACCAACTAACCAACTAACCCCATCCCTCTCTCACCAATCTTGTCAATCATGCCAATCCCATCCAGATACACGAACGATCCTATCATAAAGCTACCAACCTACCGTGAATCCCGTAGTAATTAAGCATCCATAACCAAGTACCAAGTACCAAGTACCAACCATCAACCATCTCCCATCTCCCAAAAAACTGCCCATATATAAACATACAATATCCCCACCTGCCCCACCCGACCCATCTCCTTGTAATTATCCAAATCTTTCGAATCCCAAATGTACATATATATGTATATACATCCCCTGCAGGCTCCCGATGTTGAAAGCTCCAATGATTCGAAATTGTTACCAGACTTGGGAGAATCGATAGGGGGTTTCGAGGGTTTATCGCTCGTTTCTTTACCTAGTAGATTAGAATACAGCACACTCCTAAGTGCTCGCTGCTCGGTATGGCTTCCTGAAGTTATTTCCATCATTAGGTACCTAGATATTACTTTGATAGGAGCTGTATTCCTGTTACTTCCATAGATCCATAGTTGTTAGAAATACAAAACTTACTTTCCACTTTGCGAAAATTAACTTGGGAGCACTGAAATATAGCAAAAGCCCACGAGTATAAAATCTAGGTATATTTGCAGTTCAATCAACCATAACCATAACCATAACCATTCCCTGTCCACATATACAATATCCTATGCACAGCTATGCATATCGAAAAGAAGAACGCCAGATATCATACAGCATAAACATAACGACGCCCGAGCCTGTTTTTCATCCAATATAACCAATCCCTCGGCGAACCATCAAGTTTTGATACCCAACACCCATCCGTGCCCCTTCCATTCCCATCCTCCTCCATTATCACATGTTTTTTGATATTAACCAGCCACGCAATGCAGAGAGTTATCTTGGCATTTGTCCCATATTCATCATCTGGCTCTTCTGTGCTTCCTGCATCATCCTTTGTCGCATCATTTCGTTTTGCATCTTTTGCTGATGCTGCTGCTGCTGCTGCTGCTGTTGCAATTGACTTTGACTGAGACCTGCCATTCCCATATTTTGTTGAGCTTGCTGTTGATGCTGTTGCATTTGGCCCATGCCACCCATAACACCCATACCGCCTTGAACCATTTGTCCCTGCACTTGACCTTGCCCCATGCCATTTTGTCCTCCCGTCATATTTTGTAGACTCTGACTCATATCACCTTGTTTCTGCCCTTGTGCTTGCATTTGTTGCGCGTGTTGCTGTGCTTGTGCCTGCGCCTGCGCCTGTGCCTGTGCCTGTGCTCTAGCTGCTGCGTTTGCTGGTTGAGCAGGCATGTCTTTCTTTGGATCTACGCCTGGATATAGGGCTTGGAGCCGTTTGTATAACTCTTTCAATATCTCGCCCCGATTTTCATGCTTTTCTTCGGCTTTTGAGTCATCGCCGTTCGTGATCGCATATGTAGGGTCGGTATGTGCGGGTTTGAGTGTGAGAGGCGGTGCGAACATGACTGCGGGATGCGAGGGGACCTGAGCTGCGGGCTTGTGGGAACGATCGGCGATTGCGGCAAGGTAAGCTAAATTGGACTGTAGTCGCCGCATACATCTTCAAGCTTATTAGTAAATGCTATAATCTCAACATGTATAGGGAACAGACTGAATATATTCGCTCGCCAAAACTTTGTGCTCCGTCTCAAGCTTTGCCTTTTCCGTAGGATCTTCCGTTTTGTTACTCTTCAATTCAGTTTGAAGAGCTATAATCTGCATAACTTCTTTTAACATCTCCTTATTAATATCTAGTAGCACGGTAACCCTCTCTTTCTCTCGAACCTCCGAGCCGGGACTTAATGGTGTACCCATGGCGGTTCCCGCGTTTTCTGGATTCCGTGACCCTGGTGGAAAGCTTGGGGTCTGCGGTGTCAAGCTCATTCCTCCTTGTTGACTATTATGAGTCGTTTGATGATGTTGCTGATTAGGATTGAGTGGTATTGCGAATTGTGCGGTAGACGCACTTGGTGGTGTGCTCTGAGGAAAATTTCCGTAGGGAGAGACACGAGAAGTCGCCGACGTCGGCGTAGGCGTAGAAGATGGAGGTGGCTGCATGCGCTGTATTTGATGTTGTTGTTGCGCTATCATTGTGGAAGGGTTCATTCCATATTGTTGGGGCGCATTTGATGTGGTCGGCATGAAGTTTGTAGGGTGTGATATGGAAGAGGAAGTAGCAATGTTGTTACCGTAAGGAGAACTTGTATATGGTGTCTGATATGAAGGAACTGCTTGCATATAACCGGTCAGTCATTTTGCCTTGCTTGTTTGCTATTGTGAACAGTCACAAAAGTTGCCGCCTATTTGCCTCTCTGCTTAACGCGAATAAAGTATATGTATATTCAAATACCTCGCATGCCTTTCATAGTCTGATGTGCAGGCATTGTCTAGTCTTCCATCCGAACATTGAGGTGTGCACAAGATATGCAGCAGCAATATAAGATTCTAGCAGGCTACAGAAAGTGATAGGGATGTGCAACTTACCATTTCCACCAGCCATATGCGCCAAACCGCTATTCTGCATCATTCCCATTCCACCGGCATTAACAGCCATGCCGGAGCCAGATGCGCCGTAGGGCGATTGATGACCTCCAGCTCCGTATTGTTGAGTATTATACATCATGTGCTGAGGCTGTTGTTGACCTGGTTGATGGACATTTTGGGGAGCCTGTGGATGACCACCATTAGGGTTGAAAGATTGCGTATTGTTCCCCTGTCCAAAAGAGAAATTTGGTGCATACATGGCTCTTGGAAGTCAATAGAAGGGCCTATGATAGGCTGCCTATCATGATCTCAAGTCGCACATACGCCGCACGGCAATGATTTAGCTAGGAAATGCTAGGAGATCAACTTTCGTTCGTTCGGGAATGTGCGTAAGGCAATGCCAAGGGTCTTTGATTCCCGCAAGGTGGTCTCGTTTCGGAACTTTTTCCTGGGGCACTGGGGTAATTTGAAATGGGTGGGCTATGAGAATGTGGGATAGGTAGATGACGGTCTTTTCAGCCTTTTTCCCTTCTGTCCTCTCTTTCTTTTTCAGTATTACGATGCGGGTCGTTTCTGCGTGAGAAATTAATGCGCGTTTGCCTTCGGATGCATCGTAAACAAGAACCGAGCTCAAATTTGGCAAGGATTTTAACCGAAGCTAATAACATCGAGTGGTAGAAAACAATCTGGACAGGGTATATATCTGGAAACTATTCATGCAACGACATGGTATGAGGTTCACTAGTTATCTACAGAGTATTCGAAAGATGATCTAGTTTTGTGATAGAGGATTGATGGGAAGAATTGGAATGGTTCAAATCCTTGAGGATTCATCTTATATGTGGATTGAAGCAAATGAGTAAGGTTACTCAGGATGATTCTCATGATATCGTCGTCGCTCCACCCGACTGACTATTGATGGAAGTCTTTCTGATGAACTCAAAATAATAGGAATGCAATGAATCGAAAACATATCTACCTAGTGGTAAGATCAACGCGTCTAGCAAGGTGCTCCAGCTACCTAGATATGCAAATCATGGATGGACACGCATCAGGACACCTGATGGTACGATCATTGATTCATTAACTTCTTCCTGAAGTTATGGGCTCTCATATAAGGTAGGTATGCAAGTAGACCATTTACATTTGGCGGCGCTTTCATCGGACACGGAATATACAAGTTTTCCCTGCAGGGATTGAGGTCACATCAAAAAGTATAGGGCGGTGATTTGTAACACAAGCAAGCCTTCAATTCCCGAGAATGACTAACTTTATTACTGGGCTTGTTTTGATAAGGGCTGGGCCTGAGCATTTATATTTTACTGAAAATCAATCTTTTTAAAAATCTTTGAAATTAAGAGATTATATCAAGTATAAAAATGAATAAACAAAAAGAATGTTTTAAAATAGGATTATTGTAAATTTTAAAATATTTAAATTTTTATTTAAATTGAATAAAGTTATTTAAAAAAATTCTTTCAAATTGAAAAGTATATACAATTATTAAATAGTTTATTTTAAATTTTTAAAGAGATTTTTTTTTAATGTAGAAAGATATTTTGCGGAGCTCCCCTTTGCAACCACCCCCGGGCCGTCAATCAAAAACAAAGCCTGAGTATTAATAATAACTCCTACTAATCGTTTCAACAGACCGACAGCTATCAATTACCAATATGTAGCGTACTTTGAAGTTCCTTTGACAACATTCAAGAACTCTTTCGCAACAGCCTGACTTGTTCCTGGGGATGGGTGTAATTCATCGTACCACATGTAGCCATCTCGATCTCCTGTCTTTTGGGGACAAGGCGATCCAGAAACATCGCAGAGAATATATGATACGTCGACAATGGCTGGTGCCGGCAAGTACTGTGTTGGATTATTGTAAATGTCGGTAAACAAGGCATTGGTATTGAAGATGGCGATTGATGCTCCTGGATAACGTTTGCGGATTTTCAACTCGAATGGTACCCGGTAGTCAAATATATCATTGGCTAATTTGGTATATTCCTTCATTTTTCCGCTGACTTCTGATATGTTGCTTGGCTAGATTTCGCGTAAGTTGAGAGGCCGTATGAGAAGACTTGAGACACTTACTTTGTTGGGCCAGTAAGAACTAACATTCAATCCTCCTGCATTTGGCATGCCATACAATGGGGTCAATTGCAATGGTGCGTTGTTCATCAACACAAAATATCTAGCTCCGGCTTGATAAATTTCATCAAACCTATCAAAAATGCAATCGACATAGTCTGGAATAGTTGTCCCGTTTATAGAAGAGTCTGTAATAAAGCCGTTTCTTCCCAGATCGTTGGTACCGATCCACATTGAGTATACCGTGTTATCCGATTTGCGGTTGGTGTAAAGAGTGTTGGTATTTGTGGATGAATTGACGTACTTGATATCCGCGACGAAAGCATCAACTTCGTAGACAACATCGGGGAAAGGCCCATCGATGCTCGCTAGGTATCGGTACATCAACTTGTTAGAGCAGACCGCTCCGGCGACAGCATAATCATAAAGCTTAGCCCCACTGTATTCGGACACCCTTCTATCCCATACAATACCTCCAACAGCAGTCAAGTTGCTTGTGGGAAGAAGTGTCCCGGGTGGTGGTGCGGAACCATTATGACTTTGGAAATAGCTCAATCGAGACTCGTCTGTATAGCTATTGTTTGAATTCATGTTAGCATTCTTCTCAAATGATAGCCCTACAATGTAGAGGATATTTGCAGAGTAGACTACTGTCGTCTTACCTATCTCCAAAAGCTACCAAGTTCTCGAAATGCGGAATCCAGCCATTCTTACTTGCTCGTGATGTCAAATCTGCTTCCGATGGATTGGGTACAGCAGTTGCCGCCCCATATCCCATAAATAAAGAGACCGAATAAGTAGAAATCTTCATCTTGCGTGTTGTCTTTAATCACAAACTAAATAGTAATACAAGTCAAGTAGTATAGCTGAGGCATGACGAGAACTTCCTCAGCCTTTATATCTACACATCTCCCGCCACCTTCAATTCATCCGAAAACGACCGATTCCCCGCGCAGTAATTTCGGAGTACCATTCAACCCTTCACATAAACATCGTCCGAATCATGGAAAGCTGAAGAACTCAATTTAGCAACTAATGTACCCCGCACAAATGCTCGGCCGAAATGCACGCCGGTTAAATCGGTGGAAGAACCGTGGAAATAAACGGTGAGAATGAACGGTGAGAATGAACGGTGAGAGGGCACGGTGAAAACAAAGTTCTAATGCAAAACCAACCCAAAATTTTGAGATGATGGCCAGCCCATGCGAGTAAACGCAGATAAGAACTCATATTGAAAGCCTCCTTCTGGAAATGGGTCGGCAATGGCTCACGGGTCGGATTATTCAGATTCCGATGTCCTTTTTAACTCTCGCATCGGAATAGCGCAAATTCCCATACCCATTGATCTATATATGGAATCTTTAATTCTTCACATATTATTATTTTTTAACAAGTAGACTGACTGGAATTCAAGCGTTGGAGGAGCACGGCTTCTTGATTTTGTATTATCCGCCGTAGCTGCGGCTACTCTATTCCAAAAGGTTTAGTGTAAGTTACGTGAAGGAGTCCGTGTGTTATCAAACTGACAAGGGTCTATGTACCCGCCGTTTTCCTTCTGTCGCTAGTCTTTCAACGCTCAACGTTTGATTCGTGATATTCGACACACGCTTTGTGATTAATCCATGGTTTTAGAATGTTTAGTTTATTTGCAGTGTAAAAGTTTGCGGTGTGGAAGGCGATTTCCTGGCTGTTTTGAGCCCATGAAGCCATATTGATGAGGAGGTAGAGAAGTATATTGCTTCGCAGCACAATGGACCTTGGTTGCCTGTATGTAAATTGTATATCATAACGCTCCTCATACATCTAGCGAAAAGCTCATCTACGTATGAAATACTTCTCAGCTCCATTATCAAATGATACCCTAATTCAATGATGTGATGTGATCTCCGTTAAGTATATATATTTCAGTAGCTTCTAGGTAAGCCAAGAACCTTCTCTCCAACATAATTCATGATCATTTCTCTCGAAACTGGTGCAATCCTCGGAACGAAACACTCCCTTAGGTATCTCTCAACATGGTATTCTCGAGCATAGCCCATGCCTCCCAAGCTTAACACGCTTCTTTCACAGGCAGTAAAGGCTGCCTCACCTGCTAAATACTTTGCGCTATTGCACGCAACACCAACAGCTGTCTCTGTTATTGTTTCATCCGTCCTTGACCTATCATACAAACTTGCTGCATGATAAGTTGCTAACTTTGCAGCTTCAAGATGCATGTATGCGTCGGCCAGTGGGTGTTGAATACCTTGATTCATACCTATGGGTCGACCAAAAACGATTCTTTCCTTTGCATACTGGGAGGCTCGATAGAGAGCGGCATATCCAAGACCTAGTGCTTCCCCTGCTAGAAGGCATCGTTCAGCGTTCATGCCATGGAGTACGATTTTGAAACCTTGGCCTTCTTTGCCAATTAGTGAGTTACTACTAACGGTGTAATTGTCGAAGAACACCTCGTTTGCATCAATAGCACTTCCTCCCATCTTTTTGATTTTCTTGAGTTCGAGACCTGGCTGTTTAGGATCAAAATCAATGAAGAAAAGAGATAGGCCTTCCGAAGGCTTTGCCACTTCTTCAACCGGGGTAGTTCTAGCCAATAGTACCATCTTCGTTGCAACTTGTGCCGAGGATATCCATATTTTCTGACCGGTTATCCTGTAAGTATCACCTTCACGCGTAGCTCGAGTTTTGAGTTTGAGAGTCTCCAAACCAGTGTTGGGTTCGGTGACTCCAAAACATGCTCGCCAGGTGCCATCGATTAGCTTGGGTAGCATACTTTGACGTTGGGAGGCAGTGGCAAATTTTGCGACAGGCTGAGTGGCGTAAACATCTATATGAATTAGAACTGAATTGCTAGAAAGAACTGATATTTTATTGTTGCATTGGATCAATGTGAGAAGTTTGAGGTCCGGATGCCAGAATCAATGCAATGGAAGAGTTTCGATCGAGTGGAAGTCAATAGTAAATATGGGTTAGACAGACTTGCATGTATGCTTTGTGCACCAGCCATACCCGCACCGCTCTCTGAAATCGTATGCAACATCATAGTAGCCTCCGAGATACCAAGACCGGATCCTCCAAGTTCTTCTGGAAGGGCAATGCCAATCCATCCACCTTTGGCTAAATCTGCATGTAATTCATGTGGGTATTCACCAGATTCATCATGTTTTGCCCAATAATCCTGATACCATCAGTGAGAATACTCATGGCATTTCTGGCCGGATTAATCTTACATCAGGATATTTTGAGCAGATTTTGGAAATTGCTTCTCGAACTTCCAATTGTGTGTCTGAGAAACCACTTGTTTCCATTAGAGTATTGGCTCTTCGCGGGGTTGAAACTGTGAACGCTCTTCTAAAGAATGCATTTTGGTACAGTCTTAGGCCGAATGATCTGGAAATTCTTGATATTCTCGTGCAAGTCATGATGCTTTTGCGAACCAATTTGAAAGTGTTTAGGGTTATCTCCCCAAGCTAAACGATCACTTTCGTTCCTTTCATAAACAAGAGGAAAATGGACAGAGTGGAAACGGGAGGAGAAAGAAGAGCTAGTGATTGCCAGACCTTGTTTACTTCATTCCCCGGTCCAATCATCATCACATTTGGGGAGGCCCACCAGGTGGCCGTCGCTGGTAACTTGTTGTTCCCGTGGTAAAGCCGGGTAAGAGCAGATCCAATCACGTGATAGAGAAACTCGGGACGAGCGATGAACGCGCTTGTGTGGGCAACCAAAACAATACGACAGCGTCACCCAGGTTTATGAATTTTAGGTCCTCAGTTCATTTTCTCATGACCACCGCAACACAAATTGCCCAACTACCAATTAATGCTAATTACTTACAAAGATATGATCTTATGATTTCGCGAGTAAATAATCACGTCAAACGACTCAGTACATTATAACACGACGCGCTGCCCCGAACAGCAGAAGGGATGGCGGCAATGCGACCAAACAAACGATTACAAGTAGGGTCGAAAGGATGGTTAACAGAGGAGCGATCGAACGCGCTACAGCTTGCGGAGACGGAGGCGGAAGAATTCACATTTGCTGCAAGGAATGAAATTGAATGGTTGAATGAACATATGGCGGAAATCTTCACCAAGAACCAGGTGTATGTAAACATACCTGCGACAAAGGGTTCGAGCTAACCTTCTGCCTTCCAGAAACGTTGCCGAAATATTTAAAACACCTGGGAAGTTACGTGGGAAGACGCCTAGAACGGCTAGGAAGTTGAATCAATTGGAAGTGCGCGCAGTATGTCTATCAAATTTATGTAAGATCCACGCTAACATCCAGCAGCCATTATCCGATGTGTTTTCAGCAACACTGCAAGGAGCCCCCAGCCCGTTTCGACGTACCCATTACGAGCGATCACCACCAAAGTTTCGAGTGGCGGAGGACGCCCCAGCTGACCCTCAAGAGGAAGCCGCTCAGTCGCAACCTTCTCCCTCGCAACCTACCCCTTCACACCGTCCATCTAGCTCTGGTACTTTGCATAGTAGTGTCCAGCACAAATCTTTCAATAACGCGCTTGATTCTGGATATTATGGAAGCCAGTTTGAGGAGGCGACTCAACCTAACACTCAGCTCACCGAACCGGCTTCTTTCACCTCAACCCCACCCCGACCTGTTACAACCCCACAGGATACTAACGCGGATAAAGATACTGCCGAGGATACTGGGGATGCAGATAACGAGGAAAGCAAGTCCGAGGAGGGCGGGTCACCTTCCACGCGAGGAGCAACTGCAGACACTGAGCATGAAGAAAGACGAGTTATCGAGGACTCCCTTCAACCTGCACAAGAAGACTCGCCAATATTGGCCACTATTGAGGTTGAACCAGAAGAAGATCAACAAGTTGAAGAAGAAGGTAAAGAAGAGGAACATGACCAATTCGTGGGAGATGTCGAGTATCCAAATCTTGAGTCGCCAGCGCAGAATCGAACCCCAGTCTACCAGTCGCCGGAAAAGCGTTCGCAGCAGAAATCTCCATCCAAATCTCCTGCAAAGCCAGATTCTCCATTGAAAGAAGCCTCCATAGAGCCACACTCATCGCCAATGCCTCCTGAAGACGAGGACGAGCAGATGGATGATGCTCCTGACGCTCAATCTGCTTCCGAAGGATCAAGTCCTATACGCCCGATCTTTCGCAAGAGCAGTTTGAATTTTGCTTCTTTGCCTGCTCGAGATTTGTCCAAGAAGAGTCTCGGGCATCGTACGTCGCGAACGAGTCATCTTGAACAGACACGTACTAGTCATTATGGCCGACCTACAGGTGGAAAGAGTCTAGGTAATGTTAAGGAAGACCTCGCAAACAAAGATGAGGACGAAATGGAAATTGATGAAATGCACGGCCCGACTGGACGGGAAGAATCTGAGGCAGAAACGTTACTAGCACGCATTCACAACAAGACTTCCACGCAGCGTCTTCAGGACCAGATCAGCATGCTTGGTCAGTCGCAACCTGCAACCAGGCCGGCATCAAAGTCGCTTGTTGGTGGTGTCATTGCCTCTCGACAGTCGACACAAGCGGTTCAACCTCCAACGCCACATCGTGGACAAGAAGAATCATCCTCACAACAAAGGAACAAGTCGTTCGCTACTCCAGGCGCCTTTCCAGAAGACGAAGATAGCTGGATCGGACCTCCAACAACAGCACTGAACGAGAAGTCTATTTTCAGTCCTCGCCCAACAATTGCCAAGACTCACACCACAGATGTAATGGAGAGCATACATAACAAGGAGACTATCAGTGGCTCAGAATTTATGATTCCAAAAAGGGGTGATGGAAGGCAAACATCGCCTGTCCGTGAAACGAATGTACAGGGTCTAACTAAATCTATCTCGACTTCATTCATACCTTCTAAGAGGGGAGTTGAGTCACAGAGCCCCAACAAACTGACATCGGTCTCCAATCCAAATCTTCCCATTAGTACAATTGATGAGGACTCTACAACCCCTCCAAAGTCCCCTCCAAGGACTCTTCGGGGTAGCCCTTTGAAGGTTGCTAAAGACAAGTTTTCTTCGATACTCAAATCTGGAAAAACCTTGTTTGTAAGTAGTGCAGCTGCGAGTGCTGAAGCTAAAATTGAAACTTTATCGTCATCGGCCACAAGATTTAATCAAAACAGTGTGCCTTCCTTCGAAGATGTTCTTCAAAGTGAAGCGAATGACGTAGAAGTTTCGTATCCGAAAATTATGGATACGCATAGTTATGACCATGCTTCCAATCGTTTCCAAAGTCCCACCAAAGCTCCCATTCGAAGGACTCGAGCATCTACTGAAAAGGAAGAGAAACGCAAAGAAGAGGCCGCTAGAGAGGCCAAAGAGGCCAAAGAAGCACAAAAAATGAATGACCAATTGGAGAAGGCACGCATGAAGGTCAAGGAGGACGCACGTGTTTATCATCAAGAGCAAGAGCGAGCGGCAGCCATTCAGAGGGAGGTGACTGCCCGGAAAGAGCAAGAGAAATTGGCTAAGTCGACCCAAGTCGACGTGCCAAAGACAACTCGAAGTAGTCCACGGAGAACGAAGGCTCAGTTGGAAACAGAGGCCATGGCAACGGCGGCAGCTTCATCTTTGAAAGCATCTTCTAGTAGAGATGTCGATATGACCGATGCATCCGCGTCAATGCCGCCGCCTTCTATTCCAAGACCGAAGTCTCAGATCGGGCGACCACAGGCCAAGCGACCATTAAAACCAGTAAAAGACACTGCTCCGAAAGCTAAGGCGCCTGCAACTGTTATACGGGTTGACACTGGCTCCTCACGTGGTCAGCAGTATCATCCATCTAATACAACACTTGCGGCGACCTTAGAACAGTCATTACAAAGTTCCCAATCTGGACATCTGCGCAACAAAGCTAGCAACAGTTCGATACAAAGTAAGTCCTCTACTAATAGCTTCAAAGCACAAGCCAATAAAGCTTTGGAAGCTGCGGCAAGGAAGAAGGAGGCGGACGAACTTGCTGCTCAACAGAGAAGGGACGCGAAGCTAGAAATGGAACGTCAAAGAGCCGCTAGCAAGGAAGAGCAAAGACGCCAGAATGAGCTCACTATCAAACGTGACCAAGAGCGTCAACGGGAACAGCAAAAGGAGATAACTCTGAGTGAGGCTAATAAAAGAGCCATCGAAAGGGCGAAGCAAAAGAGAGCTCCGCCTCCGGCTATTAGACCTCAACAAAATACCGATCAATGGCATGATAAGTCATTGCCACCGGTTCCACCCCAAAGAAATGATCTAGGCGGACAAGCAAAAACCACCCGTATCAACACTGCAAAAGCACCACCAAAGAGACCTTTGCAGGAGAACAACGAAGAGGCTGCTCGTCCACCAATGCAGCGGACTGCGCCACCAAATCATGGTGATTCCCGCAGCAAACGACAAAGGACCAACGAGTTTTTCGATGAAGAAGATGAATTGACGGAGTCTCATCCTAAAATGACTGCTCCCCCAATTCGTCAATCTAGTATTCGTCCAAAGGTAAGCGTACATCAATCGTCGATTAGGTTTACCATTCTAACTCAAGATAGGAGATGCCCACAAAGTCGTTGTTTGCAAGTGGATATGCCCACGCTCCGCCGCCTGCTAATTTGCAAAGATCCACTATCGTGTCACAACACCAAAATAAAGTTGGTAACCCGATGGATATGACTCAGGTCTCAAAAGGAGCCATCCCATTTGCGTCGAGCTCGAATGGACAGTCATACAAAACACCAGCACGTACTGCAAGCCATGCCTCAGCGAAGGCAGCAAGATCAGCAGCAAAATCTTCGCCACGATATGAGAATGGAGAAAACATTGTTCTTCCCGAAATACCTAGTGATAGTGATGATGAAGAGGACGAAGATGAGGAAAAAGAAAAGAAAGAGTTTCAAGGTCTTGGCTGGACAGATTCTCCCGAGATACGCAAACAATTGGCACTTCAGGAATCCATTGATCCATCTAAGATTTTTGGACGACCCCAGGCTTTGAACATGGAAGAAGTGTTCGATAAAAGTAAGGATCGATTCCACAAATTTAGGGCTAGGACATCCAGTGCCAACTGGAGTGGCTCTGACCGCCTCACCGAAGAGGAGGTGCGTAAAGATTTGGAGGGAAGAGATCGTGTGAGAAGGCAAGGTGGATGGAGTTACGATGCCTCATTTTGAGAGTCGAATTAGTAAGAGAGCCCGTGGTTTCAGTTACTACTTCAGGACCTTCATGGGAAATGGGCATCGAGCTTTTATATTTTGCATTAAAGTGAATTATGCAGAGGATATTATGGCTGCTGGGCTATTTGAATTCTGGATGATGGAATTCTGTTGCTAGGTTATCTTAGAGTCATGACGAGGCTTTATTGTGGATTGGCGATGGAGTATGATTTTACCTTTCCATAGGAGTTTTAAGGGGATCAATAACAAATGAGGCGAAAATCAATCGTTTTCGCAGGCCTGGGAGTCCCTCGTACATAAGTACAAACAATGAATAGGAATAAGCCAAATGATTGCATGTCTCGCTGGTGATTTGTATGTGTGATTTACTATGGTTGTGGGTCTTGTTTGCCTTGACCTGGTGATCATTCATAATGCTAGTAAGATATGAACCTCATTCAGTGTATAGTGATGACCACATTTATGGTAGAGGAGGTTGAGGGTATCCGGGTTTGAGGCAGAGATACATACTAACTACTGCGTCAGACACTATATTGGAGTATTTCATTGTGGTTTCTCCGCGAGGATATTTTTTATCAACTAATATTATTCTCTAGCTGACTGACTGACTGACCTTTTGATCGATGATAAATTGACCGACCGCCTTCTGAATTCATCCATCAGTAAGTAGATGATTAGAAGAAATAATGTTTTAATATGATTGGTATTTACTACTGAACTGAGTGAAGTTCATAGTTACAATACCTATAGCTATAGAAGCAGAATGAAATGCTTACAGTGAAATGGGTATATATACAGAGTAGAGAGAGTTGATAAGAAACTACTTCACAAGTGTTATTATTAGTAGTATATGGCAATACACAATATAAAGATGTGGATGTTGACTAGAACCATGACATGATATCGGTCATCCTTTTCACTAACAGAGAGTGGTTGTTGTTGGCTAGTGGTGATTCGTGTTGGTTAGTGGTTAGCCCTTCCAAATATAATTTGTTTCCAGGGTAGTGGATCCCATCGGCGATTATTAGCCATTAGCCGCCCCTCCATTTTATCATAAACAAACCAGGTAAAAAGGGTAAAAGTGCCCAGATACCTCAAAATAGGTATCACAGGCCAAAAAAGCTCGTCTTACTATTTCACTACCAACCTTCCTTTACTGACGGATAGATCCCAAAAGCTTTCCTCTGATCTCAACTTCAATATTTACCTGGAAATTAATTTGTGCCAGATTACACCAGAGTTGGACATACCATACACACAGGATACAGCCCACCTAACTCGAGATTTGGTCCTTGTCAATTTAAATAAAAAGGGTAGCTGGGGCAACACAGGTTCTTTCAACTTCCCTTTCGCTATTACACCCCAAAACTTCAGAAGTCTTCCCATATTTCCAACATCACTTGCCGAATGGAATATTCAGTCTATCAGTAAATTATTGTCTGCCATCAGGTCCAACAATCCAGCTCGCGGTTACGGCTCCGGAGCAAGGCAACCTTTGAAAATACATTTTGGCATTCACACCCAACGTCCTGCTCTGGCCTACCATTCAAATATGGTAAAGGCAGATTTTGATCGGGATTACTATGCTGATCTCGAGATTGAGCAAGGAGCCTCAATAAATGAGATCAAGAAGCAGTTTAGAAAACTTGGTACAAAGTCATCCGCTTTCCCCCGCACCTAAAACTAATCTTTTCTCTTGACAGCTCTCGTGTATCATCCAGATAGAAATTTAGGAAAAGAAACCGACATAACTGCCAAGTTCCAGGCCATTCAATCCGCACATGAAGTTCTTACGGATCCATTAGAGCGACAGAGATACGATGATGCTCGATCCAGATTTCGCTATACATCAGCTTCAGCTTTTAGATCTACGAAAGGCAATCCATATTCAAGCTATGGCTCTGAATGGGCTCCTCCACCTAAACCACCACCATATCGACCTAATAGGAATCCCCCTCCGCAATCTGCCGGTGCTGCAAGATACTCGACTTTCCAAACACCGAAACAATCAGCAAGCGCGGCGGCACAAGAGGGGCCTGAGGCAAGGAAGAGTACATTCAATGCATGGGAGAGCATGAAGGGCAACCAAAGGGCATCAGCCAGTTATAGAACTGGTTCTGGACCGACATGGACTACACCGAAAGCAGCGCCCAGGAATCAATATGACCGCGAAGAAAGCAGTAGCTTCAAGAACACTGCGCCTCCAAGACACAAGTCAAGCTTCGACGACTTTAGGTCTGAATCATACCATGCGCGAACCCCGAGTAACCCTGCACCTCCTATACCGAAAAGAAATGGATTCATGCCTAGCAACCCAGGGGCCGATGAGCCATCTGCAGGGAAGGGAAATTACTCTACATCTCGCGTCAATCGAAATATGCCACCACCCCCGCCACCAAGAGAGGCTCCGTCGTTTGAACAAGAACGAGAAAAAGCGTATACTCCTGCTTCGGCTCCTCCTGTCAATAATAATACCCGTCCATCTCCGAAGATAAACGATCCATTACGGGAATTCAGGGCTGAAGAAGAGCCATCTTACGAGCCTCGTCTCAGTACACCATACGCCAGTGCCGGGGGAGAAAAATTTGATCCATTTGACGCAGCCAATTTAGCCAAGTCGAAGAGTAGTCGAGAGAGTTTTACTGAACCGAAAACTAGAAAGCCGGTCCCAAGGGCAGGATCTGATCCTGACCTAAACTACCCAAGTTCAAATAGTACCCCAAAGGATAGTACTCCAAAGGATAGCTTTCCCAGAGTTAGCATCCCAAAGGATAATTTTCATAGAGATAGCATCCCAAAGAATAGTTCTCCCAAGGATAGTACTTCAAAGGATAATTTTTCCAAGGATAGTTTTCCCAAGGACAGTATTCCGAAGGATAGTATACCAAAGGACAATGTTCCAAGAGTTAGTATTCCAAGAGTTAGTATCCCCAAAGATAGCATTCCAAAAGATAATATTCCGAGGGATGGTATTCCGAGGGATAATATTCCAAAGGATAATACTACGAAGGATAATACTACGAAGGACAGTACTCCAAAACCAGCACAGTCTTTCGCAACGTCGCCCGATTCATCAGATTCCGGGAATGCCCCAGAGATCAATGCCCAAAAACCGCGGGTTTTTGCCCAGCCTAGGAAACCTACCTCAGCCCAAGAGCAAAGACAGCCAGTTACTACTCCACCAGAAACATCAAACCAAAGTAAGCGTGATTTTATCCAAGCCTTCCAGCAAGAGATGAACAATCCCAACTCAAACTACTTTCCGAATGCTAACCCCTTTACAGATGGACCTGCAGCCCAAGAAGAGCCAAAACGCCAATCTTCAATGTATGATACATCTTCTAAGTACACTGCTTCTGATCCCAAGGAGCCGTTTCATCATCTCAAGCATGCATCATTTCCTGGAACCCCTCTGCGTCCGCCCCTTTCATACTCCAAAAGCATGCAGGATGCATACAGAGAAAAGTATCCTGGATCTTCTACTACTTTAAGAGGGCATCACGCTGCATCACCTCCTAGTGGAGGTTCTTCTCATCATTCGGAGGATTTTCAACAAGGCCAAAAGGAGAAATTGCATCACAAGAGCGGCGTATTCACTCATAGCTTGAATACTTTCGAGGCTGCTCAACACAACCTCGTCGACCGATTGGTAGCCAATAAGGAGCGGGCCCAGAATCTCCATCAAAATGGTCATGTGAAGTCAGTCAAGAGTGCCAACTACCAGGTCCACAATGACAAGGCCATTTATTCGTTCAAAGCAACGTCGGCCGGAACAAGTAACTTCATCAAAAGACCAACTTCTGTCACTAAATCTCATTCTGCATTTTCAGCTGGCGATTCGCGTTTGAATTCTTTGTTATTGGATAAGTTAAATGCACATGCTAATATCAATTCTCAAAACAGCTTTTCTATGAAATTAGATGATGATACGTTCTCTCCTACTCGACCAAAAATTAATACCACCTTTTCCTCAGCGGATTGGCGTGGAAAATTTGAGGCTGGTGGTGATTATTTGATACCAGAGCGGAAAACTACTCAGATTCCACTTCACTCTCATTTCCGCGCTCAGTCAGCAAGTCGGCCAAGACCTCGTTCTCCTGTAAAAAGCCGCTCCGCTGATTCGAAACCTTTTCCAGCGCGAAAGCTAGACTCCGATGCACCAATCGGATCCCCTGGTGGCACCAGGTTTTCTGCGAAGGATTGGGAAGAAACATTCAAACCTCAAACATTCGCTCCTCCATCAATCCCGTCGCCTATTAAACCTTCTCTTCCTCCACGAGTCGGGTCTCGGAGGCTAAGACTGCCTATTCCTAAACCTACTGTTGGTTCTGCTGCTGTGTTTAATGAAGATGATAGCTCAGATGATAAGCCACTCTTTGCTGGCAGGAATCTGAAAGCTCCAAAACCTCCGGCTAGTCCAGATGCGATGGATGTCGATTCTCCTCCCCCGGCGACACCAGCCCCACCACCACAAGCTCCACAAACTCCACCGCCACAAGCTCCACCGCCACAGGCTTCCCCACCAAAAGCTTCACCACCAAAAGCTTCACCACCAAGGGCTAATGCTAGACTGAAGATTAACACCGACCAACTCAAAAGATCTGCAGCCTCTTCCCAATCTCCAGTCGATGCAGAAGGCTTAGGGGTCGAATTCCATGATTTAGACATTCAAGACCTTCTTTCTTCCCTCAATTTACCAAAGCCTCCCACTGCCCCAAGATATTCCCATGAATCATATACAGCATTGTCACAAGGTATCTATTTATCTGCATTTACAGCTTACATGGGTGACTGGGATTTCTTCGCCAAACGTATGTTGTTACATCTCCTTGCACGCAAGAACCAAAACGATGGGCTAGGATCGAATCGCTGGGAGAATCCTCAGGGTTTGGATATTTATAGGCGTGGGCTCAAAGAGGATGGTGCGGTTATGAGTCACTGGGTTGCGGCCGCGGCAAGTCATGATCAAGCTATGAAAGAATTTGCTATTAATAAAGAGCGTTTCGACATAGCAGACGGCAGAGATAGGGAACGGCCAAGGAAGAAGACACATTAAAGTAAATTTCGTGTGATCTTGTTTTATAGTATTACTAGTTCAGTGATGGTTTACTCAGACATTTTTGTTATTCGGTGAGTATTATTTTTCTAGAGAAATCATTAAGAAAGATCACGGTGGATATTTATGGAATGAAGGAGTGATGGTGGGGTTTCTGGAGATGAAATGGAATGGATGCATTGATGGATCAAAAAGGGATCATTTGGTGGTGTGGTTCGGAAGTTCTGGTTCAGGTTCTGGTGTTTCATCTTTGTGATTCTTTGGGTTTATTGATTGTTTGGCTTTAATTGGTTCTTTTCCAGATACCCCTTGGGATAAGGATGGATTGGCATACATATCAGGATTCATTTGCTTACTAATGTCTAGTTTGGCAAAGAAATGAAGATGTGATGCGTCGTCAATTCATGGTAGGATTTTTCGAATGTTTTTTATGCATGAATGATGAATGGATGGCTGGATGGATTGAGCATACATACATACATCATACATATGACACACTTTAGAAAAATAATCTTGTATTTATAGTATCAAGTATTTACTTTTTTGAGATTTCTCTCTGGCTTTTTCGTTGGTTGTGAGTTTTGGATTGTTTTGTTGATTGGATTCATTTGTTTGAATGAGTGAATAGATGAGTGGATGAATGAGTGATTAAATGTTATAGATATGAGTTGAAGAGCATGTGATTATATTATAGTGATGTTAAGTTTATAAGATATCTATCTATCTAGATGTCCCCAAACTATCTACCTAGGTAAGACTTACTTAAATATAATCTATAAATAAAAGATGGAAGGTAAGAAATGAGGGATAACGGAAAGCGAGGGGGATTTTGAGATAATTTGGTTGTATATTTGATTGTTTTATGGATTGGGTCGGATGTTGTTGTATGTAAGAGAAGGAGAGGAGGGAGAGGAGGGAGAGGAGGGAGTGGTGGATGTATTGTATTATGTTGTATTGTATTTTATTATGGTGAGAAGGGGTTTATTGTTATAATGCTTTTGCTGAAGGAAGGGGGCAAATGGAAGAGAAGGGGAACGGAGGAAAGAGATGGAAGGGAAGGATGAAAAGAAAAGTTAAAGAGTGAGAGTAAGGGTAAGATAAGGGGGGAAAGGAAAGTTAAAGGGTGGGAGTAAGAATAGAAGAGGGTTTCGGGACTTGAAGAGATAATTGAGTGAGTGGATGAGTGTGTCACGATTCACGGATTAGATTATAGTAGTATTATGAATATCGGTGATTCTGCTTCAGGAAACCGCAGCTTCTTGAACAGGGAATACGTCGCTTAACCCTCGGGTTGCTCTAATGCCATCCACCATACAGCTGTTAGCCCCTTATCCCTGCACACTTCTGTATAAATGTAGCACTGTTTCCCATGCTCCTCGCCGTTCTGATCTTCTTGAATTTTTCTTCTAACTCTTTATCTTCTTGTCTCCATCCATTGTTCTAGGCATTTGTTGGCGCTAGCATATTGCAGCTACACCTTTTCGGGGTTTGATTGTCTGTCCCGCGACCCTCAAATTTCCTCTTTAAAGCTTTGGCTGGGCTTTTGATTCGTCTTCAGTTCTAATGAGTATTTCCTCAATTCTCAAACATAGCACTGCTCATCATCCTGATCATCGTTGCCTGATATCTAATCGACTTTGCCTCCTGAGTACACTTCCTTGCCTTTGTATACAAAGCCCTAGTCTTTCGATATAACTGAAACCCTGATTATAATAATATAGGAGATTCTTGTCAGGCTTTCTTTTAGATGTCGCCCCCCCTTGAAAGATGGTTAAGAATTATGTTGCAGCAAGGATGAGTGATGTGGATTGTTATTCTTTCCTTTTCTCTTCACCCTAAGATACTAGTGTTAAAAGCGCGGGTGATCTTCCGTCGAGAGACACCAGGTCAAGCGACGAGCTACTTAACAACGCGCAAGTCACCTACGCGAAAGACGTAAAGCGTATAAGGCACGTGAAGGATTAGCACGATCACGAGACGCGCCCTTCGGGCAAGAGGAGAGCTGGAGCCAATAAGCAAGGTGGATCCTGGGGTTTTACAGGAAAGGGCAATGGTATAAGGCGGCTGTGTGTACTTTCAGCAAGTAACCGTTCTGATCTACTAGATAATCTACTAAACAATAGTAATAGTGTATCGCTCCTCCGCGTATTTTGGTGTATCTAGGATCCTAGCACACTCTGACTTGGCAGTCTGAACGCCAACTCCTTGTAGTAAGTCAACGAAATTCTCCAAACAAGCGTCATATAAAGTCCGTAGTCCATTTCTTTTCCATATTCCGTTAGCTTTGACCCTGCCACGACGATCCTCTAACAACCATATCCCTACTCTGTGGAATTCACCCTTCTTCGTCTCGCTAGGTCCCAGAATCAACCCCCTGAAACATCTCCCATCAAGCTCCTGATCTGGATCAGCCGACCCAGTATCAAAAATAGGCAGTATAAAGACATTGCGGTCATCATCTGCACGGGAATCTGGGTGGGCTCCAAGAATGCCTAGTAATGTACCACCACCTGAAGTGACAAATTGCCAGCGCTCGAGCCAACTATCATGCCGTTTCTGTAATATCCCCGGAAGCATAGCTTTACAACAAAGTTCCATGGTTCCTTTGGTAACTTGTACATAAGGATCGGCTCCGGCATATGTCAAGGAGGAGGACAGAACATGGGCACAAGTATGACCGGTGTAAATCCTAGAGCTTCCATAGTAAATTTGCCCATCGATAGAAGCCCACGACCAGCTGGGCGCTCGATAAGGCTCCCATGAAGCTGGTCGGCCCTTCTGATTTTCTCCTGCTACAATCCATAATAATTGCTCTTCGAGGTTGGTCCTCCACAAGCCAGCTAGATATTCATCGCCTGTCTCCTCATTGGCGGCGAAAGCAATTCCTGCTATAGCAACCAACTTATCTTTGCTATAAGTAAGTTGTGCTCCGGTATATTTGTTTACTATTTCACCCCAGCGAGAATAAATCCCAGCGAATTTCCGCTTGGCTATCCTTGGTGAGTACTCCCTCGCATCCCCATACCTACACTCCCATATTATTTCGTTTGGTGCAAAGTGAAGAACTCGTGGCGACAGTAACCTCTCTTGTAGAGTCCATGCTCTGCGTCCTAATGGCAATTCTTCGATCAGCCCACAAGGTTGCGCAATATTCCACCCGTTGCTACAGTCGTTAAAGGGGTGTTCTACTCGAATATGTCCAATATATTCTTGGGGCTTGAGGAAGCACCCTATCGTGCCGTTGGAGGCCCCTGTAGCGGCAATAGTGATAGCTGATCCACGATATACTGATGCCATAGAAGCTGACTCGATCTCCCAGTCCGCTTCGGAGTCTTGGATGATACAAAGTGAATCAATCCATATATAGTCAATCCCTATCGACTGTACAAATGAAATGGCTTCCCGGAAGGTTTTAGTGAGCTTCTCTGTTGGTATCATCTTTACCATGGAATCGAGTGACTCTGTAGTAAGTTTCAAGAACTCAAGACTTCCCCAACAGTGGCTTAGAGTTGCGTATATTGGTTTTGTTTCTAGGTTTGCGGTAAGAACTAGTCTGGCGGAATCATCTTTTATCGCAAGAAGTCTTGTAGGTAAATGGCAATCAGACTTCTTGGTACAACAAGAATGAGACTCAAAGCAAGTAGTAATCCATCGACGGGCAACCTCAAATTGCGATAGCTCTAGCCCTTCTGGCCCAGCTAGTGTAGTTGGTTCTAACAAAAACGGGTCTAAGAAATGCATCAATTTTAAGATATATTGTAGAAAAGATACTAAATAGGGCGACTTACCAGGAACATCAACAGAAATTACGGATAAAGATCCCAAAATATTGAAACCCCAGTTATGGGGCTCCCCGGGTAGGTTCAACTTCAATCTGGGAGTACGGCCGTGATTAATTTCCACTATCATGTAGATGGTCGTGGGTTTTCCAAGACACTTTCTTCGAGTTTCGATCTTATAAAAAGATTCGATAGTCATAGTCTTCATTCTCCTCGAACATTCTTGATGGCATTGCTCCAACAGTATACACAGGCGGCAGCCTTGTTTATAAGAAGCTTGGAACTCGGCTGTACATTGAAAGTGCGGGCGCACTAGAAAGTCATCTTCATCTTCATCTTCATCTCCACCTTTCTTTTTATTGCTCTGATCCTTGGACAAAATATCTGGTAAAATCTCTAGGAATCTTTGACAATTATGGCAAAATCCACCTCTGATTTGGGTACGAGTCTTCCACTCGTTGATTCCTTGAGAAATCGCTTCCATGTCCAGTGTATCGTTAGTTAGACTCTCCGAATGGTAGCGGCTGTTGTTGCGACCTAGCTCGTCCCATTTCTCCAAGTCCACATGCCCTGGGTTTCCACACGGACAAACAAGATGCTGTTCATCGGAGTCAGGCCCCTCACTGCTGCTGCAAGCAAGGTCGCTGGTTTCTCGATCTGTCGTATCATTATCGTTGTTTTCGGTTCCCAAGGATAGCTGCTCCTGCAAGTGAGTTGTCCTTGTCTCTAGACGAGCTGAAAAAGGTGAGTGTGGAGTAGTCGCCATTTCTGCTTTTGTCAAACTAGGTTTACAGCAATAGATGGCAATGTTGGTGATAAGATAGTTGTAGCGACGTTAGCCATCAGCTCGGATATTGTCAGTCCACATGATTTGTGACCTCAGGCTCAGCGATTGCTTTCAGACATAAGAAAATTCCTCTGATTATTTCATATTTGTTCTATAGTATTACAGAACTATAGGGAACTACTTAGTCTAACTATTGGTCTAAGCATTTTCTTAGATCAGATGCATAAAAATTCACATGACATTTACGATGAGCAGAACCTAGGTTTATCATTTCACATAATATACTCATATAAATCTTCACTCCCCGGCCACTCAAAAGCAATATAAAACGCCACCCGCTGGCACTGCCACCTCTTGTCTCTGTCACCTGACCCCTCTGGATTTTAATGGCACAGAACCTAGGAGTGGCAGAGTGGATGAGCAGGTTGATATGGAGTTTGGGAGTTGAACAAGAATGCCATCGCTGAGCTTCTGTAAAGCAGCAAGAGCCTTAGCTCATTAAATTTCTGGTGGCCTGAGTATAAGTGGTCAAGCGAGTGTCACGGACCTTGTATAAAGGACGATCATGTGATTTCAATTGATCGACAATTTCTATCGGTGAGCTGGTAGGCTGTGCACTTGAATTTCGATTTATTCTTTTTAATATAGGATTATAATCACTTTAATAATTGATTTATATAATCATATAGCTATTGTATAGATATTTTTATATATATATATAGATTTTTTTTACAAGTTATAGTTTTCAATTGTAGATTCTAAAGAATATAATTAATTTTATTTATTTAACTTTTATAAACCTTTTATATATTATATTATTTATAATTTATTTATACAATCTGATTATTTGATGACTTTTTAAATAATATCTCAATTCAATAATCCCTTTTTAAATGAATCTTTTTGAATATTCTATTTAAAGAAAGAAGATTTATTTTGATTTAATTAATATTACAGACCTTGTATAATAACAATTATATAATTCCAATTGATCGACAATTTCTATCGATAAGCTGATGGACTATTGTTACGAGGGATGCGATCTAGATCACGTGGAAGTGGCCTGGATCTTCGAATGGTTTATAACTAGGCGTCAAGCAGGAGCTTTAAAGTAATATCAATGGTTGCAATTCGTAACTAATAGTAGAGTATACTAAATGATTGATCTTGAGCACGAAGCTCCTATATACAGGAAACCCCTCTGGTTTATATAGATCTTCGTATCCTATAGATTCGTATGGACCTACGATTCGTATCCTTGTATATATAAGGTCCATCACGTGACATCTAGGATCAGACTATATGTCCGAGCTTGCTGAGGGTGGGGAAACCACATAAGGCGATTACCATACAAATTTGTATACAAATCGCCTTGCTTTTCGATGAGGCCTAGGCTCATGTGGACAGGTTGACTGTTACCTTGTAACAACTATATACTTGAGTTTCGATATTTTTTTTTAATATAGGATTATAATCACCTTAATAATCAATATATATAACTATATGATTATTATATAAATATTTTATATATATATATGAATATTTTTATAAATTATAATTCTTCAATTATAAATTCTAAAGAATATAATTGATTTTGTTTATTCAACTTTTATAAAGCTTTTATATATTTTATTGTAAGAAAGTTGGAATTATAGATCAAATACATAGAGGTTTTTAACTAGTCAATCATATAATCTTTTATAGTTAGATATAAAAGAAGAGCTTTTGTCTCTCTCTTTTATAATAATCAATCTTTTATATATATATATTTGAATCTATATAATATCAACCTCAAAACCATTGTGAACCCTGTTTTCTCTATAAGTGATATATTACAATATAATTTAATTCAGTTTTTTCTTTCAATTCCCTTCTTACAATATATTATCAGGATATACATATCTCGATCTATCACTTTTAAAATATTATCTATAATTTATTTATACAATTTGATTATCTAATAATCTTCTAAATAATATCTTAATTCAATAATACCTTTTTAAATAAATTTTTTTGAATATTCTATTCAAAAGAAAAAGATTTATTTTGATATAATCAACAAAGATAAAATTTTTATGAAAGTATATCAATATCTTTATTATATATCGTATTCATTATACGATTTGAACAATTTTCATAAATCTATATTAAAAAGCCTTTTTAATTTCCTTAAATAACTCAATTAGTTTTCGAAGAAAAAACAAAAAATACAAGATTAGAAAATATTACAATTGATCAAAGAAAAAGTAATAAAAAGAAAATATTAATATATATAACTGAAACTTTTAATATTTTAATCGATAATTCTAATCCTTTTATATAATTATAAAATCTTTATTTAATAATCACAAATTTATAACAATTTTTACAAAACCAAAAGAATGAAAATCGTCGATTGAAAATTACAACAATAATAAATTTTATAATAAAACAACCTTTTTCTAAACTTCAAATAATATTTATATAAATACTCAAATCAATAATAATATTCAAAACTCTCTTTATTTCTTCAATTGAATACAATAAGGCTTCATTCAAACAAATAAAAAAATCCTGAAATTAAAAAAAAAACTAATCAATTATTCAATGTAATAAATCAAATCTTTTAAATAATTCTTCTTTTGTTTTCAAAAATGAAGATCTATATAAGAATCAAAATCTTTATCTTTCAAAAAATTAATCTAATCAATCTAAATTATATTTATATATTATTAATTATTCAAATCGAAACTTTTATATTCCAAAATCTATTAATCTAATCATTAAATTGAATAATAATATCGAATCTAAAACTATTTTATAATAATTATTGATTTAAAAACAATTCGAATTATATATTATATCATTTATAAATAAAGATTAATAATATATATATATAATCAATTAAATCGAAATAAAAATACAAATATATTATTATATTCTTTATATTCAAATACCTCAATTAATTACTTTCAAATTAATCAATTATCACAGATAGTATAATTACAAAGTATATAAAATAATCTGAATAAGAATGATATATAAAAGTATATAAAGTTTTATTGAAATAAATAAACTTACTTTTGATTTTATTAATCAAAGGCTATATATATATAAGATCGATTCTATTATCTAATCAACAATTATTCTAATAAGAATATAGATTAAATAAATAAAACTTTGTAAAGAGTAATAAGATCGATATAATTATATGATATTAATAAGATATATAATAAAATATAAATATATAATTATTATAATGTTATAAATCATATAAAATTATATAAGATTATATGAATTCTATAATATATTATTTAGATCGAGATTCGATTTGAATTTTATAATGATATATATATTAATTAAAGAAATAGAATGATTTCATTTGATTTTCATTTGTTGATAATGAATATATTCTTGTTTTTTGATTAATATAAGATGCTTGAGTGTAAGACTTTCAATAACGAAATTGAGAATTGAATAAATGATTTTTAATTTATTAAAATTATATAATAATTTCATTTGTAATTGATTTGAGAAATTGTTTAATTAGATGGATTATTATTATAAGAAAGTTGGAATTATAGGCCAAATACATAGAGGTTTTTAACTAGTCAATTATATAATCTTTTGTAATTAGATATAAAAGAAAAACTTTTTACTTCTTCTTTTTACAATTTTCAACCTTCTATATATATATATTTGAACCCATATAATATCAATCTCAAAACTATTATAAACCTTGTTTTCTTCATAAATGATATATTATAATATAATCTAATTTAGTTTTCTCTTTCAATTCCCTTCTCACAATATACTATCAGGATATATATATCTCGATCTATTACTTTTATAATATATAAATAATTGATTGATATTTTTTAAAAGACTTGATCGAAAACCTTATTATATTTGATTTAAATATAAATTCTTGTTTATATTAAAATTAATATAGTTTTATAATCAAATAAAAGATATATAAAAGATTTAAAATTATAATTTTTATAAAAAAATTCTTCTATTAAGAAAATATATTATTATATATTATTATTATTATATAAATATATAATTGAACAATACAATTATCAAATGATATAATTGTTATTAAATTAAAATATAATAATTATAATTTATTTAAAATATCGATGTGTAACGATCTGGTCGAGGCAGCGGCTGCCTGAGGTTTCGTATAGTTGATAGTTGTAGATTAAGGCTATTAATCACTAGTTATCCACTTGAAAGTGAATTCGTTACTAGATCAATTGGAATGTAGATAAACTAATTGATAACTAAGTTGAGCACGAAGCTCTTAAACTATAAAACTATTCTGATTATATACTAATCCCTTTCGGAAGCTTCGAGGAGCCCATGCTTCTAGAGGCTTCATCATATAATCCTTTATCCTAGAAGCGATCTTGTTTTATTGGAATTGCCCCAGGATAATCCCCTTTTTAGGATAGTTGATATCCTAGTACGACTATCTCAGAATAAATATCTTAGAATAATCATTATCCTAATCTATTTCGTAGAATTAAGATACTTGTTCTATTACATTATAATTGTTTAGAATACTAATTCTAGGATTCTTAGGTTCTTAATCGTAACGATAAGAAACCCCTCTGTAGTCGACAATTAAATCACCGACACTTATAATATTATAGAATTAAGTTTATTTATTATTTTTTATTTATTATTTCTTAATAATAGAATCAAAAAGTTGAATTAATAAATTCTTAATATTATTAACTTGTATTTATAATCTTTCAATTATATTTATATAATTAAAAAGTATAGAAGGTCTTTTTAACTAAAATTATTTTTGATTAAAAAAGATAAAAATCTTATATATTTATATTTAAAATAACAAAATTATAAATTAGATTATATAAATATAAATACAAATAAAAATTCTATTTATATTTTTCTATTATTTTTTGAAAATCCTTAAAAATAAAGTAAGATCAAAGAAACTAATAAATTTCATTGAGTAAAATAGAGTTTTTCCCCTCAAATTGAAGCCCGTTTAGAAAGAGGTTCTGTACTTTCTGACCGCACGAGTACACGTATAGTACCGTCTAAACTCGAGTGATTCGTCCTACCGTGAACCCTTTTAGGAATAAGGTTCTGTATATATAATTGGATGGATGAATCAAGTGGATTGAAAAGTAGATGACGAAAACAAATTTTGAATCCATATTACAAATAAATTCTTCCATCCGGAAATAGGAAATAATAAATAGCCTTAATTCAAAAGGGTTTCGAATTACTTGAGCTTAGACGGTACAACCTTATTCAGGAACAGGAAAAGCGCAGAACGGAGTAAGAGGGTTTATACAGTAGTCTTCTTAAAGCCAAAAACCAACACCCGTTCTAGACAAGGTAACCCTGATTTTCGTTATCTGATGGGCGTTTGATCTTCATGATTGTGGGGAAAAAGGTCCATCCATAGGTTAGGTTAATTTTAGTAAAGACGTTGCTGGATTAAATTTTTTCCGGTTGGAGGGCAAAGGATAACCTACTTGACATGTGACAAGAAACGTCAATATAATTTGGATTTTGTGTGAAATCGGGCTTTGAGGTGTTGTTTGATGATAATTTGATTTAGGAAGTGGATGGAAGTAACTTCGTGCTTAGTTAGTTACTTAGTGATTAGCTTTATATAGGATGTAGTTCTTACTCTTTTGTAGCTTCTTGTGGAAATGTGGAGCTAGGAGTAGCAATCTCGATGAGTTCGTTTTTGGGGAAGAGTTTTCTGGAGAGGAATCGAGATTTATGTAGGAAAGTACTCTATAATACTGCTAGCATGAAAATTGTTAAGATGTAATTAAGTGTGAATGGGTTTTCAAGGGCTGGTTTTGTGGTGAAAATTAATTGATGGATAGAAGTGAGGAGATGAAGAGGTGATGTTTGGTAATGTGAAATTCTATTCAATCCCCATTCCTGCATAGATATCTTTGTGTTGGAAATAGCTAAGTGGATGAATAGGGCAACTGAAATAAAGATGAAAGGAAGGCATGAATGAATGAATCGTTAATTCATATGATGAAATACGGGTTTGGAGGATAGCATCCGCTGCATCTGTATTCACCAGCATCAGCATCATCTAACGTGTGCCAAAAAGCTGACATGGTGAAATCTGTAGAATCATACATTCCCACTTGTCTGAGGTAAAGTATTGTGAGGGTTATGCTGGTATTCTGTTGGGGAAGATGGGATTTGTGGAGAGAAGTCAGATGGGGAAGAGACGAAATACCTGCAACACTGGATGATAAAGAAGAGAAGAGAAGATGTACCTTTTTGAAAAAGAATAGAAGGAGCAACTGCGGCATTATCGATGGTAAAAACGCAGATCAGAACAAAAGCGGAAGGTCTGTGTTCCGTATTCATCCCAAATTCACTCTACTTCAATTATGTTAATGGGAATGTCTGTCGTCAGTAAGATCAATGAGAGGCTTGGGGGGAATTGACTCTAGCCTGATCTTCTCAAAAATCAAACTATCAGATGGATTACCCAGCAGTGAGTGAGTGATACGGCCTTGAGATTTGTCTGTATACCATCGTTAAACTACATCCATCTATCTCTCCTTATCTCTCTTTACCTAGGTATTTACATAGCTTGGACATTCCTGCACTTAATTGAATCTATTTGAAATCCCAGGAGTTGGCCCGTCAAAAGTTTCCTCAGGCCAGTATTGAATTCAGACTAGCTCCAATTTTTATTCAAACTGAAGTGATTGACCTCCCCCATTCAATAAATTCAGTCCCCAAAGAGAACTTGCAACAAAATCCAAAATCCAAAATCCAACAACAGCAACAACACAAAGACGCAACAATTTCATATTGCAAATACTTGATCGGTGCTTACCTGACGGCTGACTGAGAATATACACATTTTTTTCAATATTCCTTCCAAAACAGCTTCCATATTCATCACTTTCGTCGCTCTCTGACTTTCAAAAGCTTTCATATCATTCTTATCATTATTAACACTCTTAAAAATCTCGTAAGTACACTACGATGCAGTACAACGCGATACGAACTGACTGATTAATCACCGCCATCCAGCAAGTTACTTTAGAACTACTTCCGTCACCGCATTTTTACCTAAAAAAAACCGAAAAGGGAAAGAAGCCAACCGAACCAGTGGTTCTTGAGCTCAAATTTCAAAGAGATTCTCCAAAGCAATTACTCTCTGGAAACAAATCAATTCGATCGATTTATCGAAAGATTCAAAGAGATTGATAGATCAATAGATCAATAGATCAATTGCTATCGACTACAGCAGTCAAATTAGGTATGTCACTGATGGTGCTCTCTGTTCTTGTTTGCCACCTCCACAATACACTTCCCCATCATTCACTAAATATCTAGTTAATTATTTAGTATGCGATTCCGTTTCCTGACGCTATATATCACTATTTGATTCCAGTATCTTTCTCTGTGGATCTGCTAACCGCTAGCGATGCTATAGGTTTCTTCTGCACCAAAGACCCAATATAATTTTCTTTGCTTTACTTTAAAAGCATTCTATCAACATTTCAAACATAACTTTATCAACCAATTAGAACTACCATATATTCGTGGAAAATCATGGAATTATCTCGACGACCAATACACAATGCAAATGGAACATTTGTCCTTGGATCCAACGTGCCCGACTTCTCAACTCAAGGAACTCCGGGCAGATGTGCAGGAGGGATGGGCAATTATCAATTTCAACAACAATCCCATGGAATGCTCGGCCATCCTAGCCAACAGCAACCTCGAATGTATGGCCAACTTGAAGGAAACAACATGAACTATTATGGCCGTCCCAGCCAACAGCAACCTCGAATGTATGACCAATTTGCAGGAAACATCATGAACAGATTTGACCAACAATATCAGCAAATGACTAGCAGAGATGTAATAGATGCATGGCACTTTACACAACACCACCCTCAAGCGATGTCTGGCTATCATGCCCCGCAACAACATACTCATGCAATACCTGTCCATCATGCCCCGCAACAATATACTCCAGCAATGTCCGGCCATTCTGTCCAAACGCAATACATTCAAACAAAGCCTGTCCACCGTTTCCAACAGCAACCTCAAGCAATGTCCCGCCATACCCTGCAAAAATATACTCAAGCAATGCCTGGCCATCCTGTTCAATCGCAATACATCCCAACAACGACTGTCCATCCTTTCCAAGAGCAACCTCAAGCCTATAACAGTTATGCGGGGAACAACATGAACAATGTTGACCAACAGTATCAAAAAATGGCTGGCAGAGATGCAGAATACATGGGCAGTAGTGATACTCAGCAACAGAAATCTCAGATGTATAATCATGCAAGAAGAAAAATCAGTGATATCGCCGAACAACACCAAGGAACGCTTGTCGAATATGCAGGAGGCTTTGTCAACCACCAGAATAACCAACATGAAGGAATGGTTGGCAGAGATGCGAAGGGCACGAACCACAATCAGCTTAAAGGACAGCCTCAAGGAATGACTGAGTGTCTCAGCCAACGACAAGATACCACTGGTAACATCGCGCCGACACATGCACATGGTTATCCAACAGTTCAGCCAGTCTATGGCTCCAATGGGTTTGAGCAAGGCCGACAACATGCAATGCCACCGAACAGCAAGGACTATGCCCAACCGCCTTCAGTGATATATTCAATTACAGAAAGAGGAACAGTCAGTGGTCCTCAAAATCCAACAGCTACTTTGACAAATTTTGGAGTGCAGAAGGCCCAGTCGAATAACAAGCAGGATGTCGAGAAGCCTCCACAAAGTGTTGACTTGAATGCACATGTAAGGGAAAATCCAAAGAATTTCCCGCTAAAAACTACGACGTCGGCTGTTACAACTCCAGCCCTCCCAACTGCTATGCCAGCACAGGTTCCTCCATGGAATATGCTAGCGCCAGCTCCTCTACCTGCTGCCACAGGACCTGCATTCAAGAGACTTCGAAATCAACAGACTGAAAAGATGGATCCAGGCAGGGCGAAGAAGAAGGCCAAGGAGGCACACACAGGACAACGAAGAAGAGGCCAATTTACTCCCGATATACAACCAGTGGTTGAACCAACAGTCGATCTAGCGTCCCGATGGGTCGTAGAATTTGCTGAGCAAGGATACGATATCACTATCTCAAATCTGGCACCAGCGGATTCGTCAAAAGATACACCGAGTATTCCCAAAAAAAATCAAGACCTTTCTGAGATTCTCAATTTCGAATCAGGTAAACTTGAGCCAAATCAGGACTTAGTGATGGGTGTTATGAGGCAACTGTTGGAAAATTCCATCGCTCATTTTTCATTGGATACTTCCTCGAATACACGACAAAATCTTGAATACTATCAAAAAACGCCTAATCTAAGCTATCACGCTGGCAACTTGACACAATTCGCTTCGAAATCGCAATTCAGCAACCCAGTAAACGTAATTACAGACGGTACAGAGGGTGCAGCGGGCCCATCCACAACAGTCAAAGATAAGGCTAAGATAAACCCAACGTCTGTCATATTATACGAACCAATCAAAGGTCTCTTCGATGGAAGGTCTATGATGGGCAATTGTACAATGTATACGAGGACGATCTTTGTTGATGCTAATAGTCCGCTCAGATACGCAGTCGGATTCAGAATTGAAAATGTGATGATCGATGGTAGGAATGCTCAAGGCATGCTGACTTATGAGAGATCCTTGCCAACAGGTATACAAGGAGAGCCTCGTTGGTCGGATATTTGCGATGTACTAAAATCACAACATGCCGAGTGGAATTATGCTTCGCTTAATCATAATTAAAAGGGGTTTTTGTGGGGTCGTTGGGCTTATTGAGGTTGGACATTGGTATATGTGGATTTGAAAGAGAAAGTGGATTAAGATATTTTTTCAGAAAAAGAAAAGTGGGAATTAAGTGGGGTGTGTATGTATGTATGTATGATGTATGTCTAATATCGATACTATTAGGTATTTGCGGAGACTATACAGATTATTATACTATGTAACTAGATACTATATATAAATATATACTATCAAAACTCTCTACATACTATGTAAACAATGACTCTCTCAATGTAAAGTCCAATTAATGATTTAAAGCCGTAGGGTTTGCCCGAAGGGGGGAAAAAAAAAGTGTCACGTGATTTTTATGCACAGTGTCATGCATTATTTCAGAGCTGAGAGATCGGGTTTTGTTTGCACTTGGAGAGTTGTGGCGAGGCGTGTAGATAGATGGGTGTGAAATAGATGTTGTCAGACACTTCAGACACTATATCGAGTTGTTGTACTTAGGTATATATATAAATAAGTTTATAATAAATAAGATTTTTATACTTTAAAGATATTGAAAGATATCAAGAGAATCTTTTGGAAATTGAAATGGAAATGGAAATATTAAGATTAAAAAACCAAGAGAATTTTATATTATAAAAAAAAAAAAAGATTAAAAGATTAAATTAATAATTAAACCAATAATTATAAAAATATATTATAAAAAATATATAATTTGTTGATTATATAATATATATATTATTTATAGATATATAAAAATGCTTTGAGAATATAAAAATAGGAATTTGATTTTTTTAAATAAATAAATAAATAAAAATATAATAAATAATATAATAATAAAAGTAATTGAATTAATATTACAAGAATTGATCTTGAAGGATTTAATATTTTAATCTTATAAATATTAAATAAAAGATCTTATAAAAGTGGTCTGTTTAAATGAAGAGATAATAAGTCTATAAGAAAAAGAGCATCTAAGAGAATGAGAAATAGATATTTATAACTATCTAGTTATAACCGTGTCTTTTGAATGGGGAGATACAGTGAAGAATAAAACACTAATCAGGTATTTCATTTCCTCCTAATGTTAGGAACAACAGAAGTCATGAGGTGGGAAATTGGATTCGGATGCTGCAAGTGACAGTTCTAGTAAGTAGACGAAAGTGGTTTCTAATTACGAAAGAACTTATACACCAACTACATTGTGATTCTAAATGGCCACAATAGAAGCAAGACGATGCAAAGCGTAGAACACAATCTAATGTCGTATCATTTTATACAAAAGGATTATCACATATACATGATTGGCAATGATTGATAGTATCCATCCTCTCCTGTCATCAATCGGTTTGATATCATCGGCCATCATCAAGAAATGTCACAGAGTCATGTCTGTTAACTAGACTACACCCACGGGAAGATGCAAACCTCGGCCCTATCTACTATAACTATAATTAAGCGTCGCATATCAATACCGTACGCGTTCGCTCACTGAGGATTAACTATCCATCCATGAAAATGCCAGTAGACCGCTATAAAATACACAATGAAACCATGCCTCATCTATGCAAGTTCGCATTATGTATGAGGTATTCAGAACAATGACTTGAGAGATATAGGCTCATCAGCTCCTCCTCCATCACCAAAATCTCCGACCTCGTCCCCAACTACACTACGAATGCCTTCTTTACCTTCGCCCTCCACGGCATTACCCATTTCGTAGGTGATTCTTTTCCAACCACTTTTTTCCGAGGGATCTTTAATCCACTCTGCTGTTGGAAAGTAGTGATCGTTCTTCTTCATAGTGATGACCCATGGAACATTATCAAAGGTTACTACCTTGATGCGGAAATCTATCGAGCAGTATTAGCAGATGAATAATATAAACAGAGAAAGGCGATCCTACATGTGTTGTCAGGAATCTTAATGACCACCTTCAAGAACGATTCTAAATCCGGTGTTGGTTTCCCATTGACATGTGTCACAAAGTTGGTTGGTGCAAGATTGTATTGGTATGATGGCGATCCTCTTGTTCTCGCAGCAACATAAACCTCGCTATGAAGTTTGGAAATTTGTTGGCGCACAGCATGATGAGGCCGATGTAGAATAGCACCACAGAAAGAAATAGCTCGGTCGGTCTCGAGATCATCTGCTGAAACAGTATCAAGCTTAATGTTCATCTCCTTGCAATCGCGGACAATGACTGCATCAAGGACCTTATGATCGTACATAACATCAAGTTCATTTATACGAGTAATGATTTTACCATTAAGAGAAAGAATGATATCTCCTTCAAGAAGGGCACCTGACTCACTATTTCGCTCAAAAGTGCGCTTTCGGACCATGAAAAGTTGATGGCGAGATAAATTATCTTCAGCAACTTTGTGAATCCATTCTTCAGATACACCCATGACACGAGCTTGAGCCATTTGAATGGTGTTGAATTCGACGCTCAACATGCGCAGCTTAGGCTTCTCGTCATTTTGTATTTTTTTGATGACGGGTAAAAGCGTGGGAGTGGCAAGACCAAGATAGTATTCGACATCTTTTGAACTGGATTGAGATCTTTCTCCCAAATAAGTCAACCACAAAGCTTGGACGATGCCATCTTCACCAATGAGCACACCACTTCCACATTGACCACTCAGACTTGTGTCAACAGTGATAGCATCGATGTTGATGGCCCGATATCTTGGTGACGCAGCATTTGCAGGAATAGCAACAGCCGTGATTTCAGTGATGGTGGTTTTAGCAGCGACGAGTCGCATATTCGTATTAAAACCAACAAAGTATGTTGAAGCTCCTTGAGAGGGTTGCTTATTGCTCAATTTCGCGCTTTGCACTGGGGCAAGAACCAGCGAAGGGTCGTATTTGATAATAGCATAATTTTGTAAAGGGTGCAAAAACACCACTTTTCCTTCCACAATAATGGAATCGGCGATCGTGATTGAAATGTCACATAGATCATATGGAACAACTGCTCTAGAGATGACAACCAATCCTTTCTCGGCATCGATGACAACACCCATACCCCACTTGCGGTTTCGAGGATAACCGTCTAGCTTGACGGGCATGTGACATAGCACTCGAACGAAGCTTCGAACGATATCCGCTGCTGCTGGATGCTGCGAATTCTCGAGTTGTATGAACTTTGCAGACCTAGCTACAGGGGGTGTAGGTGGGAGAGCGTCGGCCAAATCTGTGAAATCCCAGAGACCGCTAATGTCATTTCTGACAGCCAATCTCATCTTGCTTGACCAATGGCGATCAACCTGCAGAATGCCGGTATTAAGGGTGTGAAGATCTCGGAGATGTTTGTATGTTACTACAACTCTTTCTCGGTCCGGAATTCTCTTCATGACTTCAATGAAGCTTTCCAGATCGGGTGTCTTTTTATGATCGATAGTTTGAATGATCCAGCCATTATCAGTGCCTTCGAATCGGAAAGATCCACTGGCTTCACACATGAACACGCCCTTGCAAGCAACACCATATAGACGCGCTTGTTGATACGACAAATCGTGGAAGCTACCCCCTGCGACAGAGACAAAACGATCCGGTGTAATTGAATGAAGATCGCCAACATCAACCGCAACCTCAATATCTTCTCCACCGCGCTGGATAAGGAAACTCACCGTCTGGCCAACCGTGGAGTCCAGGATATCATCCAAGCGGATAAACTGTGTCAGTAATTCACCGTTGACTTTCAGTAAAAGATCTCCCTCTTCAATCAGTTTATGTGATGGCCCTTCTGGAAGAACAATTTCTGCAACGAGCATACCCGTCTCTTTAGGGAACCCTGTTCGTACAACATCCTCCCAGTCTGGTGTTAATCCAAGCCTGCGACATTCATCAAAAGGCTTGATCAACCATTGGCACTGAATTGTTCCACGGGTAATTGGTTTCCCTTGCTGTATGCATTGAAGAGCTCTTAAAGGTCGATCGAGGGGTAAGAAATAATCAGTGGCGGCCCCATCACTTCTGCCACCTGCTTGCAGGGCGACAGCATATCCATCAATCTAGCGGCATGTCAATATTTCGAGGGTCTTAAAATTTTGGAGATGCGGGTATTCAGCCTACATTGACGACGGGACTTCCTGAACTACCGCCACTTGCCGCTGCAGCTGCTTGTATGTAGTTGGTATTGAAGTCGCAGTATCCATCTCCGTATTCAGGGGCATTTCTGTCCAGTCTGCTGATCACTCCTGATAAAATACTAAGTTTTTCTCCGGCATCATTACCAACAACTCTGATCTCCGACCCTACCTTGGCGAGATCCGGTCGTAAGCCCAGAGCGGAAACAGGCATGTATTTAATAGCTTTAGGGTCGAATCGTAATATACCAAAATCGTGAACGGGATCACGGTACACTGGGTAGGCATCAACTTCTTCGTGATTATCGAAGACACAATATCCCCAGAAAGGTCCTGATCCAACAACATGTCGATTGGTCAAAATGTATCTGCAAAAATATTAATAAAGTTCAAAGGCAAGCTGAATATCCGTAGGAGGATTTGATTGAGCTGGAGCAGAGAAAACAAACCCTCTCTCTGCATCTACCACAAAACCAGTAGCTTCGCTGGTCAACGCAGGATCCGTATCAAAGGAACATGTCTGACAGAATCGGATCGACACAACATTTCGGACCACCTGCTCGATTGCGGCCTGCCATTCCGCTGTATCTGCTGCTAAGCCGGGTACTAACTGAGGTCCATCGAGATCGTAATCATCATCCGAAATCAGGTCGAGTTCTGGGGTATTAACACCTGTTGACTCTTTTCCGTTCAAAGCACGAAGTTGTTTTTGAGGTCTTTCCGGCACTGTTGGATGTGACTTTCTCTTCGCACGCGTTGCAACGCCATTGGTACCGACCATTGTGTTTGAGTGGCCTTTTCTTGGACAATGAGATGTACTGAATGAGCGGATATCTGTGGTTAAAAACGCAGATGTAAATGATAGTGGAGTATTCCGAGTATTCTGCAGGAGTGATTGTCGAATCAAAGAACTGTTCGACGTCGCAAGGCTTCTTGTACAACTAAAGGATTTATGTGCAACAAGACGGGAAAAGCCGTGTCTCAATTGCGAATGCAAATATCTATTCATGAAACATTCAGAATATTCTAATAGATGAATGACCTCGATATTGACCGTAGTGGAATGGAATGAATGCGAAAAGAACTAGAAGGATGTTTGAGTTATTTCAACGTTGGTGTTGTTGTACTAGGACTAAAGAGCGGGATTGAAGGAGGGACAAGACAAGGCCAAAAGATAGACGGGAGGGAAGAGGAAGTATTGTTACAAGGAGGGAGAAAGCGAGAAAGTGTCCAAAGGCGCGTGAGTTGACGCAGAATGGAATGCCGTATGCGCCGTAGGATGTGAGGAAGAAGGAGTATATGTACGTAGTGTGTGTGATGTGATATGATACTGGTGGTAATGGCGGTGGTCTGTACTTAGGTTATCGCATTAGGTATTGTAACATTGATTTCTTTTTTCCTTCTAAATCTTCGTGAGGCTGTACAACGAGGCTGATAGTGACTGCCACTTTACCGAATCAAGTAATATCTAATTATACCACCCGATTTGATTAGTCTAGCGGGTGCCTAACTCTCGAGGCATCAGTCAGGTGATTTTTAATATCTCGGCCAACTTTCGTTCATTTTTAAATATATATTAACTTCGTTCAACTATACCACATCAAAATAATTAATTGAAAATTATTTAATGTATAAATATATTATTGCCTATTCACCACGGCGTAGAGGTGGATGAAGAGTGGCTGGCGGAAGAGAAGACCTACCAGATTAGTTGTATAGGATGCAGCACGTGGCACACGGCACACAGCGATTCACGAGGGGGCATCTGTGTTCGAACAATTACTTAGGCGGCTATTTAATGAGGTCCGGGCTTGGAACTTGATGGATTTGCTAACATCAAAACTTCATCATCTTGAAATTCAATATAAGTTTAAACATTCAACATCTTTTATTCAAACTTCCTAGGCTTATAACTAACTATTCAATCAAAAAAGAATATAATCTTTCAGAATTGAGAATCGAGGTAGACTGCTGGTTTCAAAGACGTCGGGCGCTGATAGTGACGTTATTGGCGACCGGAGCGCTGAGACTGCTACGGAAGAAGGTAGTGAACTTTCCGAATGGGATGAGCTCTGTTCGGTCATACAAGTCAACATGGCCAGCGCGTTCGACCCAGACCAACTCCTTAGGATAACCTGAAAGGTAGTAAGCATCCTCAGCGAACTCGCGCGAGTGTGCCTGGGTGCCTGCGACGAACATGACTGGACGCGGCGATATAATGTCCATTCCAGCCAGTGGCCAGTAATTGTTCATTCTGAAGGCAGACGAGGTCGTTGGGTGTGTTGTGAGTGTGGGCGACGAGCTTGCTGGCGTGAACTCGCCACGTGAAGTGCGGTAGAAGTCGAAGAATTCTCGATCGATTGCAGTGGAGTTTTCTGTGAGTCTCTGGGGGGTGCCTCCGGTGTAAGCAGTCGCGCCGCCATCGACTTCAACTTGTCGTTGGGCAGCTCCCATGGCAATCATGGCCTGTTGTTGCTTGAAACTGATCGAAAGTCGCATCCCGTCGCGATAAGCAGCGCCCATATTATACATGCTTACAGTCGCGACAGCCTTGATACGAGTATCCATCTTTGCGGCACTGATCACCCATGAACCGCTGCCGCAAATTCCAAGAGCACCAATCCGCTCGCGATCGACGAGATTTTGCAAAGTCAGATAGTCCACTGCTGCACTGAACGACTCTGCATACATTTCTGGCAACACTGCTTGTCGCGGCACACCGTCACTGGCGCCCCAGTATGCAGGATCGATAGAAATCGTCACGAAACCCTGCTCAGCCAACTTTGTAGCATAAAGGTTCGCGCTCTGTTCCTTCACTGCGCCGAGAGGAGGCCCGATAACAATGGCCGACGCATTACCGCTGAGGTTGTTCGGAATGAAGAGGTTTCCAGCGATAGTCATGTTGAACTGGTTGGGGAAGAAAATTGGCTGCATCGTGACAATATTGCTAACATAGAAGTTGTCGGCTCCGAAGGACATGTTCTGTGCTGTGGCTGTCATGGCACTAACAATCATAGTGATGCCGAGCGCGGCGATATTGCGTCCGACCATGTTGCAGTGTTGCTATAAGTGGCTGCAGTAGAATATGGTATTGAGAAAGCAGGAGTGAATGGTTGATGAAGGTAAGTTTTCTCTGGTGCGCGGCATGCTGCTAGTCTTATAGCTCATGCGGTGGCTGTTCCTGGCCAAGGTACTGGCATGATATCAAATCAACAGGAGACCTGTCGGCACCTAATGGGAGTGGCAGTGTAATGCAAGTGCCGGCAATGACCAGTTTTTTTCGTATTGTTGCAATGAGGGTGACTTGGCAAGTGATGTTGTTCTTGGCCAAGCCATGGCATGATAACCAAATTAACAAGAGATCGACATTGAACGTTATGGAAGTGGCAGTGTGATGCTAGGAAGCCCAGCTGCTGGTACTAATGACCGTTGCAATGAGGTGACAAGCGATGTTAAGTTGACGTCAGCTCTCATTAAAAAAGGGACAAATGGGCATACAATATGTAGAAATTGCCGGATCGGGGGTTGAATATTGTCATGTTGCAGAAATGGGATGATTTAAAAGTGAAGTGGGTGTGGAGTCGGGCAAAGAGGATGGGGGCAGATTTACGATTATGTTTTACTACACGGAGTAGAAAGTCAGATACCGCATAAACTAGACTCGTGGTCTTGGCTCCGGTTCGATTTGGCTTAGATGAATACCAGGCTGTGGTTGAAGTTGATGAGATTATTCTGGTTAGAGATTTTTTGGTCTGGTCAATTAGCTAGGTAGTGTATTTGAGTAACAAGATGCTTAATCATTATCATCCAGAATATCAAGCCAGAAATCCAACCGATATTTATCCAGTCAAGGATAAATTGAATGCCACCGCGCTTAAGAGATGTTACTTAGTCCCTACCTAGACCATAAGCAAGCTGCATTAGTTCCCTTGGCAAAGTGGGCAAGATCCGAGCCAGGGATTGGCATTGAAATGAACGTGAACTACTAGCGTCAAGAGGAGTGACAGGTATGGGTCCTCGTGGTGGGGGTAGATCTGCTCCGGACAATCGGCATGCCGGTATTCTGCAAGACTGTTTAAAAGTCTGGTACATCAACAAATTTTGTACTAAGTTATCTCTCATCCTGAAAAATACTATTCTGCCTCGCTCACGTCATTTATCAGAGGTGGGAATTTGGAATAGTGTCGTATAAACTCGCTTACGCCAGAACACACTAAGCCTAACCTTATTTCAATGCACAAAGTGGATTAAAAGATATCCTTTTCAATTGATTCTTCCAATCGATTGATCAAGAATATCAAATAAGAAATAATCTTATTTGAAATAGATTTGGTGTGTTCTGGTGTAAGTGAGTTTTTACAGTAGTAGTTGGAATGGTGCAATTAACACTGTACAAACTAATTTGCGCCAGTACATGCTGAATCTATTCCAATCTCTAGCCTTTCCCGGGCCGATGCAAGTGGATTAAAAGTATTGGGAATAGGAATATAAAATAACCTTGAAACAGGTCTTGGTGTAAGTGAGTTTATACAGTAGTAATTGGGGATGGTACAGTCGATGATACAGCCGGTACAAAAGAGAGTCTGTCGTTATTTTTGAGTGTACTTGGGGTAGTCTTTAAAGAGGGCCGTTCGGCTATACTGCAGTACAAGAACACCAAGAATCCTAACTCTACTCCTATCGAGAACTCCTCAAACTCTCAAAATCCCTTTTCTCCCGCTACTACTACCCATCCTCAATTCGGCTTCGGTAAATTAGGCTCCCCAGCTCCAAATTCACTCCGATCTAATCTTGGTAAGGGGCATCTCGATAAATACTATTTCGGTAGAGTAATAACTTTCGAGTTTCTCTTTCGATTCGATTTCAATAAGTTTTCCTGTTTTGATTTCAAATTTCCGTTTCGGTAGATGAGCTTTTCTTGCTATTGAATCGTTTCGTTTCTTTTCGATTTCGGTAGAGAATTGATGCTTCCCTTTCGGAACTGACGTCCTCGTTGATTTTGATGATTCCTTTAGATTCTGTAAATTGAAAGCGGACAGAATTCGCAACTTGCTTTTTCTGAAACTTGAGACCTACTCCTCCATTCTTCATATCATCAACTTTGAAATGAATGACTGCTCGCCATTGTATCGCCTTTTTGTAATCCAAATCCTTATTGTCTTGTTAACTGGCAAAGAGGACACAAGCTCTGTTCCTCTGAAATCTTCAACTCTGAAACGAACGGCTAACCGCCGTTGTATCGCTTTCGTATCCTAAAATTCAATATCTTGTCAATTTTCTTGAAGAATACAAGCCCCATCTCCTTGAAATCCTAGACTAAATAATGGCTAACCACTGTTGTATCGCCGTCTGCAACCAGATTTAATCTTAGTCCGCAAAAGATATAGATAGGAGGCACTCTTTCAGCTAATCTAATTCTACTTCGCTTTTAGCTATGATTTGGACTTGATCAAGCTTCTTATTCCAATAAGAACGAGTTTTTTGTTTCATAAGAAAATAACGTCGATTCAGGAAAACCCCTTTGGTCGTATTCCTCAGAGTAGTTTTGATACTCTTTCGGATAACTACTACTCCATTCAACTTGAGAAGGTATCGAAACTTTCTCGCCAGCCTTTTCATTCCTCAATTCATTTTCCAGACACCTAAGTCAAAAGATCACTTCTGTTTGTTGCATGACCAGCCGGCAGCGAATTTTTAACATGGCCAAGACTTGGTGACGAGGCAAGTCTAACATCATCGTAAATATGTATGAAGTTGGTTATTATGGTCTGGTGTGAAGCATCTACAACTAAGGACGTTTCTGGCTCGAATATATATGGATTTCTGGAATTCTCGGTCTTGCGATTGTAAAATGAATTAGTTTATGCATATATTTTAATGTTGATTCATGAATCGATATGTCTATTGGCAGAAATTGTTTATAATAGTACTTATTGTTCTTATTAAGGGGGAGGAGAGAATAAATTGATCTGGAAGTTCCAATTGGAATGGAATCATCAAATAGATTATTATCAACATCGACACCTCACTGCCACCAAATTTATATCAGCCAGAGTTTAATAAATCCTTCTATTTTATTACGCAATGCGAAAACCACGTTTTGCACATTCATTTAGCATTTATGCAAACCTGCAGCTAGAAGGACTCCGAGGGCCTGTATGTATCAAACTTTTGAATTTACTTGAATCAAGTTTCTGATTAAATCTGCTAAAATGGTGTTTACTGAACACCTTTGAACCCCTCGAAAAATCCGGAGGTATTAGACTTCTATTACGAGACAAGGTTTACAAGAAATACCATGAGAATCGGATCGAAGCTTATTATTTTTTTAGTAGGAGAGCCCGAGAGCTCTTTTTATAGAGTAGTCGCACGCCTGCGCGCTTTTATTTTGTCTCAAGCTCAAATTCAACTAAACTAATTTGGTCCGAATAATACTTCGGAACTGAAAAAAAGAACATTTCATCAAATTTTATGTAAATGACTGAATGTTAAGACGTATGGGTTGGAAGAAATACTTTGTAAAGTCAAGTCACGTAAATATTATGCAAGCAAATGCAAAGAAAGTAACTTTCTGTCATTCTGTTGAATTGTTTGAAGAATAATTCAACAAATTGATGAAAAAATGCTATAAATAACTCCCATGTCCCGTATTAAATCAATTCCCAGAGCCTTAAGACGACCTCCATTTGCTTGAATAACCAAGAACCCCTCGGAAATCGATACCAATCACGCATCAGTATCGAAATATTCATCGACAGGAAGCTTTTCTTCAGTATCATCCTTGACCTTCTTGGCTTTAGCCTTGGCAGCAGCCTTCTTAGCCACCTTTGGTTTCTTCTGAATGGCACCTAAACAGCCGTTTGTTAGTTTTGTGAGATGCATTGCCAACATTACACGAATACATACCTTCTCCAGCCTCGTCAGCGGCCTTTCTACCCTTTTTGTCATTACTATCACCGCCGTCCTTGACTAAGTCCCGTTGTTAGTGCAAATACACTTCTGGAGTCATAAAGAGATAAACGTACGTTCCGCAGCGTGTACAAGAGAATCAGCAGCGGGCTTCTTAATATCACTCCAAAAGTGCTGGAGAGCTTTCTCAGAGCGACCAGGTACATTTATATCTTCCCACTTTGGGGTGAAACTTTTCCCTCCAGCTTGGAGACAGATCTGAACCAATACAGAATCCTGTGTTCCTAGTTAGTTATTGCTGCGCAAGAATAGAAAAGCAATCTCACTTTTTCTTCTTGTGTCCAGCGACGGCCAGATGAATGGGCATTTCCTGGAACTTCGGGCGCATTGTCGGTAGCAGCTTTGCCCTTAGCACGACGGATAGCTGGAGCAGTCTCGGCTGCTTGTTTTTGACTCTCGCTACGAGTAGACATTGTTTGATTTGGAGTTGTTATCTTTTGTAATTTTGTTGCAGGAGTACTATCTGAGCGATTTTAGCAATGTAATACATGAGGTTATGCTGTAAATCCTTCTGAGTTGAAAGAATATGGATAGTTGATGTGTGAAAAAGGGGGGGGTGTGTAGTAATCTGAAGGTATATGAGGCTGATGTGCAGAAATACGGTAAAACCAGCCAGCTCCGATTTATTTTGGCCAAGACGACTGAGATGAACCCTCAAAACAGTCAAAGGCGACCGCAAATGTATGGGAGTTTTGCGCAATAGTAATGAAGGGGTAGGTAAAATGAAGATAAGCGAAGTGAATGTGACTTACTTAAAGTGCAATGTATGATGAATAGTAAACGTGGTTGACGACGAAAGCAAACTGAGAGATTGTTGTTTGGGGATGGAAAAAGTTGGGAGAGGCTGGTCGATGGCGAGAATTTTGTATCAGTAGTTGGGCTGTGCGGGGTAGGCTTGATTATGGGTGCCTTGTGGAGGAACAGAATGCAGCCGAAAGTGTCTTGACCGATGTTGCTTGGTGGGTGCCTTGCCTGGTTGGCCTATTTAGGAGCCGTGGGATTGGCTCTTGAGTTGAGACCAAGTATATTGAGCGGGAGAGAGAGAGGAAAGTTTGTAAGTAGAAGCCTAGGCTCTTTGTTAGATTCAATGCTGCTTAAAAAGTAGCAATATCATGATACACAACTCCCAATGACTAATTGATGTGCAAGAAGTGTTCTGCAATGGTTCTTTGTTGTCGTAGTCTTTCTAGATATTATTTGAAGCCGCGCTAAGTCTCTGTAGGTTTCTGGGAAAGGCCAGAAATCGCTCTCTTTGTCTTTTGAAACATCTGCCATGCATTTGTCTACAGAAAAGCTAGCACAACTGTACCCCAAGACCATTTGAACATAGGGTATCCCCTGGCAGCAACTAATTGACTCCATTCCTTAAGTTTCTCGGGCCTCTCCAGGGCTATTCCCTAATTCAAAGGTTATCCAATACTCATGAGACTATCCGCGGGCTCTCCTGGTAGTGCTGCAATAGGAATGCTATATGATTCTGGAATACTATTAACCCGCCCTACCTATTCCGAGCATCTTTTCCGACATCCTTTGGTGAAAATAAGACCTATCACGTCGGTCAAATCCATACGCTGCATCTGCGGAGCTGCAAAAGATCGTCGCGATGAAACATAATAGAGCTGCACGAAGTTTGTCAAGTATGGTATAACAATTGGTGGGAATCCTTAGCACCAAGCGACGTCTTAACCCAGGATCTTTAAGCTGTTTGTTCAGCTCCGGACACTATGTTGATAAAAATCTCTTTGAAAGCTCACCGATCGCTCCGAAGGGCTTCGCAAGGCCATTAAACATGTTGCACTAGTTATTGAGGACAATTAGATAAACCTGCCGTTCCTTTTTTGCACATTTTTACTCTACTTGGGCGGGTTTGATCATAACAAAAAAATTATTGTTATTAGAGCACACTCTCCATCTCTGGGTCGACGCGAGATTTTCGAAATATAAATACACAATAGCTTGAACAACTTCTACATGGCCGCGGACCGCCTAAACGACGACCTCGATCTTACCACGGCGCTCTGTGGAGAATATTGCGCTCTATTAGGGACCATTAGATCATTTCAACGCTAATCACAACCCTGCGGGCTTTCCCGAGACTTTGAACAACTGCCAATTCCTCTCTGCAAGCACCGTAAGACCTTCGCAATTATTCTCGGACCTTACCGAGAGCTGGAAACACCTTAAAGGCGGTTCTGTGCTGCCCTAGCCTCTCAATAGACACTCCAACTCCAAGCAGTAATTTTTAGATTACCACGAGGGCTTGTTTTTTAGTCTGCAGGTTTACTAGTCATTCTTTCATCTAGCCAGGAAGTGCTGCAGCTGAATCTCAAGATACTCAAATACAGTTAGGCTGATAAGATACTGCACGAACATGAATCGGAACCTCCAGGCGTCTGCAGATTGTGCCTCTATTTGAAGTCCGCAGGCCGTCCAACGCTTTAGAGTCTAACTCCACTTCTATACCTATTTGTAACAATAGCTCAGCACACCTTCTGCTGAGATGCCTTGAAGTTGTCCAACACTCTTTTACATAACCCCCCGCAGAAACACTGAGGACCAGGGGCACAAAGGTTACCGAGAACTTCTCAGAGCTTTCACTAACAGAGTACAACAGATAATACAGAAAAGAATTGTACGTATTTCTATGACCTTCAGCTACGATCTAAAACTAAGCCCAAAACTTCTACGAATGTGCGAACGCTTCCTTCCTTCCAATTGAACCATGGCCACCGGCAAAACTTTCAGCTCATGGAGAAAAGCGTCCCTTCCAAGTGATACAAGAAGGTTATGGTAGGCACTGGAGAAGGATATCTACCGTTTGGAAACATAAATTCTTTGTTGCGCATTCCGAACGTTCTGCAAAATACCAAATTTCATGCATGAACCCTTTTCGAAACTTAATTCATACTCTTAGGCTCGTCCATATTAAAAACTCTACGAAAATCCATAAATGCAGGCTATAATACTACTAACATGATACGAGTCTTTCGATAATTGTGTAAGATCCTTTTTCGATGCGTCTAAAGGAAGTTCACAAGTTCACACACACTCCTTCAAAGTTTAAATGGTACTACTTAGGCCCTTATCCAGATTATCCAGATGCACAAAGTGTTTTCAACCTCTCAATCAGTCCGCGGATCCCAGAAAAATCAGCCTAAATAGCCTGAATCTTTTCCATTCTTCGCAGATCAAAGAGCTTTGCGTTTCTCAAAGCCGCAGCTCCATCATATCGAAGGTTATTTAATGCAAGCAAGGCTTTGAACTGAGACACGAGAAGTTGAAATAGACATGGCAGAGCGTTCCATTATTGTACTAATTCTTTTAGACTCAATCAAGCTCTACCTTCATCACATTAGAATAGAATACTGCTTATTTTCTTCGCGGAATATCCAACTGTCTTCTGGAACACCCAGAAAATGTGCCAACCCCAGAAAAGATAGTCGCGGAGGGGTGATGTGCATTTCCTGGAGCTGAACTGCCGACTACAATAAGAACAGGATGTATGTCTGGGTGCTTCAGGATGCCGCCAGAATATAAAAAACTTAGCAATTAGATAGATGACCATGTAGCACCCTCAATTCAAATGAGGTACTCCAAGTCATTTAGTCAAACTCTAGCTGATGTGCAAGTCTTTCAAGTCAGATTAAATCTATTTCCAGCCGTTGTCTAATTCTTATTCTTCTGTACGCATGACTGCTACTTATCCCATGAAATTAACATTCCATTGATGTGCAAACTATCTGAGCGTCTATTGTGCTATTGAACCAGGGAAAATAGTCTATCTAATGAGGAGAAAAGCATCCACCATCTCAAATTCCTGTTGCACATTATAAAGCGGTATGAATACTCATTAATCTAATAGATCAGGCAGAAAGAGAGGCCAGTCCAATAGGAGGGGCAAGATCCTGCTTTTGGAACTTTTGTTGCAAATCATAAAGCGGTATGAATATTTATTAATTTGGTAGGTCTGGCAGAAATAGAGGTCAGTCCAATAAGAGGGGGAGATCTTGATTTTGAAAGCTTTTGTTGCACGTCAGAAAGCGGTAGGCTGAATGAGCAGTAGATAGCCCTGTAGCTGGCCACCGGCAGAAACAGCGGAAAGCCAATGAGGGCCCTCACCTGCCTCATACTTGCTTATGTTGCATATCTCAGGCGGTGCGGCCGCAAAACCATTACTTCTTAAGTGGCAGAAAATGAAACGGCAATAAGTGATAGTGCATGTAGTGGTATCTAAAATATCTCGAACATCTGAGGAGGTGCCGAAGATCACGTTAATCCCACTGTGGAGGGCCAAAAAACCTCCTGCTTCCAAAATCACCTAGTAATTAGGTCACAGCTAACTCTCTGAATACTCTACAAAACTTCTAGATATATCTGCCATCTTTTTTTTGTTTCTCAAAGTTTATCACCGCGGTGCTCTAGAACTGTCACGGTAGTGGCTGGCTTTACAGCAGGATCGATGCTTTAGGCGACAAAAGACACTGAGTTTATCACAAAATACTAAAACTTGCACTCCTTTGGAAAATGAAGGTACGTCCTAGGCGCGTACCATTAACTTGTCGTGGGATACATCTGGAGCTTGACGATTAGCATTCAGCCAAGCTGTCATTCGAGCCAACCTTCGAAATTTCAAGATTGGGCTAGTCTCATGTAATCTCCACGCCCGGATCATTCCCAAACCCGTCAAATGCCGTTCAGTGCATCACGCGATATGTGCTCGCCCGAGTTCTCTTATTGGCCGCCAGAGACTTTCCTCGAAAATTTTGCACATCTGAGTTTTGGCGTCTGGGGCCGGCCAGCCAGAGAGGAAGGATACCGTCGCTTCATTGCATCTTAGAAAATCTAGGTTTCCTACATGCTTAGCGTCAACTCACAACTTCTAAACTTCAATCGCCAAACCTGCGGCCCTGATCAACCGATATGCTCCCCGGCGTCTCTAGGCTGGACTAATTATTCTGGAAGTGGATTTAACCTGAATCTTTCTTCTGTTCAAACCCTATCCTACTGATTTCAATTATCACAACAATCAAAAAATTTCATAACCATAGACTGACTAGTTTATGGTGAAACTGCAAGCTTTTTCCAGCTGAGATGGTTTATTTTTTTATAGCTTCAAGAGCCCCTTTACTCTCCATCCTTTGTAATTCTTGGTACTGTAGCTAACTAAAATCTCTTTTCAGTCCACATAAGTTATTCTTGCATCGACCAAGAAAAGCTTCATCCACTTCTTCAGACTTCGATGAAATAAAGTATTATAACATATTGGTGAACGAGGGGTCTGGAAAGATAAATTTACAATACGAAGTGGTCAGAGCGGAAATGCCGTCGCGATGGACATCGAGCACATTTGAAACAATGGGTTGAAATTGGGGACAGGAAAAACACTTGACTTCTTGCAACAGGCATCGTACCAACTCGAATCACACAGGACATTATCGCGTTCTATGTGGAACTCAAGACGGCGTCACTTCATACCACATTTAAAAAGTAATCTGTGATAAAAATCTCAAGCCCTTGAGTCTTCACTACATACTACACACCATTTTTTATCTAAAGCATGCTGGACTTTAGATTTCCATTCAAATCTCATGCTGCCACAACCCAGATTATCAAGGTCGAGTTCAAACTGAGAAAAAGACGAGTGTCTAGATATCTTTACTAAGAATTCCATATGAGTGGTTTTTTATCAAAGTCTAGATTTTTACTTCACAAAAAGTATAAAAATTTTAGGCGGACTAAAACTGAGGAGTATCAAGTTTCCATGAAATTGGTGGCAAAGCATCATTTACTGACAAAAGGACTCTATCCAGGCCGGCCAAGCTCTTTCTATCCAAAAGTAAGAAGCAAAACAAGAAATACTAAAAGAAGTTCTAAGAATTTATAGCTTTATGAGCAGAACCACAATATGCATACAATCTCGGATGCTGGAGCTAGAGTATTAGCCGAGCCCCTGTCTTGACCTTCACGACACCACCACGTTTTTGCATACCATAAAAACCTGCATAAATACCCAGGATACACCAAGATATTCAGAGATTTGGGATGTGGGGTTCACGAAATTTGATTCTGCTTCCTGAGGATAGAAGTTTCTGTCTGACCATACTATAGGTCACGAGAAAGTCACATGGTAAAACTTTAAGTACAACTTGCATAGGACTTGCCAAGTTTAGTTTAACCTTGGA